AAGATTGGACATTCTTTCATCACTCATACGCCACTCTTGCATCTCCTCGCGGTCGGATACCACTTACTCGTTGTCCTTTGGTCTAGTTCGATGCACCATGGTCGATTTCTGTCTAAGTCCGTACTTCCCCGATGTCGCACCACCTTTCTGAACATCGCGCCAACTCGCTGGTTTGCTGCGCCGACTTATTAGTGTCGCACGATGGTCGCGACCTCTTCCTTTGCAAATCCCATTCCCTTTATTGTTCAACCTTCCCCTTCAAGACTCCTACCTTCGTGCTGGACTGGAGATGCCGTTAGAGTGTTCCATGTGGTTCAGGACAAGTAGCATATGTTTTCTTTCGATTTTCCTCTACTTTACCGTTCTTCTCTATCGCTAATGTATGACATTCACCTCTCCACACCCTTTACCTATTTTTCCATTGGTCCTAGACCATTGCGACTCTCTCTGATGTCAGGATCCATCTTCTAACATTTCGCGACTTTTGCATTTCACTTTCCCCATTTTCCCCTCTATAAATACCTGCTGTATCTACATCAATTATCATCGAAGACCAGTAGGAGACTTCCCCCTTCACTTCAGATCACCGAGAAACTGCATTTACTGCGATAGCGACTTCGAACTGTGATATACCCCACTGTGACATAGTGACACTGTGACACTGTGACATAGTGACACTGCTATACTGCGACTGCAATAGCAAACTGCGACACTGCGATAGCGACATAGCGAAATAGCGATAGCGACCTGCGTTAGTCTTAATCCGGCTTTTGCATTAGACTGACTGCGACTTCATCGAGACAGTGAATACTGCGTTCCCCCATAGTGTTCTACCCCCACAGATACTTTCCTTCCCCATTGCGATTTAGTTCGCCTTCACCTATGAGCTTGGCAATCGCATTGCGACCTTAGCTTCCTACCTTCGACTTTTGCGACTTTGTCGTAGATTGTCACCCAACTTCGCATTTACATCGCGAGCCCTCGTTCTCTTACAGGTCGCATCCCCCTTTGGCTTAGGTCGAGGTTCTGGAACCTACTTGCATTATTTTACAGTTGCGATGCCCTTCCCTTATACACAGAGCGACCCTGCTTCTCATTTTGTTTTAGTTGAGTTTAGGTGTTTGTGTCGGGTGTGCACTCATCAACGGCACTTGGCAGCAAAGTGTGAGTGCCTTATGGATGCTCTCAACATGCCCTAAAACATCGTTCAGTATCTTGAAGGAGCACCAGAAGTTCACCGAAATCGCTGTCAAAGCTGTAATTGGCTCTGTCTGGAGGATTCCCAGTTTCCTGATGTATAATCAACGCTCTGTGTCTTGAACATAGACACAGCACCACAATGTTTGATTTTTGTCATACAGACTTATATAAGAACCACTATTGGAGTACTACTATACAACCTTACATTGTCATTATCCCTACTAGTAACTTCCATGCTAATTGAAACTCCGAAAACCTCTTTGGATGACCGAGTAAGTAGCACATTTTTGTCGTAATAATAGTGGTAGTGTTTCTGACACTAGTTTGAGTAGGTGTGGGCTAACGGACTTTGTACGACCTCAAGAAACATGCAAAATCATTATAAATTGTGAATGGTGTGTCACTTTCCCTGCCTGCATCACTTTCCCCAGTGTCTGTGTCTGCATTAAGTTGGCATCAATATGTTGGCACCTGCATCAAATGTGTCAATATCTCCAGGCCTGCTGGCAAGTGTGTAGTAGCCGCGAAAAACACCGAAAGAGCTGACGTGGCCAAAGATGAAAAAGATGATGGGTCATCTGGGGTAAGTAGAAACAAACTGCATAATATGCCACATAGATGATGTGCCCTCCAAGGACAGCTAAAGCCATGCTCGAAGACCACTGTCAGATATGGGGATGATTGAGGAATCTGTACTGTGGGGTGGAGGATCTATAGTCTGAACAATTTGCTGGGAGGGCTTGAACTCTTGGATTGCAGAAGCTGTGTCATCGGGAATGACAGCAATGCACCGAGGGAGATACTAAGCCTGAGAGATGTTGAACACAGTGGCTGGGGGGTCATCATGTCAGCTGGTGCCAGGTGGTCTTGCATTATAGTAAAAGTGAATGGAACATTCTCTTTGGAGTGCTGCTCAGCTGCAAAAAGTGAAGTGGTGAACCACGGTCAGCATCTCCACAAGTATGTACCAGAATAACAAATATACTCCAGTGAACAATGCCGGTCCACTGGCAGCCACCACCATATCCAGGTATGATGATCCTGATCCTTGGCATCAGCAAAACTAGATGAAACTTATAAGGCATGATAAGCCCTTATAAGGTACATAAGACTCGTATCCTGCCGAGTTTTTCATCGGGCTTTATAATATAACCATGAGAGTTCAAAAGGGCCATAAACCTGGCAAAAGCAGGCATCCTTATGAGCCTTCCAAAGCTTCCAAAGCCTTATAATGTTACAACGCTCCCCACTTGTGGCGCGTCTTTTCTTTTTCTTTTCCTTGTTCCCTTTACGTTACCAGACCACGTGATCCAACACGTGACTCATTGGAGCGCAACTCCGATTCTTTACCCAGATGTCCAGAACCCCTAGTCTAGGGTTACACCGGATCCAACTCCGGACCTTTTTCTTATCGCGCATGCAAGACGTGCATGAACGCCTCATCTTTACCTCGTTCTGATACACGACTCGTTATCCCCATTAGTACTGATTATCTCTCACAACCTTACTCAGCTTTCTCATACATATTACTTCCTCGCTGTTACCTTGCCCAGATATCGTTTCACCTTATCTAGCCAATGAACGATCTCGCATTACTGCGTAGTACTGCGGATACCTTTTGTATAAGTAGACGACCTTGTCGAGCTGGATCCCCATCTCGACCTGGTTACCATTAAACCAGCTTTTCACTTGCCTTTGACTGAGATCGACCGTCAGTAGCAGACAGCTACTACGAGTCACAAGAACGAACTCTGATCGACCTTCAGTGCGAAGACATCGCCAGAAGTGTCACTTGAACGGACTTGTGTCTTAGACTAAAGACCTTGTCTCGCGACGACTCGACTAGACGCTCGTGTTTCGCTGCCGCGTAACATTAGGTCGAGATCTTATTACTCTCTGTGACTTCCTAGAGTCTAACAACGAACTACCGACCGGACCGAACCTTGAAGACTGAACGATACACCCGATTCGATTGCTAAAGCACCGTTTGAGATTACTCTGTAATCGAGGTAGCTGAAGGGATAGACTGATCACTCATCTTCGGAGAGGGGTCTGTCCGAGAGACCAATAGGCCGAGGAGGCTGAGGTAATCACTCGAGCAATCAGCAAATAGGTGTATCAGTTTGAAGACAGAAGACACTCTACGGGCTTGTTAGCCGACGACGAACGAACCCACTTAGTTAAGGACGGTGTGCAGTCTACGTGTAGACATAGGCCACACAGAAGAATTTATCCACGCTGGATTTTAACTACATCAACCCGACCGCTCTTCCAGAGCAGTACCGCGAGCACCTCCCATCCCAAGCGGAGTGGAGCACAGAACGAAACGCACATTTCATAGGAGGAAGGCCTGTATTCATCAGGCCAGACAATCACAACTTCGACTACTCCCCAGAGGAATTTGAAAGGACACTTCCCCATAATCTTGGTGGAATAGTGCTCCAGCACATCGCAGACAGCGGTATAACGACCTCCTATCCAGGAGAAAGACCAGACGCCCCTTGGAACCCCGCTGCCCAGAATCCTGTACCCCAACCGACTCTTGCACCAATCGTACCCGATTACATACCACCGATGGCTACAGTCACCATGGATGAAGGACATCACCATGCTAGCCAGAAGGAACTTGGTTTTAGAAAACCCGAGATCTTCAACGGTTCAGACCGTTCGAAGCTTAGGGAATTTATAAACCAATGCAAGAACTACATGGCCGGAAATAGCCATGTCTACCAGGAGGACAATCAGAAGATCGCATTCGTGCTATCGCACATGCAAGGAGGAACAGCAGGATCATGGGCACAGAGCTTCATAGAAACGGAACTCACCAATGATGACTTCCTTTCTTATGGGGGTTGGAGAGACTTCATTGCAAGTGTGAACAAAGCATTTGGCGATGAAAATATTGAAGAAACCGCTCGTACCTTGCTGCGTAACATCAAGCAAGGAACTCGTACTGCGGACGACTACATTGCTGAATTCCGATCGCTTGAATCCAAGGCGAAACTAGAAGATGCCGGAAATATCGAGTATTTCAAGTGGGGACTTAACGACCCACTCCGACAAAGGATATATGGGATGGAAAGCATGCCCAAGACACTTGACAAGTGGTACGAATACGCCTCGCGGTTTGATAACCAATGGAGATCTGCTCAGATCTTCAAGCGAGGAGCCACTACAACGACGCGAGGAAAGGGCCGATCTGTCCATCGTCCCTACTACTCGGCTTCTGCAAAGGATCCAAACGCGATGGATGTTGATCGTGTCAATATCTCGCGCTTATCCCCAGATGAGCGACAAAAGAGAATGAAAGAAGGGTTATGTTTCCTATGCGGAAAGAAGGGCCATATAGCCAACGACAGACAATTTCACCCCCAGTCTGGAAGTTTCACCCGTGCTAGAACGATACAGCCCGGGTTAGACACAGACACGATCACATGGATCAAGAAGATGCGAGAAGACCTCGCACAGAAGAAGGAGATGTCGAAGGAAGAAACTAGAGAGGAACAGATCGCCTATGTGCGAAACGTCTTCAACGACATGACTGACGAAGAACGAACCCAATTGGGTTTTTGAGACGACGGCCACTAGTAATGCATGGACCGTCGCATCTTACCGTATCTCCCCTCGTTATTTGTAACACTAGCGGAAATTCAATCACTGTGAATATTTCGTTGGGAGAGAAGGAAGACGTTACAACAGAAGCCTTGATCGATTCCGGTGCAGCCGAAACGTTCATGAACATTCATTTTGCGGAAGAAAACGATTTCATCAGATGGGAATTACCAAAACCGATTACAGTCATGAATGCAGATGGCACACCAAATCAAATGGGCACCATTACTCATTGTACCTGGAAGATGATGAAAATCGGAGGAAGGAAGACACTTACTCGCTTCCTCTTGACCGGCATTGGCAAAGAAAACATACTTCTCGGCATGCCGTGGCTTAAACGCCTCAATCCAATGATCAACTGGGAAACCGGTGACTTTTGGTTTGGTAAAGACGCCAAATGGCCACCGAAACCCACCGTCGAAGATGCACCAGATGAAGAAGTTTCAATTTTCAAGGAAGATGGACTCCCAGAGTTAATCACCACCGAAACTTCCCCTACCTCGTTTAGACATTCGGAGTCTATTAGAGAAATTACAGCCGATAACACTGAGCGTGGCGAGTTACCCGCAGTGCGGAATGATACTGAACCAGATGACCCACCATCAGAAACCCCTAGGGATCAGCTCGATGACGACGATCTAGTTATATCCTATATCGCAGGAGAGCCAGTTATTGGGATATTTGAACCCATCAGGAAGGAGTCACCTTTGACGAATGAAGAGACTGAAACCGCAGTCTTCACCATACGAAGAGGTCCCGCCATTGGAAGAATGACACACAGTACTCGATCCCCATTATTCTGTAATGCACAGAATACGGTCTTTTACAAACCATCCGGTAAATCACAAGAATTGGCACAACAGGCACACAAGGAAGCATCAGCTGTAGACAAACCCAAAACCGTCGAGGAGTTGGTCCCCAACTACCTCCACGATTTGAAGTCCGTCTTTGAAAAGAAAGCAGCTGAACGTTTTCCAGAAACTAGACCTTGGGACCATGCCATTGACTTGAAACCCGATTTTATTCCACACGACTGTAAAGTCTATCCGTTATCGCTCAAAGAACAAGGAGCGATGGATGACTTCCTGGAAGAAAATCTGCGAAAAGGATACATCCGACTGTCGAAATCTCCCATGGCTTCACCATTTTTCTTCGTAGGAAAGAAAGACGGAGCACTACGTCCCTGTCAGGATTACCGATACCTGAATGAAGGGACGGTGAAGAACGCCTATCCTCTTCCGCTCATTTCTGACCTTATGGATCAATTCAAAGGCGCATCGATCTTTACGAAAATGGACTTACGCTCCGGATATAACAATGTCAGAATCAAAGATGGTGACCAATGGAAGGGTGCATTTAAGACAAATCGCGGACTTTTCGAACCTATGGTCATGTTCTTTGGACTCTGCAACTCCCCGGCGACTTTCCAAATGATGATGAACGCACTCTTCAAGGACATGATCGATGAGGGATGGATAGTCATTTACATGGATGATATCCTCATCTTCTCAAACGATTTGGAAGAACATCACGTTCGAACCCGACACGTACTCCAACGACTTAAAGACAACGACTTATTCCTTAAACCGGAAAAGTGTTTCTTTGACGTTAAAGAAGTCGAATTCCTAGGCATGATCATTCGAGAAAACTACATTGGCATGGATCCTATCAAACTTAAAGGAATTGCAGAATGGCCTGAACCAACCACGGTAAAAGGTGTTCGCTCTTTCCTAGGGTTTGGAAACTTCTATCGGAAGTTTATTGCCAACTTCTCGGATATTGCCAAACCATTGACGAATCTTACGCGCACTGCCGCTGGATCTCCACCTTTTGAATGGACAACAGAATGTCAGACAGCTTTCGACACATTGAAGCAACGATTCAGTACCGCCCCAGTACTGTTACTGCCTGACAAGGCAAAACCCTTTATTGTTGAATCCGACGCTTCCAAGTTTGCTACGGGTGCAGTTTTACGCCAAGCCGATATCAATGGAGACCTCCATCCTTGTGCCTACATTTCACAGACACTCAATCCAGCTGAACGGAACTACGAAATCTACGACCGCGAACTCCTCGGAATCATTCGAGCCCTCACTGAATGGCGCCATTATCTTGAAGGCTCTCCCCATCCCGTCGAAGTTCGCAGTGATCACAAGAACCTCACGTACTTCCGTACAGCTCGGAAGTTAAACCGCCGACAAGCACGATGGAGTCTCAAATTATCACAATTTGATCTTCACCTCATCCATGTCCCTGGAACTCAGATGATCCAATCTGATGCGCTCTCTCGTCGTAATGGACTCGATGACAGTGAAAGTGACAACGAAGATCGCATTCTTTTACCCAACGCACTATTCGTGCGATCCATTTCCCCGACACTATTCGACGAAATCAGGAATCACGCAGCAAAAGACCTCATTGTTCACGAAGCCCTCGAAGCGATTGCGCACAAAGGGCCATTCCCCATGAAATCATCGCTTTCCGACTGGGAAGTTCGCGATGGTGTCATCCTCTACAAGGGAAAGATTTACGTTCCACCATCCGAAACTCTTCGTCGTAACCTAGTTCGACTACATCACGACTCCCCTGCCATGGGTCACCCTGGAAAGTTCAATACTCTTGAACTGTTACGTCGTGAATTCTGGTGGCCCGGCATGTATACATTTGTCTACAATTATGTTGAAGGCTGTGCCGCCTGTCAACAAATGAAACCGAATACTCATCCAACTCGTATTCCTTTGGAACCAATTCCCGCCGACCCACACGCATTACCATTTTCCTGTTGCACCACCGATTTTATTACCGACCTCCCCGTTTCCAACGGTTTTGATTCAATTATGGTCGTAGTAGACCATGACCTTACGAAGGGGGTGATTCTTACGCCCTGCCTCAAAACGATCACAGCTGAAGGAACGGCCAAGATTTTTCATGACAAAGTATACTCGCGATTTGGATTACCCGACCGAATCATCTCGGATAGAGGACCTCAATACGCATCCAAGGTCTTCCAAGAGTTAAATCGACTACTCCAGATCAGATCATCAATGAGCACAGCTTATCATCCTCAGACGGACGGAGAAACAGAGCGAGTCAACCAGGAGCTGGAAATCTATCTTCGACTCTATTGCGGAAACAACCCTGAAACATGGGCCGACCGCCTGCCAGACCTCGAGTTTTGTCATAACACAAGGGAACACTCGGCACGGAAGATGAGCCCATTCCGCATCATGATGGGATATGAACCACGGGGACTCCCTTCCGTATTTCCGACCACGAACATTCCATCAGTTGAATCCAGGCTTGACATGTTGCAGAAGATAAGACTAGAAGCACTAGCCATGCACGAGTTAGCACGACAACAGATGGCGGACCGAGTCAGACAAGGATCACCGAAGTTTACACTAGGACAGAAGGTCTGGCTAGACTCGAGGAACCTGAAGGTCAATTACGCCTCGCGCAAGATAGCACCAAAGCGTGAGGGGCCATTCGAAATTGTCGAAGTCATCGGACCAGCCAACTATCGTCTCAAACTCCCGAAGACCTGGCGAGTTCATTCCGTATTCCACGCTGCCCTTCTATCTCCTTATCGCGAAAACGACATACATGGTCCGAATTATGTGAACCCACCACCTGATGTCGTTGATAACGAAGAAGAGTACGAAGTCGAAGCCATCCTGAATCACAAGACGTACCGAGGTCATCTGAGGTACTTAGTCAAGTGGAAGGGATATTCTTCAGCAGAAAACTCGTGGGAACCTACCCACAATTTACAGAATGCCAAGCGAATCCTCGATGCATATAAAAGGACCAGGGGAATCCAGTAGAGGAGAAGAAACCCGGAATGACTACCACAACGGTTTTCCTCATCATCTTCCTAATCGTCCTCCACTGCACAACCCTCACCTTTCTTTGGATCATCCACCGAATCCTTATCAGACGACTTGTCGAACACACACTCTTCACGCGAGACAGCCCACACGCTAACGGCTGGGGTGATCAGAACGATGCCTGGAACTGATCAGGCAGCTCTTATCTCTGTGGGAATACTCTTTATCGTCCAATGGATTTTCATCTATTTGATTATTACCCGGATCCACGACATTCTATTTCACATCACAGATAACCGCGATCCCCTTAACGACCGAAAGGTATAAAAGGGGGAGAAAATGACATATCATCAATGCCCACTTCCGCTATAGACGACCTTGTTCACAACATACTCGCTGAAGTCGCCTCCACAATTATGAGCATACCCGCATCGCCCACGCTTGTCAATGGAGTACCCTCTCGAGCACAGACACCCTTTATCCGCACCTCATCGCCCTCACCTTCTATCGAACTCAGTCACGCATCGGACGAACAAGAATTTGCCACACGTCTGGTCTCGGCTATCCGTGTTCCTGTCGACTTCACAGATATCCTCGTCGCCTTACGAAATCGCCCGCAAGATCGACAAGCGGTGGTTTCCATGCAACGAGCATTAGAAATGGTCGAGTGGATGCAGACGGCCAGACAAGAGCTCATCGCAGCAGAAGAAAGGACGAGTAGAGCCCGAACCAGAGTCGACCAAGTCTGGTCGTTGATGCGCAGTACGGTCACTCGTACAGCACAGGAGATTTGGAGGGAGCATGGGGACGAAGACATCGGACACATCCTCGGATACACCACTAATGGAATACCCGCATCCACCCCTCGCTCGTCGCCAGAACCAATTCCCGTTCGACCTCGCCCTCCTCGTTCGCACGTACCCAGTGGACGATCTCCGTTATCCCAACCATCTTTCTCGACTGCATCCACTTCTTCGCGTCGCAGTCATCCCTACAGGAATGGACGTATCCCCGAACAAGGATCACGAACCAGCCGGCGGACATGCTACCGATGTGGAGGAGATCATTATGTCCGCGACTGCCCCCGACGACGATGAAGATCACAATATTTCTTGTGGGACAAGAAACGTTAGACGGGAGCTGATGTTACAACGCTCCCCACTTGTGGCGCGTCTTTTCTTTTTCTTTTCCTTGTTCCCTTTACGTTACCAGACCACGTGATCCAACACGTGACTCATTGGAGCGCAACTCCGATTCTTTACCCAGATGTCCAGAACCCCTAGTCTAGGGTTACACCGGATCCAACTCCGGACCTTTTTCTTATCGCGCATGCAAGACGTGCATGAACGCCTCATCTTTACCTCGTTCTGATACACGACTCGTTATCCCCATTAGTACTGATTATCTCTCACGACCTTACTCAGCTTTCTCATACATATTACTTCCTCGCTGTTACCTTGCCCAGATATCGTTTCACCTTATCTAGCCAATGAACGATCTCGCATTACTGCGTAGTACTGCGGATACCTTTTGTATAAGTAGACGACCTTGTCGAGCTGGATCCCCATCTCGACCTGGTTACCATTAAACCAGCTTTTCACTTGCCTTTGACTGAGATCGACCGTCAGTAGCAGACAGCTACTACGAGTCACAAGAACGAACTCTGATCGACCTTCAGTGCGAAGACATCGCCAGAAGTGTCACTTGAACGGACTTGTGTCTTAGACTAAAGACCTTGTCTCGCGACGACTCGACTAGACGCTCGTGTTTCGCTGCCGCGTAACATATAAGGCCAGATGTGTCAAGGGTTCATTTTCTGGATATAATAGAAAATTTTCATGCATCAAGCAGAGTCCTGTTAAGGGAACTACAAAGAATATATTCCAATATTATAACTACATAAAAATTATAACAAGACTGTAGAATAGATATTAACACAACCCGCACACTAAATACACTGAAAACACAGAAATAATGACCCCAGGAGCATAAATTGTAGCGACAGGACCTGTCAGGAGCAAGTTGATGCCGATCGCACCCCGACACATCAGGAAAACCCAACTTTTACTTATGGGACTTATTCGGACTTTTTGTCCTTTTTTGCCTTATTTAAGGCCCATAAGTTCCCAAAAGTTGACTTTTAAGTCTTTAAGGAAATATGACTTATGGACTTTTTGTCCTTTTTTATCTTATTTAAGGTCCATAAGTGCATTTAAGTCATATAAGGACACCTTTAAGTAAAAGTTGGGTTTTCCTGATGCAGTGCCACCGCCCATGCACCTATGCACTGCGCATTGAGCTGGAGTGCAACACAATAGGCCAGAGCAGCATCAAGTCTTCCTGCAAATGTGCAGTGCCAGGAAAATATAAGGGAAATGATCAGATAATACTCCAAACATATCTGGCTAGCATAGCCTCCATTCAACCTCCAAATTCCCATTGGCATTGTGCCAGTGTATCTAGAGCAAAGATTGTCAGACAGCATCCATGAGGGACAGGATATATCTGCCAATCCGAAGCTCAGGCAGAGTACATGGAGACTGCGAGACACATCTGTGGGTACAAAGATGGCCTCGCATGAGAGTGTGATATGCAGTAGCTAGTTGAAGGGAACAGTGAAGGCAGGAAGAGAGAGAAGAGGATGCCGACGTGAGGTGACCAAGCAATTTTGATAAAGTTCAACATTTGCAGTTATTTGTGAGCTGTTATACGCCAGGGGTAGTCAGACTGGCAGAGAGTTGCGCAGTTATGGGAGGCAGTACGGAGGGTATATATGGGGGTCAGCAGTGAGATAAACGTTCACACGGCCTTGCAAGGCCTTCTGATAGGACCCCCGCGAATCAACTAGGAGCTCCGATCCCGGCAACGACATTTCTCGGGGGTGGCTGACCGCCCATTTTCGGGGGTTTGGACGCAACCTGACAGCGGGTCGGTCATTTTCAGGGTTATGTGGGATCGAACATTCGGCCACCTAGAATTACATTTGACGGCCTGCGGAATAAAAAATTCGCTTCCTGTGCAAAACCCAAGCTTTTGTGAGCCAAATTACTAAACATTTCCTCCCAAACTACCACATATGGCTAAATTTTAGGCCCATCCTCCGAAACCTCAGAGATCCGCCAGCCAATCTCAGTTTTCGGGGGTTCTGGACCTAACCTCAGGTTGGAGGGTCACATTTCGGGGGTGTTTCGCACCCAACTTTCAATGTCTTTTTCGCCATTTTTGGGGGTCGGAGATCTAACATTTTGCCTCCGGCGGCCCATTTTTCGGGGATGGGTGCATCGGAGCTCTCAGTGGATTCGCGGGGGTCCTCTTCTGATACGCCATCAGTCTTATCACGTGTTCCAAACGCCACCAGGGCATAGCAGATTTCTCCACTTTTGCTGAAGCTCTCTGTGACGCACTACTTACATGTCTAATATTGAAGCCAAGATCATTCATGCACAATGTATTACCGGTATTGCATCTCGCAGAAACCCTTTGCTCACTTTGGGCCATGTGAGCTCCGACTGACTCCTGGCCTACCTTGTCTTCCGATCTATCACGTCAAGAGAACTATGACCTCTCAGAAAACTGCATTCGAGTTTGCGTCTACGCGTCTACATAGTGGATGTGATTCTTCGGCTGAGCAACTTTTTCCTCGCAAAGGACACTTTGTTGTGTCAGACATCCGGGAAAGGTTGTTCGCGCACTTTCAGCAAGACAGTTTCTGGATCTGCTCGAAGGTAGTCCAACTTCGCATGCTGTCTCCGTCGTCGTTCTCGACGTTTTGCGGCGAGAGGCCTTAGGCGTGAGGGTCCTGGACTCCTGGGACAATCACCGCTTCCAAGCCCACTCTGTACTGCACAGCTCAGCTGTTTCTGTGCGTCTCCGATGCAGACGGTCAGTTTTAAGTCGAGTTTGGTTGATATCATGCTGAAATCTTTTGTTGTGTACGAAGTGTCTCAGGCTGCACACTCTATCTCTGTTTGTCGATGCAGGTGCGGAACTCCCAGTTTCACCTATGTTATGATTGTGGTGCACATCTTCTCGAATCCGCACTCACACCCATCAGCCCCGCCGCCACCGCCATGATACCTCGAGTACGGAAAACGGCTGCTTCGCATACACAATCCACTTTAGCGTTAGTAATCTACTCTGATTATGAAGCGCACGAATTATCAAGGTGGACAGCTACCACATCGTGCATTGCGAACTTGGAGTGAATGCGGCGTAAGCCGGGCGTGAGCACATGACCTAGTTGTCGGTGTCCACGTCATAAAGTCACCGAGGGTTTGACGCTGGCAGTCGTGGTGGCCATCTGGACTGGATTACTGCGATGTTCCGAAGGCTTCGTGATAATCACTGCGCTGGCGACGCACTTCAACTTCGTGTGGCGAGCATCATCAAGGTAAGAACGCGATGGTCTTCTAATGTTCTGAGCGTGCGTTTGGGGAGATTCTTGAACATGGCGGCGACGGAGCCTGTGTCTCCCGAAGCAACCCTGTCTCACAGGACGTCGATGTCCCTGCTGCACGCCGCCACGACGAATGGACGCTGGCAGATGGGAGGCGTCGACTCCGGCGTATTCCAAACCTATGCAACTGCATGCACTGGTTCCTGTACCCATGACCTTACTGTGCCTGGACCTGGACGATCAGCGTATGATCAGCGTCGTTCTTCCCATGAAGGAACTACAAGCTCGCAATGCAAGTGGGTCATCCATCGAACGAACTCAAAGTTCAGTAACAGTTGGACTGGGCATCAGCATCATGATGCGGCTGTCACGCCATGGCCGCCCTCTGCTATTCGGTACCAGTATCTGTTACCTATCCGCTGCTCGACGAGGTGCGTCCGCCGTCCATGTTACACTAAATACTATAGGTCAATTCAATGCTTTGTGAGTGGGGGGGACTGATTGATTTACTTGTAGGACACCCAGTTGGTCGACGTGCTGAAATCTTTGCAAATGTCTCTCTCGATCTTTGGCATGCTGTGCTACTTGCTTCGAAGCTGCCAGTGTTATGGAGGGATAGTAATGAATGCCTTCCCAGAGCTATGCAGAACAGAACTTTGTGCGACGGCCCCTGGCAACTTGGCGAGCCCCACCCTCTCCCCTCGAAGTTTGAGTGGGAGGCGATCCTAACTTACCCACCAAAGCGATCACTTCCGCACTACAGAGGCCGGCTTCTGGCAACCGCGTCGCGATCGCTGCTCTCGTTTGTGCTAGCACCACGAAGGTCTGTGGCGCACGAGATTGATGCAGAATTTGTGTCCGTTGATATCATCAGACTTTCTAATGGCTTCGTGGCGTAGCGCTATTTTTCATCATGCTCAGACCCCGAGTACGCGACGCTACCTGACGCCGACGGAGCCAATCGTACGTAGTAACTCTTGTGTCTGTGTGGGCCAATCTCTTACTGCTTTGAATGACGCTGTGCTTGCATCACGTCTACTAGGATGTGCGCGGGTAAGGTGGTTGCGGTGGTGTGAAACTTCGTGGGCTTCGACCTGGGTATATCAATCCTAAGCCCCCCTGGACGTCGGAACCGCGTCTATTCGAGTAAACGGTGCTATGAATAGTTCCTTCTTCAATTGATATACTCATCAATCTCCTTACGCCTTCTATCGTAACCTGCTTGCGGTCTTTTGAACCGTATTGTGGCACGGTTGCTGTGGCTTCTGATACGACGATTCCTCGAGCTTGGTCAGCCGGAACAACCTGCAGCTTTTCAGCGGATTTAGGATTTCCGCCGGTACAATTGGATTGCGACGCCCTTAGCTGCAAGCTCACCGGTAGACCTGAATGGCTATTGACGGGCCATACTCGTGCATGTCTGGTAGACTGCTGCTTATGGGCTTGACAGGTGGTATCATTGCAGCTCGTAAAGCCCAGACAAGGATTTAAATCGACTTCTGCGCTGTGGCATACGACATGCGAATTCGAAGCATGGGAACGCGTTCCAGGGACGGGGAGTCGATAAAGTATTAATGCATCTATATCACTCCACCGCCGGCTTTCAACTTCCCAAATTTTTGCGAGACATCAGAATAGGAACGGCAAGGTGGGAAGCATCGTAGCTCGCAGCTGTGTCACCATGGCCAGCTCAGGTGCACGCGCTACCAGACTGGTAGGCGGACGAGGGCGGTATTATGATATGTATTTCGGGCTACAGATTCACCAGCAGATCCAGATCGCCCTCGGATGGAAACAAAAAATATGGGGTTAGGGTTGGCTCAGCCGATATTTCCGGGAAGGGATGGTTACCCGAACAGTTTCCTGCGGGGAGTGCCGAGGGGGGAGCTGTACTGAGCCTCGTGATCGTCCACAAGGCCAGCATTGCCCAGCCCACATTCATCATCTGCAAACCCCACCTCCGGCCGGACGGAGGACGCGGAAATCGATTGGAATGGACGCCCTCTGTCGCACCGTCCCAGTAAAATCCAGCAGTGCGCGAGGGTGGTTTGCTATAAATGTTATGTTGCGGAAGAAGAGTCGGTTATTGATCAGAATCATCGGAAGACAGCGTGGACCAAAAGTGAATAGCCGAACGCGAAAGAGGTCAAGGTTTTCTCAGGCGTCGAAGACATGTGAGGCGCTGGCGTTGTGGATGATTCTCTCCCGCGCCTGGGAGCTCAGCGCTGCTGCTTCTTGGCTGATTCCTATATCATCAGAAGCTGTCCACTCCCTCCTGCTTCGCTGTCTGGCAGGAGCATGATATATACCCGCCCTCATCGGTCGTTCTCTATCTCTACTCTCATCTGAGAACGTATTCGTCGGACACCCCTTCCCTCCTACCACAGTCGACCTTTCAGCCATGGGTCAGAACCTCAACGAGACTGTTGGAGCGCTGCTCCTAGGGTCGCTCTTCACCGCAGTGTATGCTCTTGCGCTTGCTGCATGATGCCAGGCTGATCGTCCGTCCGCAGAGGGTACGGGATCACCACTATGCAGACGTACATGTACATGACCCGATTCCCGAAAGACCCCAAGATCATGCGATATACTGTCAGTATACCCCCCCTTTCCCCCCTTCACCTTCTGCGGCTCTTCTTGCTGATGATGTTTGTGTCCCAAGGTCTGGTCGCTCCTGTGAGCATTGCCCGCGTCTCGGGGAATATTAACTCACTCTAGTGTTGCACCAGCATCCTCGATACAACCCATATAACGCTAAGCTGGCACATGGTCTATTACTACCTCATCTTGAACTACGACAACCCGCCTGCGTTAGAGCGCTCTGTTTGGTGCGCATCCTCTCCCACATTTACTGTGCACTGATACTGACCGTTTTGCAGGAGCTTTGATGTACGTTTATTTCCATCACAACGTGCGGCCGACTCTGAATAATTATTCGTCTCGTCCAGATCACAGTCGTCGTCACCGTGAGTGGGACATCCACCTCGTATGAGCGTTAGGAATGACTTTCTTTCTCTAGGCGGTCATCACAGTGGTTGCGCATTGGTAGGTCTTATCACAAATCGGATCTTGTCATACCATTAATAATCTGCTAGTTTCTACGCACGACGAGTGTTCATCCGTAAATCATACTTTGCCTCTTGTCTTGCATGCATTGGACTGATCGCGGTGAACAGTGGGTGGTCGTCAATGGTTCCTCACAATAATCATTGTACGTCTCTTCTTGCAGTCCACCTTCCAGCCCAAGGCTGATCGCTGCCATAGCTCTGCTTATCCGCTATGCGCCTTAGTTCGTAAAAAAAATTTGTGTCCGTAATTTCCCCTTACTGAACCATATTTTCTCCATACAGTCTTCGGCACAAGTGGGTAATTGCAATTAATTATGCACCCCTTCTTGCTGATGTTGTTTTCTCAGTCGTCACCGTGAGGCTATTCCAAATACGTGAACTCGCGCTTGTGCCCCATAAGATCGGGGTCAGTCTTCGAATCCACTCTCTTAAATTTGTACTCACTCTCTGCGGTGTCTTCTGCAGGTGGAGGTCGGAGTTGGTATGGGCGCAGGCACCCTCGCCGATTTCATCATCACCGTCTCGCTAGTGTGGTTCCTGCGCGGGCACAGGTCTGGGTTCAACAGCCAGTAAGCCCTCCTTACCACCCCTTTTTTCATTCTATTTCTCATCTTTCATCCTAGAACCGACAACGTATGTTTCCCTCTACATCCTCGGAAGAGAGAGCTCACCGTGTTTGCACCGTATAGTTGCTTGACAGGATTATATTCTGGACGATCAACAACGGTCTATTGACAAGCATTGTCGGTCTCGTCGTCATCCTCACCGTAAGTCTCTCTAGTATATTCCCTGAGCGCGAGCAACCTTGGCTGAGGCGCGCCCTCGCCTTGCAGTGCATTATCATGCCTTACAACATGATTTACCTCGCCGTGCACCTCCTCTTGAGCAAACGTACGTCTTGCTGCATTATGCTGACAATTATCCGAACTAAACGATGTTTGCATATACTAGTGTACGCAAACGCGCTTCTGGCAACGTATGCCTTCTCTCCCCATCCCTTCCCTGTGCATCACTAATGTCAAACACAGGCTGAACTTCAGAAAATCGCATCGCGGACGCGGTCTGGACGACGAGGACACCACGATCCAACTCTCGGGGATGAGCCGGGGGCGGCGCACGGAGAGTGGGCTGCAGTTCAGCGGGAAGGACAGCACGACTGCGCCCGTCGTGCACGTCGTGACGACCACTACGACCGACATGCAGTTCGAGGGTATGAGCAAGGTGGTGCGTGCATTATCCGTCGGTTCCATATCCCCCTTCCCGCATATCCCGTGTCCCACATCCTGACCCTCGTTACCTGTCTTCTGCTTATTCAAGGTTCACTCACACTGTCATCCAGGGTTCTCATTCGGACATCGACTTCGATCGCGAAGAGAGCATCCACCCCCTCGGCGGGCTCAAGGAAGATGCATGAGCCCGCTCCTCTTCTTGGTTTCCCTCACTCGCGGGTCCCTAGATTAGTGATGCCATTGCCAGTGCTGCGGCGGCGTGACCTTGGACACGCGTACCGGTGCTAGAGCCAGTGCCCTATATATTCTCCGCTTCCCACGTCACACCACGCTCCTTACCGCCCATATTGTACGAGTCCCTGTCCAAAATGTTGTTGTGCAGTCCGTTTTTGCGTGCTTGTATGAGGATGCGGTGTATGCGTCGGTGCCCCGTGTGTCTGCTAGTGTACTCTGATAGATATGATTGACGCATCTAGGTCGGCCTTGGCATACTGTCTCGCTCGCTCTTTGGTGCTATCGTTGGGTCCGGTGATCGCGTCAGCTAGCAATATTGCCTTAGTGCTGATAATGGAGGTGGGTTCGGTGCATTTGTCCGAGGAGAAGTTAAGTTAAGCTCGGGACTGCCTTACGCTGATACGAGAAGGTCGGGGATGACAGTATGAGAGCCCACATGCATGCAAACGCATATGTAGATACTGGCCCGATGGAGGAGGACGCGCGCCTAATTCTTTGTAAGCGCTGAGCCACTTGTATCTCCGTGGTTGGGCACGTGCTCTTGCGGCGTTTGCGACTGCGATGGCGAAGGTGCGAATGTTCGGTCCTGTCTTCTGCCCGTGTTCGTGAAATCTTTGTGGTGTTTTTTTTTGATCACGATCAGATGTGTGAGGGGGTGATCTCGTGCTCGTGGAGGCGTTTTATCATCATTTGCGGTGTCCTTGTGGCGCGAATGGCAGCTGTCTGATATCCACGTTGAGTCTGCTCAAATTGTGGCCCCAGTCGCTCCATCTGGAGAGGAAGCCGGGGGCTGTACAGGCTCGCAGAGGACTCGGACAGCACTTATACTGGCAGATGGAGACACCGACAGGCCTGACATGCACCCCGCGTGCATATCGAAAGCGAGCATAAAGTTCCCCCTGTAGACATGTCATGTCGAAGCCAAAGTTGAAGTCCTAGACCTAGGGTTCAGTGCAGAGATACAAGCCGAGAACGATCTCCGCCTTCCAGTCAAATCAGGTGGTCTGATGAAAACGTGATACCCGCACTCAGCCTAACCCGTCTGCCATCTATTTTCCAATCGATGTAGTATTGCGGCCGACGCTGGCCCAGCACCTAGCCAACGCGTGCATATCAGCTAGAATCCACCCAATACGGCGAGTCCTGCCCGCTCAAGCGTCGTAGCATTTACGCCACGTCCCTATATTCACCCATTCCGAAGTTTCAGCAAGTTGCCCCTGGCCAGTGTTCGAAAGATCCTCCCTGAGGAAACCAGTTGGTGGTCAATTTCCGTTACGGAATCGGCGATCGTGCCGTTCATGACGTGATCGACCGACTTGACCGCCACAACGCCTGCGGCATGGAGGCTTTTTTTATTTTATTTTCTGCGATCGATCTGGCGTTGATCAATGAGATACGGTGCGCAATCTGCGTCCGCCGGGCAGGCCCCTGTCTTTTCGCGTGCTACAGGATACGATTCGAGGGCGACGGGCGGGCCATCTTTTAGTCGGTGCACGTTGGCTGGCAGGCCGACGGAGATATTACTGGTTGCGCGTGTTTGACAATCAGTTTGTCATTTCGATGCTTCGATATTGCGTCCCTGGTACAAGTCAGACATTGCAAACCATATGCATACTCGGCGGAATTGTGGCGGGATCCACAGGAAGTCCGGGGTTGGAGGCCAGGTGTAGCACGGTTGGACATGTATCCCGAGGAGCGGCGCAGGTCCAGGTCAAGCAGTACTATCGCGTCAACGTAGTCCCAGCCACACGCGTCGCACGATTTGCAACGTCGAGATGAACGATGGTCGATTGCTAAATCTCCCGGTGGGAGTTTCGCGGCGCCACAGGTACGCAGAAACAAGCGGACATGAACACCCTGTGACGACGAATTTGAAGCATGTTACGTGAAGGCGACGTAGCCCCCTCCAGATCTCTCGCGGGAGGACACGACACGCTCTGTGAATCGCACAGATGCACGACATTGACAGTTACGTATCCGACGTACGTACAAAATGTCGTCTCCGCCCACCTGTCTACCAATCGCCATGCCGCCCCTCAGTCGTCCCGTAGGCTGCGTAGAAAGCAATAGTACATCGCGTACCAAATCAAGTACACTTTCGCGTAACTACATTTTCGCCGCGTCGCCGCCACTCCACCACGGCGGTAGTATCGTATATCACGAGAAAACTATGTGCTGTCGTGAGCATCCGGCATCAAGACATGAGCAGCGACATGAGCGCGCGTATTGACAAACAACGTCTATTAACAGTTAGCAAATAGAATAAGGGACACAATCGTGCACTTCAGGCGCGCTCATAATGTGTACCTGTGGCGCGCCATAGTCAGCCAGGGCAACGCGCGGAGTAGGACACAGGAGGCTCACCGATACAACGGGCTCTTATCGCCCATGTCCTTGAACTCCTCCGCGTCCGCGTCGGGCTTGATCCCGTCCCTCTCGCACATCGCGTCCTTCTGCCTATTGAGCCGGTGGAATTCCGCCATCCCGATGATACTGAGTACCGCGCAGGCACACAGGCACCCGATGTTCGTGGCGTGCCCGGGGTGGTACCGCGGGCTGTCCTGCGTACGGTAGATGAACGAGCTCGCGATCCCGCCGAGGTTGCCCACGCCGATCGTCATCGCGATGACAACTCCGCGCTTGACTTCCCCTCCCGTGTTCCCGCCCGCCCACGATAGCACACAGGCGACAGCGGGGAAGAGCCCGCAGCCCGCGATGATCGTGCCTGCGTACCCTGCACCAGGGGTCGACGTCGCGAATAGCACCACGTAGCCCACGAGCGCTGTCAAGGCGCCCAGCAGAATGAAGGGCCCGCGCTTGCGCCATCGGTCGGAAAGCATGCCGGTCGCGATGGTGAAGACACAGCCCGCTGCGTACGGCGGCACCGAGAGCAGTTGGGCATGCGAGGCACTGTAGCCTAGTGCTGCGATAATGGTAGGAAGGAAAAGCGCGAACGCGTATGTCGGGATCAGGAGGCTGCCGTACTGGATCAGGGATTGGCAGAAACGCAGAGCAGAGGTACGCACAAGAGGTAAACACCGATGAAGAGGTACGAGTGTGGGTCCTTCAACGCCTGGAACAGGAAGTCCCATTTGAAACCCTTCGCAAGCCCCGTGTTGTCCGCCTTCAGGGTGTCGATCAACCAGGTACGCTCTGCGGGCGTCAAGAACGTCGCGGTTTCGGGGAACTGCAGAACGTAAGCAACAGCCCCGATAAATGGGAGACAGACACCTACGTCATACATGCAGAAGTACGAAATGAGAGCAACGAGGACAGTGACGATTCCCTCGAGCAGGAACTGCCAAAAAATATTGCATCAGTTCTCTACTCAGAGTTCGGAAACGAGAATACGCACGATCCAAGACCATCCCGCGAGCCCACGCAGACTGCACACGATGTGTAAGTGGACGATCGATCAAAAGTGATCCCATCCTAACCCACCCGTTCATCTTCTCAATCCCGAAGGCAAGGATACCTCCAAACGCGCCAGCTACGGTGGCCGCGGACAAGAAGATCGAGACGCGCTGAGCCTGTGTTGCACGCGGGTACCACAGGCATAGGTAAAATGTCACCCCCGGGAAAAGACCAGACTCGGTTATGCCCAAAAAGACACGGGCAGTAATCAGACCACCAAAGTTCTTCACGAAGGCCATGCTGAGCATGACGAGACCCCAGGCAACCATGATCCCGGGAATCCACCGCGAGGGTCGAAGGCGCTTCATGGCCAGGTTAGACGGGATCTCAAAGAAGCAGTACGGAATCTTAGAGAAGGGGGGGAGGGTTAAGCATTGGGTTAGCGAGTGTACATGGTAAAGGAACGCACAAAGAAGACGGCAGAACACAAGTTGTACTGCACCCCGGTAAGGTTAAGAGACTTCGTGAGCCCAGCAACCTTCGCATTGCCTGTACCGATCACATCAGCACACGAACCCATATTAAAAGCTGTGAGCTTACCGATGTTGGAGCGGTCAAGGAAGGAAAGCAGATACAGAGCAGATACGAAGGGGAGCAGGTGCCAGTCGAGTTTGCGCAGGACGCGGGCGGGGACAACTCCCTCCGGGATGGGTACAGTGACTGCCGAGTTCGATCCATGCGGGGCCGTGACGCTCTCGTCAGGGACGAATTTCTCGTCCTCGATGGAGGAAGACTTGGACATCGTGGGCGCGGAGTACTAAAACCCGTCTGTAGCCTACTAGGTCTAAGGAATCGCCAACGTCGGCGACGAGACGAGGGGCCAAGGGATGGGGGGAAAGAACCGGATAGTCAGAAGATGGGGAAGGAGTCTGCATCTTATAAGGGGCCATCAAGTTTGCATGTGTAGACTGAAGTTGGTGCGCTTCGGTTAGCGTAGGAGAATTCGAAGCGCTTCCTCCGGGAGAGCTGGTGCCGCGGCCATTAGAGAAAGAATGGGTTGCGGTGCCTGTGTCTCGAAACGCTCAGGAGATATCTCTTCCTCGCTGGAATAGATGCGCCTACGACGTATGCCGGCAAATCATTCATCAGAGGACTACTCCACGTCGTGAAGCGCCCGGCAAATCCAGAGATGGAAACGAGTGCGCCGGATACACAGCGCGATGTCATGCGCGCCGAAAAGCCTGTGCACGCTCGGCCGATAGCATCGAGGCTCCAAGTGAACCACAGTGTGGGCCATGGCAGCCATTGACAACGACGGAGAGTTCAAGCAATGATAGATCAGCGCCACGTGTTGCCCATATTTAGCACACACCACTGATCTCCGATAGACGCCGCAATTCCACGGCCCAAAAGTGCTGCCCCTTCCACGGCTGTCTGCTTTTTCTGATGCTGATGCTGCGACTTATCGCTGCGTCCAGAGCCTCTTAACGCTCCTTCCCCATTCTCTCTCACCTGGACGACCGCACGCGTACCTGGCGGCCAAACTTGCTTGCTTTCCTCCTTCTCGTCGCGCAGTACAATTTGCGGGAGGCCTCAACGCGAGTCGAGGCCGTCGGGCCTGTCGTCAAGACCTCCACAACCAGGCTAACTCGGGAGACGTCCTCGCCTTATCGAACGTATGCCTGTCTTCGACCCTTCGCATGGCATGACGGCGGTGAGATCTACTGCTATTCATGGTCAATCCGTCAAGTTCACTCGCATCCCGTGGCAAGGATCACTCTCACCCCATTCAATGGCCTGTGCATTAATAACGACGACAGCTGACTATGCTGTCGCTCTGCTGGCTAGTGTGCAGAAGTCTCAGTCATACTTATTTCACTGATAGGCACCCACTAGGCACCCACCTCATCGTAGCAGGCCGGGTCCACACGCATGATTGCCGTATGTGCGCGCCAACGGTGTCGACCCCTGCGCAACCTCTTCCGCGTAACCACTAACACTGACGAGCGCAACGCTGTTCAGGATATCATGCGTTCTCATGTCAATGATTACCGAGTAACTCTGCCGTGCGTCGCGCCGCGTCGTCTTCGGTACTCGCCTTCGGTTCACCTCCGCTTGATGCACGGTTTCGCGTTCTCCTCTACCATCACGGAACTTCGGAGATAGCATCCAGCTGGTCTCACCTCGGATCCCAAGGGAACCCAGAACGTTGAACTACTTACGTGCCGCTGGAAGTAAAGGTGTCACTACCGCAACGTATGTCTGAGGTGTCGTTGGAGCTAATATTGCAAGAGGGTGCTGGTGACGCTTAACTGAGCCGTCGCGAACCATAACGAATAACCGCAGCATCAACCGAGCTTTATCCGAACCAAGGCGTTTGTGCGGGCTGACAGACGGAGAGAATCTGGAAGAGAGGAGAGGGAAGTGGCCAGTCTGTCGATGGTGAGTTCACTCTAAGTCTTCAGCTTTTATATGCGTCCACCTGTGTTACTCGATCGATGACGTCATTACGAATGGACGAGTTACACTCTTTCCGAGACAGGAAGGTGAGGTCCCAAATAGGAAGGTGAGTGAGAAAGATATGTCCTTTCGTCGAAAATCTGGTTCCGAATACCGCATCTGTATATTCTTGTCCAATATCTTATTGGGAATGACGATGAGAATATATATATATATATCTTAGAAAAATTGTGTTGTGGTAAGATATAGACAGAATACTGTCGCAGATATTGCCTGGCTACTCGAAGTGACTCTGGAGATACAGCATGCCTCACATACAGTGAGTCCCGCGGATGTCGTTCTCTTGTCCTTCGTTGTAACCATCTTGCGAGACCAGGTGTGCAGCGATGGGAGTGAAGCTCAAAGTGAGCGTGCAGCTCTCGGCCGTAGAATGTTCTTAGCGGGCATGCAGAGCTGTCCCTCAGCGGCCGTCTCAGTGCTGGTGCCATGCAGTAAAGCTAGTGTAATTCACAAGGCGCCACGCTAGGAACTGGCCGTCGGAATCAACCGCTGAGAGGGGAATGCCTCAGCTTGCTCTTGCTGGCATCCGCCAAATCTGAGTTGGTGGCGGCCGTGAGCTGCGGCTGTCAATGCTGCCGCGTCTGTAGTCACGGGAGCTTGAACATTCCTGCGGCGGAATGATTAGAATGTACGCAAGAGAGGCGCGCAAAAAGGCGAGACAATATCTCTAACCTGAGACATCGTGAATGCCATCTGCATGAGGGGTTCATCAGAAAGGGGAATGCGCATAACTGAAATGGTGCTTAAGCGCCATGGGGGCTCGTGAATGCCTTAAGCCAACCGGTTGTGTTCGTCTTCGCTCCGTCCGTTCGTACATGTGGGGCACACTGATAATTATTTGCAGCTCGGCACAATCGGAACACGGCACTCACCAGTATATTTGTATGAGATGATATGTTATGGGCGAGGCGCCAGACACCTGTTTGAGTCCTCAGGCATCATTACATACCCTCATTGATGAGCGTTGACTCCGAAAATTACCGAGGCGCTCGATGATGGACAACTTGAATGGACACACCAATGGATCGGCACCGTAGTTCAGTGACGCTTGAGTTACGAACGATTTCGACCGCGGAAAATACAGGTAGTTTCCTGGCGATTATCTCAGGTGAGCTGAAGGTCGAGCAACGTTAACATTACTGCGTCGTCTCCCGATCCAAGTGCTGCTGCGAAGTCTTCCGACCAAGTATGAATGGCTCGATACTGACGGAGAAACATGACACCGTCACTGGAACATAACTTACAGATGCAAACACTGGGGGTGGACTTCCTTTTCGCTTCCATGGCCCAGCAGCGCAGCAAAGAGGCAATTCCATTCGTCCATCTATAACGCAAGAAAGCGCGAAGAACGTCAGGACGGAGGTGGCAACCAGTACAAAATACCTTCAGGGACGGGCTCCATATTAACTACGAAGGAGAGTAGTTCTTCTAGACACGTTCGTAGTAAAATCCTGGGTGGCCAATTGGCGATAGTAGCCGAAGACGTCGAGGAGTAGTGACTATACTTGCGAGCTCATAAAAAGCGAATCCGACTTGCACGAGATTGAATCCAGGCATTGCACTGTGGAGGCGGCGTGAGTGTCCTGAAACCAAGATATTCATATACCTAAAATGTATCGTATGTCGGACTGGCTCCGGCAAAGAAAACGTACTGACGAGGCTTTGAATGCACGAGATAGAATCCAGGCATTGCACTGTGGAGGCGGCGTGAGTGTCCTGAAACCAAGATATTTCTATGCCTAAAATGTACCGTATGTCAGACTATCTTCGACAAACAAAACTTGTGAAAGTGTACTGACGAACGTTTTGAATGCACCAAAATCCCCCGAAGAAGAGGTATTCCAGAGATAGGCGACAAGCACAAATAACTTCCACCTCAACACAGAGTTAGTATGTACAAGCACGGGAAAAACAGCACGTTATCACGCAGAAAACCAACGATGAACATGGGCGAGGGACAGACCACACTACCAGCAAGGTCGACATTCGACTCGGATAATGACTTCTCTTGAATGAATTTAAGAGCAGGGCAAGTCCAGCCTGCCAGAGCCTTCGTGACAGGCACATTTTCCAACCTAGGGCCTGAAACGGCTCCGAGCAATTCTGAGATAATATAATAGGCTCCCGTTGACCGTCAAAGTCAGAGGAGAGAAGGATTACGTGATCCTCTGGAATGCTATGTTGTCGCACAACAGCTCTTTCCATTACTTTTGACAGCCGCCCCGTGGCTGTTACATACTTACATTGTGTAAGTTACACAGCAGTTGTTTTAGTTACCAATAACGAAATTTGCGAACTTGACTCTTTCCTGTTTTCCAATCTCACGAGCTGTAACATCAACAACGCGCTCATATGTATTCGTACAAATTCTCATCAAGTCAATCACGGTACATCGAACAAGCTACTCAGGCATAGGGATTCCGGACAACTCTTCGCACCTCTGGGCCGATAAGACGCAACGCAGCTCACCCGTAGTAAGACCACCTTCCATGATAATTGCCATCCAATCCCCTCTCGAACCCATGGCCAGTGTAGTCCAACACAAGCACGGCATTGTTGTCCATCAAAACAAGGTGCGCCCTGTGGGGTGCAAGGTCCAAAGTGAATCGACCAGTCTTGGCTGTGGACGTGCCAGTCTGCCCGTCGCCGCTGAAGTCTCCAGCACCCATGTTGGAGGCGCTGGCAGAGCCTCTGTAGGGCCCCAGAGTCCAGCGCAGGAACGCGCCGTCGCCCGTTGCGTTCAAGCGATAGGGCTTATTGGGATCTACAGCAGCTGCCTGCACTTCCTTGACGAAGGCTACCAACTTGGCGTCGCCGGCCGCCTCGGCGAAGAGGTCAGCGGGAACCTGCACTGCGGCAAATCTGTCAGGACATGCGCTGTAATGATGGCGAAATCTGCAAAAGCTACCTTCAGCCTCAGACATTTAGTGTGTTACCTATGCAAGTCATTGATCATTGTCGGAACAAGAATTCTCAAAAGAAGAAACACTCACGAGTGAAATAAAGGTTTGAGAACGATGGGGTGGTCTGCAAGGCACACAGTGAATATGTTTCCAGATGTATGACCGGTGGATGAGTGTGCTCACAAGTAACGCAGAGCGAATGGGAATTGCTGGAGGGGTGAGCTCAACGGTGCCTCTTTTATATCCTTCGTCCGTCCGGCTTAGTTACCATGAGTTAGTCACCAACAACCAGCTGACACGACACATAACCAGTACCGGTCCAATGTTAGACCAATTCAAGCACACGTTCGTCCTTATTCCGGCCGCATGTGAATTGGTGGTTCATGCTGGCATTTTCCAGATTCAAAGTGTGGCTTCCATGACTTCACAAAAGAGCGCTGAGAGAGGCATGGAACATGCTACTCAATACTCACAGTCGGAATACGGCGCTCACGGTCGCATTTGAATGTAACAGGAGAGACGCCTGCTGCCGGTCTGGGTTCGCATCATGCAGACCCTCGTTGATGAGTATTCAGTTCGGCCAACGTTTGCGCACTTAACGAGCGATTAGCCATCATGACACGAGCGGAATCATCAATATTTCAGTCCTCGAAGGGGTATCGCTCGTGAGACTGCTGGTGAACGAAAGGCTGAACGGCTTGAACGAACCTCCATACTTTTATCATGCAGTGACCCTATAGTCGAGCCACCGTTAATTCCTCTAAGCGTTGCAGTCAGCGACGTCTTGCGCCATATCAACGCATGCACTGCCAGGCACAATTATCCCATTCTGCGCTGTAAATCTAGTGAATTGGACCACCAAACCGCGGGAAGATATTGCGCAATAACTGACATACCAAAAAGGTCTCATGCGCAGCACAAAATGACAAGGATGCAAATGGGATGTTAGTTTATGACTGGCGCTAGCCTTCCGCACATGTCAACATAGCGCATTGCGAAACACAGCGTCTTCAAGGCGGAAGACTATACGAGATAGGCTGACGCTCAGGCGGTGAAGACAGTCAGACGACGTGGCCATGTGAGTCTGCGCCATGAGATGGGGCTCATCAAACAAGGTCCACTCTTTCGTTGGTGGGCGCATCTGACGATCGGCTTTATGCCATTAGAGAGTACAAGTAAGGAGATGTCTCACGTACCTCAGTTACGATGTTCACAGCTCCGAGACATGCTTGCATCAGTCACGGTATCATATGTGGAGTGATATTCCCATGAACATGATTCACTGTGATACCTGACCGGCGCCTTAGTATTCCAGAGTGCGAGACCGCCTCGTATGAGCTTTGCCATTGAGCGATCGCTTCACAAAGAGTGCTCGCCCAATGTGCTGAAAATGCAACAGACAGTCGTGGAATATATATATCTGCACACTTAAGACCAGTAAGACCAGCATAGAGATGTCTTATATGTAAATGAGCAAAACCACACGAAGTGGCACCGAGGCGGAATGTATTGAAGTCTACTACGCCGATCGAACGCCGATCGCGTCAGGAGGTCACGTGAAGGGAGATTCCCATCGTTTCTAGTTGGTCTTCTACTCTTGCGAACTCGTACACCAGGTGCATCGATGGGTGTCACCTCTCAATTCATGATTAGAAGTACTGGCCCAAACTGATCTAGGATGCTCAGGTTCTCTGTCCTTGCTGTGAACGCGTTTCTCGCCACTGGACGAGCACACGGTTTGTGATTTTTGTCTGGGATCGAACGCAAACGGTAACGGTACAGTGGGCCCAAACTCTGGTGGAAATGGACTTCTTCCGCGGCATGTCTTCCATTGCGCAGTTGTATACTTATTCATATTTCCTTGTGTCTGCTACACCCTTCGGCGGCTTTCCTAGCTGAGGCGCTGGACACTTCAGCTTCCCCGCTACTAGACAACTTCCCCATATCACCTCGTGCTCAGGTGACGCTCGTAGTTGCCCAACCCCGGTTAGTGTCTCCCGCGTATTCGCAACTTTCACCCGCAGTGGCGTCTTCCTACGGCAAGGACTGTCTCAGCTTGCGTGAACTGTTACCTCAGTAGCAAATTTGGCCCGACTCGAGTCGCCGTCCTTTTGCGATTAATATCTGTGTTCTTTCTATCCTGGAATGAGGCACCGCTATATCAGGCAAGATGAACGCGTTGCATACTATCAATGCCTCACAACATTATGGACGTACTGGCTCTTCTCCTGCTCACACGCTCGGAGGGTAGGTTATCCGGTAACTAATCCAGACGGCGCAGACATTTATTGGCCAATGTCATCAGTATTGACCTCTATCCGGACAGCATTACAAGAGCATACTTTGTGCGCAGAGGTAGGTCGCTGTAAATTAAACTCGTCAAGATATGACCTGCGCTTGTGAAGATATAGAATCATGCTGACTTATTCTCAGGAACATCGATAAACTCGGGGGCCGTCTCACATTATTGCTCTCAGTGGCTCCACGGTAATTGTATTCGGATCTTAGGTTGTCTCTAATTCACCAGTCAACGTTTGGACGACAGTATATTCAACGGACCAGCGAATCTCCGGAACAAGCTTAGATCTACTGTCGCTTAGCCATCCTGGCAGCTGTAGACCCCCAGAGCAAGGCACTACTATCAGATCCCACTTCTGCTCATTTCTGGCTATCATCCGTCCTCCCAGCACCATTTTCACCCAAACTCCCCCATGTAAGTGCCTTGACTGTATCACGAACGTTCGCGGTATTCCTTTCGATATGATTAGCCCACCTCTCGTCAGCTCTTTCAATGGAATATCACACCAGTGTTCCGGTTACCCCACTTGTGTACAACTCGGCGGCACCAGTACCCGCGAGGTTCTAACGAGAATGCCCATCGTAAGGCCGGCATCCGTGCACAGTCGAGTCCCCGCTCTCTTTACATGAGCACAAGTGGCAGCTCTTGCACACACCCGACTGGTTGTCTGCACCGTTCACTGGGCGCGCTGCTGTCTCAGAACATCCCCCAAAGCTCAACCCAGTCACCCCCCTTTCCTCGTTGCTCGACAGGCTGACATGGTGCGCGAAATCGGCGAAATCGGACGTTGCTGCAAGGATCTCCCCTCACCGCATATACATGGAGCAATGAGAATGTCGCGTTGGTGCAATTCAAGGTCTTCGACGTCGATGCCGGAAAGGCCTTCTGTCTCTCTTTACCCGTCTCTGTCGTGCCGTCTCGCGCGATCGCCAGCAGGGCGGAGGAATTGGCGAACTCGGAGGACTGGCTGACTATTGCCGACTAGTTCTACATTCACAACTGCGTTCTGCACTTCGACGTTTGTGTCGAAGCTGATAACGAATCCTACACTCCACCGCGAGAGTCACGCGTAGCGCATTCTGCTGCGGCGCCGATTCATCTAACGTGTCTGCCCAAGTATCTCTTCTGATTGCTAGTAGACGGGCGATTGTGATCTTGCATACCTTACGACCTTTGTTTTTACAAATTGAATGTCGCAGTGTTCCTTGAGATATTCCTCTTATCTCTTCGAGATGAGGGCTCGATGGTGAAATTCAGACAGACCTTCATCTGAGCACGTCTCAATTGCTTGCCCGACATACACTCAAAACACTATACTGCCTACATCTCAAGAAATGGTCGATATTCCACTCAGCGAGCCCCGACCCAACCCTTTAACTGACCCAACCCTCTTATTCGTTTACAGACCGGCCGCTGTTCTCAGTTTCGCATAGTCTGGCATTCCTAGGCCAGTGACCTGTGGCAAGCAAACCTCAGCGAATGCGCCACAGTCCGACATGGACAACACACCGAATTCCAGCCAGCCGCAGGCCCCGGCTGAGCAGAAAATCCGTTCGTACCACAGCCGGAATTGGAGCCCGTAGTGATAGCGTTCAGCGCAGACGCAGCAGATCCATACAGCCAGGATTCAAGAGGCGGAGCGGGAGATGACCCGCAAGTTCAAGTTCATTGTTCAGCAGGGCGATAACACTAGCGAATGTGGGGTTGGCCGCGCTTGTCTTCCTCGTCGTCGATTTCTCCATTCTGCACGATTTGAAAGTTTGTACCCTGAGCGGACACATCTGGAAACCCGCGCCCCGGTGGATTCTACAGACCCGAGTAAGTACTGCCAAGGCCCTGCACATAACCAGCCGTTGCTGTGGTTCGATACGACGGAATAGGGAAGGTGTTGGAGAAGCCACCACTCGAGTATTGTGCCGCGGTCTCAGAACCAACTCCTTGGGTAGCACCCACAGAGGTAACACTAGCGTAATGCATAGTCAGATTTCCGCACTAAGGACAGCCGGAAGGGAATGTGGGTAAGAAGTCACAGCAGTCTTCACCCCCGAATTTGACGCCGGCAACACCGCCGTCTCCAGACGAGAAGAGAAGAGATACACCACGGGCGCCGAGCTGCGCTCACGTGGCCAGACTTGAATTAAAACCACCTTCATCCATACCATGTGGTCACTACTTGTGGAAGAGTATCAGCGGAAAGGAAGTAGTTGACAACATCTAGGAAACCGGCAAGACCGTCATTGTTTTGCAAGCCAACGGAGAGGAAGGCAATGGAGACATCTGTCGCCAAGCCTACAGTATACTGAATATCTAAATCCTGTTATTGAGGAAGTATGAGTTAATGTGATTCAGGTCGCGGTGTGAGCACTGTGATGTACAGCTTCGCCACCCGCACTCCCAGGGGTTTGTTCGTTTGCACCACCGTCAAGAGTTTGCAGCGAAAAAGCCGTAGTGCTGGACATATCTGGCCTGTATTGTTCCAAAAAGCTCTGATATACGTCAAAATGAATTCAGTATATTCCTGGTAACGCATCGCGAGGTCATCCAAATTTGCGTATTGATTATTAAAGCCAGTGACAGCCAATTGGTTGAACTGTGCGGTATCAAGGGTTTCTTCACATACAGAGCCTGCAGGCAAGCAGGAGTGACAGTGTCTGCACAGGAAGGGTCCTGCCTTTCGTGCACTGTAGCGCGAGTCGACTTGATAGACACAGAGTAGGGAGATGAGCTCGCCAGGTAGATGGGGAAGCTAAAAAAAGTTGTCATAGACAAGCTACTGCCTTAGTGTAGCGACGACAAACGTGATTGTGGGGTGAACAAAGTCCAGATGACCATATAATTCCCCTAGGATAGAACACGCGAGCGTCCGAATGCTCCGTACGCCTTAGGCCGAACGTACGAATGTAGAGAACTCGGAATCGAACAGATCGTCTCCTGACTGACGGGAACACTAAAGCTGATCCAGTCGCCCGCCGGAGTGAGCACAGCGGCATCGATATTGTTGGCTTGTAACCAATTATTCACGGCGGCGAGGCTTTCTGCAGCAGGAGAGACGAATTCCGCAGCCTTTCGAACAGATATCAATTAAGATTAGTCTGTCGAGCTCTCGAGGCGAATTGCACGACCTCCTTGGTCAGGTACTTGCGGTAGTTGGCGCACGGCAGCGTGCTGACGTCATACAGGGCTTGCTCGAGGCCGGTGGGAATGCTCTGCATGAGCGCGAGGCGCAAATCGAGGACCGTGTCAAGCGGAGCTGGAAAGGAACACCGTCGCGCTTCTCATGCGCTTTCATATTGCGAGACATTGGGTTGCCCGCAGCAAGAACAGCGAGGGATACGAAGAGGAGAGCGGAAGCCACACGATGTAGCGCGGCAGAAGTTGTGCCCCGGCACACACGACGGATTGCGCGGTCGAGCCACAGTTAACCTCTGATGGAAAGGGCCGAGGTTGGACGATATCGAGTGCTTGAATCGCAACGGTGCCACGAGATGGTACGAACAGAGCAACATCGCCATTACTTCGAAGAAGGCTGTCAGCAAGGCGGACACTCACCAACGCTGAGTCGATGTGATCAACGTCGTGCTGCCGCTTTTTGCGATATATTCATGCACTGTAAGCATGGAGGAATTTTAGAGGTCTGAGACAATATTAGAAGGAGGCAGAGATGCTGCTCACTGACTAAACCGCCGTATCAGCGAATTCACATGTCTAGCCGTCTTGCTCTTCTATATACCACACGGTGGTACCACAGTGATGATGTCGACGACACAAGGCCGTGATTAGAAAAGAAAGTCCAGTTGCAACTGTGCTAGTGCACGTTGACGAATGGTTGTTTGTCTTGTTACAACATGTCCTTCAGGCGCCCATCTCGCTCGGGGCGAACCAACAGAGAATGCCAGTGTCGCGGGTCGGTTACCGCACCGCCGAACGTCTTCAGAATAGTCAACCAGGAGAACCACCCGTAGTGGGAGAGTCAAGATTTGTGCCACTATAATGCGATACTGACAGAGCAAACTGAGCGGCGAGCAATTATAGGCGTGCATATGACGGAGGGCTCAGTGGATGGAGATAACACGCAGCCCAGCGGCAATTGATAACATGCAGATGTCACGAAGACGCAAAGTCCAAGACGTCTATCATGAGGCTATATGATATCTTGAGACCGCATTCCAAAACATACGGCCCGATATGCTGAAGACTAAACGTCTCTCTATCTAGGAAGAGGGACAACCACTGTGAGAACACAATATCAACCGCCACGCGATCACTCGTAGCGATATTCTCACCAGATTGGCACGATTTCATAGTAGCCGTCACTTGTTGTCGCGTGCTGAAGGCGGGCTACCCTATCCCAATCATCCGCACCGTTGATCTGAAGCTTCCCACTCCTTTCATCGCATGCAAGCGTCCCTGAGATCCAACGAAAACCGATGCCGAACGAGACTGAACAGTGCAAACAAGTGAGTGCAAACAAGTGACCGTTAGATTGCACTACGATGACGATCATGGCATGCGTGGCTACAACGACCGTCATTGTGATGGTGTAGGGCTGGGAAACATCTGAAAGAGGGCCGGTGACGGTAAAGTGAAATAAGGTACGGAAGGTGGACAACCAACTCTTGGAAAAATCCAGCGGGTAAAACACCTTGTCAAGCGGGAGTAATCAACACGGGAGTGTCGCTCGAGCAGACTTGCCTTGATATAAAGAGGATCGCTACGGGTAACGCGAGATTAAGGGAAGAGTATCAGAGCCATGAACAGTCCAAGACGTGCTGGGCCTCGTCGGTGTAATCGTCAATAGGTGCCGGTACGTACGGCATGAGGTGCTCCGGAAGGTTGGGAACATGCATTGTTATGGTAGTGAAGGCTTGGAGAATAGCTAGGTGGAGGACAGGTGGAGGATCTCGAAATTAAGGCCCTGCTCTCCTTGAGCCAACCTTGAGCCGCAGACACAAAGCGCACGTGACCTCAATGTGGCGCCACAACCGCGTCCGCGCCCGAGCGTCTTTGGACTCGCTGTATTGAACGGTATTGCAGTTTAAACATGGAATGCTTCAGGAGATGGGCATTCTAGTTGTACGGTATGTGCATCCGGTTCTCAGTTCACTAGTAAGTCATTCTAATTAATAAATGCTGCCAACGTTTTGGACCGCCGTATGTTCAACGGACGACCCGCTGCCGGTCTCCGAAGTAGATACCTTGATCTCATCATGCCTTGTCGCGGATGGCTGCTTCAACATCGTGTGCAATGATCTCGTAGCAAAAGGATGGAATATATCTCATAACTACAGTCATCCAGCAATGTCCCCTCTCGATGATACGCTTTCCCCCACCGCCAGCCCTCCATGATATTGAATCTGCATCGTCTCACCGAGCTTCGCTTTCCACTTCACTGCAAAGTACTCTGTAGTGACAGGAGCCAAACTCCTCTAGAGAGCGAGATCAACTCGACAGTACTACTTTTTCCCTAGCGCTGACGTACTCTGTCTTTAGAAGCCCTTTGCGTTGCTAGTCGTCTTTATTGCTTTGACCCGAATGCGCGGCGCCGTCTACTACAGTCTTGTCTTCGTGTTTTCCAGTCACCGCTGCTTCTCGCTTTCATTGAATTTTCTCTTCTATGCCTGAACGATATCCGTTGTACGATGGCCGATCGTCTCTTCTTTTCCCTTCGGTGCCCTTTCTGTAGTCGTGGATCGCTCAGAGGAGGCTTCTGTAGGACCACCGACGGCGAGGAGGCGCCACGGAAGTTCGACAGCACAAAAACGAGCGAATAATTTCAGGTACGTTGCGCGGCCCACAATTCACGAATCCACGTTTGTTCTATGTTTACACTTGGCTCCAGACAATCGTCCGCAAGCATTTTTGCATTCACTGTTAATCGTACAAGCTCTCATTGGATCAAACGGTATGCTCTATTCCGGCATAGGTGTCTCGAAGACTGTGCATGGATAACGGCAGGGTATTTCATGGAAACCAAACCCACCTTCCTTTGTAGGTATTATTCAGATCTTTCGAGACACCCTCCCCCTTGTATGTAGCCTCCCTCCCTTCAACATCATCCTTCAGGACGAGGGTCGCGGTGACCGGCGTGAGGGTCAATTCAAATGTGCCCTTGGTGGGCGGATACTCGACACTGTAGCCGGTACCGATGTAGCGGGCGGCGCCTGTGTCAGATGTTTTGGCAGTGCCCGCGAAGTTGGTCGATGTCCACTTCAAGACCCCGTCTATGGCGACCACGTGCAACTCGTCTCCGGCGCCTGCCTCGATTGCCTCACTTAACTGCTCGATGGCTGCCGCCAATCTGGGATCCGAGGCTGCCTCGGCAAAGACATCAGCGGGAACTTGCACTGCCAATTCGTCAGAGCATGTACTGTAAGGATTATAATTGTGAAATCTGTGACTGTTACCTTCAGCTTCGGACATCGTAGTCGGTTGATCACCTACACAAGGTATCAATTGTGGACGAATATAGATCTCAAGGGGAACGAGAATGAGACGCGTACAAGTGAAATAAGGCAAGAGGAAATCTGTATGGTACATAGTGAATACGTTTCTGAATGGATGACCAGCGGACGACCTTGCTTACCACTAACACAACGTGAAAAGGGATGGGCAGGAGGTGTGCGTTTTACAGTGGCCGATTTTTGTATGTCTTTAACCATTTAGTTTCTCTCCCGTGGTTTGCCGCAAGGCACGGTCGATAAGGTGCAGAAATAACTGCACAAAACTGGCCAAGACTGGTACGCCGTTTCGGAGCCTTTTGTGATCACTTCTGCTCAATACACTCAGCAGACCACCAGAGCAGTGGTTTGGGCGTCTATCATGTCAACGGCTGAGGCCTGAGGCGCTGCAGTCGACTTCCCCGCTATCGCATCTTTCTATGTAGGCACGTCCCCATATCACCTCGCGCTCAAGTGATGTCCATTATGCCCCTGCCAATCAGAGACCCTTTCTTGTGTTTCTCTGTTGCACGTTCCAACCAATGACCTGCGGCGGAGGCTGCGTTACTTCGGAGGTATTATTGCGCCGTATGTTGGATTCGGAAATCCCATCCGATGCTGATCACCGTGCACTGCCGTGGCAAAGGGACTTCGAGAGGAAAGTTCGCACTATCTGTATTCATTGTCTGTTCGAATTCTAATCCCGTCGACAATGTTTAGACCACCGCATGCTGAACGAATGAGCCAATCTTCGGGGTAAAGCTTCTATCCAGATCCGGCGATTTCACTCATCCTGTTTGCCACATGGCCTTGGTTCCAGGATGGATTACACTCTTCGGCAACCGCTTTATTGGAGCAACATGTGCCCACTAAGACCTGCTTTGCCGTCTCCCTCCAGCATCCCGCTACTAGGCTATGCTGAACCTCCGAGCATCGTCTTCATCTACTTCCCTTGCACGCTTTCTGTTCACGCCACCTTGTCAGTAAGAGCACATCGGCTAGGGCATTCGCTTGTCTGCGCATAGTGATGATCGTGATTTGGAGGTTCAATTCGCTCTAGGCAATCACTTCTTAACCAGGACATAAGTTATTAGAGTTATACCATTTCGGACATTATCTCTAAGCTGAGCGCACCGCTTCGACCGTTCGCATCCCGCCCCGCCTTGAAGACAGATGAAGCTGCAAACGCGCTTTGCCATAAACAACCTCTAGTCTTGCATAGAGCTCACCAATATAAATAGTGTCGTAGAAGTGAGATGTTTCACTCTGTCCTTGCGTCATCGTGAGTGTTCCTGTAGAGCCATACTACACAGCGCTAACATCTCCAACAAACCTTCCCGTGGCAGAGACGGGCCTCCGTTATAGGTTCACACTGATAGGGAATGTCCTGATATTTGGAAAGTGTAATTCTCGTCACTGACGCTGGATGGGATAACTTTGTCACGGAACTATTGCCACAAGGTGAAGGTGAATTACCCGGAAGGGGAAGAAGCCGCCACTATCGCGAGCGCCCACCACATGAACGAGTCAAAATGCCGACTTACTGAACTCTATTCTTGCGACCAAGTGCATGCAATGATATTTGTACAAACTCTCATCGGGTCAAACGGTACACGCTACTGAGCCATTGCTAATTCCGACAACATCACGAGCCTCTCCAGTGGCTAGTAGCAGAACGCTTCAACCAAAGTAGGCCCACCTCCCTTTGTAAGTGTTGGACAGGTCCACCGAGACACCCTCGCCCTTGTACACCGTCTCCTTCTTATCGTCACCCGTCAGGGTGAGCGTCGCCTCAGTTGCGGTGAGGACCAACGTGAAACTGCCAGTCGTGGGTGCAAACTCGGCGGTAGAGCCAATGCCAGAGTAGTTGGCGGCGCCCACGTCGGAGGTTTTGGCGGAGCCTCGGTAGTTCGTCTTAAGTGTCCACTGCAGGACACCGTCTTTGGCAACCACCTTCAAGGGGTCATCTTTCCCAATGGGCTCGGCCAACACTCGCTTGACGGCATCGACCACTTTGGGATTGATACCCACGTTGGCAAACACGTCGGCGGGAACGTTCGCTGTAACGAACTCATCAGATCATGCGCTGCAATGATGGGCTAAAGCCAGGACAACTGGCGACATTGGTTACCTGGGTCAGCCATTGGGGCTTCTTACCTATGTAAAGAGTCAATAACAGAATAACGACTTCAAGGTCAAATAATACGCTTACGAATGAAATAACGGTTTGGAAACGACGAAGAGGTCTGCAGGGGCAGGATGAATATGTGCGCCGATGGTCAACCCGTGGATGAACGTGCTCACCAGTAACACAGAGCGAGCACGGATGTCCTTGAGGCACGAGCTTGACGGAGGCCTCTTTTATATCTTCGTCCATAGAGTCACTCTCATTGGTCAGTCGCAAGCAAGCAATCGACAGGACGTAGAGCCAGTTCCAAGGGAACAAAAAACCGTTTGTGAACACATTCGTGCTCACTCTGTTCGTAATTGATCGGCGGAGCACGCAGGTAATCCTCATGACCACAGCATTGCTTCCAGGACGTTGCGTGGACATCAGAGTTCATCTTTATTCCGGCCGTATGCGAATCGGTGGTTCATCCTGGCATATTCCAGAGCCAAGGTGTAGCTTCCATGGCTTCAGAAAAGAGCGCTGAGAGGCATGAGATCTGAAAGTGCTAGGGGTCTACGGCTGCCTGGATGGCTAAGCCGCAGTAGATCTAGGCTTGTTGCGGAGATTCCCTTGTCCGTTGAACATATTGTCGTCTGGTCAAGTTTGGAGACAACTTAAGATCCGAATACATTTACCGTGGAGCCACTGAAAGCAACAATATGAGACGGCCCCCTAGTTTATCGATGTTCCTGAGAATAAGTCAGCATGATTCTATATTCTTCGCAACCGCAGGTCATAGCCTGACGAGTTTACTTTACAGCGATCTACCGCTGGCGCATGCTGTCGTGATGCTGTCCGGATCGAAGTAAATGCTGATGAGATTGAACAATAAATGTCTGCGCCGTCCGGATTAGTTGCCGGATAACTTTCCGTCCGAGTGTCTGAGAAGGAGAAGAGCAAGTACATCCATAATCCTGAGAGACATTCGCAACTTTCGCCTGCAGTGGCGTCTTTCTACGGCAAGGACAATCTCAGTTTGCATAAGCTATTCTCTCAATGGCGAATCTTGGCCCGACTCGAGTCGCCATTCTTTTGCGATTAATCATCGTGTTCGTTCTAACCTGGAACATGGCACTGGTGAGTCAGACAAGACGAACACATTGGACACTATCAATACGCGAGAGACGCTGACCGAAGGGTTTGGCAGATGCGAGCATCATCTGAGCACGAGGTGATATGGGGAAGTTGTCCAGGAAGGTAAGTGTAGCGGGGAAGCTGAAGTGTCCAGCGTTTATCTAAAACAGCCGCCGAAGAGTGTAGCAGACGCCAGGCAATATGAATAAGTGTGCAACTGCGCAGTGGAAGACACGTCACGGAAGAAGTACTTATTTGCGTCCACGTTCGCGTCTGTCACACGTCACGTGTGAGTTAGTAACGCCAAGAAGCTTTAGGACATTTTCTGGTCGTTACCTTCAAGGCTCAAACGCTGGATTGCCAATCCGATATCATCATGCAAATTGGAACGGTATGTCGCGCAGCCTAGCAACTCCAGAGACTAGGAAGCGTGAGAGGAGGGCTTCCAATCGTTGGCGAGTGCCAGGCGCTACGCGTACTTGTCCTTACCCGCCAGGCTTGATATGCGGCATAACCTATGAGAGTGGTGGTGATGGAGAGCAACAGCGAAAACCCGGGTAGCCCAATGAGGCGCTCGACGCTAGGAGGAGGGCAGGAGATCGCTGCCCATCGCAGAGCAATGAAAAATTGCGTGCAGTCGAGCACGCGAATGCTCAGTGTCTTTGTTTGACAGTGACCGAACCTCGACACGTCATGAACAACAGCAAAAAAGAGAGAGACTGACGTTGCACACGACCCCTCATTATTCTCCAGGATAAGATTCGCTTTGATTGCTGTGAGGGTCAACGTGAATATGCCACGGGTGGGGGTGTAAGTGACGGGGGAAGTCGTGCTGGTGTAGCGGTCGAGGCCAGTGTTGGGAGGCGGAGCTCCTGCAGGCCTTCAGTGTCCACTTCATGGGCCCCATCTCTGGCGGCCACTTGCAAGGTGTTTCCGGGCGAAATGACGTCGGCTTGCATTGCTTGACGGCTGCTGCGAACCTGGGATCCGTGGCCGCCTCAGCCAACACGCGCGAACGTCTACTGCGGCGAACTCATCAGGACAGGCGTTGGAACAACGGGCTACAGCCAAGATATCTGGAGATATTGAGAATCGGTCCTGGACGTTGGGGCTTGTTACCTAGGTATAACATCCATCAGTGACGGGATATAGTCCTCAAGGCGAAAATGTGCTTACGAGTGAGGTAAGATTTTGAGAATGACGAAAACATCTGTAGGGAGCATGGAAAATGTGTCTGCCAGTCGACATCCTGTACGGGACGCAATGCGAATGAAGATGTGCTGGGGCTATGATCTCGATGGTGGCCTCCTTTATACCGTTTGTCCACCTAGCTTCGCTCCCGTGAGTGCCAGAAATGCCGCACCACCAATTCCAGTAAATAGGCTTTCTGAATACATTCTTGTACGTTCATGCATGACCCGACGGAGCACGCAGGCATTCCGAGTGGCCACAGTCTCGCTTTTACGACGTCGGAAGACAGCACCGAAGAATGCAGAGGAGACGTCACTGAATACCTGCAGTCAGAATGTGCCGAGGGCTGACAGATTTGCATGAAAGAAGACGCACAGGATAAGGCGATGGCTGCTTGTTTGAGTTCTCATTATGTCGGCCATCACAACAGGATGTTGACACTGAACATCCCTGACACGCTCAACAAGAATTAACAGACTCACTTCCAACGAAGAACCCGCGACGGTGACCAGGAGCCACGGACGTTCAGCAGCCCAATAGCCAGCAGAGGGTTTCTGATAGACGTTGAGCAGCGCATTTGATGAGTCTACGGTTCTTCTGGATCTCTGGTTGGCTCCAAATAATCGTGAGCATGCATTCTTGTTTTCACCCATACAAAATTTCATGAGGTGGAACGGTATGCGCTCCTCGGGCATGAGTATCTCGGGAGACTCGTTGCACTTCTCCAACGACTAGCAGCCGGATATTTCAGGGAAACCAGACCCATCTTCCACTGTAGGTATTATTCAGGCCCATCGAGACACCCTCGCCCCTGTACGTAACCTCCCTCCCTTCGGCATCATCCTTGAGGACGAGGGTCGCGGTGATCGGCGTGAGGGTCAATGTAAATGTGCCCACGGTGGGCGGATACTCGACACTGTAGCTGGTACCGATGTAGCGGGCGGCGCCTGTGTCGGATGTTTTGGCAGTGCCCGCGAAGTTGGCCACTGTCCACTTCAAGACCCCGTCTTTGGCGACCGCTTCCAAGTTGTCTCCGGCGGGCGACTTGTTGACTCTCGCCCTCAACTGCTCGACGGCTGCTGCCAATCTGGGATCCGAGACCGCCTCGACGAACACGTCAGAGGAAACTTGGACTGCAGCGAATTCGTCAGAACGTGTACTTGAGTGGTTATGATTAAGGAATTTGTGCATGTTACCTTCAGCTCCGGACATCGTAATCGGTCACCTACACAAGGCATCAATTATTGACGAGTGTGAATCACAAAGATGACGAGAATAAACACGTACAAGTGTAATCTAGACTTAAGGACCACGAAAGGTTCTGCAGGATACACGGTGAATATGTTCCCGGACGGATGGCCAGCGTATGAGCATGCTTACCACTTACAAAACGCGAAAGGGGATGGGCAGGAGGTATGGGCTCAGTGGAGGTCAATCTCAGTATGTCCTTGAAAGCATAGCTTCGCTCTCGTGGGTTTATCGCAAGGGGGGTCGATATGGCGCAGAAGCGAATCCAGGAACCTGGTACGCAGCAGCTCCCACGTATCTTTCCTGAGGCGCCGGATGCACTTCCCCGCATCCTCGTGGTTATGTCCATCAGCTCCACCATCCGTGCTAAACCAGCGACTCTTTCTTCTGTTCCTGATGAGTCTCTATTATGGTCGGTCGTATCCGTCGATGGCGGCTTCCTACGGCGGCGACTGTATTAACAATTATTGCTCATGAGGGATTTCCATTCGGTGCTAATCGCCATCCGTGAGGCACTGCTGTAGCAAACGAAACATCGGCTGCATATCGATATCCATTGTCCCCGTAGACGTGTTAGGGCACCACATGTTCATACTCCGCAGTAGAGGCTTCGAGTCCCGAGGTCCGCTTCTCTGGCCCATGCGAGCACCATCATTTGCATCTCTCCGGCGATTCCACTCGTCCGTTTTGCCCACAGTCCGATGGAGATCTTACTCGGGGATTGTCGCACGTGACATTCCCTAGGATAGATTGCCCTCTGAGCCACTGTGACGTAGTCTCCTGTAGGCAGACTACAATATAATCCTCATTGAGTGTGGAGGACGGGTTATAAAGGTCTGCTTGAATACGCGCCCCCTGAGCCGTAGTACACGATTTCGTCCGGAAGATGCCGAGCCCGGAAAGCATTTTGCTCGTTCATCGCCCACGTTCACTTTAACTACCATGCAAAATTTGCAAGATGCACATAGAAAGTGCTCTGAGCAAGTTCAAGAGGATATTCACTACGGAAGACCCACCCCAGCTCAATAACGAGCGCGCCACAGCTGAGTGTCGGAGTTGTGACCAGCCAATGGGACGCGTCAGGACGCGTCGAAGCGAACGGCAATTCCCGAAAGCGTGGTGTGACCCCCGCTAATTCAAGCAGAACTGTGACGTACTCCATCAGGAAAACCCAACTTTTACTTAAAGGTGTCCTTATATGACTTAAATGCACTTATGGACCTTAAATAAGGTTAAAAAGGACAAAAAGTCCATAAGTCATATTTCCTTAGAGACTTAAAAGTCGACTTTTGGGAACTTATGGGCCTTAAATAAGGCAAAAAAGGACAAAAAGTCGGAATAAGTCCCATAAGTAAAAGTTGGGTTTTCCTGATGCTCTCCGGTATGACTTGCTTTAACTTCTGCCTCCAGCATGCCTCTACGCTGAAACTCCATCGCCTTGGTCTACCTTCCTTGTCCGCTTAATTTCCTCGATGCTGAGGTGCATTCTGTGGTGGAGATTGTATCGTCCTTCTCCTTCGTCACCGGTCGGACAAGTCTGATCAAGTTAACTTCGTGTTCAAAACGAGGAGTGTGAACGTTTGCACGGGCGCCGCCTTTGAGGAGGACCTTAACGTATCCAGGAGAACAGCGGAGACAGCAGGATTACTTCACCTGGACTGAACGAAGCCCTCTTTTCTTCCAGGTGCTCATACCTTTCGGCCCGGGGTTGGATTCAGACCGCAGGCATTTACTGTCTTGATAAACAGAGGCGATGTCAACGTAGCTACGGTCGCACATTACTGCGTGTTATTTCAATGTTATATGGAAGAAATCCACGTTCAAAAACACAAACTAGCAGACGGTTCCAGATAGCTAATGCATGACTTGTGGTCAACGAACTCGTGGTTGAAAACCGGCACTGGAGGTCAGTGAGAGCGTATCGGCTTGGTCGTTCATTCGTCTTCAACTTGCACATACCGATGACCATATTTCTGGAGGTCAAATCCGCTCCACGCGATCACCTTTTGACCCCGACGTGACCTGTCCATACCATCTAGGACGTTATCTCTGCGCTGTGTCAACCTCGCTAGGAAGATTGAAGATCGACAATCACGCAGCCGCTCTTCGCCATAAGCAAGCTTCGGTCGCATATGAAGCTCACCAAGGCAACTCCTGTCTGTTATGTCTTCGCGTAAGAGTGAGATTTTTTGCTCTACCCTTGCGTTATCGCTAGGGGTCTTGTAGAAGCATATGCGCCCGCTGTCGGTTTCATTGAGACGATTCAGAAGGACTCTTTCGAGCTTCTCTTCGGACAACTTGAATGCCAATGAAGCTAAATGCACGCCGGATGTAGACAGCGCTGAAATCTCCACCGAACCTGCTGTAGCAGAACCGGGATTCCGGTACAGGTTCACCTGCAACAACTAATAGGGAATCTGCTGACCTTTGGAAAGTGCAGTTCTTCGCGCTGACGCTGAATAGGATAACTTCATCGTGGGACCCTTACCATAAGGGGAAGGTGAGATGCCTGGAAAGGAAAAAAGGAGCAGCGAACGTCCGCCACATGAACGAGTCACAATCCCGACTTGTTGAACTCTGTGATCTATCTTACGACGAAGTGCTTAGCGCCAACGATACACTGATATTTGTACAAACTCTCGTCAGGTCAAACGGTACACGCTACTGAGCCATAGCTAATTCCGACAACATCATGCGCCTCTCCAGTGGCTAGCGGCGGAACACTTCAACCAAGGTAGGCCCACCTCCCATAGTAAGTGTTGGACAGGTCCACCGAGACACCCTCGCCCTTGTACACCGTCTGCTTTCCATCGTCACCCTTTAGGGTGAGCTCCGCCTCAGTTGTGGTGAGGACCAACGTGAAACTGCCAGTCGTGGGTGCAAACTCGGCGGTGGACCCCGTGCCGGAGTAGTTGGCGGCGCCCACGTCGGAGGTCTGGGCAGAGCCTCGGTAGTTCGTCTTAAGTGTCCACTGCAGGACACCGTCTTTGGCAACCACCTTCAAGGGATCACCTTTCCCAATGGGTTCGGCCTTCACCTTGTTGACGGCGGCTACCACTTTGGGATTGGTACCCACGTTGGCAAACACGTCGGCGGGAACGTTTGCTGTAACAAACTCATTAGATCATGCGCTGGAACAATGGGCTAAAGCCAGGACAACTGGCGACACTGGTTACCTGGCTCAGACATTGGGGCTTCTTACCTATGTAAAGAGTCAACAACAGAATAACGACCTCAAGGTCAAACAATACGCTTACGAATGAATAACGGTTTGGAAACGACGAAGAGGTCTGCAGGGACAGGGTGAATATGTGTGCCGATGGTCGACCCGTGGATGAACGTGCTCACCAGTGGCACAGAGCGAGCACGGATGTCAAGTTGAGGCCTGAGCTTGACGGAGACCTCTTTTATATCTTCGTCCATAGTCACTCTCATTGGTCAATCGCAAGCGAGCAATCGACAAGACGTAGAGCCAGCTCCAAGGGAACAAAAGACCGTTTGTGAACACATTCGTGCTCACTCCGCTCGTACTTGATCGGCGGAGCACGCAGGTAATCCTCATGACCACGGCATCGCTCCTAGGACGTTGCGCGGACATCGATGGATGCAGGGAACATGTCACCGAATACATGCGGTCGGAATGCGCATGTACCGACCCAACACTCTCACGTTCTTAGATGTGTGCCGCCATTGATGATATTAGAACATATACGGCTGAAGAGGTGAAACCAGACCAACGATCAATTTCGTGTTCTGCGAATATTCGAGCGCTTGACTTTTTTTCTCGTTATTCGATCAAATAGCGAACCGAGGGGTGAAGAAGCAGGCTGCCTCCGTCGTCCTAAGCGCTGCCGCGAACGAGATCCTGCGCCATGTTGACGTTTGAAACCTTGACCTCGACGCCATCGTCACGTTCTCGCCTGCAAGTTCAATCATCAGTCCGCCAGTTAAGACGCTGGTAGATAATACGGGGCATCGAACATACTAAAAACTCTGACGGTTCCCAGAAAAGATGTACGATGCACGGAATTTGCGACTAGCACTTATTGGTCCTCTCGATACAATTGTCGAGAACGAGAACAATAGTGAACCATTCACTCAGCTCCATAGACCAATATCCACGTTGCTTCATTGGGTGAGGCGGTACCGATATGGTGACCTGTGTTCAATCACTCAAACTGAGATCCGTAGATTCCTATGTAGCGAGCGGCACGAGTGGAGCGTGTTCTGAGATAGTCCAGATCATCGATTCATTTTCTATTGCCGTTATATGTCTGCGCCATTGTGGTTCCTTAATGAATCAGGAGATGCGCACCTCAGTAATGGTGCTCACATCTGTGAACCTTCTTGCATTATTGACAACTTGAGTATCGATGTATGTAGCCTCGTGAACAGGGGTTGCCGCGATGTCAAACGGATGCGTAAGTATTCGGGAGCGTGAGAATGCCTAGTCATCATCACGAATTATGTTCTTCTACGAACAACATTCACGAACAGCATTGAGGTACTAGGGCGGCGTTCACTTGCACCCAGGCTTGTTGAAAATGGTGGAGGAGACATCCAGTGATCCGGCGGAACGTAAAAATTTGCCACACCTTAAAGGAAAGATCAGCTTGCTAACGACATACTTGAAGCGCAACATGGGCCTACCCACGAGCCGCACAAAGTCACGGTATAAGCTGTGGAATCTATGCCGATCTGCCGATCACAAAATACGCCTCGATGAGTCACGTGCAGTGCCGTTCCTTCGAGTGCTTTCTCTTAATCTTTCTGTTTACGGTCAAACTCCGACATTTTGGTAGGTGCAAAAAGGATTGTACTGGCCATTACAGCTGATAGATATGCCTCAGGAGTCGATGTTCTCGTAAGTGCAAAACTCGCTGACAATGGGTACGGAACTGATGATTTTCTAGGCTTCTGCCGGCGCGAAATCACTCGGAGTCCATTGCATGATTGCGCTGTATGTCTCAGCTTCCCCGCTATGTTGCCTTCTGGACATCTGCCTAGGTGCCTCGTGTTCATGTGATGCGCGTACCTGTCCAAGCCTATGGTCAGCGCCTCTTTCTAGGTGAGATGATTCATCTCTCACGATGGCGTCTTCTTGCGGCAGCAATTGTATTAGCATTGCACTCTATACACTTCCTGCGCCTGATGTAACTAATCAATTATCCATAGCTAATCGTTGCGTTTTATGCTGCAAAAACGAGGCACGCGACCGAGCAGCAAAATCTCAGTACAGAGCCTCTTTTATTTCCTGTTCTTCCGTGCAGGTCTAATTTTGCGACCGAATATTACGATGAACGGGACACTGACCCCCTAGACATTGCTGGTTTCTGACCGATTTAGACAATATCACAGAAACATCAGATGTGCGCCAGAGGTAGTGTGGGCCCCTGATATTCACTGGGTTCAACCCCCGATTTCTCATGCACTATCTGATCCCGTCGACATTTCGAACCGCCCCATGTTCAACGGAATGAGCCAATCTCCGGACTGGGTGGTTCAATGACAAGCTGCCAAGCTAAGAGCCCCATCTCTGACCCCCAGCGTCGTCCTGATTTCAAGTGCTGTACTGCTCTCAGCCCTGCATCCTCATTCACACATCTCTCGGCGATTTCACCCACCCGGCCTACCCGCAATCAGAGAATGAGCTCTAGGGACATTGTGCGCATGTTTCCTCAGCCTCACGTTGGGATGCGTTCACCGCGACCATGGTCGCACGGCCATTTACCCTCGTGGTGGCCTGCTTTGTCTTCTGTCGCCGGCATCCCGAAATGCCGGACCACCATCGCCTCATTCGAGCTTGCTCTCTCACTCTTACTTCCTAACCATTCCGTCACGGACTGCTCACGACTGGGATCATGTTAAGGAGGATGCCATCATGTCTCGGTGCTGAACTACGTCACCTATCTAGGTTTATTCACCTCATATGCAGAGAGGGTAATATTGCGTGTTTAAAGTAACAGCATCGAATTCACTCCTTGAGTCAGGATAACAGGAAGAACGCTAAGACACCCTCCGCTGGAACACCATTCTGCAAATGTTCTCTTGGAAGCTCACTTCTCCATGGGTATTGTCGATGAGGAGCCGCAAGCGTTCAGTATCGCAGTACAAACCAAAGGCGATGCCGATCTGACTACGATTACTCGTCACGTTCCGTAAGATGAGTGTTATTCAGGGGGATCTATATCGCGTGTATGGAACTCTAAGCGGCTAGATCGCCTGCATAGGATCATCTCCCTTTTTCCCTTCGACGCCCCTTGTCCAGTCGAAGCCCAAGCCCTTCCACTCAGGTCGCGTCCATTGATGGAGCGCCTCCACGGCGGCGGAACCCCAGTCATACGAATCGTGCTCGGAAAAGTCTTCGGGACCATCAACAAAGATCGCAAGACCCTGGTTCTGGGCTGCAATGAACTTCTCCTCAACCCCGTTCGAGATAAGATCCCGTAACGGCGAGAAGAAACCACGGACGTTCAGTAATACAACAGCTAGAGGAAGGTCTCAGCCAGAATGTCGTATGTTGTGTAATCCAAGAACTTACGCTTGTTCTGGATGCCCAGTTGACTCCATGTTATCGCTTCGAGTACCTGAGACAACTAATGAGTACCACATCGCTCGAGCTTGAGTTCATATCACCTCTTCAAATGTCCCAAATCCACCTGGAAGACCAACGAAGCCACCAGCGCGCTTCGCCATAAGCATTTTCCGGTCGTGCATAGAGCTCACCAGGATAACTTCTGTCTTTTATATGTTTGGATTAGCATAATGTTCCACTAGATGACATTACATTGTCATTAACACCCCGAACTTAAGCGGCCTACCTGCTCACGTCCCGCTTCATTGAGAATGACTTTTGATCCATGGTCCGCTTCCTCGACTTTGCCTCCCTCTCCTCCTGCGGCAACCATTGCATATGGCACAACACCAGTGACTCTGCCCCCTTTCTCTAGCACTGCCCCGGAGACTATGCCCATAATTCCCTTATATCCTCCGCCATAAACTAGCGAATGGCCCGAAGTCGCCAGAGCATGTCCGAGCGCTGCGGAGAACGAACTCGCCTCTCAGTTTTGTCTGCAGTTTCAGCGTTTCACCGAACTCAAAGACTCACAAGACGCCGCATGGCGAAACGCAGGCTGTTTACCCAGCGAAGAACCGCAGTATACTGCTACTGCTGCGGTAGGATCCATGGTTTGGGACTCAGGCTTTCTTGATCCTTCACGCTATGTGTATAAGAGTGTGTGGAAGATATCGATTTCCCGCACCGTGCTCGGCGTGTGTTATGCGTGCACCTTGCGTGCCCGTGCTCAGGCGAGTGACTCATGCCGCATCTGCGATCACGATACGGCCATCATGATAATGCGAGACAACAGTAGTATGAGAGGAGAACTTCAAGCAGGGAGATCGGGCAATCCGAGTGATGACGCGGTCAATTTGAGAGTACTTCAAAGCTGAAGCGCTGAAGGACGATGCGCAAGTTAAACAGTGTAGAGTCACGGTTATGGACGTTGGACTTCGGTCCCGTACTGAAATTCGTAACTAATTCGAGGAATACATACTTACTCTACGTATCAGCTTGAGGAAACAATTGACGTCGATAACATTGGTCCTTCGCCTACATTGGTAAATCGCCCTATCGGTGCCTACTGCGCAGGCATGAGATCCCAACATAATGATTACATGACTGCCGCATGTATGCTTCAAGGGCTGATGCATACGTTCACACAGGAAGACTTACTCACTTGGACGTCCAATATTAAATGGGTCGGATACCGAGTTCCCAGAGATGATATCTCATAACCCATTCCCAGTCTGCACATCCGAAATCTTCGACAGTTGCAAACATAACCTTCCGCAGAGACCATGGAGGGGAGAGCTCTACCTCATCATCCACTCGCTCAACGCGCATAAAGTTGTCGTTCTTGCTAATTAATTCCAGGTCTCCAAGGGCATAACAGAAGTCATGCGGAGTAAGCCACGTTACCCCGTGTCCGGAGAAATGCAAGAATCGCAGCTTTGCGCATCGGGTGAACTGTAAATTGTCACCTCAATGTAGGAGTTGTTTGTAAGGTAAAATAAAGACATACCAATTGGATCCAGTGTGTATCATCTAAAGTCTTCAATATGTGCGTTCCCAACCGTAACGCTGTGAGGTTGGGTGGGAGGTATTCTCGAAAGCATGAGAGATCGTCGGGCCAGGCATCCTCCACTGACGACTCCAACTGGAATCCCAGAACTTTCAAATGCTCCAGTTTTCCAACCGCCGATAAGACAGGAATGAGCCGTTTCCAATCACATGTCACAAGGAGATCTAGTCGTCGAAGTTTCCATTTCTTTTGGACGAAGACGGTGAAAGCATCTATTTGCTCGTCTGTCAATGTTCTCCCAGGATTGATTATTTTGAGAGAAGTCAGATGCGGGAGCGCCTTTGGATCTGACTTAAATATCTGAAAGACTGTCTCACCCGCGAGAGGAGGTGGCATAATAGTAAGCGACTCCAGCTGTACGCTATGGTGGAAGAGGAGTGATATGTTGTCGAGATGCGTCGCGTGCACAAGCTCAAGGTGTGTCAGGTCTCGCAACACTCGAATCGGAGACATCCAGAGCAAATCACCATAGACGCAAAGCTCACGCAATGTCTCTGCATTCGCTTCCACCAAGTGCTCGCATGGAAGCAAGGATCTGACCTTGTCTGGTGGAGTTGAATGGCCAAAGTCCCAGTAAAATGAGATAGAACGCAGGCGTTGCAACTCATCGAGAGGTGGAAGGGTCGACGGTGGAATACTGCGACACTGATGATTAAGTATGGGCTAACGATTCCAGGAAGTACTCACGAGACATCAAACATCTCTAGTGATGGACAGGATTCAACTAGGGTCATCACAATATCTGCCGGCAGCTTGGGATACATCCCGCGCCACACGAAGCCGCGAAGGTGACGAAGCGCTCTAAGGGCTTCCATGAGACAACCTACATGCAGACGGGAGGAAATCAGAACTCCGGAGAGAGTATAAAAATTAACTAACGTCGCTCGAAGATAGCTGGTCCTGCGCTCGTGTACGAATGCACTACCAATTTTTTGACGACTCGAGCAAAAGAAGGGTCGGTGCTGATTCGATGGAGAATATCCCACGACATAGATGACAGAAGGCTCGTTAACAATCTATCCTGGAGAGAAATCCGCTCAGATGGAACTGGAAAGCCGGGAACCCATGCGCCAAAGTAGATCTTCGTTGTGCGGAAAAGACGAGACAGAGCAAGGTCATGCATTTGTTTCGAGACAAATAGACATATGCGATGGTCACTGGTCGATAGTAAGTCAATGATTAGCTGCCATATTTCGACTGGTATTCCACTGTGGTCAAGCATGATGTAGTGCAGAGACTTGGAGACTTCTGTTCGAGTGCAACTATTCATAAGTCACTCGGCGAGGTTCAGATTTGGGAGTGAATCACGTATACGTAAGCATCCTCGCCCCTCGGAGTCCCCTCGGTCTTGCATGTCCGAAGACTTCCTTGTAGCGACGACATATAACCGCCACAGAATAGCAGTATGATGGAACTGTCATATTCGTTCTTTGCTTTCGCATCACATCATCCTCCTAAGCAGTATTCGTCATGACGACGTTTAGAAAGGCGACTTTCGATGCAGCGATCTACGCGTCAGGTAAGTTTCGAATGAGAATAAAACGTATTCAGACATTGTGGAATGGTCGGGATATCGATCAGACGCTGATGATACACCACAGCAAGGCCGACGTATCCTCGTCAACTGTACGACTTTGTCTTCCAGTATCACGAGCGTGGTGCCACCGCAAGATGGGACCTTGCCCTGGACCTTGGGTGCGGAACGGGTGCGTGTACTCGCGATTAGCGCGACATTCTAGTGTTTGTGGAATGCGTTGCCGTAGGACAAGCGACGCACGAGCTTACGCCGTTCAAGCGCGTTATTGGAGTTGACCCTAGTGCGCGCATGATTGAGCGAGCGAACCAGGATATCAAAGAAAGCGGTCTTTTTGACCAGGGTCGCCTTCAATTCATCCAATCACCTGCAGAGAGTCTAAGCTTCGTAGGAGATGGAAGCGTGGACTTGATGGTGTCTGGTATACTTTCTTGTACCAGAGTGAGACGTTATATTGATTGTGTTGTATAGCTCAAGCTGCCCACTGGTTTGACTGGAAGATGCTCTGGACTGAGTCTGCGCGGGTCTTGCGAAAGGATGGAACTCTCGCTGCTTGGGTAAATATACTGGTATTATCGTTTGTGCAGACTGTGACGCCAATCCATTCTGCAGGGCTATTCCGAGTTCCGTGTTACGGACTGCCCGGATGCAACTCCACTCATCCACCAGTATGCTCAAGGAACTGACCCTGAGAACTCGCTAGGTCCGCACTGGGAGCGACCCGGGCGCACCATCGTGGATAATCATTACCTCGATATCCCCCATCCATCAGAAGTGGTTCCCGGAAAGTTCAGCGATTTTGAGCGCGTCTTCTTCTCAGGTGTGCAATACCACTGTCTCTCTCCGCAACTAACCGAACTAACGCGAGGACTGCACAGGCGATCACCACCCCAGCTTGCCGTCTCCCCGTCCAGTCATTCTGCGGAAGACGACAACGTGGGCCGGGCTGATGGCGTACCTTCGCTCGTCCAGCTCCTTGCACAACTTCCACGAGCGCTACCCTACTGATCTCGAGCGGCCCGACGGCGATATCGCCGTGCGCTTCCTGCGCAGGCTGAAGGAGGCAGTTGCGAAGAAACAGGGAAAGGAAGGACAAGAGCTTCGGGACGAGGAGGAGGTTGTCATTGAGTGGCCGCTCGCACTCATCTTGGCAAGGAAGGCGTGAGGTGTAGATGCTACGTGGCCATGGTTGTGATACTTGTACGAGTATGCGGTTAGGACAGGAATGGCGAGTCTCTCTCTGGCGGTGAAACGAATTGCGACTGATTTTAGTTGTCGCTGAGTGACTGTGCGTAGATGATGTTCTGGATCTTCCTTGTAAGCATTCGTGTCCAAGCGATATCTCCTCAACATGCATATGAGGCTGTTGTTGCATAGATTTCCCGTTGGAGGCTCGCAACGAAGGCCTTGCTCATGTTCACTTGGTTATCGATTGCCGGGTCGTATCCGCAACTCCAAAAATGGCCCGCCCCTCGTGATGGCAAATGGCTGACCATGTTGATAGCTAGTTGTGATCCAAGCAGGGTTCTTCATAGTGTTCTCAGACCGCATGGTTCCTCAGAGTGAAAGCAAGACTATTGTTCCGACGTGGATTCTTCAACGTTTCGTCCTCTGTTCCAACGTTTTATTCGCTCTGTCAAGTACCCCTCATGGATTCTATGGTATCCATTCTTTATCGTTATTTTTCATTGAGCGGCAGCTGCTCTCCTGCAGCGGGTGCGTCGCACGGTTTCTGTTTCCTTTAAGAAATTCGCCAGAATCGTCCGTGGGTCCCCCGATCATAATGGCTGTGCGTGCTCTGTACTTGTGCATAAGCTGTCCATCTTCCTGACAAAATTTGCCATACACGAAGATCCCTTCATTGCGTCTTGGCAGAGCAGCCTTCAGTGAGTTTTGCGGACGTTGCGATCACGCTGACTCTAACATCTCCTAGTACGGCCAACCCTACCCTTTTATCCCTACCCTTTTATTTTACCTGTCGTCGATGATCAACATGCATGTTGTCCTCAGGATATCGTTCAGTGCTCCCTTCGCGTTTTCCCTCCCTGTGGATACACGAAAAAGGCCCTGACGGGCGACCTCCCGCCGGACGCCGCTGCGACGAGCATCTGGATATCTCCCGGCTCGCTGGAGCCCTAAGACGTGCATCGTCTCGGGAGGGGCGGAGCTGACCCTGGATCTGATGCGGACGATGCGCAACAGGATGCGGGCGGACATGGGCGAGAAGCAGGTGACGTACATCGAGATGGAGGACGCATCAGACGACTTCTTCATGCTGTCCTTTTTTGAGCCTGAGCGCACGAACATGCTCACGGCGTCTGGTCACCGATTGGATTGGGAAGTTGTGGATGCGGACAACGGCAGATCGCACCCGGAGATGATATAGTATAGACTGCTAAATCCCTATATACAGACCAAGCCACACTGGCAGTAGCGTTACTCTGGTACATACTCACGGAAACGCTGGCTACGCGCCTCCTCGTTCTGGCGTCCAAGCAGCGCACCAAAGAGGTTGTGCCACCCGTTCACCGAGTAATGCAGGAAGAAAGCGAAGATCGTCAGTACACAGGTGATGGCCGTGCACATAAGGGCGAAGGCTCCAGCGGGGACAGGCTGGACATTGAACTGCGGCGTCGAATCGGCCGTCCACGAATAATGCAGAACGATGATGGACACGTTCAGGAGACAGAGCGCAGCTGCGACCGCGATGACGGACAGGTAGATGAAGATACTGAGGAGTAGCGACCAGACTTGCGGGCTCGCGAACAGCGTTTCGCGGCTCCTGGTGGACGCCCATTTCAGTAGAGAAAGTCCGGAGAGCGGAATTATGAAGCCGCAGTTGAAAAGTCCCCAGGAGTAGCACATGAGGCCCAGATTTCCCCGTGTTGCACTGGTAATATATCGTAAGTGGTCCTCTTAGACTCGAAGACTCCACGGAAGGTCTTTACCTGAAGATAGTCGTATACGTCAGGCCGGCTCCGACGAAGGAGATCTGACAAAGTGCATTCATGAGATGTCTGTGAATATCCAGGGATTTCTGCAGAAGTCGCAGTGTAGAGGTAAGCAATGAGTACGAACGAACTGGTGTCCGATGACTTGCCCTTGCCCACTCCGTCAGGCCATGATATCCCGTGCAATCGGCAGCTGCTTGGGTCCTGGCCAGGAACGTCAATTCGTCGTAATCTCTTTGCAGTGCCTCTAGCTTCAGATGTGATGTAAGGGTAATGTGCCAATGGTGCAAGCACTACAAAGTACTCACATGTTCCCTGAGACGCTCCGAGTCTTGAATACTGCGGCGATACTCTTGAACTTGAACTGCTTCAGATGGTGACGTCGTGGAGCTAGGAGCTGTGCGCCATGTCTGTACATCCTCAGCTATGGGAAACGCGAGGAAAGCGGGTAAGATATACCTTGAGGTTCTGACGCCGTAGGTCGCGAGCTATTTTGATCTGACAATGATATGAGAATGACACAATACCGGCTCTGCAAAAACCGAGCGTCTGACCAGCTCCCTGCAATGCACAATTTCCTCTTTAATTTCCTGCACCATTCGCTGGCCCTCCTCCACGTATTCTTGCTGTGGGGAAGTCAATAAAGACGGTGCATGGCATGATGAGCAAAGACAAACATGTTGCGGAGATCTCTTGATACGTAAGGATGGCAACAGCACCTCTTCCAAGCATTCTACACGATGAGGGTGAATCCGCGCGAATACATGGATACTAAAGAAGTATTTACCTGAGACGGACGCAGGAGTCACGTAGTTGACAACCCCCATCGTGGATCTTTGGCAATGCATCGCCAGTCGCACGAACACTAGTCTATCTAGGACATTGCGATCGGACGACAATCCCTGAAGCGCAACACTGTTGATCTAAGACTGCAAATGGACGGCGTGGACGCTCACCCGTCTGATGAGTATTTCGATAAGTGTCAGGAGCGCAAGCATCGTGCTCACGAGAATGTACGGGACTAGCAGGATTGCGTAGATGGATACCACTAACACGCAAGCTAGAAATCGCAGGCTGGGAAACATGGACCGAGATGGCCTTGCACCCACGACTTTGACATCAGCGTCGACTGAAGCCTTCTCAGCGCCGGATTCGGTGATTGTGGTGGATTGTGCCCCATTGCTCAGCGTCGGACGATGAGATGCGTAGTCGATGGGGGAGTGAGTGGCCATGGAGGAACATGATGGAAGGACGGGCAAGCATGCCGGCTTTTGAGTGACATTAGCAGGAATCGGCAACAGGGATGCACGAGGCAGAAAGCGCGCGACAACGATTTGCGGGCATTTGTTCTCGGATCTTTGCGAATCAATGAGGAACGTCGGAATGCCAAGAACGACGTGAATTAGCGCAAGTACTGGCTGGAGAGGCGGAGAGTGGAGTACCGCGTGAAGTGCGCAGGGATCCGATAGAGCTCAAGGCTATGAATTCTAACTGCCGTTCACCGCCACTTTATTGCGACGCCAGACAGACAGACAGACAATTAAAATTCTGACTCCACCGCCGTTGTTTCTCGAATAGCCATCAAGCTTCCCTGGTAGTACAGAGGTAATTGGGGTCACGAGGAGCGGGCATCTGGAGAATGTCCAACATTGGGAAGGAGCTGGGCGAAGGACAAGCCTGAGACCATCAACAGTTACACTTGCTGTAAAGCTGTAACCCAAATTACTGTGCGGTATGCAGTGGCACTTAACTTGCCAATTGAGAACTTCGTTGTTGTTCGGACAGCCCTTGAGCCGCACAGCTTTACTAGACGCGTAGCACGTGCTTCGCGACCCTCTCTCGATCACGTCACTCGGTAAGTAATATGTCCTGCGTACAACTCAAATAGTAGAAAGTGTGCAAGAGCGCCGAGGCAAACCGTTCAACTGGCATCGCGCAAAGCCGTATTTCAGAGAAAGTTCATCTAAATCCGCTTAGATTACTTTGTCAGAGCAATGGTTACGTACCTCTACACATCGTAAAGATCAGTTTGCGACAAACGGCGTACGAACAGATTCTTGCAGCAAGTGCGGCTGGATAGTTTGTGTTTGATGTGTTCGATGCCGACTCATTGCTCTCAACAACGGTCCGTTTTGCGGCCGATGATTGGCATAAGCACGCGGCCAGCACAATACCGCACAAAGACGTCTGGGAAGATAACCGCTCATGAATGCTCCACTCGGTGGTAAATCGGCGGATCGGGTGTCCGTATTTAGCGACCAAAGAATGCCTCGTGTCATGCATCGATCTCAGTGAACCTTGCTAAAAGCAGAATAGCAGGGAACCCCGGACACCTCATGCTGGCGGATTGTCGTAATTGCGGCGCGGAGAACGCGGGATAGACACTGGGCGCCAGACGGCGGTATTGGCCTCCTGCAAATAGTCCAAGATGAGTAGTAGAACCGGCTCCGTTTCTTTCTGCACCGCCAAGGGAAAACGAGGACCACCGCACGCGGCGAACCAGGGGCCAATGTACTCCGTTCGAATGTCGGAGGTATTGACACGATGAACCCGGGTCAACGCTAGAAAGACGGTTCACCGCTGTAAACACGCCGATGAGTCTTAGCTTTGGGCAGGTTCGTAACACGTACACGGGTATCATCTTCCTGCTAGAAACCACGAGGCCGCTGCTATCATGTTTAGCAAGACCTCCCAGTGAAGAAACGCACACCCGAGCGCTCAAAGTAATGTGAAGTGCTGCGGGGCGGCCGCCGATAATGCATGACTGAGGCTTCGCGAGCGTCCAGTACCACGGTGACATTCTTCCCTGCATCGCAAATCCATCGATATCATCAGGCACATAGAATGATTGGATACGAGTAAGAGGTGAAGGCGCTAGAAAGACACACGTATACATTCATAACGGAGAGCATCAGGCATCAGGCGTTCAGCAACACCAGTCAGCTAACAAGGCGCAGCAGCTCCTAAGGGCAAATTCCCTGTCACGCGCGTTGTTGAAAGTAGGGATGAGTCATGCTGAGGAGGGCGGCGTAGAAGTCTAGCACTTGTAGCTAGAGAAGCAACATCGGTGAACAAGGACTCACACACGGGCGGCGTTCAGCCAGCAGCTTGAAATACTCTCTCCGGACACGTATACTTGGATATCTTGCGGTTCGCTTGATGCAGAAAAATGCTTGGGTAACCTGTCAAGAAACATCGCTTGGGGCATATGGAAGACCGGCATCCCGCAGTATAAAAGAGACAGGATTACTGTGGGGGTCATGAACTACGAGGCCGACATAGTACAATGATGCATCTGGCTGTGCCAGTGTAGAAGAGCAGGAGTACAAGAGAAGCACGAATCGGGAAGGTGTTGGTTCGGATTAGCGTTGTCATGAGATGAAATCTTCTCACGCTATCACAGATTCAACCTTTTCGGAGTGCGCTCTCTGAGTCTCTGTCGAATACCTACATACATCATGCAGTTACTCCAGGACGAACGTAGTGCAGGTGAGAATATGCTTGGATGATGCGCATTTTTCCAACTGCCATATAGTATGGGTATGTTGGGCGTCCATAACACCACCTTGATGCCAAAGCAGGATATGTTGTTCCCCGTCACTCGCAAACAGATTTTTGAGCATGAGTCAAGCAAAGCCTGCCTAACAGCACATGCACGAAGCTCGCATTTCGCCTTGTGCGGGCAGATCTTACCCTTGTCCACAGCTAGTGGTCCGGCAGTGTAGCTCTCAGGCTGAGTCTCGTGTTCATTAATTCTCGAAGCTCTCTCTAAGAAGACACGCCGTTCGTGTCTATCTGGACTGAGTTTCTCTGGGTTGGCCCGCGGTTATCGACTTCTCCGGGCATGCATCGATCGTGTGTTACAAGACACGAGGTCATCACACCTTGTCCCTTTGGAGGTCGGCACCTCTGCGGGATTCTTGCGAAATCCTGCTTTATACTTTTGTAATGGATTCGGCACTCAGTGCCAGCAAGCGGCCACTACTTCGTGAACTACTAGATATCGTTGCCGTTCCACTATATCCCAGCGGAGGAATCATTACCGTAGGCCCATTGAAATATTGGGACATGATATTGATATTGGACTGTCATACTTTGCGGATAACATATTGGACGTCATCCCTGCACGAATATTTACCGGGCGGAGGTATGTTCGAGGCTATAGTACGTGCACGAGCTTGACGTTCCGCTGATATGCATTCCTGTGGGTGCCTCGTCAAGTTACTACTTCGCATGACCGGCGATGGTTAGCGTCGTGTGACCACTATAAAGCAAAATTGTATATGTGGGACGTACAAACAGGAGCGATGTAGTTTGTCGTACGAAACCTGGTCAATCCGGGTGAATAAAATCCAAGCTTTAATTCCGTAGCAGTATCACTGAAATACTTGTCCGGTCAGTGCTTAGTGTTTGCTTTGGCCAGGGGAGCAACAGTCTCGCCACAGGCAGCTACGAAGGCACTGTCCAAATGTGTACGCAACCATAATTCTCTGCGTCGTGACTTGTCCTCACAAGGAGTATGCATGTCAAGGAAGTTCACCACTCAGGTTGCTGATGAGCAGCATCTTACTGTGCCGCCGCGTTTGAGGTGACTGCGCCATAACCTCCTGAATCAGATATGCAATCTCTTCTGGATTTTGCCTCAGCCGTTGACCGAAATGATCCTCCCGCGGAGACAGAAGTATAGCAATTGCGACCGCTCCGATATCTCAACTTCATCCGGGTGAGTTTCACACCATACCGTCTGTGCAATGCCTTCGCTGATTCGTATAGTTCCTGCAAGTAACGGCTCCTCGACCTAGATGAGCCGCCTTCCTTTCCGTAGCTTACTGTTCGCTGTTGACCCTTGTGAAGTTGAAGCGCCATTGATATAATCAAAGACAGGACTGAAACTGACAGATACACAGTGTTGTCCGTACATGTACCGCCATTTCTCTTCGGAGCAGGAGTCGTTCAGGAGTACATTCACATCATGTCTCTTGGAATCGTCATTTTGTCACTCAGGCCTTCAGGGCTTACGCTATTAAGCGCTGAGCGTCGTTGGCTATCAATATCTTTCGCGCGGCTCGTACTTTGACAAGTAAGCGACATCAAGTAGAGCAACATAGGAACGAGAAATGCAAAAAGAGAATGCAGGACCAGCTCCGCAGGTGCGTAGTAAGATTTCGCGGCAGTTCGTGATGTTTGGCGGGTACAAGTTAAGTGATGTACGCATGGAGACACTGGAGAGTGATCGCTTCGTATGCAGTGCGGATACATGTTTCCTTCTCCTAAACACAATCTGTGAGTTAGGTGCAACGCTGCATAGAACACGATTAGAATATTACAGCAACTAAAAGGGCCAAGGACGTACTGCACGATGGTTTCTGTAGGTGAAGAACATCAGGATCCGTGTCCTTAACGATATCCTCATCTCTCGTATATCGTCGCAGGTTTTGCGGATATTCTCCTCTAACTCGTTATACCGAACGACGAGCACGCAAAGTATCCCCGAATCGTCCTGCATCTTTTCGTTCTCTCGAATAGTGCGAAGATCTTCCTTCTGTTTTGCAAGTAGCTTCTGTAGGGTGTCGTATAACGTTTTCCCCGCCTCAGTTTGATTCAGGCGCAGTCTGAGATCCACCATCTCTTCCTGAAGCAGAAGAGGGCTTGGCATAGAGCCCCTCACGAGAACGCTGTCGATGACGCTCCAGGCCGACTCAAACGTGTCGAGGAACCTCGCGGTTGCTGACCCAAGCTCCAGCATCGGCTTCCACCATTTTTCTTGCAACTCTCTTTCCCGGCGCCGGCCAAGATCAGAGGGCACACGGCCCCACATGGTGGTAGCTATGATGACGTTCTGCGCAGCACGAGGCCCACACAACTTCGTGAACATACTAAAGTTCTTGAGCGGGGTTCCTGCAATACGGTTGTCGGAGATCCGGTGCATGTAGATGATACCCGCAAGTGTGATGTGTCTCTTGTACCTGAAATCGATCAGAATGAGCAGCGTCATGTACACCTGAACTTACGTCTTGGAGAGCCAACTTGCGATCATTTTGAGTATCTCGGTATCTGACCTGGTGGTATCGTCGAATCCAGGGGTATCGACTAAGACGACGTTACGAGAGTCGGTAGGACGGGATACGCGAATAGCTCGAATTTCGCCGGTACATGATTGAAGATTGTGCCCCACGTTGTCGAAGCCTTGTTGAGTTGCGGCACTGATGAACTAAACGCTCGAAGTCAGCATCGCTGACGTCAAAGAGCGAGGAAACGGCCTCACCTTACTCTTCCCTACACCTGTAGGGCCCATCAGACTGTGTCATTTGTGGTCAGTAACAGTATGCTGAACACATAACACGTTTCGCGCACGCTATGATGGCGTCTTCAGGGGAGATGTCATCAGCTCTCAGGCTGCGTACTTTACTCATTGGAAGATGCAAGGAAGACAAGGACTTAGAGGAAAAAGTGCTCCTCGCTGTCGTAGTGCGGAATGGTCTACTGGCCCTCAGCCACTTATACGTCCGCGGTATGATGGAAGCAGCCAGGAGGCCTCATGTTGCGACCGAAAAGTCATCCAATTGGTGGTATTACTGATCGTGCTTGGAGAAGGATCGACGGCTCGGGAAAACGCTGGTGTCAATCTATAACAGGTCACGGAGTAGCGAGGGACCACACCCAAAGTCTAGTGCCGGCTGGTGTATTAAGATAGAGATGGGCTACAAGGACAAGGAACTGAGTAAAACGAAGGAGGATTTGCATCGCGCTTGTCGTGCAAATCTGCAGAGACAATCCCTGTTACACCCATATGAACGTCTGCCAACCACGCAGTATCAGTCTGCGAAAATAGTTAATGCCGGTGTGAGCGTGGTCACCTTGCACTGGTGTAGCAGCCTAAGAACTTTGGTCATGCAGTTGTAGCAAGTAGGGCCTGCGGCAGCTGCGGAGCTAAGCTCGGCGTTGTCAGAGGGATGTACGAGTATGGATTTCTTGGGGACTACATGGTATGGCCATGCTCGTGCAAAGACCATGATACTTGTCTATATACTGCCTATGTTCGGACGCAACAAGCCCCCAGAAAGTCTGAACGAGCTGCATGGATATCACGGATGGCCATAGCAACGTTTCCTTCGTGGTCAGTCAACTGATGCCGGTAACTGAATAGCTGAAAGCGCACCGCAAGCTCACAGGAGCTGTTCAGTTCATTGAAGGGTTCCCCGCTGGCAGATTTAGTGCATATTGACAGAGGCATTGTACGTGTCCCCGCCTGCTGTCTGACTTTGGAAATGTCGTCGCTGGGTAGTTTAATACCAGATCAATATCTGAGTGTACGTTCAGCCATAAATATCCTGTTCCACGCTCGGGCATCGTGGACGAAGTAGAACAGGCACCGTGACATCAAAACGCGTTGCGTCACTGATCACGAGCCCTCAAGCCTCCCGTGATGCGTGGCCTCCGCTGGTCACGGTTTTCTCCGCACCACCTCGAGCTCTGGGCATGTCGCTCTTTATGACTCTCCCGCAATTCAACGCCTAAGTTGTTTGGAATCTGCACTTTCCGGTCACTGTGCTTCCCTGCTACTGTGGTCCGAGACACAAGGCTAGATCGTGCCCGTGGTGGTGGTGGCCCGGGCTCGACGATAAGTGCTGCCCTTCACGCAGAACCCGAAGAATGTGTTCACCGTGCGGAATACACATGCCAAAGATCTTGCATTCAGTCATTTCCCTGACCAATGGGAGCTGAGACACTCAGCATTGCACAGCAAAGATGGTCTTGTAACTACTAGTCGTGGGTTCAGGGTTCGCCTAGTCTCCCGAAGGCAAACCAATAGTGACCTTGCTGAGGTGGGGAGGACGGTCACAATATAGGGGCTCGCCGTGCCGCAAATGGCCTGAGTGTCTCTAAGTCGACCTCCAATCCGAAGGTAGAACCAGGTGTCGTCGTTGACACCTTTGCGCGGTATATATAATGCTTATAATATATCTACATCAATAAGTTATGCCCAAAAGTTTTTGAAGATAAAATATCCATATGTCTACTTGCTTTCATTGATGAGATCTCTCAGGATCGGCCGACCTTTCAGCATGCCCTCTTCCCACGACTTCCTTCCCTTCTTCATCGGTCTTACCGCATTTTCCTTCAGCTCCGGCGAGAAGAGGTCTGCAGAAGCGTCCATGTCGTCCGCCGAACGCTTCTTGGAGAGGGACCGGCAAGGTATCGCATGCAGCTCTTGTGCGTTCTCAGGAAGGCGCAGGATCCAGCCTTGGCTGTCCATCAGCTGGAAGAACTCGGCGAGGAGAGGGGCGTCCTGGAGGGTCTTCCGCGAGCCGAAGATGATCAGTTTGGAGCGAGCGCGGGTGAAGGTGACGTTCATCCTCCGCCAGTCCTTCAAAAGGTTACCAATCTGTGTGGAATAGAACTGAGTGCAGGATTTCGGAGCCACGAATGGTACGAACCTGCCCGTGGTCGTTAGAGCGCACCATGGAGATGATGATGCAGTCCTTGTCGCGGCCCTGACTCCGGTCCGCTGTCAGAATCTCAATCTCTTTCCGGTCTTGAAGCAGGTACGAGAGGAGCTTGATCTGTTGGCGATATAGCGAGAGCACGCCAATTTGATCCTGTCGGATTCCGCTCCGCAGAAGACTCTCGGTCACTTGGTAGACCAACCGAGCTTCCACCTGGTTCTCGACCAGATCACCCACCGGAGAATCTCTCGCAGGGACAGCATCGGTGTCGACGAAAACCGCATTGCATCTAGGAGGAACCGTAAGTACGTGTCGCGGTATCGCTTCGCCAGTTACGTACCTCTCATCGAGCAGGTGATTCAGCCAACACCGATCATCTCGACAAGCGGATTTGGAACCACTGTGCAAACTGTTGAGGAATGTCTTGTCAGGAAGAAGCAGACTGCGTTTGGCCACCGCTTCCGAGCCACAACGGAGGCGGTCGTGATAGATGAGCTTATTAGATAGCAGCATGATATCTGCGTTCATCCTGTATTGTTCAGTCAAGTCCACCACGGCATGGTGATGGGCATCCGAGAGCTGACGGAAGAGAGATACATCCAGCCCTCCTTTGCGCGCATCGCGATTGCGGACCTGCGTGATGATTGCTCGGTCAAGGCAAGCGCATGGAGAGGGCGGCGATACATACCAGTGGTGGCAGCTGGAAATGATCACCGACTAGGACAAACTTGTCTGCAAATCGCAGAGGACCGAGACATGTCGGCAAAGTAATCTGAGAGGCCTCGTCCACGATGCAATAATCGAACATCCGTCTCGAGAAGACTGGACTATGTGCGAATAAAGTAGCGGTCAAATACGTTGTGATGCAGAGACTTACTGGTCGATGGAGAGACACGTCGTAGCGACAACGGGAGGCGCCATCAGCTGGTGCTCCAATTGTTCCAGCGTAGTTGGCTGTCGACAACCGGCGAGCGTAAATTGCTGTATATCGGGATGAACCTACAGAAGCCACAAGAAGGTGAGCAAGTCATAAAGGGCACACAGCACGACCTGAGATGTACCTTGTCAGTATTTCCCAACCTGAGGATTCCGAAGTCCACGCGGTCCTTCAGTTTCAGCAGTATCGTGTCCACAGCGGAGTGGGTATACGACGCGAGAAGTACAGTCTTGCCCCTGCGTACCAGTTCTCTGATTAGAGCCGAGATGACAGTCGTCTTCCCCGTTCCGGGCATGCCGAGGATCAGTGCATAGTCTTGTGCACTCAGCACTTTCTTCATTGCAGCCCTCTGGTTTTCGTTTAGCTGCAGAATCTCTTGCGAAGCCAAATCAGCGATTTCGGTATCGTCTATGAAACGAGGACGCTTCAAGTCCACGACAAGCTGGAGGCGCCTCGCATCTCCGTCTGCGTAGAACATTTGCGCAAGGTTATCACGGACGCGTCCCATGCCACCGAAGAGCTCGTCCTTGTCAATACGGAAGTTGATCTCCAAAACCGGTGCGTTGGTTCTACCCCTCACGCTTGTAGCGATCGTCTCGATGCTCAGCTCATGGTCCACTCCCACTACGACTTCACCTGGGGTGAGGTCGACGATGAAGCCCTTGGCCAATGCCAACAAATCCGGGACGACAGAGACAGTGATGGCGTCTCCAACGCTCATGTGACCGTTGAGTAACGATGTGTGGCTGGCGGAGCGTTTCCTGAACTTGTACGTGAACCGATGGATTTTCATATCTTTCTCAGAGGCTGCCTGTTGCTTACTGAAGCGCACGCGGGAAGCGGTGTCCAGGACCATGTTGCTGAAGCACCTGCCGTGGCCCTCGCGCTCTTCCGCACCCATGGTCCACAGCTCTTTCTTCAGCCGCACGATATCCTGTTCCTCCAGAGAGATAAGCGCCTCCCATTTTTTAAAAAACGCCGCCTGAGTCGGTGTCAAGTGTGACGTCTTCAGTGCGTAGATATCAGCGATGGGCGATGTCTCGTCGACAACGTTCTCGACGGCCTGGTAGAGCGGATGAGCAAGGAGCAGAACACGTGGAGAATAAGCTTACTTTGCGATACAGCATGCACGTGTCGAGGGCGTAGCACTTGCCGCATTGCCACACGTCGTCGATAGTAGGAGGCAAGAACGACTCTGACTGAGGTAATTCTTCAAGGTCCTCAACGGTGCTGCCTTGTTTCTTGTCTGCCGAGTTTCGTCGTGAGCTGGAGCCCCGAATTCGCCGCATCATGTAACCAGCCATGTCGTTCCGAGCTACGAGCAACGCCCGCACCTCATTCCGTGCGGCGGGTACACGTACGACCTCCTCGCTCTGTGTGTAGTACAGCAGGCCACTCGGCACCTCGGTCCCGTAGCGCTCCGCCATCAAGAGAGTGTAGAGCATCGTCTGCGCGCGGTGCTCCATCCCGGCCACGGCACGGCCTGTCTTAATCTCCAGCGGCATCGTCCAGTTCTGCGTAGTGCACATTGGTGCGGCTCTCGTGAACGGACTTGAATCCCCATCGATCTCGGAGATGACAGCTTGCACCGACGCGTCGACCTTGCCTTTCAGGCCGTACGTGGGTGACCAGATATCTTCTTCGACGTCATGCAGCTGAGAAATGGCAAGCAGGGACGTATGCGATTGTGATGATCGCGTATTCGTCAAGACGGCACTAGGCTGCAGAGAGTTAGGACCAAGATAATGACTAGAGGGATGGCACCTACCTTCGGCTCCTGGCTAATGTATTTCTCAGCAAACGCTTTCAGCCCCTTCGCCCGGGCCTTCATCTCGGCCTTCGCTTGATCGACGCCCATGTCGATCCTGATGAGCTCACCGAGTCCCCGCCCTACCACATCCGTGATCTGAGCGTCCACCCACCGCTCATCCCAGCGCCCCTCTGCAAGACACGTCTGCATCACCTCGTGCAGCATATTGCCCCACACGAGCGCGGGCGTCACATCCAGCGAGCGCCGCGTCAGGTTCGACACGAGCGCCTTCCGCCGGCACTGGGGCGCGCCCGATAGTGATGTCGCAGTGATGAGCAAATCTGGGTGTAGGATGAATAGGTTGACTTTCGCAGAGACAGTGATTGAAAGCATGGATCCGCTTGACGACGATAACGGAGATGGCTCGAAGGCGCCGATGACATTGACAATGTCGCCTGCAGATGCGGGCCTTGGCGTGAGATGGGGACATTACTGGGAGTAGGCAACGACACTCACCGACACGGACGTCTGCGTCTGCCCAGTCATCTCTGAGGATGACGCACCTCCGCTCTCGGCCAGGAACTACTTCAACAGCGAGTGTCTGAGATACATCAGATCAGAGAAGCATTAAACGAGGTGAAAGGGGGAAAAGACGCGATGCCAGATTATGCATAATGTATCAGGCGACACTCACCTTCTGATAAGGGTGTGTCGTGAGTACTTCGTCGACTCTTATCACGTTGCAGCGGGTACAGGTTTGTGGAGTGTACTTAGATGTTGATGCTATTTTCAACTGCAGCAGAAGTGAGCGAAGCGAAGGTGAGTATAGAGGAAGACCTTACTGTTTTCTTTGGCGACTTGGGCTTCTTCGGACTCATAAAGTCGGAGTTCATGTCGTCCCAGTCCCAATCTTCGGCACCCGCGACAAGTTCGTCCAAGTCAACATTTCGAGGTGTCAGCACTTTAGTTGGGGTTTTGGGTATCACATTGGGACACTTTTTGTGAGGAGAAGGTATCTCAGGTGGATCGGAGGATGATGCGGCGTTGAAAAAGGAACTGTCGAGGCCAGATAGTAGATCGTTCAGGAAATCGGCTTCTTCGCGCTCTGTATGTGTGACGGGTGGCATCGCAGCAGTTCTTTACAGAATTTATTCAATCTGGATAAGAAAGAAAGCGCAGTAGAAAAGCTGTGAAGATTGTTCGTGAAACGGTGAAAAGACAGGATGGCATGCTCTGTACCTGAAATATAGGCTCCACGTAAATCGACCAGATATCTTGCGCACTAAAGGCTGTTGTAATAATTGTCGTAACCCTCTTAATAGAGCTGTCGCGGCAAGAATTTCGCCGCCCCTAGCGCCTGTGGTCAGTGCGTACTTCCATATCGTCCGGAAGTCAGTTTTCACAGTAACAGAAGTATAATCAGACTGCAAGACGCACCGTCTGAAAGATCTGTAATCTATAGTAACTTAAATATTTTCTTGCTACGACAGTCGTGAGGAAGTGTCGGCGTGGCCACTGGTTGACTATGCCAAACGCGTTGTTGATGTTTGTTGACGCGTCGCGACATATCAGGAGCTCCCGATATGGTAAGTAAATTTCCGTTTCCGAGCAACGTGGCACTTTACTTATCTGCCATGTGTGGGTGCTGCTCGGTGTGTTCCTCCATGCCGGTCAATCGTGTAACCCCGACGGTACCTTCCTTGGCGCGCGTCAATCATTCTACTCAATTGCTCCGTTTGCCGTCGGAGCTGTGGTCCTCTTCGCTCACTGCCTCTGGTGCATTGCCTTCGCTGTGTTACGAGGCATGGATGGACTACGCGCTAAGTCTACCAGCAGTTCTCCCTACTCGTGGAATCGCGCGAAATGTATAGTTGCTCAGACTCGGGGGATGGCTAATCCCGAGAGAGCGCATCGCCTGACAGACTGCTTCGCGTCACCAAACTATAGTCGTATTGAAGTGCGACCACAGTACGTACAGTTATCTCTCCACATTTTAGCCACTTCTCCATCTTCCGCGTTCCAGGATCTCTGCCTAACATCGGCTGGAACCACAACTGCGATAGTTTCCACCTTAGCCGGATTTTCCAACATTCATCTGTCAAGGTGGCTCGAATAGCGTGTACGGGACCACAGACTGATCGCAAGGATGAGATATAAAGCTGTTGTCCCGTCTACTGGCTGTCCAACAGCTCCCCGCATTCTCTAGCATTTTATCACATCCTCTATCCTTTGCATTCTCTGTTACAGCTATGTCTCCTAGAGCCCAGAAGGTCACTGTCTCCAACATCTCTCCAGATGATAGAATCATAGCGTACGCACTGTAGTTCGTTCATTACTTGCGGCTGATTGACGTACCTTGTCCGCAGTATTATGGGCCAGACCGGCACAGGCAAGAGCACGGTGAGTCGAAGACATTTAAATCATTCTTCGGCCATCTTATACATGTTGCCAGTTCATCAACAAGGCCACGAATTCTGACCTGGCTACGGTGGGCGACTCGCTCAGAGCTTGCACTTCAAGGGTCAATGCAATCCGCTATCCTCACCCTTTTGATGGTCGCCCCATCGTCTTCGTGGATACCCCCGGCTTCGATGATACCAATAAATCAGACCTGGACATCTTGAAGATGGTCGCCGACTGGCTGACCAAGACGTGAGCTCTCTCTTTAGTACGCCTCGCCTAATGCGCTTATGTCGTTGTATCTGTCAGCTACAAGAAAGGTTTCAAGCTCACAGCTATCATCTACCTCCATCGCATCTCCGACAAGCGCATGACAGGTGCAGCCCACAACAACCTGGTTATGTTCAAGCAGTTGTGCGGTGAAAAGGCTTTCCAGAACGTGATCGTCGCGACTACAATGTGGGGTCGAGTGACTCCAGAGGTCGGAGAGCAGCGCGAGAAGGAGCTGCAGGACAAATTCTGGAAGCGGATGCTCGATCTCGGATCGGCAACTGCGCGATTCCACGACAACTTCGAGTCCGCGTGGAGCGTAGTCGATAGCATATTGTCGGACCACCCGACCCCTCGCGCTCTCCTATTGCAGGAGGAAATGGTCGATCTGCAGAAGCCGCTCAACGAAACGAGCGCAGGTAAGGAGCTCTACGAGAGGCTGCGAGGTCTTCATGGACGACAGGAGCAAGTCTTGCGCGAGCTTCGACAGCAAGCAAGGGGTCAGGCCGCGGCGCAGTTTGCGACAGAACTGGAGGATGTCGAACAGCAGATTCGCCTCCTTCTAGTCCAGATCCAAGAGATGAGGGTTCCATTGGGGAGACGCATCCTTATGTTCTTCACCTTCAGATCGTGCTTCAAGGTGGGTACTTCACCTGTTAGGGTCCTCGGTCTACTGATTGCTATCCCTAGAACTCTCACATGATGTAGTCAGACGTGCATTAGATCGGAAGAGAAGGATCGTAGGATGAGTAGTGGATTAATCTGCAGGAGGAAGACATTTGGTAGTTCGCATAGCATGAGTACTGTATATTTTGCATATCGACTTGTCAGGATAAGTACACGTAGACAATTTGAATTTTGTTTAGCCTCAACCTGCGTACCTGACTTTGCGCGTTAGTAACCACGAAGCTTGAGATTCCGACATTAGCCGGATGACCCAGTGCATAGAGTCATAGCAAACTGAGCCAGAACTTTCGAGACATATATAGCTAGCAAAGTGTATGGTCAGAAACGCGGTGTCAAATGCCTCGCAACGCGTTCCAGCATCATGTGACCGTTTCAGGTCGAAGTGTAACAAGAATCAAGATCTCTCTCCCTTGCTGATCTCCGACACACGTTAAGAGGCACACCTTGGACATGTTTTTTCAGATTTCCAGGACAGCTTTTACGCCAACGACGTCGTGATTAGCGCACGGCGCTGTTGTTCAAGTTGGCGACGGTCGCCGATTCTTCTGATACATTGTACAATTCACACTCGCGAGTCGCGATATCGCGAGGATTCTTCTGATATCTACTCTCATATTCCTGTGCAATTCGAAAAGCTCGATCATGACGTTGACTTCTGCTTCAGCATCTCCTCAATTCTCAGAGGGTCAAATCCGCGCTAAGCTTCAATTATAGGTGTGATTGATTGCACGATCAACCTACTGCTGGGCTTGTCCATACTAGCATATCTCGGCGTCACGTTGAGGACCACGCATCTCCGAAAGAGTACCCACAACAAGGTTCGCTCTATCAGTCTCGGCTCATTATACAATACCAAAAGGAGTGTATCTCCGAACCGGAGGTTCTCACCACAAGAAGTCAACTTTCGACCGAATTTGTAGAACCTTCTTGCATCGTTGAGCCACTCTACGACTTGTCCAACGCCGTCAAGATATTCATCTTGGGATTGTCTACACTACAGAGACTATCTTATCATCAAATAGGACTTTGACTCTTCTTCGACTTGTTCTCGTACTATCAATCTGAGAAAACTGCGATGCTTCTTCTTGCCGCTCGTCGATCTTCCTATTCGATTGCCCTAGCCGAGGTTCTCGGAGTCATCGCTCACTCTCTCGGTCTTTACCCAACCCATAAATATGTGATTCACAGCGCATGCCTCCCGCATCCAAAATGCTTCATCTGATGCTCAACTTTTCCCAGGATGAACAGAAGTGTCCATCCTTTGCATTTGGAGCCGGACGGCACCACTCCGGAACAGCGCGTCGCCCACAAGGAGTCGCAACACGACAATACTACCACATTCACCTGAAACCACAGCACGTATGGTCCCCTGCACCTTCCAGTATATCCGTCATACCTCTGCTTGAACCACAATCCAGAAGTTTTTATCTGGCACGGATAAACCACACTGATCTATTTTGGTGGCTCCTAGGTCGCGAATGGAGAGAGACGCCCCCCATAAAAGCCGTTCTCGCTCGCTCAGAGCTGCACCACTCCTCTCACCCTCTAACAACGACATGTTCTCAAAAATTCAGAAGATCACAGTGTCTAACATATCCCCGGGCGATTCCGTCGTAGCGTGCGGATTGTGTTTCATCGGTAGTGGACTTAACTGATTGAGGTCTTTGTCTCAAGTGTGATGGGTGTAACCGGCACTGGAAAGAGTACCGTGGGTCTAGCGTCCTCTATTCTGCATCGAGTGATCTCAAACATATGTCCAGTTCGTCAATACGGCAACCGCAGGCGACGTAGTCCAGGTGGGCCATATGCTCAAAGCTTGCACGTCCAAGATTGTGGCGTACCGTTGTCTGCATCCTCAAGATGGTCATCCAGTCGTCTTCATCGATACCCCTTCTTTCGATGATACCACAAAATCAGAAACAGATATCCTGAATATGCTCGCTGAATGGCTGTCGAAGATGTGAGCGCTTCTTCTTATATATATCCCTCATCTGAGTTATTCAAGCTGCATATCTTGTCAGTCAGAAGAAAGGGATGAAACTTGCAGGTATAATCTATCTCCACCGCATATCCGACAACCGCGGCCCGCTGGGCACTCCCCACAGGAATGTGCACGCCTTCCGCCAGTTGTGTGGCGACAAATCGATGCAGAAGGTCATCCTCGCGACAACGATGTGGGAGACCCAGAAGGCGGAGGTCGCTGAGGATCGCGAGAAACATTTGCAAGCGACATATTGGAAGCAGATGCTTGATGGTGGATCTGCGACTTCGCGATTCTACAATTCATTCAACTCAGCGTGGAGCGTCGTCGATGCACTTCTGTCGGAACACTGGATCCCCGATCCTCGTCTCCTTCAAGAGGAATTGGCCGACCTCGAAGCGCGACTGAGCACAACTAGCGATGGCGTCGCTCTTTATAATTCGTTGCAGGAAGTATATGAAGACGCGACAAGGCTTTGCCAGAATACCTTAGAGGCAGCAGAGTTGAATACTGATCTCGCGGCGATCGCAAAACGCATGCGCGGAATGCTAGGGAGTCTTGGACAGCTGCATGTGCCGCTGGGTAGACACAGCCTCATGTTTTTCACGTACAGATCGTACAATCAGGTGGGTATCCTTTCCGCTTGGATGGTCCTTCTACTGAGTAGTATATCTAGCCGTGCTGAGACGACTTCGGCGTTCTTGTACGAGTCTGCGAGTGGGGTTATGACGATATATAAATATTCGACTGCACCAAAGACGTGTCGTCTACCTTATTATTGATATAGTCGCTTCTCCGGAGGGTGCAAGCCAGTAGCTACTATGAGAAATGTCTCACGACAAGGAAAGGCTAAAGAAAGGCCGAATAACGCACGACGTACTATACCATCAGGAAATTCGGGAGACCCAGGCATGACCAGGCGGAGTTGATAACCACACGGCTGCCCGCCACCTCTCTCTGAGCATTTATCTAGACATTCAATAAATTGTAGGGAACTATCGTTCATATGTGACAGTGTCAGGTAACATCATTAAGACGAGGACATGACCAGATATTAAAATCCAGCAAAATTATTGTAAAGCGATGACAAAATCCACAAAATCCGCAAGGCTTGCCAGTGAAGCTTCATAACCATAGCGTCTAAAATAAATACATGAGTGGGGTTCGAACTCAAGGTCTCTAGATTAAATCACATCACATATCAGCCTCACAGCATTTATTTGTGACGGAATTATAACATGGTCCGTGGGACCAGGGCGAGTCACAGAGCGGAGTTGGTGCGGAGTACAATTGCCTTTGCTTGCTGCGGTTCGAAGCCTCTCTCCTCTCCGCTGCTGCTCTGCTTCCATCTCCCTGCCTTCGAGACTGGCGCACTGCTCGGGCTCCCCACTGTTGGCCGAAGACAACGGACGTGAAGATCGCTCTGGAAGGCCATCCCCGTTGGTGAGGAGGCTGACCTCGGACCAGAACCGTGGAGGGCGCGATGTTTGGCCAGGACCGTGGAGGGCCGACGTTTGACCAGGACCGTGGAGGGCCGACGTTTGGCCAGGACCGTGGAGGGCCGAAGTTTGACCGAGACCGTGGAGGGCCGAAGTTTGACCAGGACCGCGGCTCGCGGGCGCGCAGGGTTTGGCTCGCCGATGACTCGCGACGACTTGCGAGGACTGTGGATGGCCGACGATGAGGACTATTTGGACGGCCGACCTGGACCATCAAGATGCCGGGACACTTACGGAATGGCCGCTGGGGTCGAGCTATAAGGTGCTGGTGTTGCGGCGGTACACTCTGCGGATTCGGGGGGTTGTGCTCCCCATGCCTGCCTGCTAAGTGGAACCTGGGGTGTAGCCGTATGGGCACGGTTTTTGTAGATAATGCAGATAGATTTACATTACAGCAAAAAATGGATATGTTTTCTTTTTGAGCACTATGCGGGATCAATTATAATGCCTGATCCATGTGGAAATGCATATGATCTTACAACTGCAAGCTGTGCTGACTTCGATAACCCCATGGCATGGCGATGCTTCAGTTAGATGTTCACCAACTCAACTGTCCTATAAAAGGCCTGACCAGAATGAATGCAAGACTGATGCATATTGCGGAAATTATTTACATTACAATCATAGCTAATGCCTTGTCGCACCGTCAGGGATTTTCTGATGACACAGGAAGCATTACCACTTTTATCCATTGGAAATAACCTGGAAAAAAGCATGGAAATCGATAATATATTTTCAGAGGAAAAACCTCAAGGTGGTGGTGGTGGTGTATTACCGGCATGGGTCCCAGTTAGGAATGCCGGGTTGTCGCTGTAATAAGTACAAGCAAAGCCAGTAGTACTGATATGCTACGCAATGCTTAATTCGCTATTACAGCAACACATCGATAACCGATACCGGTCCGATAGCCTCATACCCATCCGCCTACACTCCCGGCCATAGTAGTAAAAAACACAGGCAGACCAGGGGATAAAACCTGGCAGGAAAAATTTGCAAAAAACCTGTCCAGGAATCAGATGTGGTTCCCCACATATCTGATGACACTCACCCCTGACCAGAGTGGGCAATGAGATGAGGACCATGTTCATGGCATCAAGTTATGATGCTAATCAAGTAAGGAAAGGTATTCGGCTTCGTCGGAAATGACAAAGAGTGGATAATAGGGGTGGACATCACATGTCCACTTAGTAAGGGAGGTAGATAGAAAGGCAAGCGCAAATGTAACAATGGTGCATGTTAGGTCAAGTGGCGCAAAGAGTGAATGCTATGAGAGGGAATGCCACACAATAGAGGGGGAGGATAAATGAGAGCACACCCGAAATAGTACATGAACTGAAAGATGGGAAATGGAGGGAAGCAAAAAGACGGATTGTGCACGGTTATAAGTATGTACAGACAGAAGCCGGGGCGGGATGTATAAGTGGGAGAGAAGAGGTCAGAGGAGGTCATTGAGGAAAGCACAGCACAGATGTGCAAGATAGAAGAGAACAAGTTGAAAAGGAGTCTAGCATTCATTAGCAGAGATCAAGAGAGGAGGAGGGCTTCTTGCTTCGTACTTCCATCTCAGGCAACTTTCCCACGGCCCTGGTCCAATAGGAACAGGCCACCATGCGGCATCTTTCTGGAGCTCCAGAATTTACATATGAAACTCACAGCAAGGGTAGCCTCTTGCACTTCCCTGAGGCAATAAATTCAGACATGAGCCACCGGCCCTCTGAAAAGACTCCAACATTGAGCACTAACGCGAGCGCCCGCTGCCTGGCCACGCGCTCTAAGTCGGACCCCTTTACAAATAAGAACTCCACATCAGGAAAACCCCACTTTTCCTTAAAAGGACACTTAAATAACTTAAATGGACTTATTGTCCTTATTTAAGAACATAAGGCCAAAAAGGGCCTAAGGCATATTCCCTGAGCGTCTGAAATTCGACTTATTTGAACACTTATGGCCTTAAATAAGGGTTCTCAGACTCAAAAGTCTAAATAAGTCCATAAGAGAAAGTTGAGTTTTCCTGATGCACTATAACAGACTGGCTGAGTACCTTCAACCACAGCATCAATACATCTGATAAAGCCTTAATATTCCTATGTAATAATGAACTCGCCACTACGGGTAAGGCCACAGAAATGAAGACACTAACATGGGCTCTTGTCCGCCTCGCCAAGACCCACACCTCTGACACCAAGCTAATGCAGACCTTAGTCTCACTCGCATGGTACACGGAGCTAATAGTACAGGAAGACAGCACTGTTAAGGCGATGATAAACATATGTGCCCGCCTTGAACAGTACCAGACAAAGATCGAGGATGCCGCTAAAACAGCCACAGAAGCCTGTGAACAGTTCAAGCACCGCACGGATGACCTAACTACTCTGACGCAGGAATTCAGGGAGATCAAATTTGAGGTTGCAGGGTATACTGACTCTCTGGGCAATATCTCCCGCAGGTTTGATGACTTGGTAGCTGACTCGGCATAAGCCATGAGAGATGCTGCCGAAACCTTCATTGACGAACATAAACCCAATCTCACCCCCCAGGTAAGTAGTGACTCATATTCTGCCCCACTGACCTATGCTGCGGCAGCCAGCCAAGCCCTCCCAACAACGCATGCACAGACCCTAGCCAGGGAGAAAGCCCGATCGTCCCAGGTCATTGTCGATGGAGCCACATGCAAGCATGCCGATGGTTCAGTTCTAAACGAGGATGAACTACTTGCCAAAGTGAACATGGCGTATGACCTGATGGGAGTAACACGGGCAGATGCTCCCTTGGAATTTGCGTTTAAATCGGTCAGCCGCATGCACAACAGAGGAATTGTTTACAATTTGGACAGCATGGAATTAGCTAAGTGGCTCCGCAGTCCTGATGTCATGAAAAGCTTCTTAGAACACTTCAGTGACCAGGCTTCATGCGTGAAGGTACACACATACTCTACCCTTGCTGAGTTCGTCCCTGTTGCATGCAAACCAGACAACAGCAGCTACCTCCGCATCACTGAGGGAACTAACAACCTTGACCCAAATGTCATCGAAGAAGCCCACTGGATAAAACCTCTGGAATGCAGAGTGAAAGGACAAAAAGTCACTCACCTCATTCTGCGGTTCAATGACCCATGGGCAGCCAACCGAGCCATCTGCAATGGTCATAGCCAGCAAACTAGTCATGGTAAGGAAACTGATCTGGGAACCACACCGATGCCTGAAATGCCAGAAGATCAGAGTTCCTCACCTTGCCAGTGAGTGCAAGCAGATTCACGATACCTGTGGAAGCTGCACCTCTATCTCCCACAGGACATCTGCATGCGAGGCAGACCCCACAGATCTCAGATGCAGCAACTGCATCCTGGCAGGACGCACTGATGCAGACCATGTAGCATGGGACCATGACTGCCCCATCTTCCTTGAACACTGCCGCCGCATGGAGGACTGTCAGCCAGAAGCAAAGTACCGTTTCTTTCCCACAGATGACCCATCCTCCTGGGAACTCGTTGGCCAGCCGATAGTACCTGCAGCACCCTCGCACCCTCACCAACATGCCCCTGCACCCCCACGTAATGCACTGTTCTCACAGGACTGGGCAAATGAGGTCGACAACCTCTACCCACAGCCAGACCTGTACCCTCACCCCTCGCAGGCACGTCAGGCCTATGAGGTGAAGCACCCCCACGAGGCATCACAGACACAGCCGCACCTTGAACAGGCACGCATACACCACTTGGTTTCTCGTTCATCCTCCAGACTCTCATACGCCAGAGCTTCACCTATCAGTTTTCATGCCTAATACACCAGCAAATGACACCTCTATGCTATGTCTGCTGCAGCTGAACCTTAATAAATCCCTTACAGCACAATCTGCACTCATTAATTCTTTTTCCACCTCTTACTTCGACATTGTCCTCCTTCAGGAATCATACCTGGATCCTCGGACATCCCTTACTCGTGCGACCTCACATTGGATAGTAGTCTACCTGCACACTCATTACTCAGATGCGGGGGCCCGAACGCACTCAGTTATTCTTGTCAGCAAGAAAATTGCAGGCGAATCGTGGTCACAAATTAAGGTTGACTCACCAGACATTACAGCTGTCTCACTATGCACCCCATCTGGCACATTGCACATCTTCAACATCTACAATGATCAGCGACACCAGGACTCAATCAACCTTCTTGCCCGAGCTATGAGACAGCTTGCAGGTCCAGGCACTGGAGATGCAAATGTTATCTGGGCAGGGGACTTTAACCGCCATCACCCCATGTGGGACGAGGAACAGAATCATCACCTGTTCACTCTGGACGCACTGAACATGGCCCAGCCACTTCTAGATAATATTGCGGCCTTTGATCTCTCAATGCTCCTTCCACAAGGCACTCCAACACTCGAAGCTACACTGACAAAGAATTATACATGGCCAGACAATATCTTTGCATCCCCTGATATTGCAGACCGCCTCCTCACGTGTGACATGATCCCTGCCCTTCACCCACCCTGCACTGACCACCTTCCAATCTCACTTTCCCTCAACATTGCTCTGCACCCAACTTGCAAAGCCCCATGGTGAAACTTCTGAGAGGTAGACTGGGATGAATTCCGTGCATGTCTGGAAACAAACCTTGACTCGTGCATGCTCAGAGAGGGTGAACTGACCACAGTAGAACAGTTCAACACAGTGCTCAAACACCTTACCGATGCAATTTCCGAGACCATCAAAACAGCTGTCCCACTGTCCAAGCCAACTCCCTTCACCAAGCGATGGTGGTCGAAAGATCTCGGCAAGTCTCGCCGAGCACTACAGCACCTAGCAAGAGCATCATACAGACACCACCACATCTGTGACCACCCCTCCCACTCCAAGTACCGCAAGGCTCGAAACCGGTATGGTGACGAGATCAAGTCAGCCAAGCAGGACCATTGGGAAGCATGGCTCAAATCTGCAGACCCAGACTCAATCTGGATGATCAACCATTTCACAGCAGCAGGACCAACAGATGGTAGCCGACCCCACGTGCCTCCTCTCAAGGATGGGGATGCACCCTTAGCCAAAGATAATATGGCGAAGAGCTCTGTCCTCTATAAGGCCTTCTTCCCTCTGCCAGGTCCACCCCCCTCACTTCCGAGCAACCACAGATATCGCAAGCCCGCCTTCCATTTCTCCCCAATCACAGATGCACAGGTAGAAGCTGTCATTAAGAAACTGAAGGAACTCAAAGCTCCAGGGCCCGACGGTACTCCAAACGAGGTATATAAACACTGCGTTGACCTACTTCTCCCATTTCTAGGCCGCCTCTTCCATGCCACATTCAACCTCAATGTTTACCCCGCTGATTGGAAGATGTCAAACACAGCAGCACTTCGCAAACTGGGCCGCCCGGACTACTCTGTGGCCAAGGCCTACAGGCCGATAGCCCTCCTCAACTGTATTGGTAAGATCCTCTCGGCCTGCGTTGCTGACGTCCTCATCTATGAATCAGAGAAACATGACCTCCTCGCATGGAACCACTTCGGAGGCCGACCGGGATGACGCATGACAGACTCGCTCCACCTTCTTGTCAAGACGGTAAAGGATGCATGGCGTCAAAAGAAAGTAGCCTCAATTCTTTTCCTGGACATTAAAGCTGCTTTCCCGAGTGCAAACCTAGAATGCCTGTTTCACAACATGCATACCCGTGGCGTCCCGAAGGAGATCATTAACTGGTTGCAGCGACGGCTGGAAGGACGGCACACTAGAATACTGTTTGATGACTTCAAATCAGCACTCTTCGAGATTATCAGCAGTATTGATCAAGGCTGCCCCCTCTCTGTCATCCTCTATGAATTTTACAACTCTGACCTCTTCGAGATTGCTTACAGAGTTCCTGACTCACTTGCCCTTGGCTACATCGATGACGCTGCCATTACCGCCATAGGTAAGAATTACACGGAGACCCACGAAATCCTTCGCGGGTATATGGATGGCGAAGGCGGCGCCACGTTCTGGTCAAATGACCACCAGTCGGAATTCTCCCTTGACAAGTTCGGTTTGCTCAACATGTCCGCCATGTCCCCGGACGTTGGCCCAGCCCTCCAACTCCAGTCTGCAAACATTAAGCCCCTCAAAGCGCACAAGTTCCTTGGCATCACCATTGACCGCCATCTCCACTTCCAACAGCAGACTGCAGGAGCACTCTCGAAGGGCTTTGCATGGGTACAGCAATTCCGACATTTAGCAAGAGCCTCGGGTGGTATCCCCTTTTCTCATATGCACCACCTTTACCTTAGTATTGCTGTCCCCCGGATATTATATGCTGCTGACATCTTCCTCACTCCCCTCAGGAACCTACCGGGCCGCAAGTCAATGTATGGCTCTGTGGGAGCGATCAAGAAACTGGCGCAGGTCCAACGTCAAGCAACACTTTTTATCACTGGTGCAATGAGGACGACGGCGAGTGACGTCCTTGACACGCATGCTAACCTCCTTCCCTTTGCATTGCTCATTGACAAAAACTGCCACAGAGCTGCTGTACACCTTTGTACCCTCCCTCCATCCCACCCACTACACATGCATGTCAAGAGAGTGAGCACGCAATATGTCAAGCACCACTGATCCCTGCTACATGAACTTCTCCAAGCTTACAAGCTTGACCCTGACCAAATTGAGACAATCTCACCAGTTTGTTTCTCTCCGACCTGGTCTCCACCCTTCCAGGTGTCAGTTGCAGACAACAAAGAGCTTGCTCTGAAGGATGAAGCAGAATGGGCAGCAAAACATGGCTTCCGTGTTTACTCTGACAGTTCAGACATTGACGAAGGTGTAGGGGCAGCAGCAGTACTGTACAAGCAAGGATGTGCAAACCCCAAAGTCCTCCAGTTTCACCTCGGCAAATCATTGGAGCACACTGTCTACGAAGCTGAAGATGTAGGTCTTATCCTCGCCGTGAAACTGATCCACAACGAATTTGTTGTCTACACAGGGTCCTGTGCTGGCGATAACAGGGCCTCCATACAGGCGACCCGTCTCAGTCACCCTGCCCCCAGCCATACCTCCTAGACAGACTTCATGCGGACATTGACCGGCTCATTCAGAAGCACAAAATTGGAAGATGTGACCTCACCATGCGATGGGTCCCTGGCCACAAAGACATTGTAGGTAATGAACATGCTGACGTAGAAGCCAAGAAGGCAGCACGTGGCAATGCGAGCCCCCGCCCTTCGCTCCCAAGGAGCCTACAAGAACCCCTCCCACTCAGCTCGTCCAAGCTCCGGCAATGCCATCTCAAATCCCTCAAGATCAAAGCATCCTCACTGTGGAAGGACTCGGAACGGGGTCATGCCTTTAGCCGTATCGACCCCTCTCTCCCTTCGTCTAAGTTCGAGAAGCTCGTTACTGACCTCCCGCGATGCCATGCCAGCCTCCTTATCCAGCTCAGATCAGGCCACGCCCCGCTCAATGGGCACCTCCACTGAATCAAGCGCTCCCCAACCAAGACTTGCCCTGCCTGCAATGGTCACCCGGAATCAGTACAGCACTTCCTCCTCTCCTGCCCCGCATACCGTCGACAATGAGAACTCTTGATGCAAGAGCTTGGCCGTTCAGCCCACTCGCTGGCCAAGCTACTTACCACCCCCCGCGCCATCAGACCACTCTTCCAGTACATCCATGCCACGGGATGTTTCTCCGTCACGTTCGGACAGTTGCGTACCTTCGACAAGCGCCGCCACACCAAGTCTTGACTCTTAAGTACCGTCTGTCCTATCTTGCAACTCTACTAACAACCCTTCATGTACACACAGCACACCTCCCCAATTGCCTTGCATGAGCTCGAACAGTCTTCATCCTTCCCCTTTCCCCTTACACACACCTTCACCCCTTTTTTACTGTACACACTGGCAGCTTGGCAGCACATTCATGCCCTAGAGACCAGGTGAGTTTCGACGGCTGGTGGAGGACCACCAGATGGATCCCTGACTGCGGCAAGAGGCTTAAGCCCGAGGGTAGTGCCTACCACTCATACGGGCAGCAGGTTTAGACCCTGGTTTCTAGTGTTCACTCGCCGAGGACATTGAATGTGTGTTCGCAGGCATGCCTTACATTACAGACTCCTTACACACTCCCCCCCGAGCACTAATACTCACTGCTTATCCCACAGGCCCCCATCACCCCCATTCTGAAAGCCCTGTGTTCACACAGGCACCATGTTTTATCCGACACCCCATTCGTATATACTACGCATAGCTACAGTAGGTTTTTGTCTACCATAGGGCTTCGCCCTCAAGGACAATAAACAGGAACAAAAAAAAACAAAAAAGAGAGAGTTGAAAAAGAGGAACAGAGGAGGAGAGGATAGGAGGAAGATGAGATAATTTTTCTGCTGTGGGAGAGAGCCAGCGCCTTCTGTGGGGGAGAAGGACCACAGGCAACTGCTTCGAACGGAAGCAGGCATCCGTCAAAGACGGGGAGAGAAGAACAGTAGGAAGAAAATGGAGGAGAGGATAGGAGGAAGATGAGATAATTTTTCTGCTGCGGGAGAGAGCCACAGCCTTCTGTGAGGGAGAAGGACCACAGGCAACTGCCTCGAACGGAAGCAGGCATCTGTCAAAGACAGGGAGAGAGTGCTTCGGGAGAGACAAGACAACCATCGACCGAAATATCGGGATTCCGCATTTCTTCAACGTGGTGGTTGATGGATACACGCAGCGCCAAGGAAAAAGTGAGAAAAGAACAAAACATTCTCATGGTGTTTTCCCTTGGAAATAAGTTGCCTACCATATCGGGCAACTGGACATGACAGGAGACATGCCAAAACCCGGACAAAATTACCATATTTGGCGACCAACTTATTTCCAGTGGAAAAACTGCGGAAATGCTTTGTTCTTTTACACGTTTTTTCCTCGTGTTTTTCTCGCCATATAACTTTGTTGATTTCCACCCATTTTTCCAAGTTATTTTCTCGGGAAAAAAGGGGATATGCGTCCTGCGCTACTGCACTCACGTTGTCTCCGATGCACCAAAACCACGAATAGTGAGCTTGACGCAGTCTTCGTGATGGTAGCAGCAGTGTAAGCCTTACGGTCTTCGTGTCTGTAAGAAGCATGTATCACAGGATTCATCGATCGGGAGGATCGATGTTGACGCGGACGTTGAACGTTGAACGAATCGTGACACAAGGTGCGAAAATTCCGAATGTCAGACTCTGGAACGAGCACGGCCGTGGATGTGCCGAAGACTGCCGCTGCCCACTGCGTATCAGATATTGCAACGGAATCTCATACATTCGACCACTATGGCAGCATTTCTCAACGACGCCATGACTTAGAGCGGTCTATCTGGCTCTGAGAAGGTCTATATACGTCACTATCGCGTTTGCTTAGCTGTCGGCAGTAGCACGGTTACTCGTTCGTGGGCAGCCACTGCCAACCGGCCAGCTCAATTTTGCATGCAATTAGTCTGCAGTGAAGCTTAGATATCGCGCTGGCGCTAAGGCTCTGCCAATCCTTCCATAGTATATACGGCATCATGCAACGTGTCACCGTGTTTCACAGCTATGTTCGACCACAGAGGACTTGTATATAATTGAGGTTATCTTGCTGGTTTCTCCAGTGGTCAGTCTCCCAGTTCTGTCTACAATGCCAGATGGAAGAACAAGGAAGGTGCGCTTGGACCAGATTTCGGAAAACGATGTCGTCGTAGCGTGAGTACCCGAGCTGGAGATTGTGGACGTTATCGTTGACTACTGCTATCAGTGTTATGGGTCCCACCGGGGCAGGAAAGACTACGGCGAGTACATACCTTTGTGGCTATAAGCGGTGCTTATATTTCCGTAGTTCATTAATGCTGCTACGGGGCAAGGCGACTACCTCGTGGGTCGCAAGCTCCGATCTCGTACTGCAAAGATTCGGACAACACGATATGTTCATCCTGCTTATGCACGCCCTATCATCTTCGTCGACACTCCTGGGTTCGATGACACTAGCAAGCCTGATACAGACATTTTGAGAATGGTTGCGGACTGGCTGGTGATGGTGTAAGGAAATCCTCTACATACACGTCCGGTAGACCTGATCCACATGGTGACTTGTCAGGTACAGCAGGAACATCAAACTCGCAGGTGTCATTTATCTGCATCGTATCTCCGACAATCGCATGTCAGGTGCTTCTCAGAAGAATCTCCGTCTGTTCACCCAGATATGTGGTGATAGCGCGATGCAGAATGTTACCATCGTCACGACGATGTGGAATTCTGTCAGGGAGGAAGTGGGAACGAGCCGTGAGGCCGAACTACGGAATAAGTTCTGGCGAACAATGCTGGAGCATGGTGCAGAGACTGCGAGGTATCAGAATACATTCAATTCCGCCTGGGAGGTCCTCGACCGCTTCACACGAAACGAGCTAAGTGTCCTGCAACTGCAGATGGAGATGGTGGATTCGAACCAGCTGCTGAGAGACACCCAGGCTGGGATCGCGCTCTACTTGCAGCAGTCACTCGCGGAAAGGGAGAACTCGATTCGCAGACATCGGGAAACCGCGACTATCGAGAACGACAGTGGACAGCTGCAACAGCTGGATGCGCAACTCGCAGCGATCGAGGAGACTCGTAGGTCCTTCTACGAGAGCCTAGAGACGAGATCCTCTCTAGGAAGACGTATCCTCAAGTTCTTGACTTGTTTCTAATCGTACGCGATTCGCACCTTACTTATGAAGGTAACCCACCGATACGAATCTCGCCTGATGTGTGCTGACAACGTTATAGTGCAATCTACTGTCTGAGGGGCCTTGTCTGCACACATGCTCAATTCCGCCACTGTGGAATCGGCATACGTTCCGTACAATGTACATATCGTGTAACCGCCAGGACTTTGCGACGTTATCTATCGAGCGCTCATTGTCCCTCTGGTAGATGTGAGGCATACAATTTGCACCTGAACGTACACATTTTAATGAAGATATCGGTAAAGGAGAGATTAAGGGAAGTTCAAGGAATGAATAGATGGATATACTTGTCGTCCGGTGAAGCTATGTGTCGGAAGTGAATGCACGAAGTGAATGTCATATTGACGAGGTAAGGGTCAAGTGGGAGCCACATATGATCTGTTATGGTATAGGAACGCGCAGATTTTATATATCCTGCAAAACATGGCGGTCATTGTTAGATATCTTTTAATAAGGATGAAACTACCACACACTAGCTCTGCCTCCATCGTAGAGATACAAAGTGAAGCAAACGCTTCCCCAGAGAGATTCTCAAGGCACCTACATCGGCTATGGTCTGTAACAGTTCCTTTTGGGAGTCGTCGAAGTTCTTCTTGAGTTCAGAGAGTAAGTCTTCGTCCACCTCTTCGTCCACCATCCCCCGCTGAATCTGACGAAGCAGATTTTGCTGCTTCTTGACCAGATCAGCGAGCCTATGATACAGCTGCTGACCGGCTCTGGTCTCTGGAAGTTGCTTCCCCATGTCGACTAGCTCTCGCTGCAACAACATTGCATATCTTTCGTTCGCGTTCTCCAGGAAGTCGTCAAGTATGCACCAGGCAGACTCCCGTGAATTCTTGAACCTCACAACCCTAGACCCAGCATTCATCATGCCTTTCCAATACCTCTTCTTCAGCTCGTTCTCGCGTGCCAACCCAGTGGTCTCGTCGACTTCGTCCCACATTGTCGTCGCGAGGATGATATTCTGTAACGCGGACTTTCCACAGAGTTCTTCGAACATGCGAAGATTCTTAAGAGGCGTTCCTGCCATCCTGTTGTCCGAGATACGGTGGAGATAAACTATCCCTGAGAGCTTGATGTTCTTCTCGTAACTGCAAAGCGGATGTCAACTCGATATGAGTCATGAAAACTTAATGGTATGACGCACGTCTTCTTCAACCAGTCCGCAATCATTTGCAGTATCTCCAAGTCCGATTTATATGTGTCGTCAAAGCCGGGAGTATCAACAAAGACAACATCGAGACTGCTTCTTTCGGGAATGTGGTACTTTACCATTCCGATCTCGGTAGTAAATGACTCTAGCGCATGCCCGACGCCATCCTTTCTTCCGGTGACCATATTGATGAACTAAAACACTCGAGTTACGATGAACTGGCTTAACGCGTCGGTAGGTGGGTGCTCACTGAACTCTTGCCTGAACCAGTCGGGCCCATGACGCTGGAAACAGGTGTGAGCATTACTTTCTGCGGGTCGAAGTCTGAACCCACGCAATGATCACGTCCTCTTCTGATAGATCCTCCATCTTCATCGATACAGCACAGTTGTGAGCCTTCGCTCTGCCTGAAGGCTTGTGTAGTTTGCGTGATGTCTTTGTTCGAGAGAAATGCGGACGGAACCGTGGAAAATTGAGGCTTCTAAAGATATCGTGAAATCTTCCGGTCCTTGAACGCCTCGTTTCAAGACGACGTCAGGAATCGTACATCAGCGCCGCCTAATGCCCGAATGGACGCACACCTTTCAGAATCTATTCCCGAGGACTCCTCCGATTGATCATCCGCACCACTGGATTGTTCCATCTCGCTTCTGCCACCATGGGCCATTGAGCTAACTATCGAGTCTCAGCGGAGAAATACCAACAGCTCAAGGTTATCAATAGTCTCTCCAGATTCGTGATAGGGAGACACAGAGACATGATTCTGAAAATCATTGGCATCACTGAACACGATTTAGAGAACAAATAAATAAATTGGTGAAGAAACTGCCAAGCTACAGAGTACGTACCGTTCCGGATTCTCCAGAGAGGGCATCGCAGAATAGTGTTTTATTAGGTCCTTCGGCGGAACACTGTTGTTACTATCAGCACTACGAAAGCATGTTGCTCAGTACGATCACTTACTGGGCAAGGTCGAATAGCAGAGAGTATGTCTGACTCTCTTCGGCCCTGATATGTTCAATATGAGATGACCAATGGGATAGGACGAGTTCCACGGAATGAACGTACGGGTTTACCATAACCATTGGGACTTGGGAAAATGTTGAATATGGGGAGAATACCGTTCGTTCACAAAGACGCTGCTTCCCCTTCTCCAGAAGTATGGCCACAGATAGCATGTGGTAGTCACAACCATGCGCGAATACATGAGTCCTCGTGCTCAACTCGAGGTGCGGGTTGCATTGCGAGCGGACGACACCTTCCAACACGCAGATGAGCCAATTGCATATAACTAAGGACATCGATCTTACAGATTCTTGCAGGGGTAAGAGAGACGCAAGCTCTTCTATAACTGGTGTAATATTAAACCTAAATAGTGTCAGCCGTTTCCAACGTGTGCTCCGGGTCCAATCTTCCACAAAACGTCGAGGATCAACCGTGTTAGTGGTCTGACCCCTCCAACAGCCTCTCAACCACTATCCAAGCAGCTTCGGGGGTCTGTTCTTCGTAATGAATCGCATCATCCCTCCCCGTGCCGTTCCAATACTTCTCCAGTATCTCCCCTTCTCGCCGTTCGGCAGTCGTTCTATCGCCGCTGGGCCACATTGTAGTCACAAGAAGGATCCTCTTTGGATCGTCGCCAGCGAGTCTCATCAGCCTCGCAAGATGCGCGGCAGGCCTCTCTGTCATTCTCGGCTGTGAAATTGGGTGGAGGTAGAGTATTCCAGCAATCGTATTATTTTGTACTTTGCTACAAACATTTGTCAGTGCGCTTCGTGAGTAGCCAGAAGTGTGTACTTTTGTTTGAGCCATCTCTCTAGGACATTCTCTACCTCTGCTATAGTTTTCTCGCTATTATTGAAGGCAGGAGTATCCACGAAGATGACACTGCGACCGTCGCCATCGTTTGGAATCAAACACTTCACTGTCTTTACTGTCGATGTCCGCGACGCTAATCCGTGCCCGACGGATACAAGATGCTTCTTAGCCGCAGTGTTGATGAACTAAAGCACTAGTCCAAGTACAGATAACGAACGAGGTGTTAGAACTCACTGAACTCTTTCCAGACCCGGTCGGGCCAACCACGCTGTTGCGAGAAACACTAAAGTCAGCATAACGAGTCTCATCACCGGGTGAACTATGCCCACAGAATGATGATATCGTCTTGTTTGATTTCATCGAGTTCTACTCGACGTGCAAACAGTTTGCCGAGGAAATTCTTGATACCCATTGCAGGACGCCCTGGCAAGCGAAAAAATCTTGGAAGAAGCATATGGATGACTTCAGTATGCACCGGTGGTCAAGCGTTGACCGCAGTACTAATGCGTACCTACACGCGTAAAACACGAGCGCACAGTACGCAGTCTATATGTTTCTTCACAACGCGCCACAGGAATAGGCAACTTGAGGCAGGCAGTGAGTCTCAGCGCCCTCTCGGAGGGCTTCACCGCCTGGGCATCGTACGAGCATGGTTGCAGCTCCAGATTCACGTACGCCGCCGTATAAAATCAAGTCGAGCTACTGTTAGGCTCCAGTGGAGAGCGCAGGATAATCCATGTATGCCATGAGGTTGCGAAGTACGTCTCAAGCGCTGGTCACGCCCTGACGTGATCGAACTTAACACTCGCGGGCAAACGTCTCTTTTTGTGACATGCAAAAACGATCTATGTCGACAGCACCAGATAGGTGTATACACTATTGTCTCACCTATGGTTACTTTCCGTGGAGCTCATCGGAAATTAAAGCATGCCGATTTTCTCCAACAATAGGCCCATCCCCTTGCCCTCTGCCGCAGAAATGTCCTGAGTAACGCCCCTCCCAAACCAGCTTTTGAGTAACGTCCTCTCATCGCTGTCACCTGTAGCTAACTGTTCGCATACCGCAGCGACTACGAATGCACCTTCTCCAAGTGCCATCGCTACCGTCGCCTCCTGACCCACTAGTTGTACGAAGCGTGCGGCGAAAGCCGGGGCGGAGAACAGAGGTTCGCGCTCCACAGATCGTGTTGCGTGAGAGTAGTGTCCGCCCTGCAAAAGGGTCTTGTACATCCGTGCCGTGTGTGGAAGCGAAACAGGATGAGGGGTTGCAGGATCGTCTGAAGGGTATGGTGCAGCCAAAGCTTTTAGCAACGTGTCCGAAGCAGCAGATTTGTCTGTCAAGAAGATCCGTTCAGCCTCACCGGAGACGCACCATCTCCGCGAACGGAGAGACACTCACCACCCTCAGCAGCAAGCATGATTTCGCACACCACCAGGCTCCCGCCCTTGTCTCGAGCGACCTCCGCTCCACTCTCCGCCATCCATGTCAGTAAACTGTCGCTTGCGGCCCGTTTTATCTCCAACGCCCGGAGTGCATTGTCCTTTTTACTGGTCCGCGCGCGTATAACATCCGTTTCCTCCAGCAAGGCGATCTACGAAGGTGGAGTGAAGTGTGTGAAAACCGTCGCTGCAAAGCATGGCTGAAGAGATGCATACCTGAGGAGGTGTGAAATGCCGCCGTGACCGCGGTGCAATGAGGTAAAGAAGAGAACGGCGGCCTTGCACAGATGAATATAGCGAGGACGCAGACGCGGTGATTTCTGAGACGATTGACTTCGCAGTGAGTTTTGTATCGCTGTAGAGAGTTTGTCAGATTGTAGTGCCTCGAATACACGCTCAGCGCTTACTCGAGGTCATCCAAAGCGGTGAAGAGTACGAGTTGAGCGTCGTCGTTTGTACATATATGATCTATATGTGGCTTGAGAGCTTTGAGTATGTGCTTCCGGTCCTAAGTGGAGCATCAAAGACTGATCTTCTGACACTAATCAGTGGGGTGTTGGCGTACCTTTGCTGTGCCCTGCGCAATAAACTCTCTCACAATGCGACTGCCATCTTTTGTATGCACCATCTCGGCCAAAACATCCTGACAACTAACAAATGACATGTTAACAGTGAACAAAGGACGGAAAATCGAGCAAATACATCTCAAACATCTCTCTCCTGAGTTTCTCTTGTTCTGTACCATCATCGAGTCCGTTGATCGCGGTGAGATACTCCCAAAGAGCACGGTGGACGACGGAATGAGCAACGGCGCCCTTGTCAGGGTTGTTGAAGCTAAGGAACAGTCAGCCACAAGGACGTGAGGACATTGATATGGCACGAACATTGTCACAAGGTTATCCTTCAAAGCGGATAGTACTCGCTTCTTTCTCTCGCCCTCTACGCCCTCTAGAATTCCTCTCAGACCTTTCTTAAAGAGCTCCTTCTCCATGTCAGTACCGGCAGTGACAGTGAACAAACTTGCTTCCTTGCCATAAAAGTCGCGTAGAAGCAGAGCGCGCTCGTATGCGTTCGCATAGAGTTCGAATGTGTCTGCAAGGACTCTCGATGCATCGCGATGAAGGACTAGTCGCAGTATATGCCCTTGGAATTCACGCAAAATCCCGGCTCGATGTGAAGAGCAAAAGCGGATCAGTTTTGCGACAAGGAACTACGCACTGCCCTCAGTATTTCGCCGCGAACATAGGACAGAATACGTACTTTGGAGTACTTGCTCTGCACGAGCTCCTTGTACTGTCCCTGTAGCTCGGTCGCAATTTCATTCCGTTCCTTCTCTCCACCGTGCTTCACGACCGTCTGCACGATACGGCTCGCATCATGCTTGAACACGATATCCTTGACATTTCCGCGGATGATGGTCATCAGCGCCTGGATATGCTCGGCCCGTTCCTCTTTGCTGATGTTCTTCTGTCGTGCTAGTGTCCACGTAGACTTAGCTTTGGTGATAAGAGCAGAGTGGGGTTTTGCGGCACGACGCTGGTCGAGCAGTGCTTTCTGTACTTTATGCGACTCGCGCGCCGCTGGAATGCAGACGCCTAGTCAGAGAACCGTGACGAGAAGAAGTAACTGCGAATGCACCATTGGGATCCTTTACAGGCGCAGTGGCTTCGTCCACTATCTCCATCTCGTCCTCGTTCTCAGCGTCGAAGACCTCATCATCCTCGAAGTCAGCTTCTCCTTCCGACTCCTCCGAGCTTGTATCGGCTTCCTGCAGAGGTAGTGTCACAGGGCGACTACGCTTCTTCCCTTTGTCTGTAGCAGCAGGCGGCTTCTGTGCATTTTCGATATGTGCCTTCTTAAGCTTGGGTCCTGTCTGAGAGGGAGCAGGTCGCTTTCGTGAAGTTTTCTCTATAGAAACCATGATAGATCCCGACGAGCTACTAGCACCAGAGGTCTGGACACTCTAAAGGTCTGTCAAATAAGTCAGATATACGCTATTAATGATAGTGTGATACGCACCTGCCTCGTCGTGCCGAGCGGGAGTCCAGCAGAAGAATGAGCGGAAAGCTGAAGTGGGCGCTTGATCAACTAGGATCGCAAAATTTGGATCTGAGATCTATGTTGCTATCAGGCGCCCGTCGCAGTTTCTAGACTTATAGCACTTCATGTTCACATTGGTGCTCCATTCATAATCGTTGCACTACATATAAGTTTGGCTTCATTATTGGCATAGAGCCACAGTTGGTACAGGCCAGCCGGTCCGTCACCGGCCGGCCCGGCGGCTTCACAAAGTTGGGCCTGGTTGTTCGCATGTGCATTAATTAAGCATAAGTACTACCAACCTGAAGTTGTCACGATAGAAGTAGTTTGAGTATCTACTTGCACCAGAGGAGAGCAAAGAGAATTATATATTCAGTAATATCCTCTAGGCTCCGACACGCAGGACAATTGTCATTCACAACTCCCGATTTTGCACGTCGTAGAAACTTTTGTGAGCTAATGCATCAGGGAAACGTCAGCGTCTGATAATGACTTAATTCCACTGGATGTGTCTGAGATGTCTGAATTTCACTTAAATGTCTGAAGCATCTTCACGGCAAGTGTCTCTACTACAAGACCTTCTCTAAAGGACGACTACTGTACTGATATGACCTTAGGTTCACGCCTTGTGACGTGTGACATGTCCTCTTCTCTCAGTTCACGTTCACAGACCTCATGTGACGCGGGCGCTGGATGAGCATTTGCTATATATGGGATTTTAGCGCCCATGGACACATTTTCCCTAGTCTATGTGAGTCATGTCAGTGTGTCTGAGGATGTCATTATGAGATGCGGCATGTGCTAAGCTACTACGACTGCACGCGCACGTGGGGCACAGAGAGTGGGAAAAAACCCGCAGGGTTTTTCGACCGGAAACAACTGCCCGGACCTAGACAGAGGAAGTCCGAGATGAGCTGTGATACCCAATAGCTAGGAGCCCCGCGACGCGTCTAGCGACAGCTTGGACTCCCCTATGCAAGGAGACGAGCGAGTTACATACCGTATTTACCGCGGAGGCGGTGTTGTGTAGTGTGTGAACGGCTCCAGGACGGGGCTGCTCTGCATATACGGTGCCATGATCACTGCGTGTTGACGCAGATAGACTCGGAAAGTCTCACTGCTCCATCTCCCTATGGACTTTACCACTTCGAAGGATATGCCCCGGAGCAGGTACTCGAGCACTGCGCCGATGCGGATGCCGTGGCCTTTCAGCGAGTTGGTTGCGCCGAGAGCTGCCGCCGCAGTGTTGAGCCGTTTCAGGAATTCACTTCTCGTCAATGGTCGCAGTCCTTGCGGGTGATGCCACGAGAACAGTGGCGTGTCCTGTGCGGCGCCGTTAACGGCCAGATGTTGCGCCAATGCCCCTTTCGGATCTGCCAGGCCTTGCTGTTCTGCCCAGTACACATCCTCGCCCTCGGGTGAGGTCTTAGTGCGTGGTAGGTGGAATACCGTAACACGATATCCGTGGCGGTCCTCCCCCTCTCGCACATCGGAATGTTTGATGTGGACAGTCCGCTCGAAAGCTTTTAGGTTAGGTAGCGTGAACTCACCTAGCCGTGCTGCACAGAAGAAGGTGGTGGTAAGGCATGCATACACTGCGGCATCCAATGGAAGGGAGAGATCCAGCTCGCCGCATAGCTGGACGATAAAGTTGACTGTAAATGGCACCCTCTTCTCACGCTTGGATGATGGTGGGGCCGAGTTTGCTGCGCCGTCCAGTGCTGCCTTCATCTCCGACTGGGGCATCTCCCATGGCTGTCTGTGAAGAGTATGCCATGCACGAATTGCTTAAAAGTAATTTGCTAGGGTCTTGCCAGAGTAGGATCCTGCGCAGCATGATAGGAATGTGAGCACAAGAATTGAACTGGCTGGGCACCGCTGGTGCTCAGTGATGCCCCGGTCATCACAGAAGACATGGTAAATGAGCAGTCCAGCGCCGTATGACTCCCGTGTGGACTGCACCCACGAAACTGTGATCACCGCCAGTACGCGGTCTAGGTCATCATCTGTAACGGGCACCTCAAACCCGTTCCTATCCCTGATGGAGCGGCGGTTCAGTGGTAGCCACAACCGAAGTCGGTCGCATGCTAGGCAGTGTGGGCGCTGTGCTGATGCAAGGGGTGCCAGGCCCTCTTTGTACGGTCTTGGCTTCGATTTCGCAGGGGTGCCGGCTGGTAGAGCGGCCGCGAAATGGGAGTCTGACATATTAATTGTCCCAGATGGCTCGGTTTTGAAATAGTTCATTGTAGAGCTCATCCGTTTCTCGCTGCTGCTGGGCATTAGCGTCTGCAACAGCACCGTTGATCCGCTTTGCGATCGCGCTGGGGTATCGTCCTTCTCGACACATACGAAGCTCTGTGGCGGTATACGGGAGGGTGCAGTCCACGAGAAACCTGTCGAGATCTGCAGAGAGCTCAATGGGGGGTAGGAGAAGGCTTCGTGAGGGGTAGATTCCCCTGGATGGTGCATCTGCGGGATTTGACTTGCTCGTGACATAGGCGGCGTGAATGGTGCCGGTGCTGCCGGAGATCTCGAGTGTGTCGTGTACTCATCTGAAAACCTGGTTAATGGCTTTGTTTCGACTTCTGCCGTTCCACCATCCACCGATGACTCCCTTGTTGTCCCCGTATACCCTAATATTCTGGCAAGAACCTTCAGCCCTGGTGATTGCACAGACCAGGAGCTCGAACCCGACTGCCTCGGCCCAGCCGATGTCTCGGATGCCATCAAGGGTCTGCCACCCGGGTATGAGCCTCCATGCTCGCCAATGTCCTTGAATGACGATTGCAATCCCGATGCCAGAGCTTGCATCTGAGAATGCCCCGATATCGACCAGTTGGACCGGTCGTGGGATTGGCCGTGTGAGTGTCAGTTTGCAGAGTATTTGGGTCCACCAGCAGAGGTCTTCCGCAATTCCTTTGATGGGGGAATATTGCATGAAAATGCAATCGTGGCAGAGTCTTAGCATGGCCTCCAGCCCGGTGAGGTATGCTCGCCCTCTTGGAATGACCAGGCATGTGTGGAGGAGCTTACTGTAGAGCTTCTGCACATCCTTGAGATTGTGCGTCGCCCGGCACTGCCACTCCTGTATCGTGCTGAGATACTTCTGCCTCTTCTGACTCCCCAGTCCAACTGTGAGCTCCCGTAGGTCCCATGACAGTCCGATGTACACTGTGCTCGCCGCGAATTGTGTGTCTTTGCTGCGTTCCCAAGGGTAACCCAGTTTCTTCGAGAGCCTGTCAATGTCTGCAAAGCAGTAGGTGTAAGCTCTGTCAGTCTCTGACCGTGGGGAGTCCATGGACAAGTCTTGGATGGGAAACTGACAGTCATCGTTGAACTCCTCGATGGTGCTGTCATCGAAGATTTGACCGCCATACCATATGCGTCCGAGCCCATTCAGCCAATATATACCCAAATGTCCATATAACCGAGGTGGAATATTTTGTGTAAATTTCCATAAAACCGAGTGTTGGCCAAGAATATAATATAGGATGGAGATGTAGGGTTGGCCAAGATAAGTAGGCTATATAGGCTGAGTCGCATATTTGGGAGTTAGCCAAGGGAGGTGCAGTTTAAAGTCTATATAGGTTGTCGGGCATTTTGGGGTCGGCCGCCATTTCTCTATATAGATTGTAGCTGAAATAGTGCCATTGGCCAAGAGTCATAAAATTCCAATCCTATATAGAGTTTGCAGACAGTTGGGCTTGGCCAAGTGGACCTATATAGAATCTTTGTGTAAATGTTCCACTTGGCCAAGGCACATAAAATTTTGATCCTATATAGCATTTCCTGACATTTGGCTGTGGCCAAGAGTACCCTATATAGATTTTTGTGGAAATAGTGCCTGCGGCCAAGGGTCAAGCAATTTGCATTCTATATAGGATTGTCTGAAATTTGGCCTCAGCTACAGATACCCTATATAGTTCTTGTAGAAATGGTGGCCTCGGCCAGGAGTCATCAAATTTTAACCTATATAGAGAGATCTGAATTTTGGCCTTGGCTGAATATACACTATATAGTTCTTGCAGAAATGTTGGCCTTGGCCGAAGGTAGTAGAATTTCTATTCTATATAGGGTCTTCTGAAATATGGCATTGGCCAAGGATGCACTATATAGGGTTTTTGAAAATAATGGTCTCGGCCGAGACTCTTGAAATTTGTATCCTATATAGGATTCTCCACACTTTGGCTTCAGCCAAGTAGCATCTTCTATTTGTTTTGATCAGAAAGGGCAAAATTCTCTTCACACATAGGAGTTTTAAAGCTGGGGCCTTCACCAAGTGTATATATACAGGTTTTATCACATGTGATGCCATCAGCTATAATGAGCCAGGTCAGACCACCTTCAGGGTTTGTGTAGTAGTAGTTGGGCCGTCCTTTGCTATCACATTCTGAGACCAATATCCTTCATATCAAATGATTCAGAGCCACTGAATTTAATCTAAATACATATGATCAAATTTTTGACACTATGTTGAGCATATGAAGATGATGACCTTCTGTTGCCTCTGAACCTTCCAAGTCAAAGATAACATCCAGCCAATTTAGGAACTCGCTGCGATCAACGTAATAGGCTCGAAGGTACTCCTCCACAAGATTGGCGATGGTATTATGCACAGGCAGCAAGTGCAGGTGCAGATGAACCAAAACCAAAGAGGTGGTATCCAACCTTGTGGTCAGTGCTATCTCCCTCTTGCCGACAATCCAAAGACCCTTCATCAATGGTACCCAAGATTTTTCAGTGGATGGGACACTATACAGGCCCTGATATCCCTCAAATATCAGCTTTTGTGCGAGTAAAGAATTCATATTAAACCTACATGGTATACCTGCATTGCACCTCTGTCACGGTTTATGGTGCAGGCCAGACATTCAAACTGCATCTGCTCAGTCATATTCCACTGTCGGAGATCTGGAATGCAATGCAAGCAAACAGCTCTGCTGCAGTTTGGACGGTCACAGTCGACCAAGTTTCTGCCTTATTGCCAGAGAAAGCAATACTAGGTGCATGGTGTTAGCAAGATGCATATGTTGAAGAGAGAAACAACACCATATCACAGACTTCTATGCCATCTGGAAGATCTTGTGACGTTGATGCTTAGGAGCATGAGCAGAAGGAGGTATAGTTGGATTGGAGGTGAGTAAGCTATTCTCATGTTCATGAACAGCAGCAGTGATAGACACTGCAGAATCACGTATGGGTTGACTGCTTCAGCATCGAGGGACATCCATTTTAGCAGCAGATGCACATCCTTTCGGCCTGCATATGACTTCGACAAATGGGTGGCTCTGAAAACACATGAGGGCAGAGCAGGAACACTTGCCTCATCCTCATCCTCATCCTTGGCCTCGGCCTCGCTCTTCTCCTCAACATCCTCCTTGATATCCTCCTCGACATTTGACACAGGCACATAGCTTAGTGGCTGGTGGATTGTCTCCTTATGTTCCTCCTTGGTATTGTCCAATTTATCACTCTCCTTTGATTCATCATTGGACAGAGGTGGGCTACCAGTGTGATTGTGATTTACTAGAAATGTCTCACCTCTGTCCGAGTCATCATCCAGAAACTCCCCCTTCAACTGACCATCTCCATTGACATCTTCATACAAACCTCTATACACAATGCTCCCCCTGTCATCTCTGCTTTCTCTCAACTGGAACTGCTTCTAATTATCCATGTCCTTCATCTCATCCACACTCAGAGTCAATTGCGACATAGTATCTGCTTGGGGGGTCATGTGAGGTGTCAGCGAATGCAGGGTAGAGTCTGTCATTATAATATCAAATGAAATGTTGCTTATTTGACAAACGTATTCACTATTAGAAACATGAAAACGTACCTGGTCTGTCCTTTTGCAAAGGTCGGCCATGGTAGTAAGCTGGTGGCACAGATCTACAGTACGAGATGCCTCCTCTAATTGGCTGATCAGCCTGATCGAGATTGAAACCTTGATGCTGGTCCTGACTTGTACCCACAGATGCAGGATTCTCTGGGATTGAGTGCAGATTGAAGGTAGATTGCCTAACACCAGACTGCGGGGTATAGGCAGGGACACAGGTCTACCTTTATAGTACAAAGGCCTGACCCTGACTATACATACAGGTACATAGACCTGCATATAGTACAGGTCTATGAGAGTCACAGGTTTATAAAAGATAAACCTGTACTATGACCTGTACTATTACTATGTATGTACCTATGTGTAGTTTACTACACATTCTGGACATGTCTTCAAGTAAAGTAGTACTTAAGAGCAAAGTTTAACATGCAAAGTTTAAGTTTAAGTAGCTCTCTTACAGAATATATGTGTTAGCATTTGTGCTTTAATTAATTTAGTTTAATTTGAGTCTCACTCATATATTTATAAAAACTCCGCAGGTTTATATAGTCAGACCTCATATACCTATACTATGTGTACAGGTTTCACAGGTCCAACAAACTCATACCTGGACTATAACATTTACTATAACTATACTTGGACCTTTGCATAGTTTATTACACTACTATGTCCCTGCCTAGTGAGGTAGAGGTCTGACTGGCCGGCTGAGCAGACTGTGCGTGCTTCTCAGACTGGCTGTGCATGGTAGAATATACAAAAGTAGCCAAATAGATGTGTGAGAATAAGCAGCAGAGGCACAGCAACAGAAATATAGCAGAGCAGAGACAGCAAGGATAGAGCAAGAGAGAGAGAGAGAGAGAGACAGATCAGATTATAGTGATTGCAATCAAAAGGACTTGTGCGCGCGAGCCCATGGAGATCACGTGATATGCTTGGAGGGCCGGACTTCCCGAAATCTAGTGGACAGTGGCTGAAATTTGATCGGAGTCCGAAAATCGTCCAAATATAGCAATATTCCAGCCACCAGTGTACACCTTCTGCATATGGAAGGTGCTTGACGCATCTGGTGTCTGGGGCACATGACCGAACAAACATGGCCAAATAGTTGGTTTTATGAGCTGGCGCAACTTCCTCTCTCTCTTCCTTCTCTACCACCACCATCCCCTTCCAGCAAGCCGGCCACAAGTGGCTGAGCTTTGTTGCTGCATGTTGCCATGAGCATGCAGTGTCAAAGCTTAGTTATTTGTGCATGCCTTTGTAAGGTAACTGTTTCTTTTCCTGTAGATAGTATTATGTAATATGCACTTTACTGACATCATCCCATGGCTGGTCTTTGGCCAGTCATGGGGTACATGTGGGTTTTGGGGGATCGCGGTGGCGAGCTGCAGAGGGCTCCGCGTTGTGGGGGTGACCCACTCGCATCCCTCACCTGGTACTTGAGATTTGGGGGATCACTGGGCATGCAGCGGCGAGCTGCAGAGGGCTCCGCATTGTGGGGGCGACTCACTCGCGTCCCTTACCTGGTACTTGAGATTTGGGGGATCACTGGGCATGCAGCGGCGAGCTGCAGAGGGCTCCGCATTGCGGGGGCAACCCACTCGCGCCTCTCACCCAGTATATATGGGAATTGGGGGATTTTGCACTTCGGTGCCAATGCGCTTCGGCGTACTTGCGTCTAGGCGCATATGTGCTCTGCACATTACATTGTCGCCGGCCATCAGCCTTGTGCTGTGCGAGTCGTGCGTGGAGCTGCCATTGGCCTGCTCCACAAGGTCAGTCTTTTTTACTTGTTTGTTTCTTTTTGCATGGTATGGTGCGAGTACAGGAAGTGTAAGAAAGATGTGGTAAGTACTCCACAGCACATCATACAGATACTGACAAGGGTTCTTCAGCATATGGTGGGTTTTATGGCAGTGGTGAAGACCAGGCCAAATTCTATAGTGGATTGAAAGAACCGGTGAGTTTTTTTTCCTTGCATTTTGAAGAATACTGACCTCTTGATGTTTCCACAGCCTCTTACACATGTACTGAAAATTGACGACGGTCACTGCAGCGCGAGCAATGCAGCGCGCAAGGTGAGCATTTTCTAATGTTTTCTGACTGTTTTCTGACTTCCTTTTGGTGTTTTGCAGATTGTATTTGTACTTTCCTTGTAGTCTATTTTCTTTCATTTTTCCCCTCTTCCTGGTGCTTGTGACAAATGAGGGAGGGCCCGCCCTCAGTCATCACAAGTCACCTTTTATTTTCCATCTTTGTAGTTAGAAAAAATTGTAATACTTGAGTTTGTATCCATGAAGCATGAATAAGGCGAAGCCATGCCGGTATGCCGGACGATGCACGAGCGCTTAAGTCACGTGATCACATCACGTGCCACCGTGTGCACTTTTTGAACCCTTGGCCCTGCCCAAATTTCCATCTTGCCTCTTCCCACCATCTGCTACAACAGCAATTCCAGTACTTTCATCCTTTCAAAAGCCCTACTATCAACCATGGCTGGCAAAGCTCAAGAGTATGTGCTTTCTCCAAGCCAGATTTCATCTGATTGAGCAAACTGAACCATAGCTCTGAACTTCCAGACCCTTGTACCCCTGGAGGGTATCACTGCATATAGTATATATAATGTAAGCAGTAACTGTATGATGAATAAAGCCTAAGTACAGCCTAGATACAGCCTTAAACTATGTATTCAGAAGCTCCAAAGGGAAAAGAAGACTGTTACAAGCCTTAAACGTAATGTGTATAATGTCATTCCCTCAAATAAGGCAGATATTGAGGGGTATACCCTCAGGGTTTGGTACCCTTACCCATACTCTTACCCCTGGTGAAGGGTATGTACCCTTGGAGGGTAAGAGTAGAGGTACAGCTCAAAGTACCCAGGGGTATACCCCTGCTCTGCACTAGCCTGACACCATGCTTCTTTAAGGTCCTGGAGGATACACTCATTCAAATTTAAATAGCCAGTCACACACATTTATTGACTACTTTGCATACCTACCTTTGCAACTCGCAAACTATCTAACAATCATTTGACCATTGAATGCCTGTTGTGATTGAAGTGCAAAGTCCTTGAACATTGCACCTTGCTTTGCTGCATAGGATGCATGATCACATAGACCTGCACTCACCGCCTCCATCTCCCTGGTCTGCCACTCATGCTGCTTGCGTTCAAACCACAGGACAGTCTATAACATCTCATATTACACCTTTGGTACCTCCTCCTTGTATCTTGTACCTTGTGCCTTTGCTCTCAGCCAGTTAACTCGATTAACTGACATGCTAATTACAATCTGTGAATAAGTTTAACCAGGCATGAACAGATAGTCACTCACCCTCCTTCATCACTTAAGGCCCTAGTGCAGAGCAGGGGTATGCATAACCCTCAAGGGTAAGAGGTAAGGGTATTGGAGAGTAAGGGTAGGGGTATGAACTTTCAGACCCTTGTACCCCTGGAGGGTATCACTGCATTTAGTATATATAATGTAAGCAGTAATTGTATGGTGACTAAAGCCTAAGTACAGCCTAGATACAGCCTTAAACTATGTTTACAGAAGCTTTAAAGGGAAAAGAAGAATATTACAAGCCTTAAACTTAATGTCTATGATGTTATTTCCTCAAGTAAGGCAGATATTGAGGGGTATACCCTCAGGGTTTGGTACCCTTACCCATACTCTTACCCCTGGTGAAGGGTATGTACCCTTGGAGGGTAAGGGTAGGGGTACAGCTCAAAGTTCCCAGGGGTATACCCCTGCTTTGCACTAGTGTCAGCAAGACCATTAAGTTTGGATGCCTTAGCCTGAAGCCCCATTTGTGTAAAAAGCTATATGGCCAAGGCCAAAGTGTGAAAAACTCTTTATAGAATGAAAATTTCTAGATCCTCGGCCAAGGCCACCATTTTCACAAAAACTATATAGGGCATTCTTGGCTAATGCCAAAGTTTAGAAGACCCTATATAGAATATAAATTTCAGAACACTCAGCCAAGACCACCATTTCCATAAAAACTATATAGGATATTTTCAGCCACAACCAAATTTCAGACAATCCTATATAGGATTTCAATTTCTTGACCCTTGGCCGCAGGCATTATTTTCACAAAAATCTATATAGGGTACCCTTGGCCACAGCCAAATGTTAGGAAATGCTATATAGGATCAAAATTTCATGTGCCTTGGCCGGGTGGAACATTTACACAAAGATTCTATACAGGTCCACTTGGCCAAGCCCAACTGTCTGCAAACTCTATATAGGATTGGAATTTTATGACTCTTGGCCAATGGCACTATTTCAGCTACAATCTATATAGAGAAATGGTGTCCGACCCCAAAATGCCCGACAACCTATATAGACTTTAAACTGCACCTCCCTTGGCTAACTCCCAAATATGCGACTCAGCCTATATAGCCTACTTATCTTGGCCAACCCTATATCTCCATCCTATATTATATTCTTGGCCAACACTTGGTTTTATGGAAATTTACACAAAATATTCCACCTCGGTTATATGGACTTTTAGGTATATATTGGCTGATAGGTGTGTGCATCCGCCATCATGATGCTGACCGCGGATGGTGATGTCATCATGCCAGCATGTTCGACTCTGATTGTATGTGTGCAGATATATCCACAGAATGCGAAAAAAGAAGTGGTCATCGACCCATTTCGAAAGTGGGCCAATTCCATTGGCTCGGAATATGTCTGCACCTGCATCTGCGACATAGCCAAATGGCGCCACTCCGAAAATCCTCCTGCTTTGCTGGGTACCCATTGTCCCTCGATCTCTGTCCAAGTCGTGAGGTGCTGGAAGATCCTGCTCGTGCTGAAGATCTTGATCGGTTGTGCGACTCTGAGCTGTGACGAGACTGCATGGATTGCATGGGCTGCCCACCTCTGCATGGTGGCGTGGGTGCTAGCGAGAGATTGTGGCGCTGGTCCAACTGTTGTGGAGCGCAGTCACAAATGTGAGCGTAATGTGGATTTGCGTGCCCGCACCATTTGCCAGTGCCAATGCCATTGCCCGTGCCAATGCCAGTGCCAGTGCCAGTGCCAATGCCAATGCCCGTGCAATTACATAGATGGGAGCGCCGAGATATCGTGTGGATATGGTGATTTGAAAATTCAAATTGTCAGCATGTCATCTGCCACCAAATGGTCGAAGTACGCACGCTAAAATCCCGCTCGTTGTCTCTGCGGCCGCGTTCTGCCCAGTATATGCGTTCTTTGGTCTTCCGTATGAGCTCCTTGTTGATCTGTGCAAGGTTGTACGCCGTTGCTGAAGAAGTAATCGCCCTGTGCCAGAGCTTGTGTTGCTCTCCCTGGTATACCAGAAGAGTCTTCTGGTCGAGCGGATCAATGCTCGAGCGAAGCTCATGTATCTGCAGGTTGCCCCAGAACCTTGCGAGCATGGTGATCCACTCTTCCGGCCAACGTGCTTGTTCCATTGCGAGGACCATGCGCAGTACAGCTTGACAGAAGTCTTCCCAGTGAATGTCCTTGTCATCTGTGACTCCTCGGGCTTCTCTCACGGATGCTGCAGGGACCCAGGAGGTGGAACCATCCGCTGTTCGAGTGATCACCATTGCCTCATCATCAACGGAGCTGGTAATGCGCAGTGCCTCTTCAAGCCCCTCGTTTGTGTAGTACCATAGTTCTACAAAATTGCCTTTCTCCATTCTTTTGACTGCGTAGTTAGCGGCAATAACTGGAGCAACGGTTGGTACGTCTCTGTCCGGGATCGGTGCAAACTTTGCTCTATTCTTTTTTGTTTCTTCCTTCTGTGCATTCGCCTGCTCTACGAGCTGTGCTTCCTGTGTGTCCTTATCTGCCTCTGCTGCCAACCTAATCTGCTCCGCTATCTCAGCTTCATGTTCCTCTATCTGGAGCTGCCATGCTACCTTGTCAGCCTCATTTCCAGCCTTCCAGATATTGACTAGTAACTGAATAGCCTGCTCGTTGGAGGTGTTGTCATTGACCAGCGGCGCGCGGGTCACTGCATACATGTCCGAAGCATAGTCGGGGCATTCCAGCGATGTGGGGTCGAGCTGCATTTCGAGTATTACTTATACTAGATTCTGTAGAGAGTCTTATTAAACTAGATGGTCTAAGGAACGTCCGAAACGTGAAAGTCTAGATGAAAATGAAAGCTTAAACTGCTTTGATATCGAGCAGCGAGAACGCCAGTCATGGCGGAAGGCAAGAAAAGATGCCACGCCACAACTGCCTAATCCGAACATAGACGAAATTCTGTGTTCGCGCTCGTTCCTCGTGCTCACTCAGAAAACAATCCATGGATGCCTTGTGACATGTGACAAGCGCCCAAAACGGTTCAGTTCACTGGTCCTGTGACGCGTGACTGAACCTAAGGTCATATCAGTACAGTAATGTTCATATAGTCACTGAGTACCTAGCACTGAGCTATTTTTCTAGCATCTACATATGCCCATTGGCTGTTCTGCCACCATGCTCACTTTTGTACATATACATATTTTCTCCTTCCATCCTATTCCTGGGCGTATCGAGTTAGCCATATACAGTACATGCAACACAGGTAGCTGGAGCCGGGATCTTCAAGGCAGGTATATGTAACAATTTCACAGTGCCTCACATTCTAGTGGGCATTCTTGAGATGGTTCCGATTGCAGGCAGGAGTTCGAACGTGCGCGTGAACATTTAACTGAAACAAGAATGTTCATCGAGTTCAACAATCCCATGTGTGAAATTGTAAGAGGGAACCACGACTTTGTTGAACTTGGCCAAAGACGACCAAACAAAGCACCTAGGCCCGCGTTCCTTCTGGCTCTGCAAGTTTGTTCTTGAGCCTGCTTCAGGATCCCCGGACTCATGAAACGGAGCATGAGTTTTTGATCGAATGTAAGCAGTCGCGCTATTCCGTATTATCTCTGAAGTTTCCTCTTTGGATTTCACTAGTTCGGAGATTTCGTGAGTAGTGAGTGGTACAGTGGCCGTGAACAGGATGATTCGAGCATGCAGAGAGCATACTAGTAGCTGCCGATGCTCGAGGAGGCCTTGAGTTTTCTTTTTTCACTGCAGTAGGACTTGACAAACAATGTGATGAAGGCAAGCAACAAAACTCTGTTTCATTTTGATGATCAGGATGGTATCACATTCGGCGAGTTTTTGGCTGTCATTGTTGCTAGTTTACTTCTGTGTTCCCAGCTCATGTTTACTTTCCATGGGGCTACGGTGGTCCTTCACTCACGCAGCAAGACGAGGGAAGTTTACTCGATCGTGGTGTACGTCTCGCCGTTCAGCCTGAAATTCATCCCGGAGGTCTTCACGAAGCCTGTTATGGGAATTACGGCCGAGGGATGTGCTCATCCCTCGGCCGCACTGTTCTCCCAATCAATGATAAATGTCACTCATCAGAAATATCGCAGAGGCACTTGTTCTGCAGGATGTACTGACCTGACCTTTATACCTGCTAGAGGCCCGACATCATCTCTCGCCCATGCGATTTCCTGCCCTGCACAGCCGGCAGATGCTCGCACTTTGCACAAACATTTATTCAAGGGTACACAAGAGGTGAGGCTACGAAAATAGACTTCTCCCTCGCTTCTCCTCAAGCCGGTTGAATGGCAATTAAAAGAAGCAGCACCGGCGCAGTGGTACGTGAGGACCGTGTTTGTTCCTCCGCGAGCACTCGCCATCCTGATACGAATAATTTGCGTACAGAATTGTTGCCTTCACCGGTGAGTTCTAGCCTGCTCTCATCCTATTGACCACTGATACACACTGTCCCTTCGACGTTGACTTTCAGTACTAGCAGCTGGGCAGTATTCAACTGTCTGGATCAGTGTAGTATCCGCATGCTGCTTCGTCGAACACCTGCTGACGGCAGTACGCATTCCGACCAGCGTTCTGCACGGCGCTTACATGCGGTGGTTGGTACCAACTCGAGCAGGCACACAACTTGGAGGGCGGATGCACCGTGAAGTAGAATGAGTCCTGTGGGATGACGAATGCCGTGGCCGCGGGTGTTGCTTCTACCAGACAAAATCAGCACAGAACAACCAGTACGTGCCACCCACACTTTCTCACCCATCCTCCAAGTACCCGTCGCCTGCAGCCAAGGAGTACACTGAGAAGTGGGTCGGCAGTCGTACGATGATGATGCCGCTTTCACCCCGTGCCCCTGTTTGTGGACTCTTGCGTAAGTTTCCGACTGTACTATGTACTTTGTAGACGTAGTATCTGTCCTTACTGTAGTTCTGAATATATCTATTCTAGCTTATTTGTGTCTTAAAGTGTCTGGAAGATCCTCTGAGTTTGTCTGGAAGACTTTCTGACTTGTCTGGAATTGTCTGAATTGCCACTTACATGTCTGGTTTCAGAAGCTAACCTCATGGATTCAGACGCACTCGTCTGAAGCACTTAGCGGTCTGAGAGGTCTGGTAGGTCTGATTTCAGCTCGCTAAGACCGATAAAGTGAATGTGACGTTTTGCTGATGACTGCCGAATAGACCGTCACGCCCACATAAGAACTGCATCTTCTGATACCCTAGTCAGAGCACTCTACTCGTGCGGAAATATATTCCTGACAGCATGTCGGATCCCCGAGATAAATCGTGGGCTAATCAGAGTACATTAGCTAGTAGCCATCGACGGGAAAGCTGCTAACCTCACCCGCGAATGAGCAACTGATCGAACTGAATTATGTGCGAGTTGCGTGTTAATTTGTGTCGTTTTCCTGTTATTTGACTGCATCGCAGAATATGACGGGACTAAGAAATATTTTATGTAACCGAATGGATTTAGAACTCTTTGAAGATGAAACACAGTACGCGAGGATGTGTTCACTGATGCAGATCATATCAAGCACGTAATTGAATTTATCTAAACGTATAAAACGGGTAGGTATGTTACCTACCTACCGGGGGATCAGCGATCTTGGTTGCGGCAGCTCTTCCCGCCGGCCTGTTAGAATCTGGGGAGTCGAATAACATCGGAGACAGTCCGCTAGATTGGCCCGACTCGTCCGTCGACGTGTCAAATGGTAGCTCAGAGAGAAGAATTGTCGAAGAGCCTGGGGTAGATGGTGGAGAGCGTGACGTGAGTACTGCCTGGTTAAGAGCGCCCAATTTCCCTAGACGATGCAATATTCGTGAGTTTATGAACAGAAAATTAAAACATTGTAGACCATACATATTAGGATTCTTCCATCAGAACCACATGTTCCAAATATGTCTCCCTTAGAACTGGGGTTTGCTAACGGCACGAATCCCAATTACCAACTCGCAGGCAGTCGCTCGCGTAATGATATAGACGTACGCAAATCTTCGCCGTGATCCTCTAATGAGAGTACACAGTGGACTTCTGCCGTCTCAAACTCCCAGATATGGACTTCTCCACCGTCATCACTGGACGCCACCAGTCTTCCATCGCGTGAGAGTGCCATTAACCGTATGTCATACTGAGAGAGTCAGTATGACGCAGTGCCTCGACAAAATAACAGACACTCATACCGAATGTCGAGTGTAACCGCGTGTAGTATCCAACAATCTGATTTTCCCAGAATCATCCCCTACCAAGATACCCGTACTGTCTGGCATAAATTCGATGCTTTTGACTTCATCTTTCGCCTTGAAACGTCTCAACAGTCTGCCGGTTTCCGTATCCCAAAGCTTGACCACTTCATTGTCGAACCCTGCGGCAACAGACCGCCCATCTGGCGCCATACGAATCAAGGCCGGAATATCTTGAATTTGGACTGGCGAACAATTAGATCGTAACTAACGGAATGTATACAACTGGACCTACTAGTTTGGACAGGACTCCCCGTCACTATATTCCAGGTCCGCAGGGTTTTGTCAAAGGACAAGGAGACGAGTGATCGACCATCTTGTGATATATCAACACCTCTCACTTTTGCGGTGTGTCCAACGAGAGTATTTTTGATGCGATGACCTGTGGCAGTAACAGTCCAGATCTGGGTCGTACGAATTCAACATCAAGAAGGTGGTCAGCACTGCTGTTAGGTTATGCCATCATTGAAACTTACATTGAGACGTCCACGTCTGCCTCCTGTTACAAGTAACCGACCATCTGGACCTAAGCAGAACGCATCAAAACCGCCGTGATCCAACATACTATGTAATTTGGAACATCCCCCAGATTGTGCCGGACGAAAGTCATGATACCATTACAAATCAAATCAGTTGACGAGGTAAAGACAAATCAGAAGGTGACAGTACCATATTTCGGACCCCGTCTGTACTTCAACTACACGTATCCAGCGGCGTCCACATCTCACAGCGAAATACTTGCCATCTTGTGAGAAACAAAGGTGTGCTACAGCTTTCCCCATATTCCTGTTACATATACACAATAAATAAGCTATTGTCTGTGACTCCTTCAACGCAAATGTGGTACACACCAATCATACTGATACGAGTGTATCAGTTCCACATCAATCATTCTTCTCAACACCCCGTCCTGGCTGGGAAAGAGGGCGAATCGCGCCGACCAGCCCTTTCCCTGCTCTACACCTTCGGACGGATATAGGTCCTTCTTGCAGAGAAAACATGTTGCATTTTCACTCATCCAACGGTCTCCGCAGAATCGCTGTAGTACGGAATACACCTCTAAGTGAGTTACTCGGTAGTAACAAGGGAGCGAACGCACATGAAATACATGGCCGCACGGGTACTGTCTGAGAGGTTCCTGTTCTGTCTCTTCCACTGGTCCAGGCTCGGACTTCTGCGTAGATTTCGCTTTTGGAGGTAAGAAATCCTCCAAACATAAGTAACATCTAGAGTTCTGGTCCTCCAAAGTGACGTCTACGAGATCTGAGTCCTCCCATTCAGGAAAGTTGTGAGCGCTCGCATGAGACGTAACCTCTGGCACCGGGATGTAGCGGACGAGGGGAAGAAAGTCAATCGCCTTGGCGCGGAAGACACGTCCAATGGAGTGGTCGCTGGAGTGACTGCTGGCCCGGGACTCATCGCCGGAGTGATTGCTGGTGTTATCGCCAGGGGGTTCGTCTGAAGGTTCGTTGGACTGTTCGCTGGCGTCTGCGCTGGAATGGTGGTCTGATACTTCAGTAGGGGATCCGTTGGATCCCGAATGTTCGCTGGTGCTAGGCTCATCTCGAGGAACTGGCACAACCATGCTTCGACCAGTTCGTGCATCACGGAGTCGGCGCATGACTGTGCAGGTGAGTACAATATAAGGATGAAATCACCAAAAGATCGACAGAGTGATCGGTACTTACTTCGCCAAATGCTTACACGACACCTTGTATGTGTGCTTTTAACACGATGTCTCAGACGACGCGCATGTTGGGCAGCCTAGGGGGGCCCGCTGAATCCACGCTATGTCCACGGATAATTTAAAGCCCTTCCCGGCACGCCGCATCTTCTCCGATTGGACGAGGTGTTAACAGCATGAGCGGGCAATCCGGATCTCTGGGCGACCACGAGTACATTATCAAGAACTGTCCTATTGCATGCGCGGTGATCTCTGAGCAAGCGCTGATCAAATTGAGTGCATCAGTCAATGGAGCTTGATATGTTCCATGCAAGTGCAATCATGTGCCGTTGGCGCCATAAGGTAGGACGTATTCCTACCCTGAACAGTGCTTGGAGCCAATCACCACTCACTTGTGATTCGACGTGATGCCATGATGCGCAAAACCATTCTCACTACAGGTATGGTCGCCGTATTCGAGATCGTACAAAGGAACTGCACACCTACAAAGTAACAGCCACAATATATTACAAGAGTATAAAGCACTGAGTCCAAATCTGCGCAAGGCTCACATACAGACTTGAACCTTGAGGTCCCCGTAAGGCCTGACTTGAAGTTAAGAGTGGCGTAATCATGGAAAGGCAGGAAGACTGCTGAAGCATTCACGATTCACGATATCTGTTGCCAGAGCAGGAGACAGTCACCGTGTGGAGCTCGCTCCGTTGAAAAACGGGGTACGCACAGGGGCATAGTCTAGCGCTATGAGATATCGAGTGTTGTGAAGGGGGGACGCTGCACCTTCTATCCATGCATCACATAGCTAGTGCCCATCGTCTCAACAATTTGGGTCACCCGGGGTTGACAGAAGAGGTGCTGGTGAAGATGTCTAATTTCCCTGAGACAGGTAACCTTCGTCAGTGTATAAGCCACGAAATAGAGAATTAGGGATGCGAACATGTTCGAACGATGCCAGACGCACTACATGTGACGAAGCGATTCTCCTTTTGAATGAAAGCAACACTGCGAACTGATCCGGATGGACATGTCAGCAGCGCTCTTGAATATGACCATACGATGCGGAGGTGACCCACTTCAATCTGACCCAACCCGCAGGACGAATTGCATTTCTCCCGTCTGGGCATCCCACAAAAATACTTCTTCCCAGTCACAGGATGCTAACCAGTGTCCTTCGCGCGAGATAGTGACCGAGCGAGGATACTTCAGATGAATTTATCAACGGCATACCACGCCCACGCAGAACACACTCAACGTACCTCGGTTCCGGTAAATGTTCTTGTGGTAAACACACTCGATATATCTTCTTCGGTTCCTCGATGATTGTCGAAAATCGCGGGTGAGGCCATGTACCTCTCTAGTATTGCCGTCATGTCCCAACATTTAAGTGGGTCCGTAGACCATGCTGATGACACAAGTCCAGTACCATCGGGTGTGAAGACCAGGTTCGTAATTGGATCATTGTGGCCTCTCCAGCGATTTAAAAGTGAGCCTGTGTCAACATCCCACAAGTCTATCATCCCGTCAGATGAGCCAACTACGATACGGCCGCTGTGACATGCAAGACGGAGGCTCCTCATGCCTTGTAGTTGTACTGTAAACATATAAATCAACATCTCCATATGTTGAAAATGCCAATGAACCCACTTGTCTGAATCATGTGACCGCTTCTGACGTCCCAAATGTGTAGAGTCTCGTCAGCTGCGAGGGACGCGAGCGAACTACTGCCATCCAAGAACTGCATCGATCTTACAGTGGCGCTGTGCCCAACGAGCGTAGTTGTCTTCTCCGCATGCCCGTCTGCAACTTGGATGTTCCAGATCTGTAATGCGTATATTTTCGTTCATTTATGAGCGGCGACGCGTGAGCGGACATGGCTACTTATAGCTTGAATTGCGAAATTTGATACAAATGCATGACCCACCTTGATACCTCCACGGCTATTTCCTGTCACGAGGGTTGTCTCATCGGGACTGAAGCAGCAGGCTGAGAGGTAATCGTCGGTGAAGGTGCTGCGCAAGATGGAAGATGACAACGCAGGATTATAGAATACGAAAAAAAAATAATCAGTCTATCATGGGAGGACGTGGACAGACGGCAATGTACCAGATTTTAGATGCTGTCATTGTTCGGATGACACGTCCGTGTCCACCAGCATACCGCCCTCCCACTGCCAGATATTGACCGTCCGCCGAGAAATATGCAAAATCGCAAGGTCTGCATTGCGCATAAGTCCGTTGAGCTTAGAGCATGCCGACCTTGTTCTAGAAATTACACACTCACTCGGCAGGCATTGTATAGAGAAGATCAACCTCAACTACCCTTCTGGCGATCCCATGCTGACTGCGAATAAGGTTGGACACCGCAGACCAGTCACTATTCTCTTTCAAACAATCAGTTGGATATGGCAGATCAGTTGGACCGAGTATGTCGGCTTTGCACAAGAAACATTCGGAGTGCTCTCGCATCCAAGCTGCAGCACAGTCTTGCTATGGAGTGCGAAAAATCCTATCAACTTGGGGATGAGCACTGCAACAACTAAATGAACATACATGTAGAACGTGACCGCATGGAAACTGCGTGAGTGGTTCTGGCGCTGCTGTCTCTGGCACTTGTGCGATTTGGACGGAATTCTTGCGGGGTGGTTCGTAATCGTCCAAGCAGTAGTAGCATCTTGAATTATGATCCTCCAGAGGCACATCCGGGAGATCTGAACTTTCCCATATTACAGACTGAAATTTATCGCCAGATGCCTCTGCTGGGATATAGCGGACAAGCGGAAATGCGAAGAGTCTCGTTAACTGGCCCAACTCTCCCAGCAGCCGTCGCTGGCCTGGACCAAGCGCAGATTCCATTCTTCGAAACGGGAGGCGTGAAACTTTCAAATAATACACGAGAGCGCCGACGTGATAGTGAGGACCAGCGGGAGGACGGGGTCTTGTTGCGCGCGATCAAGGTACATCCAGAGAAGTCGATGAGGAATGAAGACAGGTGGCAAAATCTTACTCACCTAGCTGCAAAGCAGCGCGAATCATTCTTGTCACATGCAACCGAGTCGTGTCCGGAAAGAAGTAGAGTCGATGAATGGACCACTGATAAGTATGGCCGCAGTATCGCAGCCACGGCCCCATTGAGGTGGCAGTATTGAATTTATCGCCGCCGTCCTGGAACCTGGACATCATCCACAACTAATATAAAGACATTAGATGACGAGACCATGGAAAGATCCGGCACTTGCCAGAGGCATGACAGGCAATGGCCTCGGACAATCTATCAATGGAGGTGGATTGTAGAGATGGAATCGTCTTATTAATGGGAATCAACTGTTCCTTGCACTGTACGGATGGACGAAGGTTTAACGTCTAACTGCAATGATTTGTCATTCGGAGGACAGTTTTACTATCCTCCGATCACCCTCCATGTAAGACAACCAGCCTATTACGCTGGGATCTCAGGCCGAACATGTCCACAGTCTTGTCAGAAAAACTCTTTGTCGAGTGCGCAGAATCCAGAAGCTCAGAAAGAGGCTTTTAAGACACTCTCCTTTCTGCTATCTGCCTGATGCGGCTGCTGGTAAGTCACCATCGCCTGTCGTAAGGGTACAGTCTCACTTGCCATCATGGCAAAGACTCAACTTGCCCGTCCGTGGGGCGCGAGCTGCAGTCCCAAACGCGCGCCAACGCGTCCGCCACATGTGACTAGTTGACTCTTCGTTGAGAGCCACGCCGCCGTTTGTATCATGATCCAGTACGTTGACTGTGTACCCTCTCCGTCCATCGCCGACTCTTGAGCAGGGGTTAGCCAGATAGTAAGACCCGCTATGATCGACAGCTAAGGTGCGTCGACGAGCAGTTCTCCCAAAGTGCTTATTTGTCTCACTGATAATGTACGTTGTGGGCGCTGGGCAGCCTTTGGTCGATCTGCATTGCAGTCATCTCGTATTTTGATCACTTCCGCCTCTCCTACTTCCGCCGCCATCCTCAAACACCTCGTCCTTCCTGGCATCTCACTTTACTCCCCTCGATCCAGCACTAGTACCCCCCGCAGACGCAGGAGACAATTTCTTCTTGAATGGACCTACTAGCGTCGGCAGCTCGCGCGCAGAGGCAGTCCCACTTCTCCGGGAATTGAATGACAGCGTCTCCGGTGAGGCGACTACGAAGGATATCAACACGCCGCTGGCGATAGATGATGGCCGCGATTGGGTCCGGAACCTTTCGCTCGTTATCACACACAATCTCCCAAATGACACTCTGGACACCCTCTCGCGTCTGCTCTGGGACGCTCTCACTGGCCCGCAGCTGATCGCAGTGCGCTCTGCTGGCTTCCTCGCAGATTTCTACGTCCGGTTCCACGAGCACTGCGTTTCGCAGCCGCACACTGATGAGACTGCTCCGTCGGTCAGATTACGCGATCTTTCCCTAGGCTCTTGCGGTGGGCGCGGGACTGTGACTTGTCCGCGCTTGACCCTACCGCCCACGCTCATATTCTTTTCCCCGTGCCGCAGCACGGCGGGGCGCTCACTGCGACTGATACGGAGAAGAACCACTTTGCGGTGTTTCAAGCACAAAAATGGAAGCTGAGCGAAGAGAACTGAACGAATCCTAAACCAAGCCGTGACCGTAAGGCATCTGGGCCGAGTCCGCATGTAATTCGCCCTGCTCCTAGCCGCCTCAGCGTCTTCTAGCTGAGGTACATCACTGCTGAACACCGACTTCCTTGCTTTGTTGGGCACACTTGACAGATGACGGATCCGTAGCAGCTAGCATGATTTCCACCATGCTCCAGATAATGCTCCGGATATGAAAACGCATGCAAACGGGCCCGATAGCATTGTGCGCATAGGACACTGTCCTGCTTAACAGCGTCTCTGCCGATTGCCTGAGTATTGCAAGTGGTGTTGCCTAATATAGAGACATTCCTGCTACTGTGGACTCCGCGGTCTTTCCCCTGCGTTTCTCAATTGAACGCGTCCTCCATGTGCCGGACGGCAAGAATCCACATATATTTCTTGTGTCTTCCTGGCAGATATATGATTGATATATGAGCCTGCTCTTCATCACAGTCCGCCCATGCCGTAGGTGTACTGTCTGTTGTCGACGTGAAGGGAAAGCGATTCACGCGAAAAAATCAAGCTCGATGTCTCGCAGCTCAATGTAAGCTCAATGCAGTTACCGCTCAGTCTCAGTCCTACTCCACGAAGGCAGAGCCAGCTCCGCAATGCTCGACGGATCGTTTCTCTTTCGACGTCACCTGCTTCTAACCGCTATTCACACTGCCCGAGTCCACCGCTAGCCAAAACATTTTCATCTGGACACGGCTGTTCAGGCGCAAGGACAGATTCAGGATCTTCGACTACAACTAGGAGAAGAAGTTGTCGAGATCGTAGGACTGCGCTGAGTAGTAGTCTATCGTGTCGTGGGGCTCTGCATGAAGGTAATCCGATGGACTCATTCACTACGCAGCACGTTACACTGTATATATGTATTGAGTTTATTCCGACATGTGTCACTGTTTTCTTGCACGATACTACTGGGCTGATTTTGCGGACCACACGTATCCGCCACTTTGTGTGTACAGAGCGCATCAACAACGAAGACCATCCTCCGTGTATATAGCTGTCTAGATCGAGAGAAAGAAGTAATTGTTGACGAGCTGCAAGAAAGCGGTATGAAGTACTATGCGCGGACCAGTCGACAAAACCAAAAGAGTAACTCCACTCGACGTTGAGCCCCGAGGGAATTTACAGCGTTCGAAATATAACCTGTATCCGGGAACTGGCTTCGTGTACATCTCATACTGAGTGCTCCTCGTCCTGACCAGTGTTATCTCGTTTACCGGACATGGTGGTGTCATTATCTACGTCTGTGCCATTAGACACCAGGAACGTGAGCCAGGGCCAAGAGACGACTTACCAGTATCGCGATCGGACATCACGGTCGCGGCTGTGTAAATCAGTCAAAGGTGCTCGACGCCCGTTACGGTGTTGAACCTACCAGATGTTGCGGGGGTCGCGGTCATAGGATCTGCCTGTTCGTGCGGGTATGCTGGATCATCTGTTGAAGAAGAGGCCGGAATAGACTGTTCATGGTCAACGAGGGATTGTGTTGACGCCTCGGGTTGTGAATCTGCCCGCTTTTCATTGAAGGTGGTAATTTTCCCTGAGATATGTATACTTCGTCGGTTTAAGCAGCAACACGGATAATTGTGGAAACGCACATGTCTGAATAGTGCATTCTTTATTAAATGTCACAACACAGCTCCTCTCCTGGTTGAAGTCAATACCAATCACTGTCCCAGATGGACATTTCAGCAACACTCCCACATGTGGCACTATAACACAGAGGATACCCACGTAGAGGTTCAACTCGTAGGACGAATTGCAGCGCTCCTGTCTGGACATCCCACAAAACACTGCTTCTCCCCGGAAGTCGCAGCATGCTAACCAACACCCATCGTGCGAGACAGTGGGTGAGAAAGGGTCCTTCGGATGTGTCTCTAAGCAGCGCATGATGCCCACACAGAGATTACAGTAAACATACCTTAGCCCCGGTGAACATTCTTGTAGGAGACAGGTTCAATAGACCTTCAGTAACCTGGGATACCTGATGGTCCCGTGAAAAGGCGGGGGAGGTCAATCCTCTGTCCAATATTGTTGTCATGTCCCAATACTTGAGTGGGTCCTCCTGTGCCGCAGCTGATACAAGTCCAGTACCATCGGGCATGAATACCAGTCCTCTTGTCCGAGAGTCATGCCCTCTCCAGTAATTCATGAGTGAGCCATTCCCGACATCCCACAACTCTATCGTTCCGTTAGATTTGGCTACTGCAACAAAGCCACCGTGACATGCAAGACAAGAACTGGACTCGTTTTGCAACTGCACTGTAGGCACAAGTGTGAATGTCAGCATATGTTGAAATCACCAATAGACTTGCTAATTTGCATCGGCTGACCGCTCGCGACGTCCCACACGTGCATAGTCATGCCCTCTGAGAGAGACACAAACGATTGATGCCTTCGAAGAACTGGAGATCCCATATGTCCTTACTGCGTCCGATGAGTGTACGGATCTTCTCATTATGTCCAGGCTGGATTTTCCAGATCTGCAGCACATACACATCCAATCATTCATGAGCCATCATGCATGAGCAAAAACAGTCAGACTTATATCCCCATTTACGAAAGCCAAATTGAGCATGACTTACAGTAATATCACCATGATCATTTTCCGTCACTAGAACTGTTCCATCTGGACTGAAGTGGTGGGTACTAAGGCCGTCTTCCATGAAGGAGCTGCCCGAAATTGGAACATGGTAATAAAGGAGAGTTTTGAAGTGCCATAGAGATCATCAGTCCGACGTGAAGGTGCAAGAATAGATGGTACAGCACCAGATTTCAGAACCTGTAGTTGTGTGGATGACGTACATGCCCGAGCCCCGTTGCACTCTCATATACTGACCGTCCTCCGAAAAAGATCCAGATATGACAAGGCTGCATCACATACAAATCAGGTGAGACAGTAGTATGCCAACCTTGTTCTAGAAATCACAAACTCACTCTTTATCAACTGTGTGAACTGTATGAAGAAGTTCCACATCAACTACCCTTCTGAAAATCCCATCCTCAACGCGGAAAATATTGGACACTGAAGACCAGCTGATGCCCTCTTGCACACATTCACTCGGATATAAGTCACTCTTGCACAGGACGCACTTAGAGTGCTCTCCTATCCATGCTCTAGCACAGTCTTGCTACGAAGTGTGAGAAGGTTGATATAACCATTATGAAGGAGTACAACAAATCAATGAACATACATGCAAAACATGACCGCATGGGAACCGCGTCAGCGGTTCTCGTGCTGTCTCCGATAGTTGCACATGCTGGGCGGACTTTCGGCGCGGCGGCTGGTAATCATCCAAGCAGTAGTAGCACCTCGAATTGTGGTCCTCCAAAGGCAAATCGGGAAGATCTGAATCCTCCCAATCAACAGGTTGAAGTTCGCCTCCACCAGACAAGAATTCTTCCGCGGGGATATAACGAACGAGGGGAAACGGGAGAAGTTCTCTCAGGTTCTCTAGCATCGATCGTGCAGGCTCGGAATCCATGTTCGAAGCATATAGCAGGATCTATCAAGAAACGCACGATAGTCTTATACTGAGGAACGAGTTGGGGTGCAGTGTCTTGCTACATACGACCGAGGCATGCCGAGAGAAGTTGATACCGACAGAACACTGTAACGGAGGCCCAAAGCGCTTGACCCACTCAGTTCCAATTGCCGAGCGACACCCCGATCGCGTTTACAATCATGTGATCGACCGGCGCTTGAAGACGCGTCTCCGATGTCACGGTCGAGGACGACCACGACGATGAGCACAAAGGAATCGCAGACCATCGAGCAGGCTACCTCTACTGTTGGCCACACCGCACTTCCTGTCGAGTACGTCGCTCCTTTCTCATCTTTGTCCACCGCTGACAGTTGAGCAGAGGTCAACCAAACAGTAAGACCCGCCGCTATGATCGACAACTAAGGTGCGTCGACGAGCAGATCTCTCTCTCCTGTTTGTCTCACAGATAATGTAGGTTGTGGGCGGCTTCTGGTCAGTCTGCACTGGAGTCATCTCGTATTTTGGTCATCTCTGCCTCCGCCACTTCCACCGCGATTCTCAAAAACCTCGTCCTTCCTGGCGTCGGTCACTTTGCTCTCCTCGATCCAGCCGTAGTATCCCGCGCAGATGCGGGTAACAATTTCTTTTTGAACGGACCTGCTAGCATCGGTCGTTCGCGCGCAGAGGAGGCCGTCACCCTTCTCCGGGAATTGAATGACAGCGTCTCCGCTGAGGCGATTACAAAGGATATCAACATGCTGCTGGCAACAGATGATGGCCGCGATTGGGTCCGGAACTTTTCCCTCGTTATCACACACAATCTTCCAAATGACACTTTGGACACCCTCTCGCGTCTGCTCTGGGACGATCCCACTGGCCCACAGCTTATCGCAGTGCGCTCTGCTGGCTTCCTTGCAGAATTCTATATCCAGTTCCGCGAGCACTGCGTTTCTCAGCCGCATACAGACGAGACCGCTCCATCGCTACGCATTACACGGCCATTCCCTGCGCTCTTGCAATGGGCGCGCGACCTTGACCTGTCTGCGCTTGACCCTACCACCCACGCGCATATTCCATTTGTCGTTATTCTTGTACACGCGGTGGACGCTTGGCGCGCAGAGGTAAGTGTTGGCCAGCGACGATGACATGCACGTGTATGCCGCACTCACCAATATTATAGCACGGCGGTGTGCTCCCCTCGACTTACGCGGAAAAGGAACACTTCAAGGAGACACTCCACGCGCGGAAGATGAAGCTCGATGAAGAGAACTTCGACGAGGCAGAAGCACAGGCGTACCGCGTTTGGGGTGAGCCCGCCGTACCGCCTGCAGTCGCCTCGCTCCTTGCTTCGGTGTCGACTACTTCTGCTGCGACGTCACCTTTGAACGTTGGCTTCCATGCGCTCTTGGGAACACTCGATGCGTTTGTAAAAGACCCGCGGGGGCCAGGATGTCTTCCTCTGAGTTCGGCCCTCCCGGATATGAAGACAGACACAACGAGCTACGTGCGCCTGCAAAGCCTCTACCGCGACTGGGCGCGCATAGAAAAGGCATATCTCTTCCGTTCAATGGTATGCATGATGCCTCACACCTTCCCAGGCACGATTCACGGAGATCCTCAAGGAGAAGTTTCCCGAGATCGCACCAGATGTGGATTCAGAGGAGCTTGATACATTCGTGAAAAACGCTCATCATATACGAGTCCTCCGCGGACGTCGGTGGGGTACCTGGGACGAGGAGCGCAAGTTCAGTGAGTCTTTACCTTCCGCTCCTGTAAGCGCCTGCTGCCTAAATATCCTAATAATTGTACTTCCGCGCAGCCTCTTCGCTTGAAAGTAGTCCTCGCGAGACTGCGACGCATCTCTCGCTCGCTGCCCTATCCACCCTTCTTTCCCAAGATCCTGGTGCGTTTTATTCCTTACTTTTTACTTTATCTGTCCGCCTCTTGGTCCCTCCTCGCTCGATCCTTGAATTATTCCTCCACTTCAAAGCAGCTTAAGATATAGTCTAATTTCTTTCCCTCCCCACAAGATCCATTGTCTGTCACAGCCGAGGGGCTGACCAAGGAGGTTCAGGCGCTCGTCGGCGCCGGCGTGGATCTCCCAAAGGAGGTGGAGGATGCAGTGGGCGAACTGTACGTTGTTTGTCAACCTCTGACATACCTTTACCGACGTCATACAGGGCCCGGGCACCGACTGCAGACCTGCCCAACACAGCGGCTTTCGTCGGTGGGCTAGTCGCACAGGAGGCCATCAAGCTCATCACGCGGCAATACGTCCCGACCAACGGTTATTGCGTCGTTGATCTCGTCGACTCATGGACCGGCGTCGTCGGGGCACCGTAGATGACAGACAGCGAAGTGGAGAAGATTGTCGTGATTGTACTTATAATGAGGTAGACCTCCAATGCAACTGTACGTGTTACTGAACTGTGGTCTCATTGCTTTCCGCCCGAGCGATTCGACTGTGATTGAATGGTCGTGACATACTAGATATCTACTGTGTCCCAGCAGCCATAACATGAGACTAGTCCCAAAGAGCCGAAAAACTAACATGAACCCATCTGTGTCTATGTATTCCTACTTCATGCTGCATAACCTAAAATGAACGTTCATCATGCAAACACAGTGAGTCACTTTATCCTCCAACGCTGTCATTGTCATTGTCTTGTTCCTGGTTTCCAAAGTCACCGACGTCACGGCGACGCCCTCCCAATTGGCGAAGGCTGCAATAATCTGTTGACCATATCTCTGTCCCCTACGTTCTTCTGTTTCTGCTGAGTCACAAGCTCAGCGAGGCTCCTGTCCAACTTAGCCTTGCCTGCTGCCTTCGCCTTCGTCTCCTCGTCAACTCCATGCTGGATGTACGCATCGGTATCCTCCTTCGCGCGGTTGTCCCTCAGGATTCTGAGTTTGAATAACTTGATGAGGTTGCCGAGCCATCCGCCCGGATTGCCTCGCAGCATCCAGTACTCAGCCTTAATCCTCCGCAGGTTATAGTCAGTTTCGACGCCGTGCAAAAATGTGCTGCAAAACCAGTAGCACTGGTTCTTTAATAGCGAATAGTTCGGCGCTCCCTCGTAGAGCGTCGGGAAAATCCGGCAGACGTCAGGCAGAGAGATAATAGTCGTCGGAGGACAGCGAAGGTAGGCGATGCGGAAGTACTTCGAGGGTTGGAAAAGTGGATCTCGAGAGATTTTATCGTTCGTCAGGCGCACGTATGCGAGCGTGTTCTTTGAGCTCGCAGAGAAGCCTTCACCAGGCTTCACCGTGGTCGCCCCCCGCTCAATGCGCAAGTGTATTACGCCTTCGCTCACTTCCTCCGAATTGTATATGTCGAGGACCAGAAATTCGTGTGCTACGGCACATCAGTTGAGGGCGCTGCTAGACATAGGCACAAGCACTGACCTATTACGGTAACGTCCTTGTAGTGGGTCACCTTGACGAGTCTGTACTTGTCGTACGCGCCAGGCTCCTGGCACTCCCGAATGTCCTTGTCGAAAGACCTCAGAGGCATCATGTAGCCGTCTTGGGCCTTGGGGTTCAAAAGCAAGTTTGTCATCGCGACCTGAGATGTTGTCAAGTGAGCGTACAGGCAACCAGGGGAGCGGTCTGGCGGAAACTCCAGTGCAATCTTCCGTCATAAGACTGGTAAAGGTTGGCGGCTCACCAAGATTGCCTCGTGGAATCTAACAGTGGCACCTCGCGTGAGTACTGCATGCACCGCCTTAGCTTCGACAGAACCAAACTCAGGCTTGTCAATGACAATTGTTGCTTACCGGTCGTAGTACAGCCGAGAGCCACAGTACAGGTATTGAATATTGACCCACTTTGAATAACTTCGCCAATGGAGTGCCAACCTAAGAACACAGCATTAAAGCGTACATGTCATCTCAGCGCTTGGCAGATAGTAGACCTTTCAGTCTCGTAGTAAGATCAGATGGATCCTGCAATTCGTTCATGAAAATATAAATCCCTCACTGCTGGCACAATAGTACCTACACCTTCGAAGAATATTTGCGACGAACAAGAGATTTGGCTCGACGTACGTCTTACTGTAAGGCAGAAGTTTGGCAGAAATCTGAAATGCAGTTTGCACGTGATGAATCAACAAGTCTTGAGTACACTTGGAGGACACAGCTCCCGAAGCATACCGTCCATGCGGGCAACGCCAGTACGTTCGCGACGCTGAAATCGTTCGGTAGGCACCGGTTGAATTTCAGCGGTGAGGAACTCACTCAGCTAAGACGTATAGTAGTACCTACCTCCCGGGCGTCCACCTACATGGTTCTCGCAACCAATGGGGAATAGTTTGCAGGTGTCTCATGGAGGCGCCGAATAATCCTCCGCCCTTCGTAGTATGTCTTCTCCAGACGATTTTCAGTTCGGCGAAGTGCTTGGCGAAGGTTCCTGGTCAATGGTTCGTACCACTATGTTAGATAATTGTCGAATTTCCGGTACTCAAATACACTCCAGGTTGTAAAAGCCGTCCATGCAAGGAGTGGCAAGGTCTTCGCCGTGAAGATAGTGAGCAAAGCTTTTCTCAAGAAAGAAGACATGGTTTCGCATGCGATGGCGGAAAGGGATGCCCTTCTCAAGCTTTTTCGAGGTAGAGGTGGCCCTCCGGGATTTGTTCGCCTATATTCCACATTTCAAGACCTCACATCGCTATGTCTGTGGCCTATCTATACATCAGTGAGGTTACTGATAGCGGGACTAGACTACGTGATGTCCTTAGCTCCGAATGGAGATTTTAAGGACCTCGTGAAGAAATGTGGATCTCTTTCGTTGGATTGTGCTCGATATTACACCGCTCAAATCCTTGATGCCGTACAATGGATGCATGCTCAAGGAGTAATTCACAGGGACCTTAAGCCCGAAAATATTCTTCTTGACGAATACTTACGTATCAAACTCGCTGATTTCGGTTCTGCGTATGTAATGGATCCGGGAAATCTAGGTGCAAATCGCAACGTTATTAGAATTGAACTGCTGACTCAATCGTGTGTAATTTCAGGGCTGCGGAAGAGTACCTTCGTTGGAACAGCAGCATACATCTCACCGGAAATGCTCTTACACAATACTTCAGGTAAAAGGTAAAGCAAGTGCATGCTTTGATCCTAGAAGCTGATTCAAACGTTGAATTCGCAGCACCGACATATGGGCGATCGGGTCGATCTTGTATTACCTATTACTAGGCCGACCTCCGTTTCTAGCTCCCACCGAGTACTTGACGTTCATGAAAGTCAAATCACTCGATTTTGTATTCCCGGAGTCAGGATTTGATGCAGATGCTAAGGATGTAATCTATCATATTCTCGTAAGTCTTCCTTACACCTAGATTTGTCGTCCCGTCCTAAGCTCCCACCTCAGGTGCTTGAGCCATCCGACCGTCTTGGAGTGGATCCAAAGTCATCCCCCACGGCGCTTCGTAAACATCCTTTTTTTGTTGGCCATAATTCAGGCTTGCCTCACTCCCAGGCTTACTTTGTTGATTGGAGCACTCTTTGGACTATTGATCCAATCGAGATCAAATCTGGACTTGTTCCGCCCCCTTCACCGCAGCCGGAAGAAATAACTCAAGAATTTTGGGACACTTTTGTTCATGAATTCAGCTTGGTTGCTGTCGATGATGGTAGTGGGGAGAATTCCGACTCGGAAGCCTGATCGACTTGTTGTGCTTTCGTTCCGGTATGTATCTTCCACTGATATGCCTTGGGACTCGGACTCGCAAGTAAGCACCCTTTATGGATGCGTTCGTACTTAATTGAACATCTATTAGTTTTTTTATGTGTCTGAGGCGTTTCCTTGATCGTTGTCTTACTGGGGCTGCTTCTTGCCGTCGAAACTGGTGCTATATTCTGCATGTACGACCTACCGCTTTGCAGTGTACTAGAAGTCAAATGTTGCTCATCGAGAATAACTTACACGTACGTACGTGGAACTCCTTTTAAGCGCCCACGAACGCTCTCCGCACATACATTCACTGGGGGCAAAAGTGGATGTTCTGCCTTGGAACAGTGTCTGAACATCCAAGGAACAGATTACATTTTTGGACATGTCACATGTTCTGAACATGATAAGGAACATCTAATATGTCTCGCACAATGTTCTATTGGAGAGCATGCTGGAGACATGTTGCATGTACCATTCTGGAACATATAATATGTCTCACACAATGTCTCATTGGAGAATGTCCTGCAGACTTGCTGCATGTTTCATTCTGGAACATTTATCATTTTGCTACTATATTCTGGGCTTATCTCTTGATGCAATATGCTCTGTATAATAAGGATTTCCCATGGCCAAACACATTACATTTCTGGCTGCCGTTAATCTTCAGAACATTGTGAGAAGATGTTAAGTGCTCCTACTCCAAACATACAAGATGTCCTGACCACCAAGAACATCTGCAGTACATGTATGATACATACTAAAATTATACTAAAATTATACATGTGCTGCAAATGTTCTTGGTGCCCAGGACATCTTGTATGTTTGGAGTAGGAGCACTTAACATCTTCTCACAATGTTCTGAAGATTAACGGCAGCCAGAAATGTAATGTGTTTGGCCATGGGAAATCCTTATTATACAGAGCATATTGCATCAAGAGATAAGCCCAGAATATAGTAGCAAAATGATAAATGTTCCAGAATGAAACATGCAGCAAGTCTGCAGGACATTCTCCAATGAGACATTGTGTGAGACATATTATATGTTCCAGAATGGTACATGCAACATGTTTCCAGCATGCTCTCCAATGGAACATTGTGCGAGACATATTAGATGTTCCTTACCATGTTCAGAACATGTGACATGTCCAAAAACGTAATCTGTTTCTTGGATGTTCAGACACTGTTCCAAGGCAGAACATCCACTTTTGCCCCCAGTGATTAATATTCTGAGCACGAGTGACGAGAGCGAATCTGCCTTCGTCTGTCCCATCGCTGCTGGCATAATCACCGTGTTCAAGCACCTCATTAATGTCTAGACCTAGTATGAAGAAACTCGCAGCGAGTCAGAGGACTTGCAGCTGGCTAGACGTACCTCCCGTAACATTATAGAGAGCTTGGAACACCGAGTGCAATGTACAATGACTACCTGCCCCTGTGACTTCAAGTTTCTTGAAAAAGAAGATCGTAGTTGAACATTTCGACATCTACTTCCGTCCAGGTTCGCCTCTAGTACGAAGTAATACTGAGGATCACACGAACAGAAATGGGCGTTTCAGAAGGTAAGGTGGTGGGTAGAGGCCATACAAAATCAGAACACAACCAGCCACATTCTCCGTCGTCCACTAGAGCATTCTACGCTTCCCCGCGCGAGTACTAGACTCCGCAACAGGTTCAAGTTCACTTGGTGGTGGTGCGTCGTGGTTGGGCATCACATACAGCCCGTCTTGACTCTCGTTCAGGATGATGCGGACAGTGTCGCCCTCGTGGATAGTCTCCTCAAGCAGACGTTGGGAGAGAGGATTGAGGAGCTCTCTCTGGATTACACGAGCTAATGGCCGTGCTCCGTATTCGCGCGAGATGCCAATCTTGATGAGCCAGGTTTTCGCCTTCCTGTCGATATTCAAGCGCAGCCTCTTAATACCCTCACGTTGCTGGAGGTCTGAAAGGTGCTTCTCCAGGATTTGCTCCATCACTGACTGCGTCATCGTACGCTACCAGTTAAACATCAGTCAGGCAGTCTCGCATCTGACATATCTGTGCCACTCACAAACATGATAATCTCTTCGATACGGTTGAGGAACTCAACAGGGAATCGGATCTCCTTAAAGCGGTCCATGACTTTCTTGCGCGTGGCATCGGATATCTCCCCCTTCTCAGCACTCAGGAGGTCGGCACCTACGTTGGATGTCATGATGATCACAGTGTTACTGGAGCGGTTACGAGAATTTAGATATGGGTGCAAGACAGACGTTCCTATCACTGCCACCCACCGGAAGTCTACCAATCTGCCCTGTCCATCGGTAAGTCGTCCTTCGTCCAGGACTTGGAGGAACAAGGTCAAAAACTCCGGGCACGTCTTCTCAATTCTGCAAAGAAATTATTCAGTAGTGGTAAATAGAGTGAGAAGGGGTTGAAACTAACTCGTCAAGAAGTACGATGCAGTATGGCGTCCTTCTGACGAATTCCGTGAGCTGACCACCCTGGTCATAGCCTACGTATCCAGGTGGCGACCCGATCTGCATAAGAGCATGTACACTGATCAGTCATTCGTAGATCAACCTCGAGGTGTTCTGAGGAGATCACTGACCAAGCGGGAAGTTGAATGACTTTGCGAGTATTCACTGCCGTCTATCCTTACCATCGAGGACGATTGGCCGAACAACTCTTGAGCAAGCTGTGACACGCACTGTTAACGCCGATCTACTGCTATCACCTATGATGCGGAGACGTACCACTTTTGAAAGCAGCGTCTTCCCCGTCCCCGACGGGCCTGTGAAGAGTAACGAAGCTATAGGGCGATTTGTGTTGCCAAGCCCAGTCCGAGAGACCTGTATCGCATGTGTTACGGCTTTTACCGCCTCTGGTTGACCGACAACCTGTTGCATCGGCAATGAGACACGCTCCTTCAGTCCGCACAAGACAAAACACGAACCTGCTGACTTAAGGCGGACTCGAGGTTTAACAGGCGGCTCTTGTCCGTCGCAAGCAGCCGCGAGACTGGGATCTTGGTCGCCTTCTCTACGATCGCCGCGATGCTCTCGGGCGTGATAATGTCTGGAGACGTGCGTGATATAATGTGACGGCTGCTACCAACGAGGTCAGGCGTGTCGTCGACTACGTTTGGTCCCTGGTGTTCTAAGCGGACCAGCCCATCGCGCAGCTTCTGCAGAGTCGACTCGAGCTTCAGGATCTTCGACGTGTCCTGTCGCTGCTCGCTGGAAGCACGGGTCAAAGGTGGGTAGTGGGTGATCATAGTAAGCGCACCTTCGCGCGAAAAGCACTTCGCGCTTTTTGTCCTGGATCGCACTCCGTTGGATGCTGATCTTCTTCCACCATGCTCGGACGGCCTCCTGCTGCTGGAGGAGCCGGCCCATCTTGAGATCCAGCTTCTTCTTGGTTTCGAGCGCGTTAGCTAAAGCGACGTCATCGTCCGGATGGTTATCTCGCTATCAATCATTATGAGTGGGAGCGAGCCTGCTGGGGGACGTAGAGAAATCACCTCGAGCGCTTTGATGTGAGCGGCGACGTGGAGCATATCTTGTTGTAAGGTATCGATGGCTTCCGGCTTCATGTCCTGCGCGATTCGTGCGGAGGCGCACGCTTCATCCATCAGGTCGACCGCAGAGTCTGGCAATCTATAGAGGCAAACAGTCAGTCGATCTGCTGCTCGGCACCGTTTCAGAGCTCAAAAGTGTACCGTCTGGCAGTGAGGAATCGGTGGGCAAGGTTAACAGCCGTGACAATCGCTTGGTCCATAATCCAGACCCGATGGTGCTGCTCGTACCGCTCGCGGATCCCACGGAGGATAGTAACGGCCTCCTCGGTCGTTGGCTCGCTCACGATGACCTGAAGTCTCAGCATTAGCCACGAGCTACCAAAATATTTAACGGATATCCTACGGGGGCAAATCGGCGCTCAAGCGCGCCGTCCTTCTCGATATGCTCCCGGTATTCGGCCAGCGTGGTCGCGCCGATGCACCGGAACTGCCCCCGCGCCAGCGCGGGTTTGAGCAGGTTCGCAGCATCCCTGTACGAGAGACGAGATGAAAAAGCTAGGCTATGGCTGCAGAGAACGGGCTCACATTCCGGAGCTTTGTCCGCCTGGGTTCTTCCCGACGGTGATGAGGTGGAGCTCGTCGATAAACAGGATGGCGGGTGTTTGGCTCTCCTGCGAACGAGTGACATCTGTGGCAGGTACGGACGGACATCAATGAGCATAAGGAATCCATCGTATAGTCTTAGTCGGCAGCGCACCTTCGATAATACCTTTGACACGCTTCCAAGAAAAGCGTGAGTACGACCCAGATAGGGATAGAGGAAGGGAACAGTCATTACCTGTTCGTACTCTCCTTTCCCTGCACCCGCGAACACTGCACCAAGGTCAAGACTATAGATAGTTCCCTTCAGGTTCTGTGGTACTTGACCGAACGCAGTTCTGTAGGCTAGCCCCTCCGCGACCGCTGTCTTTCCCACACCAGGTTCGCCTATATTGTCGTTGGCCGATTAGATCTGGTGCAGAATGTAAAGGGGATATGCACTTACCAATGAGGACCGCAGAGTTCTTAGTGCTGTTGCAGAGAACTGATCGTACAGCAGCACTATGCAAGCAGAAGACGACTGACTTACCGACGGCATAAAATCTGAATAACTCTACGAATTTCTTCATCCTATGACGAATGATAAGGGGGAAGAATTTGCGAGTGGAATTGACATCTCTTACACGTCCAACAATTTCGTTCAGTTTGCCATCGCGTGCCAAGGCGGTCATGTCTGTGGAGTATCTGCATCGCACATTCCCATGGTCGGCTCGATCTTGGTTAAAAAAATGACAATACGTACTTCGCCAGGTACGGAAACTGGTCGTCCTCCCTCTCTGTGACTTTTGTGGTGCGGCGGTTGCGGAGCTCTTTCTGGAACTCGGATTGAGTGATATGCTGCGTCTCTAGCAGCCTCAGCACGTCAGAGTCATCGGATAGACCAAGTAGCAGGTGATACGGGGACACGAAGTCGTCGCCCTAACGCGAGAGAGGGATGTCAGATCCAACACGTGGAGAAATCTTCTGAAGCCTGACCAGGTTCTTCTTGTGGTTTCGTGCACGAGTTATTACGTCGACTAGGGCGTCGCTTGCAACTGTTGTGGGCGGCGGGGCGGGAGCTTGGAGGTTGGTTACGCTTGGCGAGGGCGAGTGGCGACCGCGGCTTCGATCTCCGCGGAATAATCGACCAATCTAAGTACAGAATAGTCAGACACGAAAGCTTCTTCGGACACGAAGGCAACTCACTCTTGATGGTTCCTTCGCGCCGGGTGGCGGAGTAGGCGGTGCGAGTAAGGGAGTGTTACGAGGGGCGCTGACGATGAACTTCTTGACATCTTGCGCGAGTTGAAGCTATTACGGGCGTGAGGTCAGGTAGTCCGGGATTAGACGATCGACTCACAGGATTACCGTCAAGCTCGCTGACTACAGCCCATAGCAATGGCGGAGGTTCGGGCACAGAGAGCATGTTGATATTATCCAGGTCCGGAGCCTTGCCGCATAGCAGAACGAGCATCATGTGTACCGGCTTTACTGTAGAAGAACTTCAGCGCAGGTCGGCAGAACTGGCGTACTAACTCTAACCTTCGCTGCTATGGACTTTCACTGCGACGTCCGTGGACTTGGGCAGGACGTCGAGTGCGTTGGCGGTGAAGTCATTCTGACCAAGACCATCTGAGTGAGTATCCGAAGGCATGTATGCTCAAAGCGCGTCGAGACGGGTTGAGGACCACAGGTGTTGGAGATAGGTACTTAACCAATAGCCGACGTTCCGACGCCTGTGCTGAGAGTTCGCGAACCGATACAACAATGTGTATTCCAGGAGTTGGCGTGTCTGAGGTCCTGGACAACATGAACGGCGTCTCTGAGCGCCCAAACTGCGCAGCATTTACTCAGTCTTAACACCCCCCCCCCGAGGAAACTGGTAGGCTGTCCGCCCGAGCATCGCTGACGCCCTTTCAAGCTGCCTGGTTTCCGAAAAGCGGGTTTCCAAGAGCGATATCTATCAAGCTTTCTGAGCAGTCTGAGAGTATGCGACCCTGCGCAGCGCCTACACGCCCTGGTAACACAACGGAAAGTCAGCAGATAAGGTACGCTTGCCTTTTACAGCTTGGCGGGGAATCGGAGTTTCGCGCCACAGACGCGTTCTGCTTTCCTCTTTGCGCTCGTTGCTTGTCTTGATAATGGAAAACACTATTCACTCGTGGAGACTGCTCGAGGCTAAGTATCACTGGAAGCTCTGCCCCGTCTGGTTATCGGATAGCTACTTCCTTTCTCTCTGTGAGCAGGTACAGCAGCACCAGTTCAACCTCGGAAAAATTAACGTTAGCCCAGCACCACAATATGCCTCGTTCTGAGTCCGACCCTGTACAAAGTACACGAGAGAAGCGTCCCAGCGCTGTGCATAACACAGCATCGCGGGACTTTGTACACCGCAAAAAGACCAACGCAAAGGTTCCGGGGTCTCAGGTTCTGGCGTAAGCTGCATGTCCTTAGCGCTGCCAGCAAGGTGTGCTATCGATTGTGATAGATTCCCGAAACTGTATTGCATTCCAGCGCTCTAGGACGTACATCGCCGTGACAGGGGAGATTGCAAGGCGATGCGGCCTGCCTGCGTTCGACCACCAACACGCGTCGCGAACCACGTGTTACGCGTTAAGGCAATACACGCACTGGCCGAACGCATTGCCGGCGCCTTCAGGCCATCTCCATTTCCTCCATCAACCATATAACCGCTTGTGTGCACACTACCGTACTGTAATTCTCTCTCGGCTCGCCCGGACCCTCCAAGTTGCTTGAACCACCCTCATCCCATCTTCGACACAATGATTCCCCAATCATGCCCGCTACCGTCTGCTACCTCTGAGGGTTCCTTACCCCCTCAGAAGGAGAACGACAAGCTCAAGGCCTTCAACCTGATGTACCCAGGGCAAATCCAGATTTTTGTCAAAACCATGAACGACATGTCCATATCCATTATCCTGCACCCCACTGTCAAAGTCGTCTCCATGAAGGGAAAGATCGAGGAGACGCTGCACATCCCAGCCGCCGACCAGCGTCTGCTGTACAGCGGGCAGGAGCTCGAGGACGACCGCACCCTCGAAGACTACACGCTCGAGAGCAAGAGCACTATCGTGATAGGTAAAGTGCTCAGATGTTCCCTTGAAAAAGAATACAACGCTGATGGCGTGTTGTAGCTACCCACAGTGGAAAGCTGTACGCGCAGCCACTGCAGAGCACGGAGACGGAGACGAAGACGAGCACTGCATCGTCTACGGCGGAAGTGCAGATTTTCGTGCGCAACCTGAACGGGAAAAGCATGGCTATCATGATCTCCCCCTCAGACACGGCGAAGACTCTCATGGATAAGGTCCAGGAGAAGACCGGCATTCCTCCCGAGGAGCAGCGCCTGCTCTACGGCGGGAAGCAGCTCGTACCGGAGCGCATCCTCTCCGATTACAATATTCAGAAGGAGAGCACGCTGCATCTTGGTACGTCTCCATTCGCTCGATACCGCGTATGGGCGCTGAATCCGGTCTCGTATCAGTTCTGCGTTTGCGTGGAGGTACTTCCCACGAGAGGTGGTAGACTGGCCACCAGACATCGCTTGATAACAGCATTCGAGTTCCACTATACTCCATTCATGCCATGGCAGGTTCCGCTCAGTTCCACGCCATTCGCACACGTATACATACCCTCACCATCTCGGAAATTACTCGCTATACTGTACTGTAGCAACACGTCGCATTGCATATCGATCTGGCATCTCTCCCGGTTGACGCTGAATGCTCGTCATGACCTTCTTAAAAATCGAAGAAACGTTGCTTACGCCTTGCCACAGCACGTACGCAAGAAATAGATTGCACAGTACCGAACAATGAGAGCAAATCAGGGCGGGCGCTTGAATCGGTCCAGGGCAGATGGTTTCTCGCTCTCTGCCGAGCCGTGAGCGGCCGCCTTGGCCCGGCGTATCTCCTCGCGCTGCTTCTCGAGCTTCGCGCGAACTGCGATCTGTCATGATGGAATGGATGAGCAGACCGGACACAGTAAGGACCGGAGCACGTACTGCACGAGGATCGATGACATTTTTCCGCTGCTTGCGCAGGTACCTGTGCGGGGAGGGACACCGAATCAGCACACAATGTGCGGAAGACACAGGGAGAAGGGGAAAGGCAGTACCTCTTCAAGCTCTTGTTCTTACCGCGCATCTTTTTCTTCTCCTTCTCCTCGCGCTTGGGCTTTGGCGCACCTTCAGCTTCTGCATCATCTGAATCGTGGTCATTGGCCTCTGTCTCGTCGGCCTTACCCTGCACACGCAAGCGCTCCAGTCTGGGCAGCCGCGCGAACGGGATGTCGACCTTCCCGTCGACCGCGGTGACCAATTTCGGGGGCGGGGCCAGGCTGCCAATAAACTCGGGATTAAGAGCGATCATGTCTGGTTGGATCTGCGAACAACGATTTACTTAGATTGGCACTCTGATGTTGATAGCAAAAAAAATAAACCTTGTCTAACAAGCCTTTCACTTCCCTCTCCCGACGGGCCCGCTTGTTCTCGAACGGATCTGCCTCGGCGCTGTCGAAATTCGGCTCTCCAGCGCCAGGAACCAAGATGCTTGACAGGCCCGCGGAGTGCCCAACCGTGAGCACATCGTGGAACGGGCAGAATCGAACAGAGATAAGAGGGCGGTGAGGGATGGGATGCGTAAGGTACAGCGGGGGTGACACAGTTGCAGCAAACGGCGACTGAATTGATGGTTTCGTGTAGACCTGAACAGCACAAGAGTTAGTACACCACAATATGGCTCGTGCCACGATGGCTTACATTAACGCTACCTCCAGTGGCTACCGCTAGTGCGCCCTTCTGGCTCCACTCTACTGCAGCAGTCCCGCCTCGCGCAGTCCACTGGCGTACCGCACCCTTCCAGTTCCGGCAGTCCCACACCTTCACCATCCCGTCCTGACCTGCAGTCGCCATGTATCTGCCGCCCGTGCTCGGATCCACGCTGACGCTGACAACGGGGCCGAGGTGAGCGAGTAAGCGGACAGCGGGATGTGGCAGGTTGGGCGTCCACAGGGTGACTGTACCGTTTTGGTGCCCGAGGTGGATCAAAGCGTTGTGGATGTTCTGCGTCATGGCCGTGCACGCGCCAAGTTTGGTGCGATGCTCGACTACGAGTTGGCCGGTCGACGTGTCTTGGTACTTCAGGTACCCTGCATTGCCCTGGACATCAAGATTTTTAGAAACCCTGGCAATGAAATGTCACGCGACACGTAGGAGCGTATACGCACAACACTCGCGAGTAGCCAGTGAAAGGGAAGGAATTCCAATCTTGTCGGCTCGATATGTGACTTCAGTCGATGGAGTTCTACCCCATCTCGATCGTAAATGAATACATACTTTTGCTGGGCTACGGCAAAATGTGAATGGTCATGTAAAAAACTAAAAAGATGCTCTTCGAATAAATATCCGCAATTTTTCACTATGAGATGAGACGATACTGACGTGATGTCTCGACAGGTCTCTTGCAACTGAAGTTCGGAATGCAGAGTTCCTGTTTTCCAGTCGAAGGTGGCTACGTGACCCTTGGAACCGACGACAGCAAGGTGTCTGTGGAACAAGACATTATGGCCGAGTTCAAGAGCTGGTTCTGAAGCTAACATGCATAACATCAAATAGCACGACGCCGCAAATGCACGGAATATGGAGGATAATTGAGGAGACAAACTCAAATCAGAAACGTACCTTCCGTTACGGGTATATCTTGAGCGATATGGACCACCATCGAGCGTCCACTCTTTTCGTCCCTGGGCTGCTTCCTGCCCTGCAGCGCTGACCACCTCGTCTTGTCCCACTCTCCACGTCTTCTCCATCTCCCCCTCCACCTCCATCAACCCTGCTTCCTCTGTTAATAGTAGCTCCGCATCCTTCAGCAACACCTTCGCACGTGCGGCGTGCGCGGACTGCCGCGTTAGCTGAGTGCGAAGCTTCTGATTTTGTATGTGAGAATATTTTGGTACGTGATCTGGGGTTGGTGACGTCGGACGTAGCGATTTTGGCAGAGAGGTATGTTGGTTGACCGAATTCAACGTGAAATCGCTTGAGGGGCCTGCCTTAGATGCGGTACTGGCCTTCTTTCGTAAAGCCTCTGTGTGGATCTTTCTCCGTTTCGCCACCGGTTGAATAGCGTCCGCCTTCGCGATTAACGAGTCCATCGTAAGTGAGATCAAGGTAGCCGAGCCCGAGCTGCCAGGTAGTATATCGTTCGCCGAAACTATCGACAGAGCAGTAACCGGGCAACGGATGTCCCACTAAGCCACAGTCCCCTGAGCTTGAATCTGTCTAGCGGCTCTAATAAGTGATAAGCAAGAACTAGATAGAATCTAGTGCTTCATCGAGGAGGGGTCCTATGTACAGTACTTCACGAATTTTCTTTAGGCAGTCACGTGAGATAGACACCGATCGAGCATGATCGAGATAACCTCTTCAAGAGTTGCAGCCACAACGTTAAGTTTGCTTCGACTCCTCGGATCGCTCCTCCTCGATCCTTCTACAACCATGTGAGTATGAGGAAAATAAACTATCAACTGTTTTGATTGACTGTATCAAGGCCTCCCAAAGGTTTTAGGAGGAAAGGTACCGCCCACAACAGCGATGATTCTCCCACTCCTCCGGTACCTGTAAGTGGATATGTTCATTCTGCAAAGCAGCAACTGACCATCTACAAGTCATTAGCAGAGCAGTTCTCATATATGAATGAACCACGCCCATTCAAGAATCCCGACTATGTGAAGACCCCCAATCGGAGAGCCAAGACCTTGAAAATTCTGCTGGCTCAAGAGCGCGAGCGAGATCGTTTAGATAGAGAGAGGAGACGGCAAGAGAAAGAAGATAATATGGATGTGGACGGAGAACCGAGCAATGCCACTCTGGAAGAGGATATACCCACATGTGTGTTCTCCGTTTTACTTCTTTGGTTTTCCTGAACACATGCTCTTAGATGCTTCTATTGAGGCACCACCTTCTGTTCTACCACAGAGGCGCTATTGCGATATCACAGGGTTGGAGGTGAGTCACGAGTACTGCTGTGCTTACCATTGTCTTGAACCGAGGATGTTCAGGGACCGTACACGGACCCGGCAACTGGTCTGCGATACCACGACAAGAGTATCTATGAGCTAATCAAGGGACTGGTGAGTACTGCCGAGAATTACTAGATGGGCATCAAGCTCATACCTACGTGTATAGAGTGCCACCGCTGCAAACGAATACCTTTCTGCGCGTGGGGTGAACCCAGTTGTGAAGTAGTACAGGATGTTTAATATGTTTTCGTGTGATGGGTGACTCCGCTCGCTTCCGTGTTTTATCAAAAAGTCTGTAAGGCATGTATAATCCGGTGACTCTCTTCCGAACCAGGTTGAAAGAGATCGCGTAAATCTCACAACGTGTACCAGGATTCAGGCTGCCGTATACTTCACCTTCCATAGCAAGAATGCCTTGTTCCGAAATACTCTCATGCTTGATGGCTGCTCTGGGATCTTGCGCCTCTATCGTCTCACAACGATCTTTCCTCCTTTCCACTGGAGTCCTGTCACCCTGTGTGGTCTTCCCGTCCTCCTTTTGCATCTACTTCTACAGTCAGACGTACGTCATTGACGGCGATTCATACGGGCTTGGTATTCACACTAGGTCGAACACGTGGGAGTCGATTGCCGCCCAGATAACTCCCTTCCACGCTGGGAACACGTCCTGGGCCAACACTTGCTGGTCCCCAATGGAGGAATCGGTGCCTTGCATACCGCGATCACCCAACCAGTCAAGCGACGATGACAACTTAATCCGGTCACAGGTGTGGTTACTCTGTCTTCTGCGGACATGCTCATATCACTTGGTCATCGCCTCCACTTTGTTTGTCCTGTGTTTGCAGATTTGTTCCACTCGCGCATATCTTTCTGCTGATCGCTTGACATGTCACTGGATGATCACAGCAGCGGACGCTTTCTCTGGGACAAGTTCATAGACTTGCTCCCTCTCGTCCGTTATATCCCAGCTGAGGCGGCTGTTTCTGAGGCTAGCGTGGCTGGCGTTGATGGTTGGGTGAAATCCGATCTCAAAGGCGTTCTTCTGGAGGATCACAACTCTAGATGTTACCTCTGTTTGGACGATTTCCAGCAGCCAAGGAGGAGGTCATCGTTGAAGTTGGAACTGTTGGACGATGGTGAGCCCGAACCGCTGAAGCAGTGCCTATGTGGCCATGTGTTCCATGTACGTTTAGTTCTTTGGCTATGTATAATTACGGACTGAGCAAAATCATTCTACCTTGTAGAGATATTGTATAGATCATTGGATGCATGAGAACGACTCGTGCTTCTTGTGCAGGAAAATCTTATATCCTCCTGAAGGTTATGAGGAGGATGGTGACTGGGCTATTTTGTTCAATGTCGTTCGTGACGAAGCCGGAACCATCAAAAGGGCTGTTAATGTGGACCTTTTGCACATATTCCAGTTTAAATGGTGCCCGTCGAATTTCTTGGAGGCTACAGTCCATTTCTAATCTTCTAAGCTCACAAATGTGGTGTGAGCAGGGAATTGTTTTCTGTACGTGGCCCAGATTACGTACGATTTTCACCGACGGGGGACTACCTTGCAGTTGCTTGCTGGCAGCACGGGGCGGTGGTTATCGACACTGCAACTGGGTCTCAGATCTGGTAAAGCCATAATAAATTATTTCTCTGTGAAGACTGATTTCGTGTCTGCATGTCGGTTTCCTGATCTAATTTTGTGCTGCATTATCTTCGGTATCATGGCGTGCCACATCGTAGTGTACTAGGTGATCGTGGTTTATCTTCTATGTGCCTCAACGGAGATAGACTGGCACTGATCACAGGAGATGGTCGTGGTCGCATCAATGTGAGTGACGAGATATGATCTTGACGATATACTTACTGGTCATCTTATTGGGGACTTACTGGTCATCTTATTGGGGGCTTACTGGTCTGTGCTATCGGATTCGTGGTCGCTTCATAGATCTGGAACCTTGCGGACCGACGGATTATGAATACCCTCTTAGGGCACAGCGACACATTGCAAGGACTCGAAGTGTCACAAGATGGGAACACTCTTTTCTCTGTGGCAGACGATGAGTCTTTACGTATTTGGGAGCTGCCTGATGGGAACATGGTCAAGATCAGTAGTACAGTCGTAGTAGCCATGACACTACGAGTACTGACTTACTTGCAGTTAGGATCGGCGGCAAACCAACCTCACTCGCTCTTGTGCCAGACGAACACCTTATCGCAGTATCCTTTGCGTCAAGTGGGGCAGTACAACTATGGGACAGTGAAATTGGCATACTGCTAAAATACCTCGACGCCCACGGGTCGTGTGTAAACAGTGTTGCCTTTACACCTGACGGCAAGGGGTTCCTCACAGGAAGTGATGACCACTTGCTCAAACTTTGGGACTTGGCCACTATACTTGATCAACAAGAGCCCCCTGTCAGGTCGATTGATGATGCAGAATGGCCCGTCGGGGCCGAAAGTGTCGTCGATTCAACGAAGACCTTCACTGGACACACTGTATGATGATTAGTCATTAACGATGGATCACTATCCGAACCCACCAGCAGGATAACATCTCTGCGGTTGCAGTATCTTATGATGGACGTTGGGTATTGACGGGATCCACCGACCACGAGGTGCATTTGTGGGACATCGAGACAACAGCGGTGCAATGTCTGCTGGTTGGCGAGGCTAGTGGTAGGTTCTTCAGAAGTTCTCATATTCGCTCTGAGGCTGGCTCTGACTGTTGCATCCCACAAGTAACATCTGTCAGCTTCTGCGTCAAAGGCGATGTTTTCAGTACGTGCTGTTCTGATGGGAGTGTCCAAATCTGTACGTCTGCGCAATGTTCACATTCCACAATATTCCTCACTTCCTTCGGCCGGCTGTTATCACAAGCCAGCCCGAGACCCTCCCAGCCTTGCACGACTCAATAATTGTCTGATGTTTTCCCGATTGGTCCCAGGTGGTCCCACTACCTCCGTGGACCAAAGTGCATCTCATCCCTCGTCCAGAAGGTCAGCTGTACGGGTCGCACAGCTAGTCAGAAACTCCTTTGACATACTATCCTCGTGGCAACTTACAGATTTTTATTTCCCGGTGTCCCTAGAGACGGTTAGAGCAGCCGATCCTTTGCAGAAACTCAGCATCGTGTTGAATAGATAGGACACATCCATTTTTCTCGTACCTGAAATCAACATATGGGCCTTGCAAATACACTCTAGCAATAAGTAGAGAACATCCCATCCACTGGGGACCGTTCGTTCTCATTAATCTCAACGCGCTACCACGCGGCCACGTGATATCGAGCGCTGAAAAACGCGCCGCTAACTTGCGTTCAAATATCTTCTGCTCCTGCCCTTGCGCTTAGTAGTTACATAGCGTGGAAAGCTCTATCGGTCGGCATGATGATATCCTGGATAACGACAATCGTCGAGCGTATGCAACTTGTGTCCCCGGTCCACGCGTTCTTACGTTAGTTCTGTGTCAAGGAGCGCTACGGCATAGTCGCGTCCCTAGGGAATTTGTCATCTGGATTCTATGCGACACAAGCGCCTTCACTGCGAACTAGCTTCTCTGTGATACGAAATCCCGTTTCTCATATTGTCGGACTCTCCGAGGCTGACCTACAATTCACAGACCACGCACGTACCCGTCCTACTGAACCTCATCATTTGGCGACATGGATGACGAGCATAGCAGTGAAAAATTACTGCTCAACACCATGATAGACCTTCTTCCTCTTGTTCGTTATGTTCCAGCTGCGGAGGCTGATTCCAATGGTTTCGCACTGGGCGACGGGGATTGGGTAGACTCTGATCTCAAGGATGTTCGTCTAGAGGAACACAACTCTAGATGCTATTTCTGTTTAGAAGATTTTGAACCGCCGGAGACAAAGTCGTCGCAAACATTGGTACAGTCACGGTCGGATGGTGCAGATCATGAACCACTCAGACAGTATCTCTGTGGTCACGTCTTTCACGTATGTTCACTTTCTTCTTTAAGTGTTCTCACTGATCACACAACGTGTTATTGTAGAAATACTGCGCGGATAGGTGGATGCACGATAACCTGAAATGTTTCTTGTGCAAAGCGGACTTGTATCTTCCTGAAGCTACCGAAGAGCGCCCAGATTGGTCTGCACTGTTCAAACTTGTCCGTGGACAGGATCGTATTATCCGTAGGACCGTCAATGTGGACCTTCTACAAACGTTCCAATATTCATGGTACATGCAGTGATTGCTCTGACTGTGACGTCCACTCATTGAAGTTTCTACGGTCGGAAATATTGCAATCGACAGGCAACCTGGTATCATTGGTCCCGATTGTGTACGGTTCTCTCCAAGAGGTCGTTATCTTGCTGTGGGCTGTTGGTTCCATTCAATCAGGGTGATTGAAACTACGTGGACATCACGACCTTGGTACGTTCTATCTTACTTCTAACCAGACTGCATATTCACACGATGGTGATGGTCTCGGCGTCCGACTTCTTGCTGTGGTATCACGGAAAATGCGCTATGGCATTGCAGGGTTCTGCATGATAGCACATTGACTGCGTTGTGCCTGGGCCCGGATGAGCGGATGTTGATAACGGGAGATAATCGTGGACACATACACGTGAGTCACAATTTTGCGGTAGGTGTGATCAGACATTAATCCCAATATTTTCCCCTTCCACGGCACCTCGTCGATGATGTTTGTTGCTTTTGTATGATTATACACATGGTCGCAATGCGGAAGATCTGGGACCTTCCAAAACGACGCATGGTGAACAATCTGCGGGAACATCTGGCAAGAGTATGGGGACTAGAGATATCTGTGGATGGACATCTACTGGTATCTGTTTCTGATGACATGACCCTACGAGTGTGGGGATTGCATGACGGTACTATGGTCCGGAACAGTATGTCGAGCCTTCACCGATGTGATTTGGTTTGTTCACGGTTCTTTATCTGCTTACAGTTCAGACGAACACAGCGCCAGCTTCACTTGGACTCGCGCCAGATGGGCGCCTTGCCGCAGTATCATCCGCAGAAAGTGGGATGGTTGATGTGTGGGACATTGATGCTGGCTCACGCTTAACACGTCTGGAGGGTCACAACTCATGTGTGCGCAGTATCGCCTTCACGCCCGATGGTGTTGGGATTGTGACCGCAAGTGATGATGAAACACTCAAGTATTGGGATTTAACATCGTTTCTCAGCCATCGAGCAGCCGCCGTTAGTATGACTGAAACCGTGGAGTCGAATTCTGGAGCTTCCAAGCCACTCGAGCAGTCCCTCGATGCAAAGACTCTTCATTGTATTAGAACATATACTGGACACAGGGTATGTTGTTCACTTACACTATGCTAGTTGCTTGTCAACCCATTCATCAGAGTGATGTTTTGGCCACCGCCCTTTCTCGTGATGGTCGCTGGATGGCATCCGGGTCTTCTGGTGGAAAGGTGAACTTGTGGGACGCCAAGACAGCAGCGGTGCAATTTGTCTTGAACGGTCATCGCTCTAAAGGTGAATACTCGCATATTTTTTTTATTCATCCACGATTATTACGCTCATGCGTAGTGAAGTCGGTCACCTTCAGTCCCAAGGGCGCCATTTTCGCTACGTGTGGTTGGGATGGTCGCGTTCGTCTGTGTAAGTCTTCCGCATCAGTATAACCTACTTATCCCTCTAACGCTACCATTGGTAGGGAAATACATCATCCCGGAAGACGCACAATCTGCTGCGGGCATGCGGCCTTCCACATCTGGCGAATGGTCGTCTCCCCCAAGTTCGCAGCCCGTATCCGCGACTTCCCTACCGATAGACTTGGTGCATCCTGACGAACCGGAAGAGGTAGTCGCCCCAGTGGTGGTTCGGCACCTTCCTAGTTAGCTTTTCTGGTACTCGGTATGGTACAATTTTGGCTGATGAATGTCTGCAGCACCTCTGAGAATGCCAGATATATCCGACGGTATGACATACGACCTTTCAATCTCTTTTTGGCTGACACGGTTGTCTGACTCAGATGGAGACCACAGCTCTCTCAACGAAGGGCAACTAAGTCCGCTAACCGGCACTGGTGACCATTCTGGTGTAGAACAGGACTTGCAGGCTCCTTCCACATCCCTACGGCGGTCTTCTATAGGTCTAGAGGCCATGTCAGCTAATGCTGCTCATTATCCAGCCGGTGTATCTACCGCTTCCACACACCGTGTAACCTCGTTTTTTCAGTCAAGGTTAGTCTATTTTATCAACAGTGAAAGCGCTGAGTTGCATTTATGGTACCTGATAGGAGTCGGACGTTTCTGGTGACGCTGCAGCGGTTAATTCCTTGTGGGTCAGGATCCCAGCATGGTGAGTGGTGACGAACTTGATGGAAGCTTGAAAATGACTGTGCATAGATATATTGTAAACGTAGTCGACCGATACAGTTTTAAGGTGGCCGTTACTTCGGAGTATGATACACTTTGCCGTTGTAATTTGGTCAAATTGCTACGCGGTCACATAATGTGGAGCTGACGCGCTCCCACCTTAAGTGCTGAGCGCTGAAGGTTAGAAGATGCATAATAAGATTGAATGCCGGTCTGTACTTCCGTCGAGAAATCTGGTATCTGGCATTCTGGTAATTGCCACAATATTTCCTTCGTTCCCAAAGTGAATATAGAAGTCTGTAGCCCTTCTGCGTATGTCAACTTCAATGAGGACGCGAGTACGACGCCTGGTCAAGCGGGCGCTCTTCAAGCACTAATCACAGCAGGGCGCTTGTAGCTCTACGTACAATGCTTCCGCCTGAAGTTCGAGCGCTAGTTCAGTTTGAATAATCTTTTCTCGTTCAGCTTTCAACATGGATTCCGGGCAGTATGGCGAGCAAATCCTATGCATCAAATTGATGGATTTTATTCCACTTGTTCGTTATGTCCCAATTAATTCACCGACTGGCACGGACGACGAAGATTGGGAGGAATCAGATCTTGCGGATGTTCGTCTTGAGGAGCACAACTCAAGATGCTACTTTTGTCTAGAAGATTTTAAGCCTCCGAGAAGGAAGTCTGTCCAGGGTTCTCCACCATCGGACAATGCTACTGAGCCGCTCAGACAGTACCCATGCGGTCATGTATCACATGTACGTACGTTCTACTCTCGTTCAATATATTGTCTTTGACTGTGTTGCAACTGCATTCTGCAGCAATATTGCGCCGATCATTGGATGCGCGAGAATACTGCATGTTTTTTATGCAAGAAGAAGCTGTACCCAGCTGAGGCTCTCAGAGATTACGACCACTGGTCAGGACTATTCAATCTCACGCGCGGTGGGGATGGAGTAGTCAGAAAAGTTGTTGACGTGGAACTTGTGCAATCACACGAACTCACCGGGTGTGTACTATTCACGTCCTACTGCTCAACATGCGGCTAAATCCACTCTTTTGTTCTTGTCTCTGCACTCCCTGTAGGGATAATGTCTACTATACATGGTTCTCCGCCGATGGCAGATTTATCGCTTTGGGTTGTAATGAAACCACTTTTCGAATATGGAAGGATCCAACAGCGTCCGAGGTTGTCACTCAGTGAAGTACCATTCGATCTCTGTGTTGTGGTTTGGTGAACTGAACGTGCATCCTCGTCCATTTTCCACCCTTATTATTTTCCTTTCTACAACACCTTTCTCCAACTCTACAGTGATCTAGGCATCGTATGTTCTTCTTGCTGCGTAGATAAGGATGCTTCAGTTATATTCACGGGTCATCAAGACGGCAGTCTCCGAGTAAGTGACCACTTTGCTCGCCGTGACTAATTATCCGCATGTTTGCAATGGTGGTATGCGTAACTTATTTTTGTGTGTGTGCAGATGTGGAATATCGATGATCAACATGACGAGGACACAGCCATCAGACATCGAGACAATGTGCGTGACCTTGTTATGTCTGGAGACGGACGTCTAGTGGCGTCTGTTTCCGATGACAAGATGATGCGGATTTGGGAGAAGACCGACGATTCCCTCGTCCGGACTAGTTCGTCTGTTGTCCATGGCGTCCCATTCTTACTGATAGATTTTCTGTTGCAGTAAAACTCCATGCCAAACCACTGGCACTAGTTTGTCTGTCTATGGATGGAAACTTTGGTGCTGTTGCGCTGGTCAACGGAGAGGTGCTGGTATGTGCCACGAAGACTGGCGTGACATTGAGGTGCCTAGATGCACACAGTGGCAGTTCGTGTGGCATCATCTTCACGCCCGATGGAGCGGGAATGCTTACAGGTGATGAGAATGGGACACTCAAGTATTGGGACACTGGGTCCGTGTTCGCACAAAAGGAACATATGGGTGGATCTGTGCGCAGTATTTCTCGCATTTTCAGGTCTCACATTCGGCTGAGGAAACCAGACAAAATACGCGCACCAGTTCGATCATTCTCGAGACATACTGTAGGTTGACCATAATTAGTCTCAGATTTCGCTGACAAGTCTACCAGTCTGGTATTACTGTGATAGACGTGTCACCCGATGGGCGTTGGGTAGCCTCCTGCAGTACAGACGGCGAGCTGTACATATGGGATATCCGGACAGCGGAACTAGAATGCACACTGCAAGCCCATGGAACCCGTCATAGTGCGTTCCATGATTACTTCGCTTCGACTACTGTTTATATAACAAATATTGCCGAAATTGTCAGTAACATCAGTTGAGTTCAGTAGAAAGGAGCCCCTGCTGGGTACATGCGATACTGATGGGAATTTTCGCATCTGTGCGTTCTTAGGGTGGTAAACTGCATTGTCGACTAACTAAAATTTTCCATTTGAGGGCGATACACCACGTATGAAGATGCACAGCAGACATCGCTCCTTCGTATATCTGCGTCACGGGGCAACTCACGACCTCCAACAGATTTACAATCTGTACTCACCGGCTCTTCCGGGGGAACCTCAGATCAGTTTCACGGCGAAGCAGAGCCAGCCGATGCAGCACCTGTTAGGCCTTCGGTCGAAACCAAAGACAACCCACAACTTCTACATTTGGATGCTGTAGACTCGTCTACGATGCAGTCGCCGTCCTCGACCGATGAAATCGCTCTGTTGTCGACTTCAAGTCAGCCAATTTCGAATTCGAGCAGGCTCCAGCCGACAGCTGAAGAGGCTCGCGTCAGGTCGATCCTATCTCGGTTTATTACTGACACAACACTCTGCTGACCATGTCTCAATTACACCCGCAGAACACGCTCGAGAGCGAGGATACAGCGGCTCATTTCTTCGACCTTCGCCGGGTAGCCGCCGTGGAAGCAGCCTTTGTTTGTTCTAGCGTCGAAGTCACTCGGTTCTTGAATAAATGTAGGAAGCCAAAATATTGGCCCATGGTTGTATAGATATGCGGAACCTGTATTATTCTGCTTATTGGACTACCGCTCTCATGTCGTGCAGATGACGGCGGTTGTTGTCGCTTGTGTAAATCCGGGTAGAGGAGGCAGGCGCAAGGGAGGAGATAGAAAGGTATGTCTTCATTTATACACGATATTGTGCGTGTGGGGCCCAGTGGCGTCTTCGTTGTTGCCAAATGCAAGGTGAACGCGTGTGCAGTCTGGACGCGACACGGTCACGTGCAAACAAAACGTTTTGAGTGAAGACTCCACATGACGGTGGCGAGAAAACCAACCCCCACTGAGCCGGTTGGAATTTCTGACTCTTACCGGAGTTCTCTTCCATATTCATGTACAGTCAAGGTGCTCCTCGTCTGAGGTGATTGGATCAAGGTGACCGCTTTGCACGCCACGAAGACAGCACAGTCAGTTGGTCCTGCACTTTTCTTCTCTGCATTTTGCTACAGTTCATAGAAAAGACCTTCGACTTCATTGCTTTTTTTTCTGCACTTCTGTGACGTGCACTGATGTCGAAATAACGACAAAGAAGTCTATACACGCACGCGACGCGACATTCAATGGTGATTTGCAGTGATGCTGCGGTATGGCTACCGGGAGCTCATAACCATGATTACAGCCCGCTCACTGGAAACATGACCCATACAATGACTGTAAAAGAAATCACGTTCTTTTGTCATCACACGGAAAAATCCTCAAGGTTCGTATCGACGTCCCATTCCGCTGATATTGTGAAGTTAACCTCAATACGAAATTGCAACGATAGCATTTTAGCCCATTCATTGAGTCGCTGCACCGTGATAAACATGTTACCGAAAAGTCAACGCTGGCCCGGAAGACTTGGTCAGTGTAGTCGAACATTTGCACTATGAAGCTTGTCCCGTTACTGGAGTCGACGGACGTCAACATGATTATCTTCGCCCCCACGTATATCATCGCGTCTTTGCTGCCCGCAGAAGACAGCGCACGATGCCGCATTACGGATCACTGCTATTATTCGCCAGTTTGTTGACATCAGACGTATTCGCTTCATATTAGCCCAAACATGCAGCGCAGTGCATGAAGCTAAACGCTCATACATCGTTGTGCGGCAGCCATGCGGTGTCCTGTGAACCGCGCAAAATGATGCCACCTCTCGTATGGTCCGTCACCTCTCTCCTCTGCCTTTCGGATACGCCTCCTCTGCGAAAAGTCAAACAAGCGAGACCATAGGTATTATTGGTATCAATGACGATGGACTGGAACCGTTCTGGCGAGTATTTCCTCCGTGGAAAGATGGCAGACCTCCTCCCTCGTGTTCGTTATGTTCCAGCTCAGGAAGCAAATGCCAACGCACACCCGCCCAAAACTGTGGAATGGGAGAAATCAGATCTCGTAGACGTTTCGCTGGAAGACCAGGACTCGAGGTGCTCCTTATGTTTAGAAGACTTTCGGCCGCCCAGGCGAAGGTCCTCACGAAACCCAGAAGTGTCGGAGAGCGCATCCGCGGAAGTGCTCACGCAGTTCCCGTGCGGACACGTTTTCCACGTACGTTCGTTGGAATTTTGCTTTTGAGCGCCTGAACTTGACGTATTCGTGCAGTGCAGTTGTGCGGACAAGTGGATGCGCGAGAACTCGACATGTTCTTTGTGCAGTAAGGACATCTATCCCCCTGAAGGTATCCAAGAGGGTAGCGACTGGTCTGCGCTGTTCAGCCTCTTTCGGGAGCAGGACGGCCATCTGCGAAGGGTCGTGGATGTCGATCTCTTGCATGCTGCTCAGCTTCCATGGTGCGAGTGGCCGTCCTCTTTCGCTCTTTTTTTCTGGTTCTTGCGTACTGATTAACTTACATCTTGTGCAGGAGTGTAGGCATCTGGGCCTACCTCTGTTTCTCTGCGGATGACAAGTATCTCGCGGTGGGATGCTACTCGCACTCAATTCGTGTCCTGGATACAGAGACAGTGTCAGAGATACGGTACGACCGATGTTTCTTGATATCTACGACTGATGGACATTCAAATGTGCAGTCTTCTCGAAGATGTTGGGTTTTCCGCCTTCTGCTTCAGCACAGATGGCCAGCTTCTCGTTACAGGAGATATTCACGGGATTATAAATGTGAGTGAGCGTGTCTGGCGCTTCAGTGTTATCAGCCCGAACTCAACTCCACTTCTAGATTTGGGATGCACAAGCTGCGGACCAACCGTCGAAACGTTCTCTACTCGGACATCAGGACAAGGTGACGGAACTCGACATATCGGAGGACGGCCGACTGCTCGTGTCCGTGTCCAAGGACCAGACCCTGCGCGTCTGGGAGACGCACACCGGGAACGTCGTGCAAATCGGTATGTTTAGCCGTATATCGTGCCGTTGCTACTGAACGCGATCGTCCGCGCGCGCGCAAGTGCAACCCGGCTCCCGCCCGATCGCCGTCCGTTTTACGCCGGACGGCGCCTCGATCAAGACGGGGCTGAACGACGGGTCGGTCAAGTTCTGGCATGTCGGAACGGGCGCATTGTTGGAGCGCCTGGGGGGGATCGGCGCATTTGTGGACATCTTACTCGTGCTCGGCGGCAACAGCGTGCTTGTCGGCCAAGATGGCACACTGAGCTTCTGGGACGTGGGTCCGACAACGAGCCCCACGAGTCCGATGAGCCCCACAAGTCTGATGCACCCACGAGAAGCCGGCATCGGCGAAAGCGCACAGGGAAATCCGAGCCCTGCCTCGTCTCAGACCGAGGACGACGACGAGGAGTTGCAACAGATGAGCAGCTACACCAACCACACGGTGGGTACACCCGCAGGGAAGTTGGCGGAGGACCGCTGATGGATCGCATGTGCAGGGTGTGGTGTGGTCCACCGCTATGTGGAAGGTCGGGCCGTGGGTCGCTTCCGGCGACGAGAACGGCGAGCTGCACGTCTGGAACGTCCACACGGCGGAGCTGCAGTGTCTCATACGGGACCGCAACGAGCACAAAGGTACGTGACCGCGCACCTGTTCCGGATGAGAGGGTGACGATGGGCACGTCTAGTGAGAGCGCTCGGCTTCAGTCCGAAAGGGACGCTGCTCGGTGCGTGCGATGCAGACGGGTGCGTCCGCATATGTGCGTGCCTCGTGAAACTGAGAGTCGGTGCCACTCGTCGCTCAGTTGTTGTGCGATTTAGGGAAATTCGCCGTAGCGGAACAGCAGCCTGCGGTACCGCAACCTCCTGCGAACACCTCAGCCGCGACACCGCCCGCACCGCGGACGCCGATGGCGCGGCCTACAGAGGGCACCCGACCGTTCTTGCCAGTGCAGGATTCGCCTTCGCAGGCAAAGTGGGTCTTGCCTCTACGCAGTCCGGCTGTGTAAGCTGATGCGCATGTTTTGTGCATGTAGGCACGTGGGCTTCATCGGGAGGCTGCGACATCTGTTCCTCTGTCATTCGCTGTCGGCGTATATGGATGAGAAGTGAGCGCTCACTTCTCGGGCCAGGCTGATAAAGGTTCACTAGGGCCTTTGTCGGCTGGACCGTTCAGGGCGCGCGTCGCATTTGTTCGTCTTGTACATATTTCGTGTCGCAACACTTCATTATGGGACGATGTAAGCTGGAGTGGTGGTAATATGAGCATAATTGCGAGACCAAGTACAATAACCCATGGCTCGCCTGCGCTGCTGACTCCCGAGTGCGGGTCCCGCAATTGTATCGCCCGGTGCCCGAGAACGTGCAGCTGCGTTGAAAATGGTGGCTCAATCGAGCAGATACAGCTCTTGGAATTGAAGGTAGCACAGAAGAGTATGCATATGCCCTCCATTTTTTCTGGGCACAAAGACACACGTAGCTGCTGAGGCCTTGAGGCCTGCCGTATTGTATACGTTTGTGTCCAGATGCTCGAAACACCTTCGTCTGCCACTGGCATGATCCTCATTCAAAGCCACTCAGAAATCAGCTCGTAGCAATTTCATGGATGGCAGGATGAGTCTCAGAGTGTATCCGAGTGTGTCAAAAGCTGTGTGCATCGGACGACTCAGTGGTAGCGCACGTTGACTGCCACAATCTTGCAGCGTATTCGTGACATGAGTCGGAGGAATATCCTGCGCAAAGAGGTGGTCTACATACTGTGTCATGATCATCACCGAGGTTCAGACTTCTTTGGAGGTAATCGAGCTGTGTGATGTATTCAACTTCGCAACTTCGGTATCAAAGAATTAGGCTCATGCGAGGCCAGCACATTGCTATTACGAGTGAACCCTCTCTCTTCGGGAGAGTGTGGCAGCACTGTATTTGCTAGAGACTGATGCACAATTTGAGGCTGCTGCAGACAGTGTCATATAACATAATTCCAAGAAGGGATTATGGACACCAAAACATAGTATTAATGGCACCAAATCAAGTGGTCAGATGATGGGTCAAATTTGTGGTGGCTTGACAGCAGTGCACCAGAGATGGTAACATTGAGGTTCTCCATCCCCACAGGGCAACATCTTGCAGTGGGTGATCACTTCTGAGGGAATTGTGCATATGGCCCCGAGGCAGACAGCATTGGAGGAGTGAAAGTACTGTGTCTGGCACATGTTGTGTCGGAACTGAATCACATTGTAATGTCATGCTTTTTTCTTAAGTCACGTTAAATTCACATTGTGATGCCTTACAAGGAAATTTTAGTCTGAATTCCGGTCAGAAAGACGCTATGATGGGAAAAAATAAGTTTAAATGCCTCAATGCATTTGTGACAAAAACGTGACTGTCACAAAATGTCACAAATGCATTAAGGCATTTTAACGTGACTTAAGAAAAAAGCGTGACATTTACAATGTGATTCGGAAATTCCAACATGAAGGCTTGATTTCTATGAAAGGAAGGGGATCACAGTGCGTGGGGTATTCACCGGGAGATTCTGCACCATATGTGCTTGGTTTTTCAGGATGGCATAACCTGTCTTGTGTGTGAGGGTTGAATAATGCAACATTTGCTTCATACTCTTTCCATTTCTACCCAGACCTCAGGCACTTCAAGGCAAGAGGCATGCAAAAATCAAATTCCACACACGAGGTCAGAAAATCCAATTAAGGACTTTTAAGGGTCCCCCCTGTGGAAATTTCCCATGCCCTATATATGCAAGGTGGCTGCCATAAAGAGAAGTTACAAAAAAGGCTTATATAAGTATGTCACCTGTTTGTTACCTCTGTGACCCAACATTACACCTACTAAGTGCCCGACTGCAACCCCACCCCTCATCGCTGGCCAAACAGCATTCTCTGATACATGTTGCAAGCTCTCCTCTGTGATAGGTTTCAACTGTAAGCATGAAACTCATGAGAATAAGCCTTCACTCACATCCTACTAGCAGTTTCTTAGATGGAAATAATTTCTGATTAAGGGCCTTGGATGCCCCCCCTCCCCCTACCCTGTGTCTTAGGTTTTGCTGGTGCATGCCTCTTGCTTTGATGGAGTTACATGCAACGTCCGTTGGACATTCTTCACTTCCTTCAATCTGCCTCTGATGACAAGTGTTAAAGGAGAGGCTGCATGACCAACATGGCTCCTCTGTCTTCACTGCCCAGGTCTTGTGTCCATTTTTACTATTGCCTTAAATGTCTCATGACTGCACCATATACCAAAGCTATTCACGACTGAAACAATTTATTCCATAGAGAAGGTGTTAATCAATTTAGCATACCCACTGGCCTGCACTTTAGGTTTGTACATTCCAGTGCTGATGTCCACCTGAAGATTAGGACACTTGACTTTTACAAATCTGAACATGGCTTCGAACATGAATTCCTGATTGCAACTGTTGAGGATGCCACTGCATCAGATAGCAGTCATCCTATTGGCTTCATATTAGTGGAACGGCGTGGAGGTGGCATTCCCCGAGTTCTGAGTCTCATATCCCCTCATCCCCCATTGTTGAATATGGTTCACAAGCCTTGACTTCTAACTCATCTGCCTCTCCATTCGCTGCTGTCCAGATTCTCTCCAAATCAGGCACACCTGCCATTGACATCTTTTATATGACCAAGGACCTCAACACGCTATTACAATTTACCAGTCATGCTGGCTCCACAGTAATCTGTATCTTTAAAAGTTCAGAGAATAACCATGATTCTCTCGCCAGCCTTGTTGCAGCATGTATAAAAACACACGCTTGCTATCCCTACTATCGTCTCCCTCAGACGAGTTGCTACTGGTTCGCAGGAGTTGTCTATAAGCTGTTGACAAACACAATGATTGAATTCAGTCCAGGCCAGGATCCTGAAGTTGTTCCTGTGCCTGGCGACATGAAACTTCAAGTGGTTGCAGATGCTGTTCCGCAAGCTAAGGACCAGAATGGCTATGATGGTATCATGAACTGTCAGGTCATCTCCCCCACTTGCATCTTCTTAGATAATAGTAAGAGAGATGACCTTACAGTTTATAATACTACCATGTCCATTTCAGCCCTTGGCCCATGAAACAGTGTCAGCAATAACCTGGAGTTCAATGTTGCCAGGCACAGAAACAACTTTGAGATCCTCACCTGAACTGAATTCAATCACAGTGTTTGTCAATAGCTTGTAGACAACACCTGTGAACCAGTAGCAGCTAAATTGAGGGAGGCAATAGTGAAGACAGTGAGCGTGTGTTTCTATGTATGCTTCAACAAGGGTGGCAAGCAAATTACAGTCATTCTCTGGACTTCCAGAGACACAGATTACCACAGGGCCAGCATGACTGGTAAATTGAAACAACGTATTGAGGTTCTTGGCCATAGAGAAGATGTCAATGGCAGCTGTGCCCAGTCTAGAGAGAATTTGAATGGCAGCAAATGGAGAGGAGGATGAGTCAGTAGTCAACACTTGTGAACCACATTCAACAATGGGGGATGAGGGGATACGAGACCCAGAACTCAGGAAATGGTCACCACCATGCTGTTTCACTAAAATAAACCCAATGAAAAGACTGCCATCTTGTGTAGTGGCATTCACAACAGTCACAACCAGGAATTCATGTTCAAAGTCATGTTCAAATTTGCAAAAGTCAAGTGTCCTAATCTTCAAGTGGACATCAGCACTGGAATATACAAACCTGAAGCACAGGCCTGTGGGTATGCTAAATTGATTGACACCTTCTCCATGGAATGAATTGTTCCAGTTGTGAATGGCTTTGGTAGATGGTGCAGTCATGAGACATTTAAGGTGATAGTAGGCATGGACACGAACCTGGGCAGTGAAGATGGAGGAGCCATGTTGGGTGTGCTGCCTCTCCTTGAACACTTGTCATCTGAGGCAGATTGAAGGAAATGAACCTAACGGACATTGCATGACTCCGAGCAGACCTTGAAGCACCCGAGGTCTGGGTAGAAATGAAAAAAGTGTGAAGCAAATGTTGGGTTATTGAACACTCACACATGAGAAAGGCTATGCTAACCCATGGTCATCCCGAGGAACCAAGCACACACGGTGGAGCATCACCCGCTGAATACCCCGCGCGCTGTGATCCTCTTCCTTAGAGATCGTTCAACATCTGCCAGCGAGCCACAGTTACAGGAATGAGCAAAAGGCACAGCCAGGAAGGAGAACGGTACATCTGCGAACTTGAAGAGCGGCGAGGGCCGCGAGTAGGGGGCACGAAGGTTGAAGCAGAGTGGCTACCAACTGCCTTTGGGAGACTAGGTCCGTCTGCTGCGCCGGCTGCTGCACTCAGTCGCTCCAGCACGGGCAAGCGAGCGGTGTGCGTCCTTCCTCCAACTTTTGATCGTATCGATGTTTACTGATGTCGCCTTGGTTCTCAAATACCAGGTAGTTGCCTCGTTCTGGCATCACCTTCGTGCGGACAGCTCACCATTCGACCACCATCTTCGAGTCTACGCAGTTGTGACGCCACGCTCATCTGCTCTTCGTAACTGCGTATTCATCCGATGGTCTTTTCTTGTCTCCTATGCTACTTTTGCCGATATCGTCTGATTTACTTTTGCCCGCGTCGCAGTAGCTACGTGCTTTTTTGCTCTCGTATTTATGTACTCGACTCCTGTACTGCGTGCTGTGCCCTCCCGTTCAAATGTAACGTTGTCGTCCGAACCCGCCGCTGCGATACCGGTCATGCATTCGGTTCATTTCGGGGAGCGTGGATAAAATTTTCGTATCTGTGAGCGTGAGCGGGGGTGATAAACAAATGCGAGCACAACACTCGGGACAAGGTACAATGAGCCGCGTATAACGTCCTTCCAATGCCTTTCCCTCATCGACCGCATCGACTGCCTCCGCCCGAGCGCGCGACGGGCCCCGCACCGGCGCCGGGCCCGAACCCGAAGCCGAGTGCGCGCAGGGCGTCGAACACGGCCTGGTGGGGCGCGGGCTCGATCGAGTCGACCGTGTGGGTCTGCACGAGGCCGCTGAGGGGCGAGAACGCGTACGTCGAGTTCCTGCACCGGAGAGGAGTCAGCTGGGGACGACGGAAAGGGAGAGGGGGACGGGGATGAGAGGACACGCACACTTGCCACCCGCCGGGCGCGCCGCTCACGCGCACGGCGCCGGTGACGCACAGCCCGATGATGAGGCTCTTCTCGCGGATCTTGCGCGGTGCGCTCTGCGGATCGTCCGGCGCGGGCGGTGCTGTGTGCGAGAACGCGAATGTCAGCATCCGCACCCGAGAAAGGGCAAGGGCGTACCAGGGGGGCCGTGCACGCGCACGCCGCGGAGCTCGACGTGGAGGTCGGTGTAGAGCGCGTTGAGGGTGTGCCGGACGAAGACGGAGGAGGCGAGGTACAGCGGGAGGCCTGCGAGGCGTGCGCGTTAGCGGTAAGAGAGACAGCGCGCGGGCGACGCACCCTCGATGTGGAGCGTCCGGGGGAAGGGCGCGGGGAGGGGGACGACGGGGGTGTACGCGAGGCGGATGCGCGGGCTGTAGATCCCTACCTCGTCTGCGGGGGAGGTGACGAGCCCCGTGCGGAAGAAGTCGGGCAGCGTGCGGTGCAGGACGTCGATCGCCCGGCCTGAGGGGCTGGCGTAGCATCAGAAGCCTCGCCGGCACTGAGGGACAATGCGCGCAGCGGCGGGGCACCACGTACCTGTGCGCAGCTCCCACTCTGCGTCCGAGACCGCGTCCGGCTCCGGCGGCGGTGGAGGTTCCTCTTTCTCGGGCGGCGGCGGGTGCTGGTCGTGTGCGGAGGCTGAGTGCGCGGACGGGGAATCGGGCTGCTTTGGCTGCTCCTGCTCTGCATCCTCTTTCACGCGCGGGGCAGCGGCCGCAAAGCGCACTGGGCGCAACAGCTGGGCGAGGAGCGCAGTGCGTACGTCGGGTGTGAGGAGCTGGTGCGGGGCGAGCAGCGAGTCCAGGAGCGGGTCCAGGAGGTGCGGGCTTCGGTGGGGGGGTAGGGGCGGGCGGTGGGCGGTGGAGGGCGGGAGCGCGATGAGGCCGCGGTGGGACACAGATGCGAACCTGTGCGGTCTTTGCGCTCGCGGGCGTGCGTGTACGCGGGGACTGCGGAGGGCGTGCATTACGCGGAGCGATGAGTTGGCTGAGAGGGTGTGCTTTAGGGATGGACGCGTGGACGGCTCGGCGCGCCCAGTGACGTCACACCACAAGGTCTCATTCTCGGTCCTCGCACAGAACAAATTTAAGATGCAAAGGATCCTCAGGATCCATGCCATGCGTGAATTCGTGCATGCACAGTAACGAAGGGACAATACGCAGTACGAAGCGGCTATGTACGCAGGACTAACCGACCGGCCAATAAACAACTAACGGTCAACGGCAGCAGCAAGAAAAAACTTCCAATTCCGCGGAGGGGGACCACGCGAGCGGGGTATACAGGGCAAGAAGGGATGTAAGGTGAAAGAACGCGAACGTAACAAGGGAAAAAAAGTAGTGGCAGCGGAAAGGGGGGACGGCACGCAGAGCAGACGGTATGAGCGCTAATGCGCTGGGTACTACGAAAGGGCGCGGAGCCAGAGAGACCTGCACCCCGGCTGCGCGGCGCATGAGCGGCATCCAAACACCAAACAAACAAAGTCTGCTCCTCCAGGCGTGCGTCGCGCGGGCAGCGCTCAGAGCTCGTCGCAGTATGGCAAGTTCGAGTCGTCGCCGTCGCCGTCGTCCGTGCCATCGTCACTGCCGTCGTCGCTCGGGCTTGGCGACGGCGCCGGAGTAGTGGCGGCGGGCGCCGCGGTCGGCGTAGCAGAGGCAGGAGTCGCCGTGGCCGGGATGGTCGTGGGCACCACCGACCCCGAGGGCGGGGGAACGACCGTCTCCGTGCCGGCGACACAGAGCACCTGCGCGGAGAATCAACACCGTGGGACAGTGGGAAAAGAGCGGGGCGCGCACCTCGCCGACGTAGAGGTTGTCGCACGCGGCGTCGATCTGCGGGTTGTTCTCGTACAACACCGTGGTGTTGATCGAGTACGCGGTGGAGATCGCAGCGCAGTCGTCGCCGAGCTTGACGACGTACGTCGTGTTGCAGTCCTCGCCTTGGTACCCGAGGCAGAGCACCTCGCCGGCGTACAGGTTGTCGCACGTCGCGTCGATGGACGGGTTGCACGCCGCCAGCTGGTACCTGCGGCAGAGTCAGCGGTGACCGCAGAGATGGGGACGGGACACACGTGGAGACGTTGTTGGCGGCAGAGATGCTGTCGCAGATGTCGCCCGCCTGGACGGTGTACGAGCGGTCGCAGGTCTGCGCGAACGCGGCTGCGAGAGTCACAACATGAGCAGGGCCGGTAATAACACTACTACAGCTGCAGACTCACAGCTGGCGAGGAAGGGGAGCGCGGCGAGGGCGAGGAAGGCTGCGGTAGAGAACATGGTTACGGCGTGGAGGGGGGCGGTATGTAATTAACAATCGGGCTTGCGCGTGCAGGAACGGTAAGGAGTGTGTGTGTGCAGAAGGAGAGACGTGCAAGGCGCAAGGTCGTCGAGGTGGACGTGGACGTCGATGAGGAGAAAAAATAACGGCGCCTGCGAGCGGGCTGTACCCCCTTTGACTCTCACGCTCACGTTCCCTTGACGATGTCATCGGCACGTGCGTCGTCGTCCGTTCACCTTTGTCAGAAAGACTCGCACTTCTTGACGAGTTTGTAGACCCCGTTACCGCCACCAGCGGTTCTCTGCGCAGAATTGGGAAGAGTAGAGGCGAGCTCAGACGGAAGAAGACAAATGCTCCATTTTTAGAAACCGTACTTGGGGATTAGTCTATTCAGAAACCCGGTTTACACAGAAACCCGGTTTACACAGAAACCCCCCCTGCTTTTGGTAATTTCGTGATGGCTCTGAAAAAATTCGAAGACGCTCACCTGTCAATGTTTACCAGCGGTCTCCCGGGTCCGCTGTCGAACTCAGCGAGGGCGCACACATTCGCCGCGCGCTGGCGTGCGTCGGTGTCTCCGATGTCATTCATCGGGTGCCGCTTATCGCCTATTGCGTCGAGTAGTGGTGTCCCATTGTTGTTAAGGTGAGATGAAAAGGCTTTGTATCAAGTGGGCATCTTGACACACAGAACCAAAGAGATAGCACACACCAAAATTCGGCGGCTGGTCATTGCTCATCGTCTCCAATGACGATGCGGACGCGGTCCGCCCTGTCAAGGACGCGCGGTACTCGGTGTCAATGGTTGGCGCCGTCGTTGGCGTCAATTGATCTTTTTTTGATGGTATTTCCATCTTCGCATTTTTCTCTTCAGCGGTTCCGGGGGAAGGTGGGTTTATTTTCCCCCGGGGGGTTTCTAAATAGACTAATCCCGTACTTGGTCACATATGGTATTCCAAGCAGTCTCTGTACGAGAGCTGAGAAAAAAGAGTATATATCACTTGAACCCTCCCTGGGCACAGTACGTACCGCCAGATCCTCCGTTCTCCGTAGCCTAATTGTCCGAGAGCTTCGCAGGAGAAACTTCCCTCTCTTCACTCGTCGTCTCGCAGTGTCCGGAGAGGCAGCCGGTGTGGGCACGAGCGTGGGGGATCCTTCTGTCTGGTCGGAAAACAACAGAGGCAGTCCTTGAATACACTGCTCGGGGGCGGTCTGGGACCACCACCTGTATTCAATAGCCAACCCGGACTCCCTCCGTCCTCAGGAAGCTCTGCCTCGAGGATGAACCCGTTGCAGGCCTTATGTCGAGCGTGGCCCTGACGCAATTCAGCGATGCAAATAGTTCCTCGCCTATAGACTCACGATGTAGCGCGTATTTTCCCAGAAACTCCCCCGATGCGAAGCTAAAGACATTTCTGCGGAAAAATTTGCCGCTTGAACACGTACTATAAGCTGCATGGTCCTATTGGCGTATTTCGTCTTCTGGAAGGAGCCCGAGCACTACAAACTACGAACTCACGGTGCCGTACTCTCGGACAGTCGTTGGACACGCTGCGCAGGACTTGCTTGGAAATTTCCGGAGGAACGTTTGGGTGTGCAAGCTGTGGTAAGCGTCGTCTCGAGCTATCTTCTAGCGCTATGCGACATCCGACCGACCTTCTTTTGGACTTTCACGATGTCTATCCTTGGTCTACGCTCTTAGCGTGTTTTTTCAGTCCTCGATGAATTGGCAGCATTGCCTGTAGGGCGCGGGATCCTCGTGTATGACGGGATGGCCTGCGACCTGGGGTATGTATCACTCATGTTCATGAATATTCCATTGCTTTTGTGCTGCCACGAAAGTTGTGTACAGTCAATTTGTCAAAGAAGGATGAGACCGATGGTATAAAAGCCGACAAGCCACGGTAAGAGAGCAGGTGTTCCAGTCTTCCTACCTGGAAGAAAGAATGGATCTCATGCGGAAACCTTGGGTGCTTGAGCACTGGAGGGTCTACAACACGCGGACCGGTGTTGAACGTCGATGACTCAGATCACAGGGCGAAGATGAGGGCGATCAAGGAGAGGTTATGCGGGCATGGGCGTGGTACAGCCGCTGCGGCAGGGGCGGAGACGGGGGGTAGAATACTGCAGAACGGTTCTATCGCTGTTTTCATAGGTGCTCCGGTTCCACCACACTACGTGGCAGCAAAGACAGGTGAGTCGTGCTGGCGAGAGGAGTAAATGTACATTGACGGTCGGAAATCTACGCAGCTATCGACTCCGAGGGCTTCACCAAGTCGCTCGTTGCAAGACTGGATCCGGAGTGGGATATCAAGGTGGAGTCGCTCTGCAACGTCCTTATAATATAGTCAGACCTGATCGCCGCACACAAGGTCACGGTCATCGATCCTGGCGATTTCAATATCGGCTCACTGGGCGTAGCACGGTGCGCCTGCCAGCACATGCGTATACCAGGCCAGGTGGGGCACCAGCACTCACATTCCTGATGCAGCCGAACTTGAAGCTTGAAGCTGCCCCGGCCGGGGATGCGACAATGTGGCAAGGGACTTCGTGAATGGCCCCAACGAGACGATAGACAAGTATGAGTCTTCGTCAGAGGGGCTTTGTAAAAATGCAGTACATAGTAGAGTTAACAGATGTTTTTCTAAGCCATGAAGATATGTAGCCGCTGTGCGCGAGATCTCACTGGCCCACAGAGAGTTCAGTTCGGGCCAGCCTGTTGGTGTCACGTGGAGCGTGCACGCTCGCGGTTGTGGCGCGCATCATAACTTGAACTTACCTACGTTCAACCTCACCTCCTTCCAGCATTATGTCTCTGAATCGTGCAGAATCTCTGTCTTTCACCTCTTCATCCTCTCGAAGTGATAAGTCTACCGCCTCAGACACACTGGAGCTAGTCGATGACCCATACACGCGACAACAACACAAGGACTTCGACGCTGAGGTGCTGAAGGTGTCCAAGCGCCGTGGCATCGAAACAGAATTGGTAGAAAACAATGCTTTCTCTGCTGCAGCTCTTTTACACACGATCATGAACCCGTGCAAACAAGAAATAATTCGAGAAGCTGCCGACATCAACTTTTTGGAGGACTTGTGCCAGAACGGCAAGCTACGCATTGAACTGAGCAAGGCATTGAAAGATATGGACTTCTCCAAGATTCGGTGCTTAAGTACGTCTTGACATGTATGCTATTTTCCAATTGACCATTCATTTTAAGACTGAACAACCAGGAATCCTTCGTCGAACCACCGGTGGAGCAAATCAGCGTTTTTATTCTATCACGATGCAAAGTCAGTGAATCCTTCCTGTAATTACCTACATTCCCTAAAATTAATGTGCTTTCGTTCAGAGCAAGGTGACCCACGTACCACTGTCTATGCTTTGGAGGCCTGCTGATGTCCATGGCTAGCAACAATGGCCGCGTGGTATAGTCCTTACATTGGCAACGCGCATGTAGCGCTTTTGGATGCCATCAAAGAAATGAATCGCACTCGCGGGGACCAGGGGTATGCCAACTACGTCCCCATTATTCAGAGCTCGGGAACTGGGAAATCACGAGTTGTAGATCAGCTGGCTAGTCTTGTTTTCACCGTTCCATTCAACGTCCGAGAGGAGAATGTCGAAAGTGGTGAGGATCATTGCTATTGTACATGTCCAAATCACAGACGATAACGCAACAGGGCACCCCTTCCCACACCCCGATGATGCTATCCGCGCTCATCTCCTCGATGTCTGCAGCAACTCGCCAAAAGAATCGGAGTGGTTCAAATTGGATGTGGTTGCTGCATATGTCAAGTTTTTTGAGCAGCTATTCATCGTGGTACGTGAACATCTTGACCAAAGGATGCCACACTACCGCAAGAAGTACAAGTCATCTCGGGAGCTCGCGGCAGCCTGGCGAGAATATCTCAACCCACAGCAAGACTCTGTAGAAGTCAATGGCCAGCGAGAAGTTCTTTACAGCGATGTTGTTTCGGTAAGTTCATGCTTCTGTAACGTTCCTGAATAATCACTTATGCGGCGATGTAGCGGCTCGAAAAACGTGAGCCTGCGGGAATTGGGAAAAATCTCAAAGACCACGCTCAAAATGCCATCCAACAAGGCCAAGCATTGGTAGAGACGGTTAACCGGCTCACGAATCGACAACCGGAACGACATGATCTACGAATCGTGTTGTATTTCGACGAGGCGCACTCACTATCAGATGCTTACATCGGAGAGACGAATCGCTACGACGCATTATGCAGTGCGTTGAATCAGCTGAGAACATTGCCCATCTTTTGCATCACACTTTCGACGAACTCCAACCTCACCAAGTTTTCCCCTCCGCAGAAGAGACACCATTCGGCTCGCGTAGTCGAAGGGTTGAGCGACCCTCTTCAGCCTCCATATACAGAGCTACCTTTTGATTGCTTGCCAGAGGGCAAACCTATCCTTGGCACCAAGGAGAAGACTCTTGCTGAAGTTGCCGATATTGGATTTATGGCCATGTTTGGCCGACCTCTGTGAGCGCTATTCATTCATGCGGATTTTAAGCCGATCTGAGCTCTGTTTGCAGCTGGAGTGCGCAACTTCGAGGCGGTGTTGAGAAGAAATGGCTGTTGGAGCTCGCACGGATGAAGCTGATGGGCATGGAAAAATACACCGAGGACATTGACCAGAGCAAGCGTGGTCTTCTGGCTGCCCTCAGCACACGCTTACTTCTAGATTTTGAGCCAACGCGAGAAGTCTCTCGAAGCATGGAGGCACAATTGGTTGAAGCGAATATGCGCATAGCATACAGTGTTCCCAAACACCGTGAATACGTTCGATCAGGATGCCCATCGGAGCCAATTCTAGCCGAAGCTGCTGCCCAAGCAATGAACGAACTGAAACGAACGGTGCCCGAACAGCTCGCGGACTTCGTCGTTGATGGTCTTATCGGGAAAGGAGAGAAAGGAGAACTCGTAATGCGACTTCTTCTCGTGCAAGCCTACGACAAAGCGGCGAAGAAGACTTGCGAGCGCGACCAAGTTGATCTATCCTTCAGCCGGTCTGTGCATCTCTTCGATTTCCTGGAGGCCTTGTTCGGCCCGAAGAATTTGAAAATTTTGAAACAGAGCTGTCCCGACAACGACTCTCGCGGAAAGAAGTTTGAAGACGCGTTCAAGCACGCGCAGGTGCGCTTCACCCACTTCGCGAGGAACGGTGACGAGAGCTCGTCGACCTCTTATGGAGCGTACGCCGCGGTCGTGCGTGGAATGGCTATCCAGTGCTCGACGAACCAGGACGTGATCGATTGTATCGTGCCCGTAGTTCTTCAAGACGATAAGCTGTGCGAGGAAATTATGTCGGGAATTCTGATTCAAGTACGCAACAAGGAGAGGAGGGAGGTCATCGTTGTCGACGAGGCGACCATTCGACATGGCAAAGGATTTTTCCCCAAGGGTCGCAGGGTGGACGATAGGCCATACATAACAATCTCTATGCAATTGGGAGTGCAGACCAAGGCTTCGAAGACGGCACTATCCCAAACTCCAAACGCTTCTGCAGACAAGGGCAGGAAGGGCGTACTTTCCACACCTTCCCGCTTCACCGTTCAGGGCCGATCGCCTCACCACAAAAGAGGCGTACATCCCCGCTACCCTATCAGCGTCATCGGATATTCAAAGAAAGTGTTCGATATGGTCGACAACAAGCATCATTATGCGGTCCTTCTGGGTGGCAGAGATCTCCTAGACGAACATCCGCGACAAGCTGATGTTTATCTCACCTTTGTTCGCCGCCTCAAGCCATACTGGAAAGTTGGGTCACATTGTTATGATTGGATTGACGAGAAGGAGCTTAACCCGGCGAGAGTCCAAGAGGAAGAGGTTCCCGATGAGGAAACGTTCCTGGTCGGAGAAGATGCCGTCGAGGAACAAACGGGCATGATTGGGGAAGACGCCCTTGAGGAGAATGATCCATTTGCTTGATAAACTGAGTACGATCTTTGGGCCTCTCCAAGTATTTTTTTCGCCTTCTGGCTTGTTGTGTTCACTGTTCCTGTTTAGCTACACTGTGGATGTATTTGTATCAATGTAGACCAGATTCCGAGACGAGCGATCTCACTGAGGTTGATATAAGTCTTCGCAGGCTTCGCTCGTTTACAAGTTGGAATGTGTGGATCAAGTGTGAAGATTACCAATCCTCTGTTACTGCAGTGATTACTTGCTTAGCATTGAAGATGGCGATGCCCGACGTCAAAGGTCACATTTGGGTTGAGTGAAAGGGAACTGCAGTAAAATCTGCAAAATCATCCGCCAGGCGGCCAGCCCATCAAAGTGCCTGGCAACCTTTGAGAACAAGGGCGCTCCGAAGCACAGTATACGAAATCCCATCAAGAACCTCCAACCCAACGTGAACTTCATCAGCAAGCCAATTATGTGGCATAGATATACGATACAGCGCACAGCATGCTTCCAAGTCCCGACCACCAGACCCAAGGGACAGTATCAACGTTCAGGCTTGCTTCATTGGGCAGATCTAGATGACGGATCGAAGTTGTGCGTCGGGCAGCGGCTAGTTGTAGGGCGGCGACCATGTCGTCTCCGTCCGCCATCCTCCGGCGCTACTTTGCAACCTCTGCACGCGTGAGGCACAATAACCCGCTGGTGAGCAAATGTGAAGACTATTATGCTTTTCTGTTGCCATACCTTGACACAAGGCTTGAGTACAGGGTCTGCCCAACCGAGGACTGCCGCCGCAAATCCCGAGGAGAGGAGGGCCTATACAGAAGCGGTCGCTTCCTCATGTGAAGAAAGTTATTGCGGTAGCCAGTGGAAAGGGTGGAGTGGGAAAGAGCACGGTTGCAGGTATGCCAGCAACCCAAACAAATACCACCTGCTGATGCATGCCCAGTCAATCTTGCGTTCTCGCTCGCAATGTCCAAGAACTCGGGGCTTAGTGGGCGACCTAGAGTGGGCATTCTTGACTTGGACATCTTTGGACCTTCCGTACCAAAACTCATGGGTCTCGAGAGTGCGAATGATCCTCTTCTTACTGCCGGTACGTTCATTACATCCATTTGTCGAATCAAACCTTGACAAGCACATATAGCGGGCGCGATTATTCCTCTCCGGAACCATGGGCTCCCTTGCATGTCGATGGGCTTTCTTCTTCCCCGCCCAGCTGGTGCAGAGTCAAGCGCGGATACCCCGGTCGTATGGCGCGGCCTGATGGTGCAAAAAGCGGTGCAGCAGCTACTCTTCGACGTGGATTGGAGAGACAATGAAGGTGGACCTGGGCTTGATGTGCTTGTCATTGATATGCCTCCTGGCACAGGCGACGTCCCGCTAACACTAGGGCAGTTGGTAAATGTCGATGGTGACTAGCGTCGTCCACTAATGCGGCGTTGTCCTGATAATGCTGATATTTATTGCCGGATACAGGCGCCGTGATTGTATCGACACCTCAAGATGTTGCACTGACAGATGTGCGCAAGGGTGTTTCCATGTTCCAGAAAATTTCCGTACCTGTGCGTTTTCATATTCCATATCCTTAATCCCGCTTTATCTCTACCCCCATGTAGCTCTTCTTGAAGTACTGAATTTTCCGAACTAGATCATCGGCCTACTCCTGAACCAGTCACACTTTATATGCCCCTCGTGTGCCACCTCGCACTACCTCTTCGGCCCTCCCAAATCCTTCCGCGCAACTGCTACTCGCCTTGGCGTCGATGTACTCGGAGAGCTCCCTCTAGTCCCGGGAGTGAGCAGTGGCGGCGATAAAGGCATCCCGTATGCCCTGGCGAGCGCAGACGCTGTACCGGACGGAGGAAGAGAGCAGTGGCTGGCGACGATGGATGATATTGCTTCGCGCGTTTGGCAGTCTTTAAAGTAGAGGCTGTGCCGGATAGGCGTGCTTACATCATTTATGCCTGTTACGTACAAGTGACATCTCTTTGCAACAGAGTATCCATATTATCTGAGCGAGGTCCGAAGCAGGCTCCTAAAACCATCCGTCGTCACAGCGTTCTCGCTCCTACATCCCATGTTTATGTTTTAGAAGATCATGTGATATATGTTTTATGAGACTTACCCTTTTTATCGAAAATGACTGGATTAGGACGAGGACTAAGAGGAGGAGAACGCTGTGAGACGGCTGGCCCAACTCGTCACCCGATTTCTTCCGAGCTTATGGAAGCGTAGTCTCGGAACCAGACGTTTGGTGGTAGCAGGGCATCACGTGAAACTGACAGCGGAGAGCGAAAAAGAGATGCACAGCTACCACCTAGAACGTCTGGTGAAATTCGTATAGGCGGGGGGGGGATTGTCACACTTCGTGACCAGCGCATCAGGGCGACGTGTCCTACGGGCGATGTGTAGTAGTACGCGTCTTCTGTGTAGTGTCTGTAGCAATCACGATACATCTTCCCCTCATACATATTCTGCTTCTATGTCCTTGAAGTTGCATGTGCGAATCTTGTGCGGTGGATCACTCGGCTCTTGTTGGTGCCCAGGTGTATTGTCAGTGTCTTCGTCTTCATCATCAGATGAGTCCGCACTATGCTCATCCCAGTCCGGGTCGTCAAGTTCTTCATCATCCTGCATGGGATCTTCAGCATTAAGCTCTGATAATAGGGTATAGAGGTTTTCAGAACTCATAGGACTCTGGTGTAGCAAGTCCGGGTATCATGCAGAAGGTCCGGGTATATTGTGTACTACGACATGGTACCTGCTACCTACATCTCTAGACGCGACGCGTGACACGCCTGACGTGCAGAAAGACGCGTCAAGATCACGTGAATGTGACAATCCCCCCCCCCGCCTATATGAATTTCACCAGACGTTCTGTCTGCGGGCTGTGCAGGTGTTTTTCGCTCTCCGATTGGGGGCCCGCACTGACAGAACGGCTGGTTCCGAGACTAATGGAAGCGAGCTTTTCTCGAGCGTAATTGCGTGTAAACCCTAGCGCGGGTGTTATTTTCTGGAGCGCGAAGCAGGCCAAATCGGGTGCTTACTATGTGCACTCATGGCCTGACTGCACTGTGCTACTATAGGGAAGATGCTCGCTAGGGCAGAACATGATGATAGATAAATATTCCATGAGTTCCAGTCCATTTGCAGGGCAAATCAGCATCCTCAGCCTCATCTAAAGACTTGGGATTTGTTGCACACTATCAGGAAAAAATCACATGACTATGTGATGCTGTGTAGGGCTACACCGCGATACCAAGGAGCGACCAATATTGGTCCAGGATTGGTCCAAGACCAATCTCACTAATTTGAACCCTAACCCTAAATGACCCGACTAATCCGAGCTGAAAAGGTCGCGCGTGGTCACGTGCTTGCCTCCATTTTTTCAGCAGAAGGTGGTATCGCGCTCGACGAGGGCTTACCAGGAGAACATATGGACAAATGGCATTAGATTGAGTATTTAAGAGTACAAAAACATTTAAGAGGGATTTTAGAGTATGAAGAGGTCATGGGAAACTGCAGAAAATTGCGAACACTTCTCGGAACACATATCAGAGGTCCTCCCTGCCCGCCGACGCTACTACCAAGCTCCCGGCGGCCTCTGCATTATCGCGAAGATAGTCGACGCGCAGATATTTGATGCCATTGCGCTCTATGATTGAATTGACCCAGCGCGAAGCGGAAGCCGTCTCCAGTGAGCCGTACAGCTCGAAAAGAGCCATGCCGTCTTCGTGCACCTTCAGCCGCTTCGACAGCAGCCCCGCAAACGCGATATATTCCATGGAAAGGTCGCCGCCGGATCCCTTCTGCACAATCAGTTGCTGGTACATGTGCTTGATTGTCTTCAAGAATATGTCCAGATGGAAGTGCATCCCAGTAGTGAAGATGTCGCGTGGTTGCGGAAACTCGGGAGGATCTTCCATAAACATCTCCGGAGCCTGACCGTTGACATGCCGTTCGACTTTCTTCGGCTTCTGCATGACACCGTCGGCGCAGTATGACTTGTTGTGGTTCTCGTGCGAACCTTTCAGACCCGGCCACATGATCGTTTTGCAGCGCGTGCAAGTGTGCGTCTTGCGCTAAATATTCAACGTCGGAATGTCAGACATCTGTTGGTTGAAAGGTGTGTGAGGTGGACTCACCATCTTGCCCTCTCCATTACCGGGCTTCAACAGCGTCACCGCCAGGCAATGCTTCATCCAGAATGCATCGGAGTTCATTCATTTTGCTATCAAGTCACGACATGAGCAGGAATTTACAGTGGTGGAATAACAAGAGTTGCACTTACAGGTGTAGTTCTTTGAGTTGATGCGAGAGAGGACCTTCAGTTTCAGTTCACCGAGCTTGTCCATGAGGGCGCGAGGAGTCTTCCTGATCATCGGAAGTCCACGTGGCCCATTGAGAACTTCGCGACACGCATTGAATGCTTCGGCTGCTGCAACCCACTTGGAAGGGGACATATTGAACGATGCCCACTTATGCTCTGCCCACATGTCCATAAAGAGGTAGAATTCAGCATCAGTTGAGATGCTCAGCGAGGCCGCATTGATTTCCGTCGAAATAGAGAAGATCCTCTGTGAGCGTGTGAGGCCGTCAATCTGCAAGGGCGGGAGAACCTGAGCCAGAATGAGTGCGGACTCAGACGTTCCGGCAGACATCGACTCAGCACAGCGGCGTGCAGGCTTGTTGTTGCCGGCAGACCGCTGTGCCACGAAAAAAGGGTGGACTGTTGCCGATGCTTTCTTCTTCTTCTCGGTTGTCGACTTTGACTTATTCATGTGTGTGGTGGACTCCTAAGGACTCAGAACACTTCCATGAATAATTTTCGACAGATGTATGTGCCATTTGTGCACTTACCGCAATGCTTACTGCAACTCCGGGCACTGCCTGCATGGACTCTAACACTCTCACCTTCTTGCTTCCGTGACCTGCTGTGTCTGCCTGCTGAGGCATCATATCGCTGGTAGCCTTCCTCTTCAAAGCGACACCAGGAAGAAATTTTCCGCATTCGACATCCTGGATATCGTCGACTTTCTTGAGTTGCATGCTTCGAGAAGTCGGCGGCACTGGTGCAGTAGACGGTGGCCCTTCCACATCCTGGAACAGCAATTTTAGTGTCACTTCTGTGTTGAACTTCATTAGTGCCGCACTCTTACCTTCGCTTTGCCCTTCCACCTTTCTGATACACCCTCTCTCACATCCTGGTCCTGCAATTCCTGCACAGCTGACTCCATCTTTGAGCTGTGTCGAATGGTGGCTGTGTCCGATTCATCTGAGCTCAGATCGATCACAAGCGGCATCGAGCTCAGACTGCTGATGGGAGCCAACTGCTTTGAAACGGATGCAACAGGTCCTGTGGCGAGGGCAGGGCTAAGTGGTGAACTCTGAGTTAGCAGCGGATTGTCAGTGTGTGATTCAGAGGTGAACGGTGGGGCTGCCGCATCAACTGGTGAGTCATTAGCTAGCTGTGGGTACAACACCGGATCGATACTGAGATCCTCCAGTATCGAACATGCCTGCACTTCATCCTGTAATGACAGATCGAGCAATTCTTCGTCCGGCTCAGCCTTGATGCTACTGCAGGTGAGGTTGTGGTATGTTGTCGCATACTGTGCCTGAATAAGCCCGAACACCTCACCGCTGTCAATGGCTTGCATCTCTGGTAGGCATCGAAGACCTCGTAACTTTTTGACTGCTTCATCCTCGAGTAACGTGTTCCACAGCTTAGCGACACTGTCTACCAATCGGATGTGGTGTGACCTGTGTGTAGAGCTTAAGAACGGATCTAGTGGGTCTCTCTGACAATCTGAGACTATGTGTATGTTCCACCGCAGGACGTGATCGTGGCCGAGTGCAGTAAGAAGAACTTCAAGGCCACTGGCATGCAATCGCTGCAGGTTGTTCCAGCCTTTGTGGGAGCCTTCAATTTGGCTGCCGTCTGATGCAACATTTTGATGAGCGCGTGCAAGGCATCCTTTCTGGACATGCCCTAGCTGCTCCTCGTGCGTCTACTCACTGTTCAGCTAAGGTACACAAGCGCACAATGGGACTTGGATTCACCTTCGCCGCTGCTGCATTCCAGACTCCTCCATGCTTGTCCCACCTCTCGTACGCGTCAATGAGCCGTCTCTGCTGGTGCTCTCGACTCCAATAAATGGCGCGGTTGTGCTTATCAGCTGTCATCTTGAGGATCGCATCAATGAGATCCTGGGCTACTGCGCTGCGCAGTGGATTCTTAGTGCCCCCAATTACACACGCAAGATATCTATACCCAACTGTGAGTTTGAGCAACACCACTCATGCTTGATCAATGCCCTCACCTTCCCGTGAAGTGCCATACATCAAGCACCACATCAGTATTTGGTAGAGGCTTACTGATTGCACTGCGGACGTGACAGCAATTATCAACGACTGCCAAGAGTGGATGCGGGACCTTGAGGATCTCCAAATGTTGAGTTACACCTGTTAGGAGCTCCGTGATCTCTGATGTTGACTGTGACTGACAGAAACGCTGTGCAAAGGGTGAGTAATTTTTTTTATAGCTGATGGTAATAGATGTATGCATACCCAACTGATTATCTCGTTGAGCTCATTAAGCACGCTCAGGATGCCTCCCTTCATGAGTTTCACCCGGTTTGCTTTTTTCTCTACCACTGCAACTACACTGGCCTTTCCAGCTGCGCAGAATGTGTTATCGAGAGAGATCGTTGTAGCTAGATATGATAGTATAGTGGATATCACGAATGAACATAAGCAGGTGCTTACCACTTAGCGTGCGAAGGTAAGCTTCAGATTCGTCCTTGCGCGTCTTCTCGCTAAATTTGTTGTAGATATCGGTGATCAAATCGTCTGTGATTGAACAGTCGCTGTAACCAGCAATGACTTCATCTGGCCTTGAAAAATTCTGAAGAGGTCGAGGTGATACCAAGCTCATGTTCTTGGTGGTTTGTCAGAGCTGAAAGTACTGCAGGTAAGTACGTCTCTGCCAGTGATATTCAAGAAGATGGAGCTCTGGCGGACATAGATACAGCTGATATTTAGCTCTGGAAGCAATAATCTGTCTTCACACTCACATTTCACGTTCTCAGCAAGCCCTGCTGCCATTGTCGAGGGGCGCAGTTCAACGATCAGGTCAAGTAACTTGTGCGTGACTGCACAACACTTGAGGAAGAATGGGATGCTCGCTGATTCCGGGATCAGTTTTGTCGCTGAGTTTTTTGCTTGAAGCATGCTGAACACACCTGGAATCTGCCAGTGCTCTTGATGCTGCCAGAAGAGGTGACTCATCGTAGTGAAGCAGTAAGTTCCATCGTCATCTGCATTGTCGGGTGCTCCCGCCTTCGTCTTACATTCTGTGCAACGCAACTGATATCCCAGTGCCGTCTCCTCTCGAAAGAGGCCGTGAACTTCACAGTGTCCAGTTCCAGCCCACTGGATCCACTTGACATCCTTCGAGTTGCACCGTGGGCACTGCGTGAGCTCCGGGAAGTAGAATGGGTGCACAACAGTAACAGGCTTCAGGTACGCTGTGTCTGGTGTTACTTCTGGCGTTGCGCTGCGCTTCTGCAGTACAAGGTATGTCAGTGGCACAAAACGAGGCCCAAAGAGTGGAACATCTGTTCTCAGGCTGTGTTCAGCTTGCCTCTTCGCATTCCCATGGGATTTTGCCTGGTCGTATAAGAAGTTGATGTACTTGAAAATGTGAGCCTCCCATTCTAATTGTGCTGCATATTGAGACTGAGAGTCTCGGGCATTCCTCCAGGCTCTCACTCGTTTGCTGACCTGTTATTTTTATCAGTGAGATTTGTTGGGAGCTATGCTATGAATATCATCATACACTGCTGACCTTCTCATTCCATTTAGCCTCGAAGTTGCGTCGCTTCGAATCGCAGGGCGGTAGGGTATTTTTCAGCTGTGCAATCACAGTCCGCAGCTCAAAGGTCGACATTGAGGTACCGGTTCAAGAGTGGAGGCTGCTGCTTCAGGGGTTCGCCAGTCAGCCTAGGGTTCGGCTATGTTTGTTGAATTTCTCTGAAACGGGCAGGATGCCGCCTATTTCGGTCTTCAATATTATCCGGTATATCTTGGTTTACTCTTAGTATACAACAGGCCACTATTTATTTCATCCATAGCAATACATCAGTGGTACGTCGACGGTAGCTGTGAGATATGGCAAGGGAGAATGAAGTGGATTTAAAGTTCTGCAAGGCTAATCAGTTGTGGACACAAACACTCCTCTCCATGGTCATTGGCTGCCTCAAGTGTGAACAAAGCTTGAACCCGCCTTCCAAATGGTACCTCTGCAACTGACGCTGGAATGATCCAGTTTCCAGCAAAACTGTATAGCGGAAAGTCCTCCGTGATGGACTTTCAAGAATGTCTGTCAGACATTGCCACAGCAGAGGCTGTAATTTACACACCTGGCCGATCAATAGATGCCATCCAACCTGAAGCTGCTGAAAGCTGAGCTCTGAACTTGAGCGAACATGACGCATGGTGTGAATAAGCGAGCGTGGGGCCGGCATGCTGATCGCTGCAATAATTTTGATTGCTCGCATGGCATTTCTCCAGTGCACATATGACAGGACATTGGGAAGCAGCTCGATCCAGCACGAGAAGACAGGAGGGTTACATCCATCCTCGCTAAACTGGTGCTCATCTCCGTGAGCAGTAAGAAAGCAATCTTGAACTGCAATTTGTCCTTCAACCTCAAACAATGCACCGGCCAGTAAGTGTTCAAATTTTTGCATACTTGGGTATTGGAGATCGACACAGCAGAGTGAGTGGCCACCTCGCAGAGGAGTGAAGAACAGATTCTCGAGGCGCTGCCATTCGAAGTGCCGGTCAGTCAGTGAGAACATTACTTGCTCCTCAAGCACATTAAAAAGAGGATGGGTCATGCTGAGTATAGGGTGAAAGATGTCGATAGCAACAGTGGTGGTGGTTAAGATCACAGCGCGTGGAACGGGTGCATCTCATATCTCCCAGTAGACAGGAGTTCTTAGCATACAGTGTCTTGAAGCTTGCCGTGCTGCATGCAATGAGACAGCTTGCAGCCTAGAATTCCAAAAGTGTGTGCATCTTGCGATCTGTAGCTCACCTCGTGAACTTGTTGAAGATCGTTCCTACTCGCAAGCGAGGCTTCGCGAAGTACCCACATATGGTAATTGAAGTTCGTACTAGGTTCGTAAAATTTCAACTTCTTGAGGCTCAGTTGACCTCCCAGTAATTAGCACGATGCATACATGTAGAGAGCAAACATATTCTATACAGATTATGACGGAGGATGACGCCGCACATGATGGCATTGAGTAGACGTGCGGATATTCCTTGGTAACTTTTCAGAGCTTCTGCAGGAAAGTCCTTGGCATTTCTCGGCCCGCCTTCAGCGGGCAAAATCCTTGGAATGACTAATTTGCCCTGTGTAGCCTATGTAGGTCTCGTAGCCCAGTAGACAAGTCCCCAAAAATATAGCCGGCTGTAGCCACCACCAAGTGTATGTAGGCCACTGTAGCAATCACTCAAGCGTATGTAGCTCTACCGGGTCCAGTTGTAATCACCAGTAGCATTGCATTATTCCTATCATTCCATATTCACTATTCAGATTTTTACCCATTTCACGATAGCAGACTGTATGAAATAAATATATTTGCACCATATCACTGCACAAACCCACAGGCTAATCATACGGAGCTAGGGAAGCTGTAGCAGACAAGGATGAGAACTGGGATAGTTGCAGACGGTGGCGAGAGTGGAGTATCATGTGCGATCTTCGTATTCATGGTGATCCTAATCCTGGTGTCATCGTCATCATCGTCATCGTCGTCATCATTGGTATGTGATCATCTTGCATCCGGAGTGTAGAATGACTGGGACAGCAGTGGACAGCGACGCACCCGAGAGGAGGGAAGTGGTAAGGCGCACCGTGCGGACATGCATGACATGCGAGTCATCATGCGATCTTCAGCAATTGCTAGTGGAGTTGCGACAGAGAATCTACATGGTACCGGTGAGCCTATTGAAGGAGGCATGGAGCCCGGGAGTATACAGAGACTATGTAATACATCAATGTGCTTCCGGTACATTTGGGCTGAGGGCTTACCATTGTCGTCCGAGTCACTCGAAGCACCGCCGGACACTGACTAAGAAAGCGGTGACACAGATGGCTGCATCATCTATATGCTGCACAAGAACAGGCCTGCATACGGTGATAAGCAAGGAAGAGGAAGCATGCCCACTGACATTATTGGCTAGCAGTAACTGGTCTGTGAAGGAAAATAAGCCCCCTCAGGTTTAACACTAGCCATGTAAGTGGGTACTTATAGGGAGAGTTGGCTGTAGAAACTGTATGAGCAACGGGCTCGTCAAGTCAGTGCACGTGGAGGCTGTCGACAAGGCGCCATGCATGATGCCTCTCACACCGTGTCGCGATGATGCACCTGGTTGTCGTGCCGCTCTCGAGGAGTGTTGTCCTCATTTAGATTTCATCCTGCATGCACATGATGACAATGGCAACAGCGGGAACAAGGTCAGTTCTGGCCAGCGCAGCGCACAAGTACCAGAGCTGCATGAGGTGTCATGTACTGGTGTGCAGGATCCCAGACTCAGGCTGCTCTTACCGTTCATGACTGCAGGAGTCATCGATGCTGTTATCTTGCATCCTTGGAGAGCAGAAGGGGGCAGCTGCGACACGCAAATGTGAGGAACAGAATTGTGAGAGACACCGCACACCAACGTGCACAACGCCCACATAGATGCACTACTGGTGACACCAGAAGGTTCGAATCTTGTCATCCCGACTTCCCGTTTGCAAACGGGCTGGATAGCAAGGACTCCGGATGCGAGTTGATGGCACGCAGGGTGCAAGTCTGTGCCGGTCGATTGCAGACGTGATGACTGGTTACTGGAGGATGAAAAAGCCAAGAGCACCAGATGAGAGAAACGCACAAAGTTTCAAAGTATGTATGAGAGCAACGTTCAGCAAGTTGAACTTCGAAGAATTTTCACAACTGAACATACCACGTGACCAATGGCGCAATCCGCGATGGTCTGCAGCCAATAACCGACGGCCGCAGAACGTGCCGGAGAGGCCGACTGTCATCGGCGACAGTGGACGCGACCGTCACGACATAGCAACGAGACAGCGCCTCAGCGCGCTTCTCCAAATTTCCAGCCTGTTTGTTGATATAGTCGGGATTGTCATCACTGTTTTGCTGCGAGGAGGGCTACAGCAGAAATATGTTAGAGTTGGGATGGCCAATCTATCCAGTGTGTGGTGACGGAAACCATGTTGACATTCACATGAGTAGCACAGACTAAATAATCATTGAGGTAATATAGAGAACACTACAAATTACATGGTCAACACAGGTCTCTGTATTGACAAGGGGGTACTACTGGAACCTATGTCAGCTACATATCACTGTGTGGAACCTACAGAGCCTACAGAGCCGTATGTAGACTGGCTGGGTGCTACCTGGGTCAGGGCTTTTTCCTGATGCAGGCAGTAGATGGTTTGGATGTGTGTGCAGATTCTAGACATTCTCTTGCAATCATCAGACTGGTTTCCAACAGCTGAATTTAGAGACAACTGCAGTGCTACAGTGACTTTTCTCTGCTGCAATGCAGTGAGCTACTAGCAGGTGCACATAGCAAGCACCCACTTTGGATTGCAAGAAAATAAGCCCCAGGCTAGGTTTGCTGCAGCGAGAAACGATGTTGCTCGGGATCGGCATAACCTCGGATGACGAGTTGGGCCAGCCGTCTCACAGCGTTCTCCTCCTCTTAGTCCTCGTCCTAATCCAGTCATTTTCGATAAAAAGGGTAAGTCTCATAAAACATATATCACATGATCTTCTAAAACATAAACATGGGATGTAGGAGCGAGAACGCTGTGACGACGGATGGTTTTAGGAGCCTCGGTCCGAAGATAAATTCAGCCCGGGTAGCCGCACGACGCCGGGGAGGAGTCAGAAGCCCATTTTAGTAGGCGCTGAATCTCGACAAGAATACATAGGAATACGTTAAACTTGAACAATGATTCCCTTAATCAAGCCGTATCCCAGCCGCTTGATCTCACTCAAGACAGCATTCTCGTTGAGGACAACGAGAGACTTATCTTTGTCTTTCGACTTTTCAGGGTCCTATCGCCCGATATCAGTCATATCAGCCGAGGATGCTCGAGAGGATTCGCGCGAACTCGCCTTTCGGACTGAGATACTGGAGTACCCTCCCAAAGCCTTGAAGGGCCTAGGATTTTTCAATGCGGGCATCAACACCGCGCCAAATCGATTGCCTCCCAAAGGGTCGTGGAACAACATGAGTGTGTCCTTATAGATGCGCTGCAAGCCAAGTTGAGTCTGAGTGAGCGGGCTTTCGTAGACGATAGAATGATATACCTTGAGGTCATCATATAGCAACTGCGCAGGATCGAATCCGGGAAGAACGGTTCTTGCATCATCCGTTGCTTGGACATTGGCGTATTTACCCTTCCGCACCCACGCGTTTGCATCTGCGGCGATGTTTTGGGCATATCTGGGCAGGATCGAGGGCTCGAGATCGACAATGAAGTCGTAGTGCTCTAGCGGGTGGGTAAATAGTGTCTGCCCGTGAACGTACGTCAGTAACGGAAAGGAAGTGAAAAACAAACGAGCGCGAACCTTCACGTCGAACTGGTTGCCCTCGATTCCTTGCAGACACTCCCAAGTAGCCCTGGCAATGGCATTTATGCGTCTTGCGACGATAGCGTCCGGTCCAGACGATGTCCAGATATGACCCTCAGGATCCAGCTCAGTTGTGACAGTCCAGACACCCGCACGCGCCCCTGCGGCGACGGTGATAGAAGGCTCCTCGACATCGCCACCCTCTGCAGTGCTGCCATAGAGTGGCACGAACGACCCGTTCGCCCATTGCCAGTCCTTTAACATCTCAATTACTTGCGCGAAACCGCGCTCCTTCGTCCCGGGAACGGTCCTATGGTTCGCTGTGGACTCTTCGAGTACGTTCTTGCCGTTTCGGAGAAAGATAGATGCGCACAGTAGCTCTACCACTTCCTCGCTGACGTGGCCGTGCAAGAGCCAATGTGATGCAAACCATCGCTTGACCAGCCTCACTGTTCCGGCGAAGGCGGAGAAGCGATGGGATAAAGCAGCGATTGCCCGATGGTGGCGAGGGGAGTGGATAAATCGACGACGATATATCTCCTGAGCTTCTTGAGCCGCTCGCCGTTCCGTTCCATCCAAGCCAGTCTCGCGCTTCAAGTGCTTCGGAACGTGGGGTTTGTCATCAATGAGTTTCTCCAACAGTGTCGCTTCGCGATCATGCCATATCCGCGCAGTAAAGGCCCATCCTTCCGGAGTGAGAACCTCAAGTTGCGCCTGATCCTGGATTTCCGAAGAGATGACGCCATCTCCAGTAACAACTGCTGCCTTCATTCCCTTGTTCGCAGTCATGAGGGCAGTAGCGAGCCGTTCCAAGAACGCCAGCTTGATTTTTTGGATCCCGCGCAAATCATCAGGCCAGCGACCAGACTTCTCGAACTCGAGGATCAGTTCCATAGGTGCTACATAGTGTGCACATTGAGGGAATACAGAGAGTGAAGATGCGGGAACAGCGGCGGGACTGAACACGCTGGTATATCGCAGCAACTCTGTGATGGGGCTCACAGTGAGGATTCCCAGCGGCAATTCTTTGTCCAGTGTTTTGACCGTTTTAACGAAGTTATCAAAGGCCGTCATGGCAGCCTTGTAACCGACTGATGCATTCGCTGCTCTGTACAACGATGCGACCGACTCCGGAAGCCTTAGTACATCGTCGAATTGCGCCTGCCATGTGTGCACAGTGTCGTCTGGAATACCACAGTGGCGTTGCAGAAGGTGACGAATAATGAACGAGGGTATGTGCGTCCGCTCGTCTGCGCTGCCAACTGCCCACACGACACTTTCAACGATGCTACCATCCTTGAAGCGTCTTAATTCTGCCTTTTCGCCCCAGAAGTCCCGGAACTCTTGAGCTGCGGCACTGTCTCGCTCTGCCGCTGTAGGCCCGTGGTCAACTAGACGGAAAGCGTGTTCGGTATCGAGAATGATACCGATGTAGATGGTCGCGGAGTTGGCAGGTTGAGCCTGTGATGCTGGTCTGAGCTGAGAGGATGGATGGAGGAGGGCAATGGCTTTTGCTCGGTTCCCAAGGCCTCGCCGAACCACTGAGATCAGAGTCGCGAGCAAGGCATTGTATGCTGAACCATTCTCCAGATGGTCTTGTGGATGGGGACGATGAAGCTTTGCGGAAGAGACGTCCACCCTGTGAAAAGGTCAAAAGGAGATCGTCACTGAACGTCAGCTTATACGGACCTAGTGATGACATCAAAGCGCGTGGACAGCGCACGTTGCTCCTTCAAGAAGACGGACTGGAACGCATCGTCGGACATGGTAGAAGACTCGAGTATTTCCAGAGTCAGCTGGGCATCGTATTTGAGCTAGAACAAAATTGTGCTCGCATCAATCATGACAAGAACTGACTCAGTGCAATGAGATAACAGACCATATCTAGTGAGCACAGGGGAACACCAGCTAACAAGTTGACCATAGAACTGGAATCTACGAACACTGCCTCGTGTGACTCATAGTCGTGCGTCGGATACTGATTGGTAAGAAATGAGAACTGGTACATATCAAGATACGCAAAGTGAGACCAACCCGATGGCCATTCTTGGTCTTCAAGAAAATGTGTTCTTCGCTGAAGTCATGTCTCGCTGAAATACAATGAATAGTCTTTCCCGAGAAATTAGAATCAGGATACAGACACAAGAAGTCCAATGCAGCCTTGAACATCTGATACGAGCTGAGGTTCTTTCCCAGCGGCTTTCTCTTCGTTAAAGACTTCCCGAAGCCAGTGGTTGATGGTTCTTCGCCACTGACCAATAACTCCAGGAGCGACGCCCACCATATTCCCTTCCCCTCAAAACCTCTGATACAAAACCGATTTCCGACACCATAACCTCGCTGATTCGCCCACACGCGGAGCAGAGTGAGCGCATCGGTGAAGGCCGGCACAGACTCTTGGAGCGAATGCATCGAAAGAAAATGCACTTTCGGGGTCATGGACAGCAGTATGGCTGTGTTGTATAAGGGCGTCGGAATATCCTTCGAGGCATCATCGGACGTGCGTATGTTTGACCTAGAGGGCGCAAGCCGTTGGAGAGGAATTGGACTTGAGTTGGGGAGCATTGGGACTATGCGTATCTGAGCATTGAGTTTGGAAAGACCTTCCGAAGACTCGTCTGCAGTGCTTCGATTTAACGACAGTCGAACAGTGGAAACAACCGATTTTACCTAACTTTGGTCGCATGACCAGTGTGGTAAGCCGAGGATCGGCCCCGACAGATTCATACGACACGTTGACAGTAAAGCCGCTGTTCTTGTCTGCTATTGATGCAGCGATGACAGCCAAGTAATAGGCACGCTTGTGGAAGTAACGACTGTGGAGATAATCCTTTTCCTGGAAGAGGGTCTAGGACATGATGAATAGCGTGCCGGAAATAGGGTCCTTCAGAGTTACCTCAGGCATAGCTACAGCTATGTCAACGTTGTATGGATTGCCATCCTTTGCCTTCACGCTGGTCTTCAGTGCCCAGCTCCCTACCAACAAGATTTCGCTTGGTTTTTCAAAAGATACCTTCCAATTCGTATCTTCAGTAGGGAGGGGAAGAGGGTAAGGTACAGCTATACCCTTCTTGAGCAAATCGCGAGATGCAACAATCGGATGTTGTGGTGGAATGGACGGAAGTGCGTTGAAGAAAGTGTGCAGGGACAAGAGGAAGCGATCGAGCGGTGTCGAGCGTTTATACCTCGGACGAATGCTAGGAAGAATGGCATCGATCTGGTATTCGAAGTATTCACGGCATACCGCAACGGCAGCTGCTTAGCAAGTTCAGTAGAGTAGAGGGCCATATGAAGCTTACCTGTAGTTTGAATGAAGTCGACCTGTACAGGTCCGTCGCATCCTTGATGTCCCGCAGCTCCGCTCCCTTCGGAGGTTTCTGCGGGTGGGTCCCGGTATGCAACCCAGAGTGTTCAGTGCCCTGGCCTTCCCCGGCCTTCGTGCCATTGAGGCCAGCCCATTCCTGGTCAGTTTGTTCAGATTCGCTACCCTCTTCCTCGCCAGAGTCTACAGAAAGACTTCCGGCACCGTCAACATCGTCCGTCGGTTCGTCACGGCTTTCTGTCTCGTTAAGACCTTCTCCTGGACTAGTATGTGGACGCTATCAATCATTCAGCGCGGAATCAAACAACTCCTTGGAAGCCCCGCACCTTTTCTGGGTGTCGACCAGCATCATTCCTCTTCCTTTTGCGGTCCACAGACATGGTTGCCAGAACCTATGAGCGTTTGTCTGCAGCCAGGCCTGCCAGACGAAAAATGTATTCCGGATTTGGACAAGTTCCCACCGTGACCCCGGGCCGCCACCGGCATTAGGAAAACAGATCTCTACCAGCTTTAAATCTCAGATCGATGACTGCTTCAAGGTTCTTTGATAACTTGAACTTGCGACCCGACAACATTAGGCTCGTTCCAGCCTCTACTGTGGTACTACGGAAAACAGTCGTTCCTTCGTATAAAGGCTGGGACGTAACCGGTGGGTCCACTGAGAGGTCCCGCGTGGGAAAGCTAATATTGAATGCGAGAATTGAGCTGAAGTCTTCCACTCGTTTGCGCTGCATGTTCGCTTATTCAAAGGTGCCCTGAAAGGAGTATGTACATGCTACCTGAAGTATTTTGGACACGAACGCTTCTGGCGAGCCAAGCCGCGGCCGTTCATGGGCATATCCTGGTGAGCAGATCATGATGCCGACCTCCTCCTGCTCCTCCTGAGTCCGTAGATCAAAGTTCCCACGCGAGAGATCTCAGTGGGGGATACGTCTTACTAGCCTTCGACAACATGTGGAACTCGCACTGCATTCTACAGATGCTGTAAACTGGTTCGGTGAAGCAGCCACAGCCTCTGAAGCAGACTACTGGCGTACCTGTGCCACGCTTCATTCCTGTGGCCGAAGCAGTCTGTCGCTTCAAGATTATGCACATCCTTATATCGTCGTTCGGACTCGGACACGATGTCGGCAACGGCGTAGGGGGCATCGAACTGTTCGAAATAATCAGCTTGACCCTCCATGTGGTGTGCAATGCTTCTATAGCGTCGTTATTCTGAACGTGATGCGAACATATGGATGATTTAGCCCACCGTCCGTGGAGGACAACGAGCCGTGGGGTTTCTATCGGTGAGAGATATGAGTCGAGCCATAATACCAGCACGACCTGCCTCGCTCCGCCACCTGGTAGTGCAGCTGCGCGCGCAATTGACCGGGAATTTGCCTCAAGGACGCTCATAACCCTCGGCGTTTTGCTTGAAACGTCGGGCATGCATGCTACGTAGCTGTGGCGGACACCGCTGAGACCCAGGAAGACAAAAGATACTCTATGCAGATGTGGTTGAGCATTTTATCCATTCTCAGAGAGCGCCTTCCCCGTGAGTACCCTTGGCGGTCGTTGATTTATAATCGCTAATACTAGGGGGTCTATCGCAGAATACAGCCGGTGATATCGAGTTGCGGATGCTGCGCTGCACAGTATCACCGAAGGTCTGATAACGCGCGCATCAATGTACGGTCAACGTACGGCCATCGTACGGCCTGACCGAATTCAGAGAGTTAGTCGTAATGGGAAGCTTAAACCTCCCTTACGTTAAGGTGCTCGAAGTATTCGCTCGTATAAAGCGTATAGCTCGAAACCGCCATGCTTAGGAGCTTCTTCCGAGTGTCTCTCCCCGCCTTCGTCTGAAATACTATCTTCCCATTTTCGTCTCCCTTACAATGAGCTCCACAGGTATAGCCTCATCGCCTCCGATGATTTGTTCATTTACTCAGGCTTATCGTTGCAGCTAACATTGGCCGATCTTCCCAGAGCAATCCATACGGATATGTTCCAACGGAATGGATATGCATCGTGTTCATTGCACTCTTTGCCGTCTCTACTTGTGTGTACCACTCCCTGTCCAATTCATCTAGCCAATAAAATTGACCATTGGCCACAGTTATACATGTGCTACAAGCCTTACACTATCGTTTGTGGTGGCTATTCGCTACGCCCTGTCTATGCGGAGCATTGGAAATTCTTGGTTGGGTCGGCAGGTTGTGGTCTTCTCAGGACCACCTTTCGCTAACGCCGTACATTATCCAGTAAGCGTTCTATCTGGACTGTGTGATCCGACGACATCTCACTTAAGCTCAGGATGTCTTCAACAATTATCGCGCCAACGCCTTTGATAGCGGCTAATTTCGTTATACTCGGAGAGATTATTCGTCGACTTGGGTCATGTTACAGTCGCTTGAGTGCCCGGTGGTGTAAGTACATTTTTGTGAAATCTGCTATCGAACATAACACTGATTTTATATGACTGTAGATTCACGTGTTTTCGTTAGCTGCGTATGTTGTGCACCCTCTTGTCATACTTAAATCGTGCTCATATTCTTTATCTAGGACGTCGTTGCTCTAATCGCACAGGCCGCGGGCGGCGCTACTGCTGCGATGGCTGTGGAAGACAATAGTAACCCTGCGGATGTGAGGCCTCAAACATCCTGACTACCGATTTGCAGTATTGAATATCTTGCAGGGTGGTCATGTCATGCTGGGAGGCATTGTCTTCCAGATGGGTTCGTCTCAAACCTTGAATAAATTCTATCTGCATGGCTGATGATGCGCTTTGCTCTAGCTGCTATCACACTGTACATGATACTGGCGACAGAGTTCATCCTGCGCTTTCACTACAAGAAGCCCTTGCGGAAGGACGACTCCGCCGGAGAGCACAGCTTCGACTCTAAAACGAAGTTCATGCTTCTCGGGCTCGCGATCACGAATGTGTTCATCTATATTCGGCACGTCCACGTCTTGTCTTCACTGTCGCTTCATTCTCACGACGGTTCCCGCTTTCTAGGTCTGTGTACAGAACAATTGTAAATATTTATCCCGCTCGATCGATAGACATGTCCTGACGAATATTTTGATAGGAATTGGTAGACGGCTGGGATGGAACGATCATACAGACGCAGGTTTACTTCAGTGCGTTCTACCTTGCCACTCATCCTTGACTCGCAACTCAAATATTGTCATGTTTCAACAGACGTCTTTGACGCCGCCATGATCACTGTTGCCATGTATGTGCTCAATGCCATGCATCCGGGACGCCTCCTGGGTCCCGCGGAGACGTGGAAGGCCGCCATTGCGCCGACGAAGGAGATCAAGATTCCCCGGCCAGAGTCGACGGATTCCCAACTCCTGCTAGTGTAAGAGTACATTCACTATCCGGTTGTAATTGTCATGGGGTCCAGACGTGTCCACCGTTTTGTTGCCGGCACGTAGCCTCAGACTAGATGATAACTCGGAGACGGGTCACTTGGACACTGCGCCGCCGTCGTATTATACCCTCGGTAGTACAAACGTATTGAATTTGATGATCCATCACACTACGGTTTCCCATAAGTTAGGCTGCGACGACGATGGAGCTAAATTCGGTATAAGCGAGCCTCGATCACCGGACTGGGCACGCCCAAGTATCAGGATAAGCTGGAGAGGAGCTAGTCCTCGATGACGATAACGTCGCCTTCCACAGCTCTGGTGGACCCGCCCGCCCGGGACGTCCGCGCTCGTCTCTTCCGCGCAGGCCGACTGCCCTCTGCGTCATCGTCCACGAACACAATCTCGTCGTTGTCTGCACTGCGCTTGCGCTTGTTCGCGGAGCGCGTGCTCCGCATGCGAGATGCAGACGTGGGATGCGTGTCGTCGTCCGAGTCGTCGATGGTGATCGTTTCCTCCATGGTGCCCCCCAGCGTGGCGGACACATTAGCTCTGCGTGGCACTGAGGATGAGCCTATGGCGGCAGAGGGATCAGCTCTGCCTTTGCCTTTAACGCGAGTTATGGGAGAGACTGCAGGCAGTGGAGTTGGCGGACACGCGTAGAGCTCTGTCCATTGTCGGGCGGTACTGTCGTGCTGTTTGCGATTGCGCATATACTCGTTTGCTATAGAGGGTACTGCGCGAAATCCGTCAGATTACTGAAAGCTCGCCCGACTGAGTGTCCGCACCTAGTGGGTCCTCTGGAAAAGGCATCGTAGATTAGAAGGGGAAAATCATAGATAATTGGAAATGACGAACTGGGGTTCGGATCCGTAAGGAGTGAGGAAAGAGATAAAATGACCTTGAACAGTGAGAGGGCCGGAGACCAGTTATGCTTGAGGATATCGATGCAGATGTTGCCTCGATCATTGATGTTCATGTGATAAATCCTGAATCACGATGAGCTGCCACACAGTAGAACCAGCGACATGTATGCGACCTACCGGGTACGGAAGGTGACCTTGGGCGCGGAGAACCTGCAAGGGATACGGTCAACGGGCGCCATAGGCGCGGGGGAGACACGTGTGCGCACGGATAGTCTGTGGCGAGGACGATGTCAACATGGAAAAGGCCGCCCTCGTACACGCTCCCTTCTGGCCCGGGGATGGTCGCGGACCAGTTGAAGAGACTATCGCTGGAGGGCGTGAGGGAGATTGCGCCGAGATCTTCACGCTTGAGGTCCGCGATTTCGCGGTGAATACGCTTGAGCGTCGTCTAGCAGAAGAATTCAGATTAAAAACGCGTGGCGAATATAATCGAATGCCTACGGCGCTGGTGAGGGGAGCCATGGGGTGCGGCGACTGAAGCTGGCAGGTCGGCGGATGCAGCGGACTGTGGCGAAGGATTGGTATAAGGCATGTCCACGTTTGGCCAGATGGTGTTAAGAGACTGCTTACGTAACACGCATCTGGGCTGACTCGGCCATAAGACTCGAATGATCTCCTTCTCTTCGTCTCTCCCTAAGTCTCTCCAGAACACTCTGCGACACTGCGACTTCAAACCCTACAATGATCCCCCGAATATCGCAGAAGGACTAATTCTCAATGTTCGGAGAGCCAGTATCTGACAGTCTCCGCGCACGCAGCCCGTGGGATCCCTTTCTCCCTACCCCGCCCACCGACTCGCCCCCCGAAGCGATCAAATGCCTCCGGAATGGTATCCCCAAGTTGGTTCCAGAGGTGGAGGAGGTACGTATATACATATCTGAGGCACCTATTATTCTCACCCTTCGCAGGGAAATATCGAGTACAAGCTCAAGCTGACCAACATATCTGCCGCCCGCTTCGCCCGCCTGGTCACCCAGCTCAAGTGGCGTCTACTCGAGGGTGGAGGCCAAGCCTATTACGAACTCGGTGTCGCCGATTCTGGCGCGCTCATCGGCCTCTCGCGCGCCGACCTGGAAGAGTCCCTCGAAACACTCGAGATGATGGCGGGCGAAATCGGAGCCTCCGTCATCGTCGTGAAAGAGATTGAGGTCCCACCGATAATGGTTGCGCTAGCCGACGAAAGCACAGGGTATCTCGACCCCGCTACGGGCGACTGGACTGGGAAGATGCGCAAGAAAGTCGCTGTCCTTACAGACGAGGGCACCACGGAGGCCGACACGGAGCTCTCCACCACGGACGTGACTGACTCGGATGAGCCTCCTTCCCTCTCGAATCCCAGCACCCCGGCGGACCCTGCGTACGCTGCGCCCGTTCCATGCTATACCAGCATATATTCCCAGTGCCGGTCTGTGTCTAATCCTGACCGCCCGACGGCGCAGTCCTCCCCTTCTATCGCACCCATAGACGACGATCTGGCATTGTTTTCTATGGAGCCGGAGCCCGCGTTCAGCGTTGACGCTGACGACGATGTCTCGGACTCGGACGTGGGTCCTTCCCCGTTCTTGGTGGACCTAGAGATTGCGTCGGTCTACAAGCCGCGACCCGTGCGTGTGCGCACGCATACTTCTGTGGTTAGTGTGTCATCGCCGCTTCACGCTTCTGCGTACAGCAGCCACGGGAAGCGTCACAAATTCAAGGAGAAGGAGAAGAAGCACCAACCCTGGCGTTCACAACCTCCTCAAAGCGACGGCGCTCTTTGTGGGAATGTCGTGAGGGAGGAGATACCGAATACACCGGAGTCGAAAGCGGCGAAGCGGCGTCTAATGCGTGACCGTAGAAGAGAGGAGAGGAAAGTGCTCGTCGGGGAATCGGAGGTGGACAATGAGTTTATGCAGGTCGTCGCCATCAAGGAGACGGTATCTGTCGCTTTGCAGAGCGAGGTTCTCGAGGACGGAGACCTGACCATAGCAGCAACAGAAGCCGTTATATCTGTAGCGGCTATTGGGAAAGAGGACGACAAGGATACCGCAGAGCTGGTCTCGGGGTTGGATGCGCTTCACGTCGCAGTCCAGACTTCCACCGCTATTGTGGACCATGTTGCGAAAGCTGGAGATGGTGAGGAGGTGCCCGAAGAGAAAGAGCTGGAGCCGCGGTTGATCGTCGAGGCACTGGTCGTGCGTAAGTCGTCGATCGAGGAGGCATTTCTTGACTTTGGCGGATTTTCTCTCGTGGCAAATACCCTGTAGTGAAACTGTAGTACTAGTGCTCATAGTGCTCGCGAAATTATTGTACCCTGTAGGTGAAGCTGTAGTATAGTGCTCGTGAAATTATTATTCGTATTTGCTTGCAATTATGTGCGATCAAATATCGAGGTACTACTACTAGCTATCACGGGAGATTAATATTGCGTACGAGAAGTCGGTGAGACTTCCTTCAGGCACCGGCGAGAGTCACGTGTTAATATTCGATCGCTGTGAGGCACAGCAACTCTCACCCACTCGTCCTCCTCCCTCTCTCCGTTCCACCTCGTCGTCTCCCGCGCCCGTCAGTGCTCTCCACATCGTCCTGCTGCTAACCTTCTTCCTGTAAACAAGCTTTCCCCTGCTCGATACCGCTGCTTGCCTCTGACCTGTACACTTATCTCCCACTGGCGCCCTGGGGACCTAGCGGGCTGACGGCAAGACTTCTGGATTCTTACCTATCGTCTGAACTATAATCGTGCTTTCCATTGCTTTCGTCAGCAATTTCTTGCTCCTTGTATTCCATATCTTTCCCCGTCCTGCTGCGCTTTCCTACACCCTACGACGTCCCGACGAACACCCTTGTATTATGAAATGTCCGCGGAGGTCGACGACGTAGAAGAGGAACTGCGTTACTGCACGTCCTCCATCCAGATCGATTTTGACGGCGAGAAATCCATCCGTGAGCTTTCCTCCCATCACCCAGCGTGCGATCCTCCTCACCCTCCATCAGGAAGCGTCATCACGTATGATTCCGAGCACTCCATTCCATCTCGCCCATCCTCAGTGATCCACGAGTATTTTGATCCCAACTATGATACTACCGCTACGTGGATAGGCTCGTATTCGCATTTTTTTACTCTGCGGCGATCCTGAAACTCGTTCCCCTCAGAGGACGATTCCCCCTACCCCGAGGTCCGCTCAGCAGTCGCTAACTTCGATGACCCGAACATGCCTGTTGCGACGCTCCGATCATGGTTGTTCGGGATAATGTGGGCGATTCTCCTCCCAGGTATCAACCAGTTCTACTACTTTCGATATCCCTCCTTGACCGTCACCGGGGTGAGCCCAATTCGCTACATCTTTCCCCCACTTCACGGATCGTCCTCAAGTAGTTTCGCTTAGATTGTCGCGCAACTGTTGACGTTTCCCCTCGGCCGGTTGTGGGCGCGTTTTGTACCACGGATAAAGGTGTTTGGGTTATCCCTCAATCCCGGGCCGTTCAATATCAAGGAGCATGTGAGTATTGTTGCTCCATTGCAGCTATATAGCTGGATGTCGACTTGTCCAGGTTTTGGTCACTATCATGGCAGGTGTTGCGGCCCAAACCGCGTATGCTGTGCGTACATTCGGCGGAATTTATTTCTGGCCTCTGAATGACGCATTCGGTTGTAGACCGACGTCGTTGCTGTTCAGAGAGTCTGGTATCACCAACGTCCGAACTTCATCTGTAAGTCTATGCATTTTTTTGGTCGAGTGCTAAAGATAGATGTTGAACTCGTTGGGAACTGAGATCAATGGATGTTGGTAATATCAACGCAGGTGATTTTTCCACCTTGCTAAGGTCCGGGCCAACCTTCTTATCTCGTTTGTTGTCAGCTTATTGGTTTCTCTGTCGGAGGCCTAGCACGCCGAATGGTACGTTTTAGAGTGTACTACCAGCGACTGCTAATTCTCACCGCGTAATGGTAGCTCGTCGAACCGCCATCAATGAGTGTGTCCTATATCGTTCAGCGTACGCTCTCCAACTAAGATGAGCTAGTCTGGCCAAATACTCTGGTCTCTTGCGCGCTATTCAACACTCTGCATTCCCAATCTTACGCCGGTATTGGTGGACGTGATGGGATCAGTCGGGAGCGCTTCTTCGCGTACGCGTTCATCACCGCCATGCTGTGGTGTAAGTGGCCGCTTCGTTGACTGGTGTCTGGTGCTTATATCGGCGGGTTTTCAGACCTCTTTCCTGGATATTTGTTCCAAGCATTGAGGTGATTATTCTAACGTACCCACGGTTACTCGTTTCTCACTACAATTTCGAAGTACATTTACCTGGGTAAGTCGAATAAAATATCAGATGAGACCTAAGCGTCATAACAAGGCTGCAGGGATGCTGGATTGCCCCCAACAACCGCGTGAGTACTTGCTCCGGGTTGTGCACGGAACTTTACTGAGTAGAGTGCTCCCAGACTGTCAACACGCTATTTGGGTAAGGAAGACCGAGAATGTTGTATGTTGTAGGCAATTGACTTCGTGACAGATATCACAGCGGCCTTGGATTCTCTCTCCTTACATTCGACTGGAATCAAATTTCTTTCATCGGTAGCCCACTTGCGACACCTTGTAGGTTTCCCATGGCTTTGTCCGTTTAATCTTGATCCAACGCATATCCTGCAAAGGGTGGGCAGAGGCGAATATTATTGCTGGATTTCTATTTTTCTACTGTACGTGTGGTCTTTCACTTGATTGTTCCTTCGATCTGAATTGCGACTAAAGGGTTTTTGGCACCCATCCTATATGTGCGTGTCTGCCTTTCTGCATACTATTAGGGAATGTCCTCATCCCAAGGCAGTTTTGCAATGTTTGGTACAGCCAGTATATGCCGTGCGTTAATTACCATGCGACCTGAACATCTCCTGACCATGCGGACAGAATATCGTCTCTATCGCCATACGACAATCAAGGTAGGATATTTTTTTCTTTACTATCTCGTCCATACTGTCACGTCACCGCTATTAGGCAACACGTACAATCTCACTCGAGTACTCAACGCCGACTCCACGTTCAACGTGACCAGCTATGGATCGTACAGCCCGCTGTACCTCCCGTGAGTACATCCTGTTCATTCGATTGCGATATTTGATGCTAGTGAGTTCACAGGATGAACTACGCGATCGCTTACGGGTTGTCGTTCGCGTCTATCACTGCGCTGATTGTGCATTCCGTCCTGTATTTCGGACGGCCCATCGCAGCCCAGCTACGACGTCGGGCGTCAGATCAGACGGATATCCATCAACGGTTGATGTCTGTATACAGCAAAGGTGCGCTTAGCCATGGGTCTGCCTGGTGTGCTGACTGATGCCTGGCCTGCACTTTCGTAGTGCCGGAGTGGTGGTGCGTGTTCTCGTCCTTCTGGTTGTTGTTCTCACCCTTGAGCGTGACTAGGTATGCATGTATACTGTGTAAGTGATGGACGGTCAGTTCATACGAGGAGGATACCTGATGTATATTCTCCAGTGGTCACATTTCTGTTCGGCTGCCTGTGCATCAAACTTTGGCCAACTGAGATGACTATCTGGGCGTTTGTCATCGCACTGCTGATCGCTCTGGTATGCCTACCAAATTCTAAATGAGTTGTTGTTCATCTGGATCCAGGTGTACATTGTTCCAATAGGTAAGTATTTGCAGAATTTTTTACTCGGATTGACTGATTCGCTTGCTTAATACAACAGGGATGATTCAAGCCGTGACGAACCAGCAGCTAGGAATAAAGTAAGTTGACTGTCGGGATGCATACCAGTAGCAGTAACATTTTACCCCTCAGTGTCATTTCGGAGCTTATCATCGGCTACATGCTTCCTGGACGACCTATCGCACTTATGATGTGCGTCGCCGGATTTTATCTCTGGTATTTCGTAGTAATTGACTGGACGATAGGTTCAAGGTTAATTCCTTTTCAAGCCAATCTTGAGCACAGCTAATATTTGAGTTGTGTTCAAGACATGGGCCTATATCACGATGGCGCAGGGTGGGCGGAAAACAAGTGAATCTCAGCGTCGATTTGTTAACATTTTCTACAGCAATGATCTTCACCGCTGATATGAAACTTGGCCACTACATGAAGATACCCCCACGATCCATGTTCTGGGCTCAGGTCTTCAATTTCTCCCGCCACTAAGGCTGCATCTTTCTGACCAGTCACGTAGGTCGTCGCCACGATTGTCGCGGGAACTGTGCAACTGGGAGTCCAATCATGGTAGGCTTCTACTTCTCGCATTTGGCTCCGCTTATCATTTTTGTGTCAGGATGTTTACGAATATACCGTGACCGAATTTACATACCTCATGAAGTACGAAGTACTGACTCCGCTTTAGGGATTTATGTTTACAAGCGCAGCACGAGATGTGAGCCGTCCTTTGTGCTCCCTGTCAACACCTCGCTGACTTGTCCAGGACGGGATTTACATGTCCAAACACCGAGGTTCGCCGCGTCCTCCTCTGCACATACTGTTCTGACAAGCACTCTGCAGGTTTTCGGTACCGCTTCTGTAGTTGTAAGCATTCTCCAGTTAGGACGTGCCTTATGATAGTGACGCAGCACAGTGGGGAGTGATCGGCCCGTCTCGACAATTTTCTCGAGGTCGATTATATCAGTGAGTACCATGCATCGCTCCATGTCCAATCCGTATTGACGATGCACTGTACAGTCGTGCGTATATTGTTCGTTAATGCTTGCCTCAGCTTACGGGAATGTGCAGCATTATTGTATTTCTTCATCGTTGGCGCTGCTTGTCCCCTCATTGTGTGGGGATTCAGTTTCAAATACCCCAATTCCTTCCTAAATTATGTCAAGTAAGTGATGAATACCTGTATGTTTCTGACGCAGTATCCTGATTGTACTTGGTAGCTTCCCGTGAGTTTCTGCGGAGGAAGGGACTTCCGGGTGATTGACCGACTTCGCAGCCTTATTTTTGCAGGTCTCGGTGTGGCACCCCCGGCGACTGCTGTCAATTACGTTCCGTGGGCCATCATTGGGTTCATCTTCCAGTACGTTGTTAGAAGAAGATACTTTCCCTTTTGGGCAAAGTACAACTGTGAGTGTCGCGCGTCTTGCCGTGCCGTCAATATCCTCACGTTCTGTGCATCAGATGTACTGTCTGCAGCACTCGATGCAGGAACAACCGTGTCGACGGTTCTTGTGTTCTTCTGGCGCGCACATACTATCTCCGAGCAGCGGAAACACACTAATGCGCTGTCACAGCTTACAATATCCTGATAACGGGAATATCGGACTGACCACCATCCAGCAGTGGTGGGGAAACACCGTTTTCAAGAACACTGCAGACTGGAACAGTTCAGCGCTCAGACCGCTGCTGGGCGACGAAAGGTTCGGGTGCGTGCTCTGTACCGCCCACCTTGGGGCGCAGCTGATGTGCATTTTACAGACTTGAGGAGTGGTAGATCGATCTGTTGTATCGTTACAATGTTGTATGTATAAGTTAGAGTAGACCGGTGTTGATCTAAGCTTTTGGGTTGAAGCACGCGATCAGATATTGGAGTCTCTCAAATGGGAATGGGAGAGGGAGTGGAGGGGGCCGCCCCTGTCGGTCATTGTGCTCGACGCCCTCCACTAAGGGGTGCAGCTCATTGGCCGTCGGCCTGGTGCCGTGCCGATCCATCAGCTCCGCGCAGACGTAATTGCCTGCCAGTCATCTGCTACTCTGTAGCGCGGCAGCATGGAACCTCGCCCTTAACTGCGCTGAAGAGGTGTTGTCGGGGGTCCTCGCGATAGCCACCACAAGCCCTCTCTCACTTGACGGTGTTGAATACGATGGAGAGCGTGAGGCATTGTTGAAGGATGGTGCCGCTGACGAAGGGGGGTTGGCAACATCCGATTTTGGAAGGTCCTATGCGTCTTGTTCTCCAGGCTCCTGAGTCTCCCAAGTCTCCGGTAGACTTGCGAGATCGTCCATTTCACGTACGTCCTCCACGAATTGAAGGTGTATAAACACGGACGGGTCATTTTCAGCGGTAGGTTCACCTCAGGCAGCACAGTAATATTGCGGTCAGCTCCGAACTGTATACGGCATCACACCCGTACTAGTATTGCCATGTATAGGACCTGCGAGACGGCGACGAGAAAGAGGAATGTGATGCGCCTTGATCGCTGTGACGGGTTATTGACCGGCGCAGCAGTTGCAGATGCATCTGGAAGTACCATTGACCGAAGTGAACGCAGCTGGAAGCGTCAGTGCGATGATGGTAAGGCGAGAGGTGAAGTGGTGAGTTTGCGTAAGGTTATTGGCAGACATTACTCACAAGGAAGAATGCCGTCGCGAGGAAGGTGTAAATGAATACCGCGGTATATAGAGTCAATCCGAAGTTTAAGAGACTTGCGATCAAGGTGACAATGACGCTGGAGAGGAAAGCCCACCGTCAGAGGGGTCTCTGAGTTATATCCTGACAAATACTCGCACCCTACAAACTTATAGCCGCCGTAGGACATGAGATCAAGCAACTGATCGGATAGACCACCCTGCAGACGAAGAAGTCTGTTCAGAATCGATGTAACATTTAGCACATCATTGGGCTAACCTGTATATTTAAAAAGTAGCAGCCTAGCTTCATGAATATGAAGTCAAGAAGTACGACCGCTATAGCTTTCGACGCAGTGATACCAAGAATCTCTGGATGAAAGCGCGAGTTCAAGCCCGAATGCAGCGCAGCGAGGAGGATGTAAGTCACAAGGGCCATGACTGACGGCCGGTGAGTTTCAGCGCGTGCGAGCGTGAGCAAGACACCTGAACATACGAGGGATGTATAGGTCGGGCGAATTGATATCATCTCGGGGAGGTTGCCAATCTGACTGGCCGTTTTCTGTTCGACGCACGCGACGCGACCACGGCTTGTGCCTCCAGGGAAAGAGCAGAAGCTGCAATTTCTTTATGACGTACGAATTAGAGACATTGAAATGGTGCTTTAGCACGGTGATTGGAATGAGTCCTCCCAGCTGTCAAAAGTAGAGGTAAGCACGTTGGAGTATGCGGGAACGGTGAGACCTGGTCACATTTCTCTGAACGTAGTCCTGACCAGCAGCGACAGCGTTCTGACCTAGTTGCATTCCAAATTGAGCTGTAGCATCATTCAAACCCCATGCTGAGAAATCGACTGGGACACTCATGTGAGGGTGTGGTTGGCCGTGAACAGACTGGTGCCGAGGGGGTGAGCTCATGGGCCGGTAGTGAGGCGTGGAGGCAACATAGCCTGACGGGGAGCGACCGCTAGGACCCGACGGCGGCATCGGCTGAGCATACTGCTGTTGTACCGGAGGCGAGCTGGTGTAGCGTTGGTAGCCCTGGGGCGAGGCAGGTGTAGATGGCGGCTCGGGAATGTAGGCGGGGTGCGTTGGAACTGGATGCTGCAACGGGGGAGGGCTTCTACTGTTAGAGTAGTAAGACATGTGGGTGGGGCAGAAATGTGGGCAACGACGAGGAGGTGATGGAGGCCGACGAGGAGGATGTGGAGGACGTGTCGGACGGCGTGCACGACGTGTCGGACACGTGACACAACAGGGCCAAACAGCGAGAGAGTGGCTAAACTATGCGCTGGCGGGGAGCTGGCATGTCCTTAGTGTCGAGCGTGGTCATGTCCTCCTACTCCGTAAAAGTCACAGAAACTCCCGCAATAAAAAATGCGCCCCTCATCGGCCTCGCTGAGGGTTGCGGGTATTTTAACAACCTCCATCTCGCAGGTCTCCTCCTCGTCGTTCCCTGGGTCGTTAAACGGCTCTTACCTGTCGTAAACCGCGGCGGCTTCAAGACGTACCTCTTCCTCGTCTTGGTACTAGGTGTCCCCATCACGATTGCATATTGGACCATCGTGAGCTTGTACGGGCCTCGCAAGAACCAGAAAATTCAGCTGCCTGGCAAGAACTTGGAGGAATACATCATCATTCACGACGAGGAGTTGAAGACCAAGTACCATGGCAAGGAGAAGATCCCCATGCAGATATTCCACGACGCGTATTTTGACAAGAAGATTGATTTTAACGGCAAGTCGCGTATTTGGCATGACATAACGCGTCGCTCACTGTGCCATCAAGGTGCTGATGTTCTCGATATCATGGAACAACGACATGACTGGGCCAAGATGAACTTCACTCCTGAGCTTTTCAAATATGTATTTACGCAGATGCTTCCGGAAGTCATCATGCACTCCAGGAGCCAGGATGAGGAGCAAGTCCGTGACCATTATGACCGTGCGTTCGTCTAGTTACAATCCATGATTCGCATCTCTCACGTCGTGCAGGTGGTGATGACTTTTATGAATGGTTCGCTAATCTATGTCGCTGCCGTTGACGCGCTCACTGCTGACGTCGAGGCAGGTTCCTTGGTCCTCGTATGGTGTATACATCTGGGATCGTCAACGACCTAACGAATGAGGAGTCGCTCGAACAACTACAGGACAACAAGCTGACGGTGGTTTGCGAGAAGGTGGTTCCTTTTACATTCTCGTGGTCTGACAAGCTTACTAATGTGATAATAGCTCAACCTCCAACCGAGCGATCGTCTGCTTGACGTTGGCTGCGGTTGGGGTACCCTCTGTGCGTTCGCGGCCAAAAACTATGGATGTGAGGCCATTGGTATCACGCTCGGGAAGAATCAGACCAAGTTTGGCAATGAACGCATCAAGTCGAATGTGAGGAAGAACTGACTGTTTGTACTCGACGATTGACTCCCCTTTCCTCAGGGTTGTGACCCTTCGAAAGCCAAGATTCTTTGTATGGACTACAGAGACATTCCTGGCGGCAAAAGCGGCTACACAAAAATCGTCAGTCTAGAGATGGCCGAGGTATAGCGCTCGTTGTGTTCCAGTGTAGCGCTCCCGCTGATTGTTACTGGTTTCGCTTGATAGCACGTAGGCATTCGACGTTATGGCGCATTCCTAAGACAGATGTACGACCTCCTCGATGATGATGGTATCTTCGTCCTCCAGGTTGCTGGTCTCCGCCCACACTGGCAGTATGAAGATCTCATTTGGTATGCACTCCGTTTCACTATTACCAGCGTCCGTGTTTGCCTCATGCAATGTATCGTGCAGGGGTCTCTTCATGAACAAGTATATCTTCCCTGGAGCAGATGCATCTTGCTCGCTTGGCTGGGTCATTAGCCAAGTTGAAGCGGCTGGTTTCGAGGTAAAGAATATCGATGTTCTGGGCGTGCACTACAGTGCGACGCTCTGGCGGTGGTATAAGAACTGGGTCACCAACAAGGAGAGTATTGTCGCGACGTATGGAGAGCGGTAAGTCACCATATCCGCTAGTCAATCCGTCAAGGCCGATTGAAATCATGTTGTAGATGGTACCGTATCTGGGTGTTCTTCTTGGCTTACTCAACCATCATTAGCCGGTGAGTAGATGCCCTGTGTGTGGAGCGCAGTGCATGATTCTAATAATCTAATACCTAGCAACGGAGGATCATCTGTTTTCCAGCTGACGCTGCACAAAAACCTGAATGCCTACCCGAGGATTCTGGGGGTCACTAACCACACTTCTATCCATGTGGACTCCCAGCGGGAGATTACGTGCGTGTCTCGTTGGAGTTCCTGATTGTTTGCTGACCATGTTGTAGACCTATCGTCTAAGTTTCGGGTCATTCTGAGTGCCTTCGGAATCTACAGTGCTGGAGATGCTTTCGGCAATACTAAGTTAGCGTGATACCCAGAATTAGATGCTGTTGTTGTCTCCTATGTAGGAGGGTGCGCCGACTGAACGGTCAGGCATAGTAGTCTGAAACGCAAAATCTATAGAAGTCGTATGTAAACCGCGTTACGGAAAGTCACCCAAATATACAGTCGTGGAGACGCGACCGTTGTCCAGCAGTCCAGCGCTTATTGAGTGCTCTGCAGATAGTGTTGTTGGCGAAACCTCGCCACCTCGCCTCGCCGGCACGGCAAATGGCGATCGCCAGGCCGGCGAGCTCCCTCCTGCTGGCGAAACTTGGCGAAACTCACGCCATGTGACGGTTAGGTGATGCAGCCGCCCCTCTTTTTGAGCCTCCAATTCCTACATATGGAATTTCAGCACTCATACTTCCAAATCAGTCCAGTTCACCTATGCCCTGTGACTGTGACATGGTCTGATGTTCCTCAAATTTATACAGCTGGATTATATCTGGAGCCGGAAGGTACATCTGAGCGAGGACTAGGAGGCTTCTATATACATAGCTGAGGCAGGGACTGCAAAAATGTAGGAACATCAGTTTCTTATGTTGTCTCTAGGCCTGTAGATACCCCAGACATAGGTATAGTGAAAATTTCAGTGTTTCTGCAGTTTTGCCACTCTCGCCAGCCCTCGCCATGCCTGGCTGCTTGAGTTTCGCCTCGCCGGCGCTTGGCGAGGCCTTCCGGGAGTTTTGCCCACGACACTATCTGCAGATTCAATCACCCGCGAACATTTTAGGTTTCTCCGTTCAGCATTTCCGCTTGGACGATGATCATGGTGCTATCATAGAATGATAGTACTGTCTCCATCGCATTGTCCAGCTTTCCGATAGCGATGCTTCGATGGGTGCCGCGTGTAACATCGCGGGTGCTGCCTCAGGTGGGGTCTTCGCCGAGCTGTCACCGTGTGCAGTGGTTCCGCGAACAGCACACAAACGCAGCTCAAGCAAATGCGCTGAAGCGCTTTGACTCTCAACCAATTCTTCAGCACGTCAAGCGGAAGGTGCAGGAGCGGAATAAGCTGCAGTCAGAGGTACGCTCCAGTTGAACGATATGCAGTCGTTAGAGATGTTGGCTAAACTGGGCTCTGTGCTATATAGGTGTCCGATGATTTCTCCAGTGCTGGTGACGTGCAACGGGCGAGGCAGGTCAAAGAACTGGAGTCCTTTGTAGCTGCATGGGATAACTGGGAGCAGACAAGGCAGGTGGGTGTATGTGCCGCGTTCATCGACAATGTTCTGACACGCAATCCTCGTGTATCAGTCATTGGAGGAGACTTTGACTTTGCTCAATGACCCTGACCCTGCGATGCGTGCCCTGGCCGTGGAGGAGCACGGCGTGCTAACGGACGAGCTATCTACACTCCTCGAGACAACATTCCCCGCCCTTCTCGTGCCTGCCTCACACACCGCACACATGTCTGCGCTAATTGAGCTCAAGGCGGGCGTAGGTGGCTCAGAAGCTATGCTCTTCCTTGCGGAGGTGGTGCAGATGTATATCGGGTTGGCGAGCGTCATGAGCTGGAAGGCAGCAGTCCTGAGCAGTAATGTCACCGAGGGCGGTGGCATCAGAGATGCCATCATGGAGGTGAAGGGCGAGAAGGCCTATGATTTTCTGCGGTGGGAGAGCGGCGTGCATCGCGTGCAGCGCGTGCCTGCTACGGAGGCGAGCGGGCGGGTGCATACGAGCACGGTTGCTGTCGTGGTACGTCTGTGGGTGTCTGTACTGTTTGTTACTCACGTTCGTAGGTTCTACCTCTGTCTGAAGAGACAGACCAGCATTCAGGCGGGAACGACCTCTTCTCGATGGATGATATCAAGATTGAAGTGATGCGTGCAAGAGGCGCTGGCGGTCAGGTTCGATAAACATTGCTGCTCATAGCGTTTCGCGTAGTGATTGATCTGGCTTTCAGCACGTAAACAAAACCGAATCGGCGGTTCGTTTGACACATATTCCTACTGGAATCACGGTGTCCATGCAGGATGAGCGTAGTCAACACCAGGTGCGTTGGACCCACGATACTCTAGTTTTCTCCAACTGGTCTGTGCACGTCGTCCAGAACAAGCGTCGGGCGTTTCAAGTATTGCGAGCGCGTTTGATGGACCGTCGAATGAGCCAGGAGGTCATCGATCGGCGAGACACCCGTCGGAATCTAGTTCGCAGCGCGGACAGGAGCGAGAAGATCAGGACGTACAACTACGCTCAGGTAGGTACTTGGTTTGGGCTTGACTGTGATCGTATGGCTGGTAACGGATTGCATGCTCTAGGATCGGGTCACAGACCATCGGTTGGGCCTTTCTGTGATGAACCTCGGATCAGTCATGGAGGGGCGTGGATTAGAGGGTATTCTGCTGGCTCTGCAGAAGAAACGTGCGGAAGAAATGTTGCAGGATGTTCTGGCAGAGTCGTAAGTTGGGTGAGAGCAGTCCGACTGTATTACTGTACTCTTAATTAGTTACTGTAAGTAGGTGACCCTGATATGCAAACTTTTGCGAACTGCATCACCGTTACTCACCACCTCATCGCTTTGCCTTGCGCTTTTACACCTGCATTCTGTAGCATCTGTAATACTTAAATCCAAGAGCATGTATTTTTTCTGTCTTCGAGCATCCTTTAAAAATCTGGGGAGGCTGTCTGCAACACGGAGCCACAATGTCACATTTTGTCACACTGCCGAATCAATCTCCGAACGGCATGCGATCATCGGCACACGTTATTGACAATCCAAACTGAGCTTGAAAATGTCACGCCTGCGCAGGACCGAAACTGCTGTCAGAATTGTTTGGAGGCAGCCATCTTGCCAGTTCTCTCGAAACCTTTACTGTAGTATTGTAGCGGTTATGAAATAGTTCTCCTGATTTTCTGAGGAAAGACGAGGGACAGAACGAGCCGCGGAAGAAAAGTTCGCACTACTGGGTTAGTTCGCATATCAGGGTCACCGATAGTACTGCTGGATCGGGTGCATTTCCACGCGACTTGAAACCATCTTGGCGCCGGCTGCTCCTTGCCATCGACGAGTTACAGAGTACCGTCTGCATGCGTTCATGTCATGTCCTGGAACACTATCCCCCAGTTCCTGTCCTTTGTAGCTAACCTCGACCCGGACGACGATGAGCCTACCGGTCCCCCCCCAGGATCCCCACCAACATGTACGCTGACCACTCGCAAAACGTCCGCTCTGCTCTGATTCAATCTCATACCTCAAGTGAAGTATGAAGGTCCCTGGTTCATCACCCAGATCATCTTCTCCACTACCATTGGTTTGCTGTCCTTTCTTATCTTCTCATACTCTCGCACAAGGTGGCCCTTGGTCTTTGCTCCTCGGACAAAACTGACAGGTATGTCTGTCGCATACCTTTGCGCTCGCCGTTCGGGCCACTGAATGACCACATTAGGGTTCTCTCCTCATGAGGCGCATGCGCACCAGGCTTTTTTTGGGTGGATTCTCCCTACCATTCGAACATCTGAGTTTACTGTGCTTCAGATAGTCGGTCTCGATGCTGCCGTGGTGCGTTTTGACACGAAGTTCATGTCGCGTTGATCACTAATTCCATTGTAGCTCCTCAATTTCTTTAAGATGTCCTTCTACTTCTTCTCTGTATGCTCTGTCTTTGCTGTACTTGTCCTCATGCCTATCAACTTGAAGGTTTGCTTGTTTCTCTGAGCAACAATGAAGGCACACTAACTCTGGAACAGAACAACATCGACATTGGTGATGGCCACGATGACGAAGACGGTTGGAACTCTGCCTCACCTTTAGATCCACAGCCTCCACACGACTGGCTCGACCTCATCAGCGACGCCAACTCTTACCTGTCCGTTCACCTGCTGTTCACATATCTCTTCACCATCTTTGCTCTGTATTTCGTCTACCAGAACTACAAACGCTTCATTCGCGCTCGCCAGCTGTTCTCGCTTGAGCTCGTGCACTCGATACCCGCTCGTACAGTCATGGTCACACATATTCCTCCGCATCTCCGTGGCGAGCGAACCTTAGCTGAATATTTCGAGAACATGGGTCTGACCGTTGAGGGTGTCACCATCTGCAGAGAGGTGGGGTCGCTGAAGAAGTTATTGGACCTGAGGACAGCAGCTCTTTTCCGCTTGGAAGCTGCTTGGGTTAAGTACGTTGGAAACCCGTGCGTTGCAGAGCTTGGTCGTCCTGCGGAAGAGGATACAGGACGATTAGTCGACGTAGATGATGCGTCGGTGGAAGCTCAACCGGAGCAACTTGTGGTACCTAGCCGCAAACGGCCCACACTTCGCGTTGGCTGGTTTAAACGGAGGGTCGACGCCATCGATCACTTGGAGACCCAGTTCAAAGCCGCGGATGATATGGTTCAGAAGCGCAGGAGGACTGGTAAATTCAAAGCTACGCATGTGGCGTTTGTGACGTTTGAGAAGATGTCCAGTGCTGTGCGTCGTGTTCACTTTCACCGTATAACTTGATAACTGATGCGGGATTATTAGCAAATAGCGGCGCAGACTGCCCATGCTCCAAATCGCTCCGAGTGCATAACACATTTTGCGCCTGAACCACGTGACATTGTGTGGTCGAATATCAGCCATTCGCCTACCTCACTGCGAGTAAGGGATTGGATCGTGCGGGGCTCTATGGGACTTCTCCTCTTTTTCTGGGTCATTCCCATCACCGGTCTCGCAAGTTTGATGAGTTACAAGGAAATTAAGAAAGCCATGCCCTGGTTGGGGCAATTGATTGATGCCAATCAACAAATACGGGCCATCGTGCAGAATTCGCTACCTTCCGTCGCCATGATTATGCTCAACGCTCTGCTACCCTTTTTGCTGGAAGGTATGCCCTTGCAGACACTACCCACATACTGACGGATGCTGATGCGCGATGGGCAGCACTTACCTATGTCCAAGGATTTCCTGCTCGCAGTCTCGTTGAATACTCTCTACTCAAGAAGTATATTCTAACGTTGTTTTCCATCCACTAACTGACATTTGCATGCGCAGATATTTCCTCTTTCTATTGATCAATGTTGTCTTCATATTCCTTTTGGCCAGCACTTATTGGCAACTTGTCAGGGATCTGGCGAGCTCTCCGGCCAAAGGTATTGAGAAGTTAGCTGATGCGTTAGCAGCCGGTCAAGCCAGGTGGGTTCTCTTTTATCAGTAGCATGCTAGGGACCCAGGGCTGATTGTTTTGTAGGCACTTCTTCTTGTCATATGTCATTCTGCAAGGTGACAGATGCAATTTTGGCGGTGGGTTACCTCGCTGATCCATTACAGGTCTCGGCATCATGCCTTTGCAACTGCTCAATCTAGGAGTACTCGTTCCACGGGTGCTCTATCGTTTGCTGATCACTCGGACGCCTCGAGGCAGGGCATTCAGCTATCTGTTGCCATGAAGCGCATTGACGTTCTTTGAGTAGACTTCGCTGAGCTGAACGCCCCTCCAACGATCAACTATGGTGTCGTTTATCCTCAAGCGATCCTGATCTTCGTTATCACATTGCTCTACAGTGTCATTCAACCTCTCATTCTCGTATTTGGCGCCTTCTACTTCGGTGTCGCCTATGTGGTATACAAGTATAAGTTGCTCTTCGGTGCGTGTGTCGTACTCAGGTTATAGACTTCGCATTCATCTTGCATGTGGGCAGTATTCTACAAGCCTTACGAATCGCAAGGACAAGCGTGGCCTATCACATTTGCTCGGCTGATATGGGGCGTAGTCATCTTTATAGTCTTCATGACAGGCATCTTCATCCTGAAGAAGTCATTCGTGCTGGCTACTCTCCTGGCTCCCCTCCTTGCTGGGACCCTGCTCTGGTCTTGGAATACCTATAAGATTTTTCGCCCACTTAGCAAGTACGTGAGCTTGAGCTCCGTCTTCGAGGTCCAAAGAGGAGAAGATTCAGCCGAGGTCGTACGGCTGCGGGCAGGACATCCTGTCAGTTGGTCTCAGAGGTACCTGGTTGTTGATGTTCAACCCAAGATCGTGAGCTCACTCTGTGCAGTAATCTGAATCGCAGACGCTACGCTCAGAACGAAGAAATACTGTATGTCGCGCCTGAGGACGATCGAACCGACTACGTACGTTCCTATGAGATCTCGAGTATCATGACTGGTCCTGACGTGCTCTTTCAGTCTCAACCCCCAATGGCAAACTGGTACAGCGGTGTATTAAAGTACGTAGAAATTTCATTGTTACATTAGTGTGCTGACGCTCTTCCAGCACAGGGAAAAGGAGGTACGGGCATCCAGCGGTCAACGGCGTGCTTCCTTTTCCTTGGCTTCCCATGAGACATGGACAAAAAGTCGCGGACGGCAGTCGCACAGCTTCAGACAATCCAAGTGTAGCCGTTGTGCTTACCTTGCGGAGGAAGTTCAGTGTGCTGCGCAAGGATGACCCCCAAACCGATCGTAGGAATGACCCAATCAACCGGAGTGCGGGCGATGCTGGGGAAGGCGTGCTTCAGTACGGACAGCAGACATCCGTGGATGAGATGACCCAGAATCCGTGGCTAGAAAGGGAGCAGCGACGATATCCAGTGCGCACGCCTGCGATGACGCGTAGGCTGAGCTTTGATCAAGGCTCCGGCGTCATCGTTCTGCCTGAAGGCGAAGACTGGTTGGAAGAAGATGCTACTGATTCGGATGAAGATCATGGTCTTCCGGCCGTGCTCGCAGATTCGCAACAATCACATCCATCGCGTCAAGCGAGCGACGACCAACAATCTGCTACGTTACCGGCAAGGCGGTATAGCACATATTATCACCACCCGGAACGACGTCGACAAACATATGCACGAGTGGGATAGCAACAATGCAGAGTAGGGCTTCTCAATTCTTGTGCTCGTATACTTAGGGCTCCGAATCGTACCGTACAGTACGAATACGACCAGTACGTAAACAGATACGAGCCGTATAGTATACGGCCGGCAATACCCGATTACGATACGCATACGATACGGGATGACCAGTATCGTTTCAGTATACGTACGCGATGCGCTCGTATATACGGGCCACGTTCAAGCCGATGCAGCAGCTCAGAGCTCAACATTCACTCAACAACTGTGCATGGTGCGTAGCCTTCGAATGAGGAGTTCATTTGTTGTGTATCCATTTATCGTACAACGTGGCAATTTCACGATTTTAATCCTCACGGAGCCGGCACGCGCTGACACTGTATGTCCGCTCTCTGATGTGCAAATTTGCTGAAGATCCAATGCATGCTGCAGTGAGTAGAGTGGCTAATGAGAGTGCCCAACTTTACAGCTGAGTAGGAGGACTCCGAAATGTTTGACAGTATGATTGCACCACTTTCCAACCGGTGGATTTCTTGACTATTTGTGGCATGTTCGCCACCCATTGGATTGCATGACGGAGTTCGCGGGAGTGTTGCCAGGTCCTCCGACCGTGTCTCAGGTACCAATTCGTACGAGTGCTGAAACATATAATGGTCAATGAGTCTCTTCCCCGACTTGCGCTCACCCTTTCTTAACCATGAGTGGCTCCTCTCACCCCGGTGCAAATGGTGGGCCATATTCTCATTGACTGCATGTCTGTGCTGAAGCCTTTACAGATGGCAGGAGTTACAACCTGAGGACGGCTTTGTTCACTGGCTTTCCTCCATATCCAGTGACTAATCCTCAAGCCCCTGCAGTGAGATTCCTCGATGATGCCACTTCATTCGAGGCTGATCGACCTCCACAGTGTAGCTCAGCTCCAGCATCTCATGCTGCCGATGCACTGCTAACGCTTTCCGGAGGCCAACCATATGCACCCGACCATGGATCTTGGACGACTATTCCCCGCCATGCAAGGTCACCATTGAACAGGGCAACAGCCACCGGTGGAGCTTCCAGCAGTGTTGCACACTCAGTGCCATCGGCAGATTCTAATCGTTACAGTGAACTCCTCCGTCATCACGATACCGACTCTGACCTTGAGGGCTCTGAGTTCACGGGATCCGACGAAGAGGAGAGTGATGATGAGGATGTTTCCGGGATAATCAGTAATGATGAAGTTTGTCCGTTTACCATCCTCGTTGGATGTCTCTGACCAGCATGCATGATTACATTTGTCAGGTTGCTTTCAACCTGCCCCGCATGACGACTTCGAAGAAACACGAACGCCGCGCTGCACAGCAAGCACAAGACGTCATCAATCAACACTTACCTGCCCGGAAACGAAAGAGGAAGATGAAGGATTCCACTAGTCGGAAGAGCTCTTCAAAGTCGAAACGGGCACGCACGGACACAGCTCCTGTCGTGGATGGACCACTCGCATCGGTGTCGCACACACCTGCACAAACCTCATCGTCCATCCATGTGTCATCTGCACATGATAACCCAAATGTTGCATCGTCATCCACAGTGAATGAAGACCAAGTACGCAACTGTAATGGAAAGCAAAGGAAGACCAAGGTGTGCACATTGTGAAGGAGCCTTTGTGATCATTAACTGATTGCTGTTGGCTCATTCCATGTTCAGAAACCTCCGTCACCGATTTACATGTTCTACCGAGAGATCAAAGAGAACCATAAGCTTCACTTTCCGAATTGGAAGCCAGCTGACAAGCTATATATGTGTCTGCACGGTCACAACAAAGTGCTGAGGATTTCGGAGGGTATGAACGGCTCAACGACTGGACTGAAGAATCACCTGAAGGCTGCTGATGAAAGCATGTACAAGCTATACCAGATTCTTGAGAAGAAGCGTGCACTTGGGCAGAAGCCAACAGCACAAGAGATCTTGGTCGCGCGTGCTGAAATGCCATTGCAGAGTCTTGGCTATAATGTTGACCAGCCGGACGAGGTATCACAGGCCGCGACTGCTACCGGTGACTCCAATCGACTCGCGGTATGTGACAGGTTGCATCGTATGGACCTAATTCTCAACCCAGATTAGGAGCCATTTGACCAAGCAACGTGGGAGCGTCTTGTCTCAGAGTGGGTCGCAGCATGTGACCAACCGTTTGATGCTGTTGAAGCGCCCGAATATGTTCGTATGGTGCAGTACGCAAGCCGCGTTGGTGATCACCTCAAGGTGCCGTGTGGAGACACAATCAAGAAGCGTATCATGGAGATGGGGGATAACGTTATCTCAGACATTAAAGCAATGCTCTCGGTACGTGATCCAGATCATCTTCTAGTCCTCTGCCTGACATTGAAGTACTCTGGCAAGGCTGTGGAGGGGAAATTTACCTTGGCCCTTGACTGCTGGACTTCCAGCAATCAATGGGCTTTCATGTGTATTATCCTCACTTTTGTGACGGAATCTTGGGACATAGGTAATGTCATATTCAGTAATTTGTTGTTGTTTGATGCTCTCAACTAATGGCATGCACGCTTAACTCAGAGGAGGTCATGATAGACTTTCGAGAGATCATTGGGGAACACTCCGGTGAAAATCTCGCCGAGGCCGTCTGGCAAACCATAGAGCTCTACGGACTTAAAGGTCGGGTAAGTGGACTGGCTACACTCTCAGTCAGTTCCTGATGATCAACTCAGATTCAAGCCGTGGTTGCTGACAATGCATCAAATAACGATACAATGGTGGAAGCACTTGAACGTTGCTTCAAGGCTGAGAACATCCCCTTCCACGCTTCCCACGCACGAATGAGATGTGTACCACACACGATCCATTTAGCTGCCCTAGAAGTAAGTACTATAGCACATTGTAGCTTACCTCCACACTCACAAATGACATTGTGTAGCTTCTACAAGCAATTGGCGGCTTCTCGTCAACTAACAACCATGAACAATCTCGCGGCAAATATCAGGCAACTCCTGATAACTACCAGGAAGCGCTTCAAGAGCCTCTGACAACCGAGGCGGATAATCTTTTGTCACAGGCAAATGACTCCGTGAACTGCAACAATGCGCACGCTGACGATGATGTACCCGGTCGTATCCTCTCGGCACTCGATAAGGTCAGTTGTGGGTCGTTCAATTCATCCTCTGCTAACAAGGTTTTTGCATCAGCTTCGCAAAGTTGTTCGTGTAGTGCGATCAAGTCCACAACGGAAGCGGCAGTGGCTTGATGAAGTCAATTTATCATTGCGAAGATTGGAAGATGCTTTTGACAAGGCTGAAGAGGCGCTGATGCTCATCTTAGACGTCAGGACACGTTGGTCCTCAACACACCAAATGCTCCGTACGTCTGTCTCGTATAGATCTGGGCTAGTTCATGACTCATACTGATCGGTGAATCTCACTCGCAGGTCGTGCGCTCGAGTACAAGGAAGAAATCCGGTTGTTCATAGCCAAGCGAGTCGATCTGCGTCATCTCGAGCTAGATGAGCTGAAGTGGGGAGCGATCAAGCTTGTTTGTCAATGGCTGTTGATGTTCCGGCAGGCGACAGAACAGATGTCATCATCAAAGGAGGTTACCTTGTCATCGGTGCACACAATCTTCCACGGGCTTCAGGAACACCTCAAGAATGCCCTCCGCAAGTTGCCGCCTGATTCCCCACCTCAGCTACGAGATGGGCTTCTCAGAGCTTACAAGAAGCTCTCGGATTATCACAGTCACTTTGACGAGAGCCCATATTACATCTGGGCATGCCGTAAGTCCAGTTTACTTGTGTGTAAAGGTCGGTTGCTGAATTATTATGCTAGCAGTTCTCGATCCAAGAATTAACTATGAGGGTCTCAAAGCCGAAGCAGCTATGGATGCAAACCCTCAGAGTCGCGACGAGTACCTCAAACACATCAAAGACGCGAAGGCGGAGCTCAAGACGTACTATCTCAACCACTATCATTCATCCTCATGTGAAAATGGTGCAGCCGCAGCGTTGTCCAGCTCCATTGGCGGCAAGGACCAGACACCAGCAAACTTCAATTTTTTTGCTCCTTATGCTCCTCCAGTGGATAGGGCACCCTCGGAAGAACTTGACGAGTACTTGAAGTTGAAGAATCTCGGCTTTGGTAACCGTGTCTCTCACCCTTTGCGCTGGTGGAAAGAGCACCAGGATCTCTACCCCAGTCTCTCGCGATTGGCGCGTGATATTCTGACAATCCCAGGTGAATATTTAGCACTTTCTTTTCGCGAGTCGAATGTTTGCTTAAACTCGCTGAAAATGTAGGTTCTGCTGTCGCAGTGGAGTGTGCGTTTTCATCTGGCCGCGACACTGTCTCCTTACGGCGTGCAAGCCTCAAACCAGCGACGATCCGGAAGCTCATGCTTGTCAAGCACAAGTTAATGCTTGCGAGACGACAGCTCAAGCGGGCCTTGGAAGAACAACTACTATTCCTATAGTTAGCACTGTTGTCCTGTTCCTAGTACTAAGCTGGAGACCGTACATACGCTCGTAAACCGTATACGTGCAGATACGCTAGTTTCGTATACGGTTGATCCCGTAATTTTTCCGTATTCGTACGGTTCGTACAGTATTTCTCACGTAATTTACGACCGTAACCGTATACTGTACGATCGGAGCCCTACGTATACTGTCGATAGGTCGGATTCAATTGGCGCCCTACAGGCGCTTGGTCACATCACACCCATCTCCGTCTCCGTCGGCCTGGACATACTATCATGGAGGGGGAGTTACCGATCTTTGAGCGCTCGGGCTTCTTTTGTATTCCGGGATGCTTTGTCTTCATTTCTACATGGGCAGATGTATGCACTTCCACATTACATTTTGCAAATTTTTTACATGTTCTCGTGGTGAGGAGGGAGAGACGGCAAGATGCCGGTGGTGGGTGTTGACGGGGGGTGGTGTTGCTAATTTTGTCACACAGATGTCACGCTCATCTCGCGGACGGAGCGCTCACGAGGCTGCCATATCGGGCTATACGTCATCACGCTATCGGGAGTGTTACAAAATGCAGGCTGAAGCATGTCTGATTGCCCAAAACACTTATCGGGATGGTGGAACACAGTGCTGTAGCACATATTGCTATCACCCAAACATCACTTGGGTCAGTCATTCTCAGTATCAAGAGAGATCTTTGATATTAGTACACCTACCATAGTTGCAAACATGGTATTTGACGTCTCATTCAGCAATCCTGGAATGCCTGAACCCCTGGCTTGGTAGAACACATCTACTGGTGTATAGTATCGTCCTACAATTTTATCTGATTTATTTATTGAGTGTGGAAGCAGCGACAGCAGTGTTGCCGATTTTTTGGATTTCGCAACTCCCCCCACGTAATAGTATGGGAGCCCCCGGAGCAGTCTTGTGAGTAAGTATTACTGCTTTTGACTTGTAGGTAACGGTGATGCTTCCGCATGCCCAGTCCGATTCCCTGCTTAAGTTGAGGTGGAATGTATTTCGAATGAAAGCAACGCACTTCAGGGGCATATGGTGTACAAAGCGAATAATATATGAAAAAATATGAAATACAATGATGTGATGAAAATAAACTACATATTAAATAAATGAGGAATAGGTCGATAACCCTAAATATTTACAGTAACAGTACTAAATATACTCTTCGATATCTTTACGTGACATTGTGGGTAAGTCGTCCTCCGGACCTACAAAGAGCAACGCGATACTTTGCATCCGTTTCAGATGAAGATCTGTTGCTGTGGCAGATGGTTCCTTCGTGCTTTGATGGAATCTGTGCGTGGGCGGAGCTGGAAGTGGAACAACATCAAAATGGAAGCATGCGGCATGTGCTCATCTACTCCCCGACACTGTTATACGACTTGAAGAAACACGTGACCATCCGATTGCAAGGATTCCTAGGCAAGACAAATATCACAACGTTCGGGAATTGGAATGGGTGAGTATTATCATATAATGGGGAAATAATGCTCACACAGGTGCAGGAAAGAGGGCGGTGCAGTACACGCTGTGCAGTACCTTACACTCACTTCCCAAGGTTGCAACGATGCCTTCACTGCTCAAGTCAAAGCTCTGGAAGGCATTCGCAAGTTCGTTGCTCGGTCGTTGAATCGAGAAATGGACTCGCTCGATGTCGAGCCAGATTCTATATGCCTGCAACGGAGAGTGTTCACAAAGGTTAGATTGTATCCGTTGTAAGCAGCATGTAGTGCTGACTTTCATGTAGGTTGACAACGAAGGCGAATTCCATGCAGCTTCAGATTATCGCAATCAGGATAGCCGAGTGGGAGCTGCTCAGAAGATGCAGAGATGCTGGGTGGTTTCTCATACCATTAAGACCGGTCTTCGGCTGGAGAACGGTTCTGTCACACGTACAAGCCACATCGTATTTCGTCCTGGAGATTTTGTGGATGTCTCGATGTTTGCTGATGTTATTGAGCTGCGCCGTCGAAAGGAACGTCGTCTGGAGGTTCAATTTGCCATGGAGCATGTCGTGCGATTGATGTCTGTTGTGGATGTGAAGGTACAGTTTTTTCCTTCAAATTTAGCAAAGCTAACAGGAATACAAAGAAGGTCCATGACTTGCCCGGATCCACTCGACCGACACCTGTAGTTGACGCAATAGAGTCGGGTTTCAATTTCATCGAAGACGAGAATGTGGAGATGAATGAGAATGGGGAGAATGAGTTGGTTGAGTAGAAGTTGCGACCTGAGTGCATTGATCCCTTTCTTTTTTCGTCGTGTGATGTTGTTACTATTGTTGATTGTACATATATTTGCTATGATGGTGTAAACGTGCTGATGGCACATTTAATGGTCAGCACTGCATTGATATAATGATGTCTGCGAGCAATGCGACTAGCGTACGACATGACTGGTATCCGGGACTTGCGAGCGAACGTGAAGCTCGATTGAGTCGGCCTATCGTGTTGGGCGTTATCACGAGAGGATGCTGTTTATTCTGTTATCCGAAGCTGCAGACAAAGATAACACGCGTGAAAACACCCTCGAGACTGCAACAGGATCAATAGTTTGAGATATATTGAAATCTTGAAGAAAAGATAGCGCGCGCAGGTTTTCACAAGCTCGCAGCCCATCAGGGGTCTTCGTGGGCATGATTATGATGCAGAGGGCGATTATGATTACAATGTGAGCTACAAGTCGAGCATAATTGATACATCGAATCAGCACGACATTTAAATGAAATCGATACACATACTGGCTGGTCGTGTACATCTGCAGGTTTAACGTACTACAAATGAGTACCTTAATATTCTTCCCGGATGAACTAACACACTGAAAAAGACGCCCGCAGTAATGGAATCGGCTTTTTGACAGTGCAAAGTGTTGCTGGAACTATGCGAAACTTGTGCAAAGACGTTATTAGAGTTAACGAACGCTGTACCTGTCCCAGCTAGCTTTACCATACTCGTTCTCGTCTGACACCCCGAGTTCATTCTGCAAAAATATGTGCATCGTAGCGAAGGAGTGATAGGATTTGTTAGTGTGATAGCAGAATGGCGTGACGTGGCATTAAGGGAACATGCAGGCTTAAGGAATAGTGCAAGGAACAGTGTTTAAATGGAGTGGACCAATGAAAAGAAAATACGAAGGGAAAGGCGTCGGCTATGCCTGATTACATAGGCGCTGTGACAATACCAGTGAAAAACGTCAAATCGTTTAATGCGTAAAGGACACTTGTTGGAATAAGGATGATAATGAACAAGGATGATATAAGCACGTCAAAGCCTTAATCATGCAGACAAAGTAATAGGATAATACTGTGGCTAATGATTATAATGTAGGGGGCAAGACGGGCGTGGTATGTAATATTTACAAAGTGGCAGGATAGATGGCAACAGTATACAGCGGTAATTCTGCGAAGATGATGGCTTCACAATGTCCACTGCAAGGAAGCCCACCTTTGTGCCATGTAACGGTAAGGTCCAGTGGCAACCCATGAGAAAGGCCTTGGGTGCATTCAAAAACTTGTCTGTCGCAGCCTGCATGTTCTATATAGGTCGAGAAGGAACCGACAAGGCAGACACTATCACCAAAATAGCACACCATGTTCGAACAACCGGGTGCACTATAGCATTCAGCATAAATATCGGTCTCTCCTGCCCATGCAAGTGCAGCGACTCGAAAATCGTAGCCGTGCGCAATGTACTTGAACATTGCGGAAAGGACAGAGGAAGATGGGTACTGGCAATCGACAAGCCGACGTGGGTTAAGAAGACCCCGATGTTGCAGCATCGAATCGGGATATGCACAGCAAAACGAGTCAGCTGACAGATAATTCATGACGTGGGTTGACCAAAATAATGGAAGGGGGCATAGAGGAGATTCTGTGAAACTCCGGATGACATCAATGTGATACCTGCCACGTCGGAGCCTTGCTACTTGGGAGATGATGCTGGCGGAATAACTGTAGGGTGGTTCCACATTTGTATCCAATGTATAGCCCTCAACTTGGACGAGATATTGAACTATGCGGAAGAAATGACCATACAGGACGTAGAAGTCGGCATTGTTGGGGGACCAGCTGCAAGTAACATCGAAGAACACCAAGAAAAGCGAGCCAGATATAACCGTGTTTGTTATTCACATCAGAGCCCAGAATTGCGAAGGGTCACAGATAAATGCGTGTAGCAGCATGACAACTGGTGATTGATGTGCGTGGTGACGTAGTAATCAGTGACATGGCAAACAGCTCACCATGCAAGAAGGGAGGGCATGTCAAGTGAAGCTGTGATGTCAAGGATACAGTCATCGTTAAGCCTGCAGACAAATTAAGTCATTGCAAATAGGTGATTCTCTATGACTGACTTACATTTTGAAACAAGAATTCAACAACGACACCACCATTGTGAGATAGTGCATAATTCAAACACAGGACGGGTTTTAACAGCATTTGTGGGTAATCGGGTTTGAACCCGGAAAGTTCTCTATCAGCTCAACAATAGCGGATCGCAGCTCGGAAGCAGCTCACAATGGCAGAATACGATGAACCGACAGACACAGTTACATCCGCCGGCCCTGCAATGCATGTGTGTATCATAAAGCCGAGCGGAAGCAAATGTGGAAGGCGGGTAGCAGGACAGGGACGGGTATGTGACACGTCAGATCTTCGAGGCATACTGTGTACAGGAACGGAATAAAAAATCTCTGTATAATTTAAACGGGATTGCAGATTCGGAGGTCAAGTACGAAGGGCACGGAAGTTGGATGACGGAAGCAGAACGCGTAATTCCATATATTATCGGGGTGCATGCCCAAGGTTTGAAGTCTGCTATAATATATAAAAGGCTAAGCAGATTAGAGGAGAGCAGGTCATATTTCGGAAACAATCATCGACATGGTGTTTAAGGCAAGTGGCTAAATTTGTGCTATGTAGTTGAAACTTATTAAACCACAGGTCAGAACCATTCGCGGGAGGCTCTTCCGCGTTGCAGAATCGGCACAATTTTTTTCAATCCCTGTCCACCAGTACGATCTAAACGGTGGGCTGGACATTGCAATGACAACCTCTATATTCCCGAACAAGAGCAGTGTTCGAACAGCTGAAATTAGAGTCAGCGACCCGCATGCAACTTATCGAAGTACAACATTTGTTGTCTATTACTACGAGGATGATGCTCTTGAAGTCTACAACGAAGGCACATTCGATATCGGTGCTCCTGGGTGGAAGGGAGAAATTTTTGTTATTAGGACTGATGTGCTGTCCAAGCGGTATGTCAATATGCGGAAGCATGACGAAGACCTAATGGCGAAAGTAGTCAGAAAGTAAGTGTAATGGTAGCTCGATCCTGAGGGTAACTCACAAATCCATTCAGATTCATCCATCGCCAGCTAATGTAATTATTTATAACCTGTAAAGCACGTCATTCACGCACGTAGAGCATATATATAGTGAGAAGCAGCCCGGCCCATTGCATAGTTAATATCTACGTTGTCAGTAGCCAAACCTTCGCGCAAGCAAACATGTCGAGTATCAATTCCGTCATGATACCAGACAACATTATCTGGACTGATATATCTGCACGTGAAGTGCTGCTCACTAAGGTAGATGATGCCTATGAGTTGCCAAGTACGATTCGTCCCATTAACTTGCATAATCAATGTAGGATCCACCTGTAATGATATCGGCGCTCGTGCACCTTGTTGCGACTCAATAACAATTAAGAGTGGAGCACAGTGTAAGCGAATTGACTGCATAATGCAGTCACCACATTCAGTGCATCTATTAGTCACAGGTCGAGACAACACACCGTGGAACCATTCAGCCAGCGATTGAACAGGGTGTAAGCCACGTAATTGTTCGTGCAGTGTGATGTATATGAACATGTCATGTATAGGCCTAGCAATAAATGTATTAGAACAAGATTCACAATGGTGTTGAACTGCACCTATCGGTCTGTTGTACTGGCAAAGCGATTGAAATATGTCGGACACTGCTGTCATAGTTTGGCCATAATGAGGGAACATGGAGCTCGATTGTGCAAATAACACATCCTGCACACGATCGCGCACTGTCTCCAGTGTACAATAATGTGTTTGTACTTCTCCAAAGCCTTGATGCATCATGGTAAATGTGGGTGAATTGGGGGATTGCGCAAAACTGGACACAGAGGAACAATCGACGAAGAGGTTCCACATGATAGTTAGTATGGGATCATATGCACAACTCCAATTGGCAGCATCCCAATTCAAACACGACCTGGAAACTGTATGTGACGTATCTTGCATGGCAGAGTGAAGCGACGTAATAGGGATGAAATCGGAGGTCATTACCTTACATTTTTGCGATGTCCTAATAGTGTTAATAGCTGGCGAAACAACAGCATCAGTTTTGCCAGGTTTATCAACTAATTTCCATGCATCAGGTGGTTTGGGTGGTTCGAGCATAGGTAGGGGAGTGGCAGACCAGTCTAATGCAGCATGAATGGCTGGCGGAACATACCTATTTCCTTTCCACTGTTGGAAAGAACAGATCACGGAATTACGAGTCGCATTTACAACAGGAAAAGGAAGCTCACCCTTGAACCGGGCTGCAGTAATAAAGTCTAATATCTCTAGTTCTCGAAATGCTCTCCGGAGAGCATCTGAAGCACCGTCGTGCAATTTAGTCTTCTCATAACCTTGCAAAATCAAGATACCTTCCAGGCTGGAACTTCGGGAGAGGCATGTATATAATGACTGGTGATTCCGGTTGTACTTCAAGTGACATGGGTTGTTTGCTCTCGTGCGACCTTGACAACCGAAATCTGTCATAGCAAAATTCGGCAAAACCATTACCTGCTCACGGTCAATACTCATAATAGAATCATTAGATAACATACATTTGATCTTTCACCATGTACAGACAAGAGGGATTACATTTTTAGGCAGATCTGCTATCTGAATGTTGTGTGGCGGACTTGATAGTTTGACAAACAACGTATCGAGTACCTCATGTCCGTCGTCCATGCAATGCGCGCACCAGCTATAAACGACAGCCTCCGCACCATTAGTCGCACATAACTCCATAGCCTCATTGTACTTTAGCAACACCGGCATCCCAATGCAGATAGATAAAATACCGGGTATATTTCCGTGGATGCTGGTGGAAGCCTCCATAACAAACTCTGTATTCCAGGAAGAACGTCACATGTATGACAAATGGGGTTGAAAGATCTTACTGCTTGTTTCTGAGCTTG